ATATGTCCACATCAGCACATATATGTCTACTTTTTTCTTTTTTAATGAGTTAGAATTTTTATTCTTTACATGCATAATCTAAAAGAATGTACAGGAAACTGTTAATTAATGTTATCTCTCGGGAAGGAAAAAAGGGAGGCATTGGGAAGGTTAAGATTAACTTTTAATTTCTATTACTGTTTGAAAACATGTTTTATGAAGATTATATATTATTTTCTAACAGTAATAATAATAGGTAAAGATCCAGCGAAGTATTGTGGGAGGCAAGAGCCAGAAGAGATTATTTCTACTTCCCTTTAGGAAAGGGCTATGTCCTTTTGAACAGGCCATGTCCTGTTTTAACAAATGCTGATTGCGTGTCCACCAAGTGCATTGTGCTGGCGTTTCTCTGGATGCAGAGGGAACCAGGAAGACTGGCCATTCCAGAGGGCACATAGCATGACGCGGCATAAAAAACTGAAACTTACTTGGGGAATTGTAGTGTTACCGATGTTGGGGTTCTCAGGTTCCCCAAGATAGAAATTGAGAGGAAAACCCCAGAGGCATTTCCAGACAGATTTTATTACCCTTATGCTCCAGCACAAGGGAGTCAGCATAGAGGAAAGGAAGGTCCTCTGAATTGGCTTGGGGTTGGCTCTTGGCTGCTTTTATAAGCTGGGAACAAAGCAGGCTTGCGTGAAAATGCGGGTGTTTTGAAAAGGCAGGCTTGTGGAATTTTCCATGTCAGAGATGGGTGACTTCCTTTTCCAGCTGCATGGCCTGGTAACTCTGTTCCTGCCTGGCTTTGGGGGCAAGCTGGTGGAATGAATGCCCATTACTGCCACCCTGGGAAGGTCATATAAGAGGTCAAACCTTCATCAACCGTGAATGCAGGTTAGCAGGAGGGTAGAAGGGAAATAAAATCAGCTACCTTTGTTTTTGAGTAGGAAATAGAGGGGTGGTGACATTTTTGCAATCCAGGGTTCCTTATGGCCATCTGGCCTCCTTGGGATCCCAGGCCCAGGTCCCTATGCTGGCCCAGTAGCTATCTTAGCTTGGTTGAAGAAATATGATAGGAGTCAATATAGGATATGAATAGAGAAATCATGGGACATGAATCAGGAAAAAGTAGACTGGAGTCAAATTATGAATGGCCTAGAATGTTAGGCTAAGAATTTATAATTCATTAATTAAGAATTAGGAAATGATCCAAAGATTCTAATGAGAGTGAAAGGTCAGAGTAATGAATGTGGGGCCGAGCGCAGTAAGCCTGTCATCAATAAGCCAATAATGGAAAGGCAAAAAGAGAAATTCGTAGATAGAAGGAGGTTGTAAACCTTCTTCAGGGACTTTGTGTAGTAGAGAACATTCTTGGAGAAGCCACATCATAGCAATGCATTGCGCCATGTTTAAGGGAATGTGTAAAACTAGTGGTTCCTATGCCTGGTGTAGCCGCTTGTGAATTCTTACCACCAGGGAGGACTCTTGGAGTCAACATTTTAGATGAACTTTTGTGAAACTTGATCTTTCCGAGACCCAGTAGCCATGGTAGTTTTATAATGAGCTTTATAATGCACTTAAAATTCATACTCTTTAATTGCACTTAACTCTGGCGCTTTCATTTAGATTTCCTTCCAGCTAACAATAGGAGTTGCCAGCTCACAAAAGGCAGATTGAATAAGAACAGAGTGAGGGATTAAGTGTATTTTTATGGTAATGAACGTAGAGAAAATCTTTTCTGTCTATGCCTCATTTCTCAAATTCAGATATTTTCTAAGAATGATTGTGAAGGATACTTATATGGGCCTGAATAAAATTCACTGAGTATATTTTCCTATATCATGTATTTCTTATTTGCTTTTCAAAATCAGAATAGAGAACTCCATTTCATGGCATTTTAAGAAACTCATCCTTGTAATAGGTTTTGTTGTTTTTTTGGGGGGTGGGGGGGCCTCTTTTTTTGTTCCTAACATCTGTTGACTAAAAGGTTCTATTCTCTATATGCCATTTTGAGAAGAGTTTTATTTTATAAAACATTACCCTGGAAATTAAAAAACAAAATCCAACCGTTAAAAAAAAAATCTCATCCACTCAAATTAAGTTGCTTTAAAGCATGTGGCTCTCAACTATTTTTTTCCCCAATGGATCAGACTTTGAAAAAGAACAAAAGGTTACTTATCCTGCCATAGCTATTTGACTGTGGTTCCCATTGAATTAATACTGTTTTTCAGGGATAAGCCAGTATGAAGAAAATGTGAGAGAAGTGTGTCAAGGGATAAATGAAATGGTGCATTCAATACCATTTAATTGAGCGGCTACAAAGGTGTTTAATTGTACCCGGAATATCTTTGTTTGCCATTAGCAAAGGGCCCTTGTTGAATGTGGAGGGTTCTGATTTCCAGGATGACTGAGGTGTTCTTTAAGTTTGGACAATGGGTTAGTTCAAAGCCAGAGAGTTTCCTTTCTAAACCATTTTCCCGAAGTTGTGTTTCATTTGTGCAGTTCCTTTGCTGACTGGAGAGTTCTGGGCACGGGTTTGATTGGACTGCTCCCCTTAGTGTTTTTCCCCCCCTTGTTGCTATTAGATTGTAATCAAATTAGGGATAACTTAAGGTTTCCATTGGAAAATTTTTGGTTGTTTTACATTTGAGTTTCTGTCCCTGTCAGGGAGTGTTCCTCAGTCCAACCTCAGACTAGATTAGGTGCTGTAATTCGAACAACCCAGTTAGAGCCCTGGTTTTCCTGCTTGTTTTTTCAGCTGAGGAAAGTTCCTTCCTGGTCCTAGGTGAGCTCGTACCAAGCCCCTTTTGTCTGGCATCCCATGAAAGTGGAATGACCCCTCATCTTACTCGGAAATTGTTGAAAATGGCTGAGGTGGCCAGGTGGACATGGAATAGTGTACTTACACTCCATAGGCGCATAATGCTGTTTTTATACTCAGTTTCGTGCCAGGATTTCACCCCCTCCAAGGGGATTTAGAAGTGACACCTCCGCTTGCTCCCTGCCATGCTGTTAACTCCTCTGAAGTTAGTGCTGATTCTATCTCTTGGACCTAGTAGTGTTTCTGATGAGTTTCTTTTTCATACTCTTATCACCTAGAAAGAAAAATCTCTCTTGGTCCTTTAAGGGTAGGAAGAAAGTCATCTTTGGGTTTTTTTTTTCTTTTGACTTTCTGCTTTATTGTTATGATAATGATAGGTCCCTCCTTGCTTTTATACCTGCTCTTGATTAATGTATATTATGTGCATGTGACTCCATCCTGGGATCATAAAAACTTGTTCTCTAGTTTTTTCTATTGAGGAACAAAGTTAGCCCTCAGTGCAGTTTTTGGTAAGTGTCAGTACTTGTTTAAGATGATTGTCTTACACTGGAGGCAAAAAAAATTCTCAGATTTCAGAAGATTTAATTATAGGACAAAATGTGGTGTCTATAATTCTTTTGTTAAGTGAAATTTATACAGAACAGAAATAACTCTGCAAAGCCTAAACTATCCAGTTGGCTTCTCAGAACTGCATTCAGTTCAGCTAACAATTATTGAGCACCCTATAAGGTATAAGTCACTGGGCTATACCTACTTAACTTGGTAATACAGAAAAAAATGCAGTGGGTTCAGAAAGGTAAAGATCCAATGAGGCAAAGTACAGGTTTTTTTAATTTTAAAAGATTATTTACTTATTTATTTTTAGAGAGGGAATGGAGGGAGAAAGAGAGAGAGAGAAACATCAATGTGTTGTTGCTAGGGGCCATGGCCTGCAACCCAGGCATGTGCCCTGACTGGGAATTGAACCTGTGATGCCTGGTTCGCAGCCCATACTCAATCCACTGAGCTACACCAGCCAGGGTGCAAAGTACAGTTTTAATATCTGATCAGTCACATACTTATTAAACAGTTGTAAGCACCCTAAAATTCCATTTACTCAGATTCTCTTCTATCCTTCAACCTAAAGTCTGGGCTGTATATGTACATGTGTGTGCAATGTGTGTGGTCTCTGTGTGTACGTGTGTACATATGTGTACAGACATAAGCAGGGACAAAGGCATGGAGAGATGAGACCTGGTGCACTTGATGGTGGTGACAAGACTGTGAGCCTTGGGTGCAGTGAGAAGTGGGTGTCCGGGCTTACAGTTATCCCAGTCCAGCAGGGTAAGGAGATCGGGGGACACGGAGAGTTGGTCCACGTGTGCAGGCCTACTAACCCTTGGCCTCAGAGCTGAGGACGAATGTCTGCTGAAGCGGAGGGGGTAGGAGGCGTGGGGAAGTGTGGCATTTGTGTGGGGCCCGCTCCTGCCAGGGGAGGAAGGGAAGGTCCACTCTGAGTGTTCAGATCTTTTCCTTGACTCCTGCCTGGTTAATAAGAGTCAAAGTCAGGACTAATCCATCCACTATGTGCCTGAATCTGTTCACTTTAAGTGAATCAGTAATAGTCTCTTGAGCTGAGTGCTTCTTTCTTTGTTCCATGAGGAAACTGCTCTGTGCCACACAACTCGGTAGCAGAGGCAGGATTTGGACCCAGGTCTCTCTGACCCTAATTGCAGCTCATTAATTCAGTGGCAATATATTCTCCATGATAAATACTCCTGTTAAATGTAAAGACTAAACTACCAGGGCTTTATGGGCCTTTTAAAACGTCTGTAGATGTTCTAGGGTCTGTCTTTAAACACTGGCTGACGTCGGTTTAGACTGCAGTCCTTCTGGGTGGGTTAGGGACGCTTCTCTTTGCTTATGGCTCCTCGTGTGGCACTGTGCAGCCCTGCAGGGACTTAATTCCTTTGTCAGTAAAAAGTAGTAAAAACTATTGTCTTTCATCAGCTAACTTGTGTTTTTAAAGGATAACTCCTATCAGCAAAATGTTTCCAAAATAGCCTGGATGAACACCTGAAATTTAGACCAAGTCCTAGAAGGTTTGTGAGATGGTGAACACACACACACATACCCGGAGTGACAGACTTCGAAGCTCTGATGTGTTCAAATTGTTCCCAAGGCTTCTTGTTTTATAACTGCTCTTGTCCTTTTTAAACAGCTGAACAGGAAGACACTCAGAAGAAAACCTTCACCTGCTGGATAAACTCACAGCTGGCAAAGGTGAGGAAAAAGAGAGCAAATTCAGCTATAAATTTAAAGTTACCTCTCCTACTCCCTCAGCTTGGGTGCCCAAATTGGCACTGGTGACATGTAAGTGTTGAAAGAATGTGCTTAGTGTCACCCTGGTCTTGTTTTTGTGTGTTTGTTATTCTCTCCTAAGACACACCGAGAGGTCCTTTTGCTAAGGATATGGGAGGCAGTGCTGTAACAATACTGAAAGCAGCAACAAATCTGTTATCAAATGAAATTATAATAATTATGATTCCTGTAAATTGAGTGTTACATGTTAGACACTGTCCTAAGTTATTCAAATGTGCAGATAGATGCTCCATGACTTATGGCAGCAATTTTCCACTGGCATGCCACCAGAATTTTTAAACATGCAATACCTGACTGTTTAGTCAGGGGCACTGACCTCTTTTCCCTTAGATTGTCACGTAAAACAACGACAGCAGCCAGCACAACAGTAGCTATCCAGCGTGAATGAATCAAAATTATACCTATTTTTTGTCAGAAAGACAAAAATATATATATATATATTTTTGGTGCACTGCAGCATTTTAATAATTAGTTTATGTGTACCATGAAAAGAAAAAGGTTGACGATTGCTGACTTATGGACTTCCATCCTATCAAACTCATCACAAGTTGAAACTGTCATGACAAAAATGCGTATAGTATACCTACCCTACCAAACATCATAGCCCAGCTTAGCTTACTCTAACTGTGCTCAGAACTATGCACTAGCCGACGGGTGGGCAGAGCCATCTACCGGGGAACACGCTGTGCAGGGTCAGGTGCGTGCCCTCGTGATCCCGTAGCTGACTGGGGGCTGTGGTCACTGCTGCTGCCCAGCATCGGGAGACAGTGTCATACCATGTATGGCTAGTCAGGAAAAGATCAAAATTGTAAATTTGACATGTGGTTTCTACTGAATGCATATTGCTCTTGCAGCATTGCGAAGTCAAAAAATTGTAACTCAAATCATCATATATTGGGGACTTCCTGTACTGACTACTCATTACATTTTAATGATTTCACAATGTTCCCATGAGATAGACAGTGTTATTCCTGTTTACAGAACAAGGAAAGCAACGTACAGAGAACTAAGGTCACCAAGCTTGTTAGTGATAGTGCTGGGATACAAATCCAGGCAGTCTGGACCCAGAGGCCTCGATTGTAATCACTGTGCTATTCTCTCTCTCAGTGATGCCAGGTGCCTGGAATAACCTAGATACAAAATGAATGAGCCTCTTCTCACGGGCCAGCCATCCCAACGCAGTGCTCGGAATTCTAAAAAGGGTAAATTCATAAATAGGCTACTCCAGAGATGTAATCTGCTTCCCAAATGGGTCACTATTGGCTGATTCTAAATGTCTTGAATTCAGCCGCTTCTACGCACAGGTCTTAGGCTCTCAGTGAAAGCTGCGAGAGTGTCGTGTTACTGGAAGTTTGCCACGAGATAAATTAAGTTCACTACTTATCATGTTTGGATATGTAACTTCATGTGTTCTCTATCATTCTGTTCATTAAGAAGAAAATCACTGCCGAGTATCAGCTTTTGCAAAGCTATAATGCACATTTATGAGCTTCTGACAGGTACTGTGTTTTCAGACCAGAGTTTGAGATTCTTTTTCTTGTGACCTTTTGCAGCACACTCCTCCCTCGGTTGTATCAGACCTGTTCACAGACATTAAAAAGGGGCACATCCTCCTGGACCTGCTGGAAGTACTCTCCGGGCAGGAATTGGTAAGCTCTTAAAATGACATTAAGAAACTTTTGGTTGACTTTAGAAAAATTGGTATTTCTGAGTAATCTATTTTGCTTGAATTTCATAGCCTCGAGATAAAGGATCTAATACATTCCAATGTAGACTCAATATAGAACATGCCCTGACATTCCTAAAAAGCCGATCGGTGAGTATGCATTTCACTTGGAAATTCATTGGAGAGATTAATACTGTGAAATATTTTCCCCTTTTAACCTGAAGTTTTTTCTTTTCTAGATCAAGCTAATAAATATTCATGTTACTGATATTATAGAGGGAAATCCATCCATTATTCTCGGCCTAATTTGGACAATTATATTACACTTTGATGTAAGTAGTTCGATGATATGAAAATCATTTCTGTTCTAATTTCCACAGTATGAAATAAGTGTAATACAGTAAGTGTGACTTGATGTCAGATTCACTCCTGAGCTTCTCCCAGAAATAGAACACTGGAAGTCTTGCTAAGTGGGACATACATAGCACCTCTTTTGCCACTTATGTTATTTTTCAATTGAAAATTGAAAGCTGAATTATAATATCCTGAATTATCCATGATACAGTCTGAATAGAACCTGTCATGGTAAATTTTTGCTTATTATTGTGTATCTACTTTGGCAAAAGGGAGAGTAAAAAGCTTCTGCAGTAAATCCTTGAAAATGAACCCACTAAAGTTTTAAAATCTCCCTGTTTTTGACAACCCTTGCTCAGACTAATAATTCTGCAACGTCCAGTTTTTTCTGTATGTGTATTTGTTTCTTAATAGTGTATATTCAAAGATGCATTTTAATTGACCCAATCTCTGCAGATACTCTAAATTAGAGCTCTGCTTAGTTCAGTTCAGTATGAATTGGCAGATGTTGACCATCAGTAAAACCTTCTGTAAGCGCTTTAGGGGCTGGGTAGCTGCTTGCCCTCAATATGGAACGTCATGCCTGATTGAGGGCAAAGAGTTGCCCAGCTCCATTGACAGAGAACCAGAGTATAGCCCCAGATGACAAATGCTGTTATCCACACATTTGGCTGTTTCTCATTTTACCATGAGTAAACTGTCGCTGTTATATGATACTTCTTACATCTTGTTTTGGCTGAAGGTTTTGCCTCAGTGCTGCTAACTTATGATCCTGTGTATGTTAACTGTCATTATGTCTTCCTTAGATTGCAGAACTTGCCCAGGCTCTTTCTTGCAATTACAATCAGTCTTCCCTGGATGATGTGAGTGTGGTAGAGTCATCTCCTACCTCAAGCCCTCCAGCTAAGAAATGGTCCAAAGCCCAAGAAAGGTGGCAAATGTCTGCAAAGAAGGCTCTTCTCGTATGGGCTCAGGAGCAGTGTGCCACGTAAGTGGTCTGCTAAGACCAAAGGAGGTACATGGGGCAGCTCTACCCACCAACACAGCGTTATTGATCTCTAGGTCTGAAATTCAGGCCAGTGCTCACTACCCCCTTCCTCTCATAGTGCATCTACCAATTATGGAAGTCTGTGAGCTCAGCCACCCTTGGTTTCACAGGCTAGAAGGTGGTATTGTTTGGGTAACTTACCTCTCTCCCATCTGCATGTGTATCTGGCCTCTTACTGTGTGCGGATAAAGTGGCCTTTCTGTATCCCTTCCTTTAGGCACAATTCCCTATGATCTGGAAGGTGGATTCAGGGTCCAAAAGTTTTACCATACTAAGAGCTCTTTAAAAGTCAAGACTGCGTCTTAATTGACTGTGTATTCTTAGAACTTAGTATAATGTGAGTTCATGGTGAGTGCTCCATAAATATGCATTGAGTGGATGAATGAACACATAAGTGAATAAGTAACCCATTTATAAGATTATCTCCTGGAGCTGAATATGACTACATTCAAAGACTACAGCTCCCTTGCTTAGTGACTCAGAGCTCAGTTAGGAAACAGACAAGAGCGCGCTTTTTAAAAAAATAGGGATGGTGAAGGGAAATTAGTGCTCATAATTTCTTTTTTACAAAGAAAAATGTTTTCTGCTCTTGGGAGACATGTACTTTTTTATTTTAACCAGCTACTGGGAGGGAGTTTAAGAAAAATAAAGAATTAGGATGCAGGAGAACTCACCACGAGAAGAGCTGGGGAGTTCAGAAGGCATTCCTTGCCACACCCTAGCATTGTCCGGATGAACAGAGGCGTGAAGATGTGGCTGAGCCTTTTCAAAAAATGCCAGGTTCCTGAGTAACTCCTTCCTAATGAAAGACAAAGAGGCTAATTTCTGCTTTCTGCTTTGCCTTTCTTTGTCATCGTTCTCTGTTGTGTGAGGGACCCAACCATATATTTCTTATAGGTTATAAATACTGAACCCAACTTTTTCTTGAATCTCCTGGAGACAAATTGAAATCAGTTTTCTAAAGTTTTAAAATCCAAAATACAGCATCTGGGAAAAACATGATTCTATCATGTTCAGATTTGCTTCATTTATGCATAAATAAGCTTTAAACCCTTTCAAAGTACACATACTTTACTGAAGTTTATCTTCTCCCCATGTTCTTCCTTATTTTAAAACTATAGAGTTTGTGCTACACTTGTTAAGATGTAGTAATTAATGTTTTAAGTAATTCATCAGGAGTTTATCCTCCCTTTTTTGGCCATCGTTGGTGTGTCATTAGCTACCTCTCACCTCAATGTTCTGTCATTCTCTAGGACTCAAATGTATGACTGTGTTGTAAGATACATGTTGTGGCTTATTTCTGAATGATTTGAGACTATCTATAATGAGCTAGAACCTCCCAGCCACCCTGGAGCATAACCCTGCCCTTTCTAAGGCCTGGTAGCAACACGTTCTTTAAGGCACTGGTTTCTGCTCCTCAGTGCAGAGCTGACCTCATAGCCAGGTGCTTTACTGAGTCCAGTCCCTGCCAGTCAGCACTGAGTTGGTTCTGGCCCCTCAGCACTCTGAAGGTGGTCTGGCCCTGCCTTGAGCCCCAGCCCCTGTCCCTTTAGCTGCCAATTTAGTTTAGTGTCTCAGTGCCCACTCTGAAGCCAGAACACCTGGGTTTGAGTCATGGCTCCCTGAACTTCTAACTGGTGACCTTAGACATTTTGTGTTTGAGTTTCCTCAGTCATCAAATGTGGACAATACTAAGTTACTTCGTAGGATTATTAAGTGTATTGTAATAATTTTTTAAAAAGCATTTGGAACAATTTCTGGACATAGTAGGTAACACACATGCATTTTTAAAACAAGCAAAACTCACTGGCTGTTATGTGGTTTATCGTGGTCATAATTTAGGCTTTGTTTCTTAAGGAAAACCCAGATCATCTGAAGCACACTGTTTCTTGAGTACCTTTTATGATTTGATATATACCTTAAATTATTCCATTGAATTTCCTTGTGGTTTTTTTTGTAGGATATTAAAGGAAATTTTGGTTGTTCTAGAACATTTTCCATACTTTGTAGGCAACTGTACTTTTTTATAATATCTTCATCCCTTGTCAAATATAGAATAATGATTCCCTTGTCAGATACAGATTCATGATTAATTGAATGATTTGAAATATATACATTAAGCATTAATATATGCCAGCTACTGTTTGTGGAGTGAGCCTATGGTGGCGGACAAGAAAGACAAGGCCCTTGCTCTCAAGGGTCTTGAACCCTAGTAGGGGAAGCAGATGCATAAGTATGATAATTGGCAATTAGCTTAGGAAAGACTTACGATGCTTGAGAGTGTCAAGCATAGGATGAGGGTCACCTTTATCTTAGGTGGGTATGGAGCACCCTTCTGAAGAGGAGCTTGCAGCTGAAGCTTACAGGAGAAGGCTACAGGTATATGAATGTCTGGGAGAAAGAGCATCCTAGCAGAAGAATTAAAAAGAGCATGGCTATAGGGATGTCAAGTACAGCATAGGAAATATAGTCAATAAGATGGTCATAACTATTTGTACAGGTGGGTACTAGGAATATCAGGGGAACGCTTTGTAAAGTATATGATTATCTAACCACTGTGCTGTACAATTGAAACTAATACAAATGATATTGAATGTAAACTATAATTGAAAAAAAAACATTTATCAGATGCTCTCCCTGCCAAAAAACCCCCCAAACCCAGCATGACTATTGAAAAGCAGGAGTGAAGCCAGTGTGGCTGTCACAGTGCAAGGGAGGGGTGATATAAAAGGGGAGAGGAAGGCAGGACAAAGTCCTGTGGGCTTTGTGGGCCAGAGTGAGAGATGTTATTTTAAATACAATGAAAAGCTACAATTTTCCCCCCAAAATTTGTTATTGTGGTAAAATATACATAAAAGATTTACCATTTTAAGTGTCTAGTTTAGTGGCAATAAGTACATTCACATTGTTTTACAGCCACGACTATTCTCTATGTCCAGACTTTTTTCATTTTGCTAAATTGAAACTGTGTATCTGCTAAACAACTTTCCCATTCCTCCTTCCCCTCAACCTCTGGCAACCTGCAATCTCCTTTTTTGATATATGAATTTTACTTTAAATGAGGAGAATTGTGAAGCATTTGTTCTTTTGTCACTGGCTTCTTTTACTCAGCATAATATCTTCAAAGTTTATTCATGTTATAGCATGTGTCAGAATTTCCTTTTTAGGGCTGAATAATATTCCACTGTGTGTATACACCTTATTTTGTTTAGCCATTCATCTGTGATGACCAGTTTTAAGCAAGGAGGTGGCATTGTTTTGGCCATAATGTATAATTTAATTTGTCTCAATGAGAAAGAAAATTGTTTACCCTAGTGAAGGGAACTTACCTCTATGTAGAGGTTTAAAGTCAGCCTTGAGCCAACAGATTGTTGAGTGAGGAGCATTAAACTTGAGTATCATTGTCACTTGGAGGACTTTGAAGGACACATTTTGGGCCCGCGTCCAGAGTCTGATTCAGTAGGTCTGGGTGGGGGCAGAGATTTGCATTTCTAGCGCTTGCGGCCTTCATGATGCTGATGCCACTGGTCCAGGGGCCACACTGTGAGAACCAATGTTCTGTAGGTTCATGGGCCTCATCAAACTTGGCATTCGACTTTAACTTGACCACAATGTTAAAATGAAATACTTTCCCAGAACGATTTATGATTTATTTGATTCACTTAAATTTTTTTAATTACTGTCAAAGAGAGTGGGGCGCTTTGATGTATTCTTTTAAATAGTATATATCGTGTTTTTATCCTTTTGTGATAGGTCGGAGGCTGTCAGTGTGACAGATTTTAAGTCAAGCTGGAGAAATGGGATGGCTTTCTTGGCTGTCATTCATGCCTTGCGACCGGACCTAATTGACATGAAGAATATGAAGCACAGATCCAACCAAGACAATCTGAGAGAGGCCTTCAAAATCGCAGAACAGGAATTAAAAATCCCCAAATTGCTGGAACCAGAAGGTAACAAAGCTTCTCTCTTTTTCAAACAATGTCTAGTATGAAATTGACAACATTAGTATCCATATATAAGGAAACATAACAGCATCATCTTTTAGTCCTGGAGGGTTTAACTTAAACACTATTAAATTTTTTTTTTTTAAAGATTTTATTTATTTATTTTTAGAGAGGGAAGGGAGGGAGGGAGGGAGATAGAGAGAGAGAGAGAGAGAGAGAGAGAGAGAGAGAGAGAGAGAGAGACATCAATGTGCGGTTGCTGGGGGTTATGGCCTGCAACCCAGGAATGTACCCTGGCTGGGAATTGAACCTGGGACACTTTGGTTCCCAGCCCGTGCTCAATCCACTGAGCTATGCCAGCCAGGTAAACACTATTAAATTTCATGAAATTAAGACTTTCTGATATCGGGGACTTCTGGCCAAGATGGAGGCACAAGTAGATACACTTTGCCTCCTTGCACAACCAAAAGAAGGAAAACAACAAATTCAAAAACAAAAAGCCACCAGAACTGCCAGAAAATCGAACTGTATGGCAGCCCGATAACCAAGGAATTGAAGAAACATTCACTCAGACTGGTAGGAGAGGCAGAGATGGGCAAGTGGGGGGCAGAGAGGACACGTGGCACGGTGGTGGCTGGCAGATTGGGAGGTCCCACATTTGCATGGATAAACTGGGAGGAATAATGGAGGAGTGAGACAGACGGTGCAACCCAGGGTTCCAGCACAGGAAAAGACAGCCTCAAAACCTCTGCCTGTAAAAACCTGTGGGCATTATGACAGTGGGAGAAACTCCCAGCTTCACAGGAGACTTATTTAGAGAGACCCACAGGGTCCTAGAATGTACACAAACCCCACATACCCAGGAATCAGCACCAGAAGGGCCCAATTTGCTTGTGGGTTATGGGGGAAGTGACTGAAAGCTGGCCAAGAGCTGGGCAATTGGCACTGTTCCTTCTCTGACCCCTCCCCCACATACAGCATCACAATGCAGAGACATGGGTTTCCCGCCCTGCCGAATACCTAAGGCTCCACCTCTTACAATGTAACAGGTGCACCAAGACAAAGAAATATGACCCAAATGAAAGAACAGATCAAAGCTCCCGAAAAACACCTAAGCGACAAAGAAATAGCTAACCTATCAGATACAGAGTTCAAAAACACTGGTAATCAGGATGCTTACAGGAATGGTTGAGTATGATCAAAAAATAGAAGAAAAAGTGAATACCATACAAAGTGAAAGGAAGAGAAATGTACAGGGAACCAGCAGTGAAGGGAAGGAAACCAGGACTCAACAGTCTGGAGCAGAAGGAAGAAATACACATTCAGCTGGAACAGAATGGAGAAACAAGAATTCAGAAAAATGAAGAGAGGCTTAGGAACCTCTGGGACAACTTTAAACATTCTAACATCTGAATCATAGGGGTGCCAGAATGAGAAGAGGAAGAACAAGAAATTGAAAACTTATTTGAAAATGTAATGGAGAATTTCCCTATTCTGGAAAATAAAATAGACTTCCATGAAGTCCAGGAAGCTCAGAGAGTCCCAAAGAAGTTGGACCCAAGGAAACACACATCAAGGCACATCATAATTACATTACCCGAGATTAAAGATAACAAAAGAATCTTAAAAGCAACCACAGAAGCCCTGGCTGGTGTGGCTCAGTGGATTGAGTGCTGGCCTGCCAACCAAAGAGTCACCGGTTTGATTCCTAGTCAGGGCACATGCCTGGGTTGCAGGCCAGGTCTCCAGTTGGGAGTGTGTGAGAGGCAACCACACATTAATGTTTCTCTCTTACATATTAATGTTTCTCTCTCTCTCTCTCTCTCTCTCCCTCCCTTCTGCTCTGTAAAAATAAATAAATAAAATCTTTAAAAAATGCAGCCAGTGAAAAGGAGACAGTCGCCTACGCAGGGGTTCCCATTAGGGGTTCCCATTAGACTATCAGCTGATTTCTTAAAGGAAACCTTGCAGGCAAGAAGGGGCTGGAAAGAAGTATTCAAAGTCATGAAGGCAAGGACCTACATCTAAGATTACTCCGTGCAGCAAAGCTATCATTTAGAATGGGAGGGCAGATAAGCTGCTTCCCAGATAAGGTCAGGTTAAAGGAGTTCATTATCACCAAGCCCTTATTATATGAAATGTTAAAGGGACTTATCTAAGAAAAAGAATATCAAAACAATGAACAGTAAAATGACAACCAACTCACAGCTATCAACTGAACCTCAAAACAAAAAAAAAACAAAAACGAACTAAGCAAACAGCTAGAACAGGAACAGAATCACAGAAATGGAGGTCACATGGAGGGTTATAAGTGGGAAGGGGGTGGGAAGGGAATGGGGGAAAAGGTGCAGGGAATAAGAAGCATAATTGGTAGGTACCATAATTATGGTAACCTCACCATAATTAAATAGGGTGAGGTTAAGAATGGTATAGGAAATAGAGAAGCCAAAGAACTTACATGTACAACCCATGGACATGAAGTAAGAATTCCTACTGGTTAGTTAACCTCAGGTCCTCTTGGCTTCCTCTCTTTCCACGCTGTACTATTCAGGGGCAAGTCTGTGCACCACCCACACTGAGGAGAGAGATCCCACCTTCCTTAAGGGCAGGTTGTCTACTTAAGTTATTTGAAATTCTTCTGCACAGGAGGGTTGTCTATTCTCCATTTCTTTATCCAACCATTTATTTATATCAATATGGACACGTGGATATTTTATACTTTGGCTGTATCCAATACCACTTTATTGTTCAAATTAAAAAAAAATTTAAGGTCAAAGCTTTGGCCATTTGGGAACTCTTTCAGTTGACTCCTATACTCCCTTGACACACCTCCTTTACTGTGGCATTTACTTGTTTGTTTTGGGGTACGTTCTCACTTCTTCCTTCGCACTATAAGTTTCTCCAGGGTCATCTTGTACATTTCCTACCCAGTCCCGGGATGGCCATTTCTCCAGTGAGCTCTGGTTCCTTTTATTAGAGAATTGTATTAGAAACCAAGATCTGGGTGCTAGAGGGGCTTATTGCAATAGGTACTTAGCGTTTTTAGACTCCATTTGTTTTCATGAGTTGAATTAGGTGATTGTAAGTTCACAGTGATTCTATATTTCTATATATCAGATTTGTCATTACTCTGGCCCCGTGTTGCTTGTTATTAATTCTTCTTATGTTAACTTTTTCTCATACCTCCTTGCTTTTTCTTTACTTCTCCTCCCCCCTTTTTTTGGTCTTTTCTTTTTTCTTTTGACTTTTCATTATCTACTTTTTTCTTAATTTTTGCCATGCTTTGTTCTATTCCCTATTTCTTATTACTGTTTTTAAAATGCTTCTTGCATATTTAAATTTTTTTATCGAATTTATTTGGGTGACATTAATAAAATTATATAGGTTTCAAGTGTACAATTCTAAAAACATCATCTGTATGTTGGATTGTGTGTTTACCACCCAAAATCAAGTATTTTGATTCTCCAAATCTTCATTATTAGTATAAAATATTTTGTCTATTTTAGTATGTGAAAATAACTAGGCAACTAATGAAATAGTTAATATGATAAAAGCAAATTTCCATTCTATGAAGGATTGCCAGTAATTCATTTTAAATAGTTTAAATAATAGATCAGAAATGTGAAATGGACCATGATTATTTATGCAAACCAAATACCAATATTTGAATAAGGGAATTATCTTTTGACATAACTTTGTTAAAAGCATTTAATCATTATGCATAGCTTCATGTAAAATGAGAAGGCTTTTAAAAGAATGTCTAGCTAAGTCAGTATCAATATTTTATGTATCTCTTGATATTTACAACTTTTTAAAAAGTTAACAGATAGAGTAACTCAACTCTTAGGGAACCTTCCTTTACTGAAGCCCCACCCCCAGCTTTTTATTAATACCTTTATGTGCCTACTACCTTGAATTTTACTATTTGGATATAAATTAGATTCACTTTCTCCTTCATCCAACTTAGAGTAGTCATTGGGTCCACGCATAGTATGTTGTATTTGTCGTTTGTTTCTCTCCTAACTGTAATCTTCCTGAGGGGAAATGTCTTAAGGCACCTAGCATCTACTCAAGTGTCTAGCACCTGCTTGATGAATGATGAAAGGGATGAAAGGTAAGGCTCCTGACTGCAAGGGCTAAGCCGTACAGTAATCCCTTCTCAAGACTTGCATTTGTTGGCTCTCTGTGAATATTTGTTGAATTGAGTTTAAGTGAATTAATACAGAAGATTTTCTTTTCAATAATCTTCACTGGTTGTTTTGGGAACATCCCAAGGGGCATCCCAAAATTATGTGTTTATTTTTTTCTGTGACATATTGCAATCCCTTCTTTGTGATTTAGTGATCTACCTAGTTTGTTATATATCTGGAGAAGTTCCACACTTAAGGAATTTATATTACTTTTAGAACCTTTGTTTAATTAGGCATTTTCCAAATTTATTTCACCATGGACTCCTAATACAACACAAAACTTGGCCCATAGAAGGCTCTCAGTGAATATCTGTGTTCCGTGAATGAATGAGTACAACCTTGTGGCCACCTTGAACAATATATACTTTTGGAAAAGCTTTGCTGAGTACATGCTGAGACCAGTGTGTCAGGAAAGAATTCCAGTTGCTTTATATTTCTACACTCTGGGAGAGTTTCTGCACTGTGTCTCTGAAAAGAGGAAGGCTTTATTTCCTCCTTCCCACCGTCCCTGGCTACTTGTGCTTTCATACTTACAACATACACAGTGTATGTTGAGACTGTGCATGTCCTATTGCCAGGATTCAGCTGAGATTGTGCATGTCCTATTGCCAGGATTCAGCTGGGCTCTGTTTGGCTCTAGATCTAGGCTCCTAGCCACTGCTGTCTTGGAGCAGGGGCGAGTGACCAGAGATTGCATGGCTGGTTGACTACTTTGGTTCATTTCGAGGCTGTCTTATGCACAGCTTGTTCTTGACTATTAATTACAATAAATCACATTTATAGTAAAGTGATAATATCGTATCTTGCAGATGTGGATGTTGTCAATCCTGATGAAAAGTCAATCATGACCTATGTGGCGCAGTTCCTACGGTATTCAAAGGATCCGCCTGGGACTGGAGGTGAAGCTCAGGTGTGTCTCAATAAGTCCAAATCAAGCTCATTTTTGTTGTACCCTACTAGTGATTTAATTTTAAGATTGAGGTAAAACTTGCATACAGAACTTAAATGTACAGTTTTATGTACTTTGACAAATGCATATGCCTACATAAACCATACTCCAGTCATGATGTAACACATTTCTGTTACAACTGTCCCATTGCGCCTCTTTCCTGTCTGCAGTGTCCCCCCAGGCAACCAGGTACTCCATCTTCTTTCACCACAGATTAGTTTTACCTGTTTTTTGTTTTTTTTTTTTTACAATTTTTTAATATACGTATTTTTTAAAAAAAGATTTCATTTATTTATTTATTTTTAGAGAGAGGGGAAGGGAGGGGGCGCGAGAGAGAAACATCGATGTGTGAGAGAAACATTGATCTGTTGCCTCTCTCACATAACACGATTGGGAACCAGATCTGCAACCCAGACATGTGCCCTGACCAGGAATCAAACCTGTGACCTTTCTGTTTACAGGACAAGACTCCACCAACTGAGGCATACTGGTCAGGGTTTTTAAAAATTTTTATAAGAGTTTATTTGAGCCAAACTGATGGCATATGTTATAGAATAAGATCTCAAATGCTCCTGCTTATACTTTTTTGTTTTTAAGTTAAAAGTGCTAATTTATGAAATTTAGCTGAATTACCTAAAACAGTGTTAGATAGGCAACATAGGACAAACTAAGCAGGTTTTTAAAAAATCCAGTGTTATCAAATTTTTTGTCTTTTGTAATTTTAACAGCTTTATTGAGGTACAATTTACATACCATAAAGTGAAACGGTGTAAAATTTACAATTCAATGATTTTTAGTGCATTTACAACGTTGTGCAGTAATCACCATAATCTAATTTTACTCCATTTTTATTTTACCTGTTTTTTATTTTCATATAAATGGAATCATATAATTCATGTAAATGGAAGCAGTGCATTCTACTCTTAATCCTTGTTTGTTGAGACACTCTTGAATTACCATCAGACTGCAACTTGATTATTCAGTTGTTTCCTTTGACTTTTTACACAAAACGTTGTGGGTAGACATTTCATAAAAATCACTGAGCTGAAAGTATGCACTTATTCTGCATCTATGAAGATAAATGAGTGCTGTGAGTTTAGTAAATGTTTTAGAATATTATTTTATGATTAAACTACTTTCTCAGACATGTTTACTTAATTTATTTTACATATTTAGTCATATTACTTAATTTTATTTTACAAATTTAGGCCTCTGTTTTTCTAGCTGTTGTGTTGAGGCACCAAGCCGGGTTGTTGCTGACTCTGGAAGTGAGACTCGGGCTTATTATTCAGTTCACTTCTGACCTGCTGAGAAGCTACCCATTTCTAATTAATTTTCATATTAAAAAATAGAATTAAAAATTCAACCATTCATGAAATCAGATGCGAAAAATATATAGAAAACATTCTTACTAGAAAAAAAAAAGCAACACAAATGAAAGTTCAAAGAAAATGGAAATAAGAGAGAACTTCTTTTGTCTTATCCTTCTTACAGTAAAATTAGACAAGTTAATCACCTAAGCAAGAATCTAAGGAAAAAACAATTGTTTCTCACTTCCATAGGATAGTACAACCAAAGCTGTTAGTAGTGTTGTTTTAGGATCTTTAAAACATCCAAGGCATTTTTGATGTCGTTGTGTTTGCTGGAGGTGGCCATCTCTTGAATTAACCCATATTTAGATCTATTATGTAGACCCACAAAAAATACTTTCTCCCACCTTCTGAATTCCCTGGCTGGGCTAATACTCAAATAACATGGGACAGATTAACAGGAGAAAATGGTCTAAATTGATTACTGATACACAGTAATCAATACACATGCGGGGGCACCATCAGACTATGAGACTCAAAGCCACATTGGGTAGTTGAGGTTTACTTCCCATTCTGGACAAAGGAGAAGGAGGCAGAGGTCTGGGATTTTTAAAGGGAAGGCTGGCAAGGCCATTTATGGGTAGATGTGAAGGAACAAATATGTGGTAAACAATTTCCTGCAGGGCCACCCAGAAACAATGGGATACAGAGAGGAGTCTAACAAACTGGCTCTGCTAGATTTTTCTATCTGCCACATTTACTTTATATTAGATACTAAAGTGATGCTTCCTTCCTGTCAGCATGTTTTTTTCTCTCTGAATTCCTTAGACAAAGGTTCTGAGTCTTGTTTCTTAATAACCAGCTTAACATTTGGGTTGGCAAAACTTTGGTTCCCCTCAATTGGACAGCAGTATTCTGAAATGACTACTATAAACAAGTAACTTAGAATAATGTTCCCTAAAACTGAAGAATAATGGAAATGGATAGGAGGCTTCCCCCTCCCCCCTCCCACCCTGCACCAATGGAGGTTGCTTGTCCTTTTTTTTTTTTTTTAGCATATTATCTTCAGATGCTAGTTTCAATTTGTTTTAACATTTAAGGTGTTATGTTAACAAGCAGAATTCCTCTTTGGCACAGTGAGTCACTGGTGTGTAATGATTGCATTATTTCACTTATATTTGAAGTTGTTAATTTTATTCTTAAAGAAAATCCCAAGTCTATTTAGGATAGAGGTTTAAATGTGTGTGTGTGTGTGTGTGTGTGTGTGAATTTCAGGGAAAGATGAAAGACACTATGGTCTGGTTAGCACTCCAAGAGAAGAGTCTACAGAAGATGCTAAAGGATTCAGAAAATGAGACCTACTGTAAAAAGTATGAAGTAAGTGTGACTCTTGTTTTTTTAAAATATGTTAACTTATTTAATTCTCTTCAGGAGGTACGGCTATTATTAATGCCGAGTATGACTTTAAATGGCACTTTATTTATAGTTTACTCTTTCAGAAAAGTAGGATTTTTTGTTTTTAGAAAAAAGCTTTTCAGAATAAATTATTTAAATACTAAGTTAACAAGTTTTAAGGCTGAATTCTAAGACTTCCAGATTTTAATGTGCATATGAATTACCTGGAGAATCTTGTTAAAATTCAGATTCAAATTCAGTAGTTCTGGGGTGGGGCCTGAGATTCTGCATTTCTGACCAGCCTCCAAGTCGTGTCCATGCTGCTGTGTCTAAGAGAACCTTGGATAGCATGGAGTTAGAGTGAAGACTGGCAAACTGTGGTCTGTGGGCCGCACCACCTGATTTTGTAAATACAGTGTTACTGGAATATTGTCATGCTGGTTAAAGTACTGTCTGTGGCTGCTTTTTACACTACAAAGCAGAGGTGAATGGTTGCTACCTAGACCATCTGTCCACAAAGCTCAAGATTTTACTATTTTGCTTTTACAGTAAAACTTTTCCAATCCCTGGTCTAGAGCAGAACATGCTTTTTAGAATGAATATAGAATGAAATAAAAATCAGGAAATTGGGAATGGGGCCAATTCCAGCATTACAGAACAGGGCCTCAACCAACAAATCACCACCTTTGAACATTTGCAAAGCACTGGGCACCTTAGTGACCAGCATTTTACGTTTTACATCTTCCTGAATATGGTATTATTTTTCCAGTTTTACAGAAGTAGAAAACGTTATTTAGAGGAACTAAGTGATGATTTATGTCAGGTTACTTAGCTACTGAAAGGCAGGGGTGGGATTTGAATAGAAGTGTAACTTTAAAACTTGAGCTCTGTTTGCATCCTGATGCTTCTCCAGGGTAAGCAGTTATTCCCTGTACCATCTTGAAAGAGACTAACAGGAGCCCAGGTGAAAGTTCCATAGTCCTGTTTCTTAGAACCGCCCGTCCATGTGACTCTGTGCCCCCCAATTTTCCACCCTGAATAAGGTGGAGACGCTCTCTTGTCCATACACAGCCACTAGCACCTTGAGGCCTCCACTTCCCTATCTGTCAAGTGAGGAAGTTGGGTGAATCCAGCCTTTCCACCACTAGTATTCAGTGGATTGAGTAATTTGCAGGCCACACCATCCTTTTTGCTTGGCACCATCAGGAAAGAAGGGATAGATGTTCTTATTTTCCTTTCATCTGAACTGCATAGGCTTCTTTTGCTTCTTTCCTCTTGGCTCTAGCCTGATAAGACAGAGCAATATTCATTGAAGCACCTTGCTCTCACATATGTTTTTTATTTAGTAATGTACCACAGATTCAGGTTTCTTAACTAAATATCTTTATGAAGTTAATAATTATCAGAAAGAATTCAGTTTGCTAATAAAATTTATTTTAAAATGTCGCCAATAATAAAGGATAAGTTTTATGTAATTGACTACTCTTACACACTGGTATTTCATACAAATACGAATCAGGAAAAGTTTATTAAAATTTTGAGGGCAGAGACAGAGTTTTCTCAAAATGACTTGAGAAGAATTAACTCAAGCTTAGTTTATCACAGACAGCTCAGAAACCGTTTATACGTAATGACTGTTGTCATATAACATTCACTTTCATTCATTGGTATTTTGTTTTGAACATGTATTTGGGCAAACAAACTCATATTTTTCATGTGGCATCGTGGCTTGTCCTCTGGACCTGAGTGTCCCTGCCTGTCCATTCTAGTAGAAATCTAACAGTGCAGACATGAGGCACAGCCTGTGACCTTTGTCACTACGATGGCACCCGAACTATCAGGGCTCACTGAAGAAACTGGATCAGTGACAGGATCCCGAATTGAGGGAATTTTATCTTTAAGTAAAAATTTAAATAGAAGCTATAGCTCTGGACCTTACAATTGCAGATTGCATTTTGTAAACTGATTTAAACATTTCAGTCCTTAAAATATTCTTCTAATTATAGAGCCTGCTGTCCTTTTTGGAGTCATTCAGTGAAGGAAAAAAGCCCTTTTTGGACATCCTATCGATGAAGGGGAATCTGGATGAGCTGAATGGAGATCAGTTGCAGTTGAGAGAAGCCTGGGATGGCCTCCACTACCAGGTGACTGTGTTATGTGGAGTAGAAGATCATGTTCATGGGGCAACTTGGTTCATTGGAAGGGAATTTCAGAATTCCATATTCTGTTAAAAACAGAGTAGATGCTTCAGCAGAAAGTTGGGAGAATGCTCTTATAATCTTTCCATGGTCTCATTTGATAGTAGTTGATATTTAAATAGGAATTTATAGCATTCTACTTAGAAAAATTGCATGCTTATCTAAAGTTTTTATATTTATCATCAGTTCTTGGTTTGCCATAGTAGATTATCCGTATTCTGACTGACCTGCAGCTTCCTCTCTGCCATGGACCAACTATCAATAGATGTTCTTAGCGGATTGGGATAAACCCAGAGAGAATGTATAAGGATGAATGTGTGCATGTGTTTGTGATTTCAGTCATTTTAAATTTATTGAGACTTGTGTTATGGCCCAGGATATGATGTCTTTTGGTGCACATATTATCTGCATTTGAAAAGAGCATGAATGCATTTTGCAAGTTATTGAGTATAGTGTTCCATAAATATCAATTAAGACAGTGATAGTGTTCAGATCATCTCTGTCTTCACTGACATCTTGTCCATTTATATTCATTGTAGAATCCTTTAATTTTGTTAAATTTTGCCTCATGTATTTTATACTTTGTTATTAGGTATGTACATTTATGATAGTTCTATTTTCCTGATGATTTGATACCATTATGAAATATTCCTATATATCTCTGGCATGTTGTTTTTCTTGATGTCTACTTAATCTAATATCAATACAGTCATTTCAGTCTTCTAATGCTGATGTTTGTATGGCACACATTTTTCTTCATTTACTTTCAAGTAAGTTGAAAATATCTTAAAAATGCATTTCTTATAGGCAACATATAGTTGGATCTTGCTTCCTATTCACTCTGACAATTTCTTTACTTTTTTTTCATTTTGAAAAATTTTTTATTGTGTTTTTTTCCATTACCATTTAGTCCCCTTATGCCCTTCTTCCCCTGCAATCACTATACTTTTGTCGATGTCCACGAGTCCTTTTTCCTTTTTGCTCAATCCCTCCACCCCCTATTTTCCCCAGCCCCATTAGCTGTCATCCTGCTCTCTATCTATGAGTCTGTCTCTATTTTGCTTGTTAGTTTAGTTTGTTAGTTAGATTCCACACATGAGTGAAATTATATGGTATTTGTCTTTTTCTGACTGGCTTATTTTACTTAGCATAACGTTCTTCAGGCCCATCCCTACTGTTGCAAAGGGTGAAGCTTTATTTTTTACAGGCAAGTAGTATTCCATTGTGTAAATGTCCACAGTTGTTTTATCCACTCATCTACTGATGGACACTTCATCTGATCCCATATCTTGGCGACTGTAAATAATGCTGCAATGAACATAGGGGTGCTTATGTTCTTTTGAATTAGTGTTTGGGTTCCTTCAGATATATTCCCAGAAGTGGGATCACTAGGCAGTTCTATTTTTAATTTTTTGAGGTATCTCCATATTACTTTCCACAGTGGTTGCACCTATATGCATTCCTACCTGCAGTGCAAAAGGGTTCCCCTTTCTCCGCATCCTTGCCAGTACTTGTTGTTTGTTGATTTATTGATGATAGCCATTCTGACAGGAGTAAGATGATATCTCATTGTAGTGTTAATTTGCATCTCTCTGATGATTAGTGATGTTGAGCATCTTTTCATATGTCTATTGGCCAAGTGTATGTCCTCCTTAGAGAAGTGTCTATTCAGGTCTTTCACCCATTTTTTAATTGGGTGGGTTTTTTTTGGTGTTGAGTTTGCTAAGTTCTTTATAAATTTTGGATATTAACCCCTTATCAGATGTATTGGTGAATATATTTGCTCATTCTGTGGGTTGTCTTTTCATTTTGTTGATATTTTCCTTTGCCGTGCAAAAACTTTCTAGTTTGATGTAGACCCATTTGTTTATTTTTTCTTTTGTTTCCCTTGCCTGGGTAGATATACCTGATAAAATATTGTTATAAGCAATGTCCACGATTTTGCTGCCTATGTTTTCTTCTTTGATTTTTTAGAACTGATAAATTAATTCAGCAAAGTGAGAGTGATTAATTCACTTTGATTAATTCAGCAAAGTGATATACAAAATTAATATCCCAAAATCAGTTGCATTTTTTATGCTAATAACTAACAGAAAGGGAAATTAAGAAAAAATATCCCATTCACAATTGTTGTCAAAAAGAATAAAATGCCCAGGAATAAACCTAACCACAGATGTATAAGACCTGCACTTGGAAAATTATAAGACAATGAAGAGAAAGATAGAAGAAGACACAAATATGTGGAAGCATGTACTGTGTTCATGGATAGGAAGAATTAACATAATTAAAACACACATACTACCCAAAGCAATCTATAGATTCAACTGAATTCCTACCACAATTCCAATGACATATTTCACAGAACTGGAACAAATATTTAAAAAATTTACATGGAACCATGAAAGGTACTGCATAGCAAAAGTGATCCTGAGAAAGAAGAAAAAAGTTGGAGGAATCATGTTACCTAATGTGAAACTATAAGGCCGCCGTAGTCAAAACAGCATGGTACTGGCGTAAAAACAGACACAGATCAATGGAAGAGAATAGAGAGCCCAGAAATAAACCCACAGCTTTATAGTTAACTAATATTTGACAGGGGAAGCAAGCACATACAATGGGCTAATGATAATTTATTCAATAAGTGGTGTTGGGAAAATTGAACAGACATGTGCAGAAAAATGAAACTACACCACCTTCCTATACTACACACAAGAATAAATACTAAATACAAGATGAAATTAAAGACTTACATAAATGTTAGACAATCTCTACCTTTTTATTGCAGTGCTTCATTGGTCAATAATTATTGTAATTATCAGTATAGCTAAATTTAGGTTACCATTTTACTCTTTTTATTTATTCCCATTTTTTTATATCTATTCTTTTTCTTTCTGCCTCATTTTAGATTGTTAGTATTTTTAGAATTCCATTTGAATTTATCTATTAGCTTTTTAGCTCTATGTCTTTCTGTCATATTTTTAGTAGGATTACAATATACACTCAAATTTTTAGTCTACTTAGAGTTATACAACTTCTAAGTTATTGTATAACTTCTAATAACATAGAAATTTGCAATTAAATTGTTTCATTTATCCCTCATTTTATGATAGAGTTGCTTTATATATAAATAAATGTATGATACAAATGTGTTTTAAAGTCCCCAGGCCCATGTTATGTATTTTTGCTCAAAACAGTCACATATTAAAGAAATTAAGAGAAAACATTAGCCTTCTATATTTATCCAGATATTTGCCATTTGTTATATTTTTCATTTCTTTGTAGAGATTAGAGTTTTTCCATCTGAACTTATTTTCCTCCAGCCTGAAAAACCTCCTATAGTTTAATTTTCTTTGATGTTTACATATTTTTATTTCACCTTCATTTTTTGGGACATCTTTATTGTGGTATAGTTTGCATACCATAGAACTCACTGATTTTAAATGGATAACAAAATGGTTTTTAGTGAATTCACCGAGTTGTAACACAGATTGCATGATCTGCAAGTCAGATATGCTCTCTGGGCCTGGAGAAGTTTGCCGATCCCTGCTCCAGTCTCTTGGCCATCAGCAGCAACAGCCTGTTTTAGAATACATTTTTCACACCATTTTTGAAAAGTGTTAAGTAGTATCCTAGTGGCTTTAAAAAGCCGCCCTGTCAGAGCATCTAACTTTGGCAAAGTGGTGCAGCTCCAGAAATCCTCGCGTCAGTGGCTGTCCTTCCGCCTGGGGCTGCGCTCTCTGATTGCAGCTTTGACAGCGCCCCTGTGAAGGACAGGAGCTCTCTGTTGTGAATCCTCCACAAATGGCAGGAGAGCAGGAGATACTGTCTCTAAAATTCAGGGTGTCCCAGGCCACAGAGACCTGGCCTGATTTTCGGAATATGATTTGGAAAAATTACCTCACATAATGAGAAAAATGATAAAAAGAATTTTGCAAGATAAGTGCTGCAAATTGAGAGTAACTTGAAAATCCATTCCTTAGGTAGAATGCAGCTCATTTTCTTGGTGTGGGAAAATGAATATTAATTTTAAAGTTGTGGGATATAGCAAAGAAAATACCATCTAGATAGTTTCTGGTGCAATTGTTTGAGAACACAGATATCTGAAAGCATTCTAGTAAATGGTTTCATTTTAAGCCTGCTGTAAATAATAGCTACATTATGTTATTTTGACCTGACAAGATCTTACTTAAATTTTCAGCCAAATTCAGAAGTAATTTCCAACAGTGAGAAAGGAAGTGTGGAACCATGTTCTCTATGTTAAGTGAGAAAGGAGAGGGTTGAAAGGTAAACATTGCCTTTTATCTTTCCTCTTCTGACTGCTCCGGAGAGGACAGTCGGGACAGTTGTGAGGCAGAAAGCACAGCTGTGGTTACATTCCAAATACATGCAGCTTTCTTTTAGTTGTGGAAAGAGTAACAGTTGAATTAGAGATATTATTTGTAGCCTGTCCTTACCTCAATCAATCACTTGTCAATTTTGTAGTTTATTTTTTGGCAATTGCACAAATAATTCAGATATGATAAAAGTGCATGTAACTTGTTTATATTAAAAACTTGTAATAATGAAAACTTGATTGTTTTTCTAATGAGGCTTAGTGGTATATCATTAATGATTTAAGGTTATAGAGTGGTCTTTTGCCGTATGCCTTTTGAGAAAATAAACTTGCAAGACAATTAAAGCCAAAGTGCTACATAGTATTATTTATATGTGGAATCTTAAAATAAATGTCAAACTCTGAAACAGGGTAGAAAAGTGATTGCTGGAGACTAGAGGGAGGGGAAACTATTTCAGGGAGAGGTTGGTAAAGGGTATAAACTTTCAGCTAAAAGATGAATAAGTTTTGAGGGTCTAACATAAAACATGGTGACTGTAGTTGATAACACTGTATTATAAGATTGAAATTTGCTAAGAGAGTAGAACTTAAGTGTTCTCACTGAAAAAAAAGATAAATATGTGAGGTGATGTGTGTAACATCTATCAGTTGCCTCCCATATGCTCCCCAGCTGGGGATTGAACCTACAACCCAAGTATATGCCTGCCTGGGATTCGAACCCATAGCCCTTTGGTGCATGGGACGATGCTCCAACCAATTGAGCCACCAGCCAGGACTGTAAGTTTTATTTATATAGTTGATCCTCAGATGTAAAAGATTGCATTAAATATACTCTCCCCTTCATGGTACATGGGTCTGTGCCCAGCCCAACTCTTATTTTTAGTCACTTGTTTAATTGTGTGTTTATTTCCTTTTATATTCCTAGCCTCCTTTCTTTCCCCTTTCTCCTTAGGTCATCACTGTGATGTGCTTAATGTTTATCTTTTTATTTTATGTTTTTGCAAAGTAAGTGTTATATTTATGTATCCACACATTTATAAGCTGTGTAAATTGATGTTATATTTACTCTGTTTCTAACTTTCATTTTTGAACACATATATTTAGGGTGCCTCCATGTTGCCCTGTTTGTAAACCTAATTTGCGTCCAGGTGCTGCAGGTGTTCTGTGGTATACCTTCACCCCATGTCCCCTGTCCACTTCAGAAGCCTTCTATATCTTTATCCCCAGTGTTCAGCACAATAGGTTGTTATAACTTTGCTCAGTGAATGAATGAACCAATGAGTGAATGTGTGAGTGAGCGAGGGAGGGAGTTTTGACAGTGTTTAGTGGGAGGGGTGGAAATCCAGGTAGAAGGGGCAGCAAGAGTGAGACCTGGAAGGGCAGTCAGGGTTTGAGGAAATATGTAGATGGCATTCGTGTGACGTGGGTGCCTGTAGGGAGAGATGGGAAGGCTGAGGAAGAAGGCTGTCTGCATTGTGGGGGTTTCAGTGAAGGACAGATATTTGGGAGATATGTAGGGATATCTAATGTGCATATATGATGAGGGCAGGTAAGGAAAATAATCTGTGAATCTGTTTGAGAGCTGTAGCTGTAATGTCAGAGAACACAAGGACAGTCAACATTGGAATCTCTGGTCATTCAATACAGCCATCTACCCCTGTTTTGAGGAGTGCCTTAAATCTTTCTAATTTCCCTCTCCTAACCGGTTATGGATTTATTGAAACACTGGTGTTTATCCTTGTGCCCTCTTTTCTTACAGCTTTTAAACAAATTGTCTTCTTTATCAGCAGATTGCCAAATTTTATTTATCTATTTATTAAAGATTTTATTTTTTATTTTTACAGAGGGGAAGGCAGTGCGGGGGGGGGGGGGGAGAGAGAGAGAGAAACACAATGTGCAGTTGCCTCTCACACACTCCCAGCTGGGGACCTGGCCTGCAACCCAGGCATGTGCCCTGACTGGGAATTGAACTGGTGACTCTTTGGTTGGCAGGCCAGTGCCCAATCCACTGAACCACACCAGCCAGGGAGCCAAATGATATTTAGAACTAAGATGTTTTCTCATTGATAAAGATTTTCTTGACTAATGGATTAGAGAAACTTTAAAGAATTAAACATAATATGTGTGAGGAAATAAACCAGGAGAACGTCTACTAAAGATCATGTTCCCCTCCTCCTTTTTTTTTTTTTTTTTTCAGATTAATGAGTGGAAAACAAAGCTGAATCATGACTTGCCGTCTCCCCTCCACCAAATTGAAGTGTGGCTCCAGGAGGCTGAGGGCCTTATAGATGAAGACTTGCCAACTTCCCAGGATTACTGTGAAGCCATGGCTCTAACACAAGAGAAAATGGCTTTGTTCAAGGTTGGAAAAGAAAAAAGAAGCATTGAGAATTCTGTACTTTGTTAGGGCTGCTCTTGAAAAAGACTTTGGCCTGGCAAAAGGGAAAGAAGTATAGTGGGTATTTTTGGGTAGTTTAGAATGATTCCCCTGGGGATACATGGGACCTGGAAGATCCCTTCACATTCTTTATGAGCACTGTGGTAGGTTAAGCTGGAAACAATAAGATTAGAGTCCAGTGAGTTCAAAAGCTACTGAAAGTCTGACAAAAAAGGGTGGGGGGGGGAAGCTTGGTTTAATATGTCGAGGATTGGATCTCACTAAGGTGGCATGAAGAATTTGGTATATAAGATTTCTAGCATTTGAGCTCACGAAGGAATGGAAAAATACATCTGAAAACAAAAGATTTTTAACAATGCTTTTGCCAAAGAAACTGCAGTCTGCCTCTTTGTGAAACTGTTTTTTATTAAAACACTTAAAATGGAAATATTTATTTACAAAATCTTAGTTAAAAAACACTTATGATTTCTTAAAAAGATGCAATACATGCACAGAACAAATGAATTAAACCCTAAATTACAAGGTTTGGCAGCAGATCTAGTTCATAGCATGTTAAATTTCTTTTCAGAGTCTCATGGATCAAGTTGACTGTCACTCAAACAGTCTCCTGGCATTTGAAAATAGAGATGAAAAACAGTTGCCATTGGTACCACCTTACAAATTGGAGGAAATGAAAAGACGGTTAGTAACTTTCCAACTGCTGATTCCATTTATGTCTGAGCACTAGGGACTAGAAACCAAACTTTCAGATAACTTCTAATAAGTGTACTTTAAGTCTTGTTACCAGTACCTTTCTGTTTTATGTAATAGTAACATAATAGCATGCTAACATCCTTTCTCGTTTTATTGGATAGTAGGATGTGGTGGTAGAAAAAGTTCAGGACTTACAGTCAGAAACTGCGCTCCGTATCTTGGTGTTGGCCAAGTTGGTCTGCCTGTCTGAGCGTGTTTCCTCCTTTGTAAATACAGGATAATGGTGGTCACCCTGTGCGTGTCTCGCAGGCTCCTGGCTGACATGGGAGGAGGTGCGCAGAAGCACTTCATAAACTCTAATACTGCAAATATAAAGATTATTTAATTGATGGTTGTCCACGTCATCCTTTCTTTTCTCATTATTTATGAGCAACTTATTAGAATGCTAATAAGAGAGTGTTTGCCTTAATACTGAAAGCTGATTTTCATATTTAAATGTTGACATTATAGTTGCATTAAGTTATACAGAAGCTTTCAAATTTAGTAAAGTATTTTGGAGATTAAATTTTTTATGGGATTTTTCAATAGGGTTATAATTTCTTCAGAAAATGTTCTGTTAGATGTGTTTACCTTAGAAATAGTCGTTATATATCTAGCCACAATGTTTGTTCTACTTTGTTTTAAAAAGGTTTGAGGATACACCTGAATACCATGTGTTTAAAAGAAAGAGTTAGAGTCCCAATATTTTTTTTTAATGCCACGCGTCTCATGTTTGGCTCATAATGTTAATTTAAATTCTAAAACTTGCTCTACTTTCCAGAATCAGCAATATTTCGGGGAAAAAATTCATTCCACTTCTAGAATTTCATTACTATAAGTGCTCAGTTCTCGGTTTGCTAGATGAAGCGAAATCAAAATTGAATGTTTGGAACATTAGATATGGGAGCAAAGACTCCGTGGAGTTGCTGCTGGAAGACTGGCATGTAAGCTTCTTACTTCATGTCTCAGAAAACTGTTCCCCACGTCTGGGTGCTGGGTTTGTTTGCATTTTCCCTGGCACAATTTCCCTTTACCTTTCCAGTTTTCAGATGGGTGGTTTTGGTAGTTTCCATTAGCTTAAATGTTGTCTGGAGGAAAGAATTATAGGTAGTGAAATAACAGACATCCAGGGAAAGTAAGAGAGAGGGTATTATTTACTACAACAGGGGAGATGTAGTTAACCAGGCTATTTAACGAAATACAGAAAGTTTCAATGTTATTTTCATTAAAAATTTCTGTTTCCACTTACTGGACATCTTGTTTAATGTTTTTTCTCACTCAGATGAATGGTTTTATTCAAAACTTAAGTTTTTTCTTAAAACATTTTAATCTTACTTTTTCAGTTGTAAGGGTGGGAAAAAACAGTACATTTTGTGTTGAGGCTTTTTTTAGGGAGCCGGCTTAGCTCTTGAAATTTATCATGTTGCAAATGATGTAAATAGGTGTGTCCACTAGTAAATTAAAACTAAGGCATCCTAGGAATGTCATTTCTACAGTTAGGCCTTATCCTACTTGCTGTTTCCTTCTTTTTGGAATGATGGGCAAACAGAAAAATCCAATATTGCACATTTCATTGCAAAAATTGAAAAACATGAAGAGTGATTTATTTATAATTTATGATTTAAACACTCCCAAATAGAAAGCATCATTCTAAATTAGACTAGACTTTGAATATTTTTATTCCATGTTCTTTCTTTGATTATTTATTTTTCCACTTAAATAATCGTATGATCAGAACATATTAAGGGTACAATAAATATAAGTTGCTAATTAACTCTATTTTTCTATAGCATAATTTGCTATGGATACATGATAATTTGTTAATGGTAATTCCTCAAATGATTTTGTAAGATAGATATTATCTATTTATAATATACTTTAATATAGCAAATAAAAATCATTTAATATTAAAAATATATGAAGTAGGAGAAACTGATACAAATTATACAGTATTGGTAAATATGTCAGATAGAAGATTTTGAAATTGCTGTGAACACCTAACATGCCTTTTCCCACCAGAGGAAAACCGTTACACAATTCTATCACTACACTGAGATCAACTTTTCAGGTTTCATACCCTTCTAATGTTCATACTCATACTTTCTTCTCCTAGACCATAACCGCCTTTCCTCACAGAGAGCCCTTTTTTTCCTGCTCAGATATGTACCATTAAAACCTACAGAAATGTTGGTGCCTAAGTGTTTCATCAGGGTTTATATGTCTATATCTGGACTTCTAGGCACATTTTAAATAGTAAACACTGTCAATATGTTTTCCCCCCCAGAAATTTATTGAAGAAAAAGAGTTCCTAGCTCAACTTGAAACTTCCTTCCAAAAATGTGAAGAAATTCATAAGAATTTAGGTAAAGCTATATAGTTACTTTTTGATGGAATGGTCACTTAAAAATAGCATTTTATCTCTTCTACTTTCTTTGTACCTTAATACTGTACGTGTGCATTTTTCTTGGAAAATTCTCACATTAACTTTTAATGTCAGAATATGTAGTCATTTTGCCACTGTTCATATGCAACTATTTTAACAATATTTTATTAATAAAAATCTGTTTTCTAAGATTACTTTCTTGTTTTGTTAACACTATAGGTGGAGAATATCAGAATATTCACGAACAATATATGATGATGGAACAAGATATTTTTGTGTGTAGGGAAAGTATATGTAATGCGAAGTCAACTCTGCAAAATGTTGTGGCATGTTGGACTACTTACATGGAAAAGCTTCGCTTCCTAAAGGCTTGTTTTGAGGAGATGAAGAAGGAACAGATCAAAGCGGTATTTGCAGCCTAGTGGCATCTGCTCAATTGTACTGTTTTGTTTTGTGACCCTCGTTTTCAGTTCCAAATTTAGATGCTAGGGAAGAGTAACCATGACTGTTGGAAAATTCTCCAAGCTTTGGAAAGAGTTTAGTTTCTTTCTAATGTAACTTCCACAGGAAGTTTTCTCTTCATTATAGGTGTTACACACACACACACACACACACACACACACACACACACACAGCTTAATTGAGGTATAATTTATATACACAGTATAGCTGTGCATAATTTATATACACAGTACATATATTGCTGCATTTTTTTGGAATGGAAATGAAAGACTTGAAGTACCGAATAGCATATAGACACATTTAAAATAAATTGATGTTTTAAAAAGTTTAATTTTTCTATTCAATACTTTGGCATTCTAAAACCTTTCTGGGTTTCTAGAAGAGGAAAATCAAAATACCTTAGACTTCTATGGAGAGGTGTGGAAAAGCTTTTAGTGCAATTAATTATTCTTTTCATTTTCTTTTTTTTTTAAGATTTTATTTATCTTAGACAAAGGAGGAGGGAGGGAGAGAGAGTGGGAGAGAAACATCAATGTGTCGTTGCCTCTCACACACTCCCAACTGGGGACTTGGCCTGCAACCCAGGCATTTGCCCTGACTGGGAATTGAACTGGCAACCCTTTGGTTCATGGTCTGGCACTCAGTCCACTGAGCCACACCAGCCAGGGCTGTTTTCACTTTCTATTCATGTAATGATCTGTTTTATGATTACTCTTTGAAGTAGTTTTTATGTCTTTCATTTGTTTTCTTCCATTGCAAATGGAAATAGCCTCTCAAACTAAACGTTTTCCAGGTAGAAACTAAAATTACTGAACAGAAAATAGGTTGTTAATGTTAAAGTAAAATTTATGTAAGTATATGAGTACAAAAAGAATATTTGAGGGGTTAGTGAGATACTACTTTTCCCTGTCACCTATATTGACTGGAAAAGCAGATCTTTGGCTTTCAGCAGTTCTGTTTTTAAAGTTCTTGTATTAAAATTCATATAACTCTGAGAAGAATAGCATGTTAAGCCTTGCCGTTCCCCAGCTCTGTGCTAAGGTGCTCTGTGTTGCCAAAGAGGACGTTTTAAATTAAAAAATTTTTAATTTAAAGGTAATTTAAATTTTGAGGGAGACACCACAAGACGTGTCTGTTGGACACTATGTAAATTACTACTAAGTTGTCTGGACCTGCCTACTTAAAAATTAGAGCTTTCAGATCATTTTTTCTGACCTGGGGAATCCATGAAAAAATTACTGAGACACTAAAGGTGCTGTGAACTGAAAATGTTTGAGAACCTTTGCTCTCAGCTCATCAGCCACTTTGAAAGGGAGAAGACCAGATGCTTCTGAAAAGCCGGGGAGCAGGAGTGATGACAGATGGCTGGTGCCTGCCAGTTAGTGCCCAGGGATGGAGAATCCTCCGAAGGGAGGGTCGGAATCTCTGCAGAAACCTCACTTTTGCTTACAGTCAACCTTGGTAAAGATCTATTTATAGGTAATAGACAAATATTTTGTCGTTAAAATATCATGTTGCTTATATGTCATATAGGTTCCCTTTGAGACACTATCCCAATGGAATCTCGAACATACTGCTTTAAATGAAGTGGGAAATTTCTTAATTGAAGTCAGCAATGATGAATTCGGATCGTCTGTTTCTAAAGAACTCAGAAGGCTGAATAAAAGATGGAGAAAGTTTGTTACAAAAACTCAGCTTGTAAGTTTGTTTTTTGTTTTTTTTTTTGGTAGTAACTTCATTGAGATATAAAGTCACATTCCATACAATGAAGTCACTTAAAGTGTATTACAGTGTTTTATTGTATATTCAGAGCTGTGCAGCCTTCACCATAATCAATTTTAGAACATTTTCATCACCTCATAAAGAAACTCTGTACCAATTAGCAGTCATGGTCCACTTTCTCCCTGCTTCCCCAGCCTTAGGCAAATGTTAACCTACAATATGTCTCTGTAGACTTGCCTATTCTGGATATTTTATGTATTGAATCATGTAATATTTGTTCTTTTGTTTCTGGCTTTTTTTACGTAGTGTAATGTTTTCAAGGTTCATTCATGTTGTAGCATATATTAGTTCTTCATTCCTTTTTATTAGTTGATTGTGTGGATACACCACATTTTATTTATTCATTGATCAGTCTAAGTACAATCGGCTTCTTTCCTCTTTTTTTACTATTGTGCATAATGTTGCTGTGAACATTCGTGTACACGTTTTTGTGTAGACATACAACATGTAGCTTTCTAGTTCAAATTCTTTTACCATTAAAGAGTAATAAGTATTTTGCCTACTAGATTTCAAGGTACTTGAGATCATTCACTGAAGTTTATTTCATACAAGTAGACCTTATATTTGCTATAGAGCTTCATAAAAGTAGACCTTAAATAATTTTGGAATTTAAATTAAGTTATTCTTTTGCTTATTCTTAACAGTTTGAGACTGAGGCATTTTATAGGATAGGCTCATATTTTAAAACATACTGAATACATTATGTCCATTTATTGTTGGTAATATATCTTAGCAAAAATATAAACATTAAATTTCATGACTTTGACTTTTTATAGGACATGAAACTGCCACTTATAAGAAAACAGGATCAGCCCATTCTTGACAATTCTGAAAATATTCCATCATCTAAAGAAGAAAAACCAACTGTTGATTTTTCAACAGATATGCCATTAAAACTTTCTGAAAACCACAATCAGAATATAAAGGTAAAACAGTCATACTTTATTCCATTTTATACAAAAATAACTTAACTTTGCTCTTTTTCTTTTGAAAAAGCTGTACTGCTGAAACAGCAGTGAATGTGATTATTAGATAATATGTAAAACACCATCATTTTCCTGTAAAATGCTGATGTGGTTCCTTCGCGAAATAGTCTTCAGTGTTAGAGTCCTGTGTCTCTCACTGGCGGAGGAGGAGTCTCCCAGACAAGCACAGCAGCTGTGACTTCCCAGCTGTGGAGGGGAGCTGCCGTTTTCTTCAGGTTACTTCTGATTGTGCTTAGACATTAATGAGCTTTGGGCTAGTCCCTGGCCTGGGTCTTGTTTCCTTTCCATAAAATGAGGGAAAATGGAATCTTTATTTCTTGCTTTGTTGGGTACTTTAAAGGATATGTTTATTTTTTATTTATTTTTAATACTATTTTTTAAATTCACACCCGAGGGCATGCTTATTGATTTTAGAGGAAGGGGAAGGGGGAGCAGAGAGACAGGGAGGGAAACATAGATGTGAGAGAGAAACATCAATTGGTTGCCTCTCAAGTGTGCCCCAACTGGGGACTGAGCCTGCAACCCAGGCATGTGCCCTGACTGGGATCAAACCTGTGACCTTCTGCTTTATTACCAGATGATGCTTCAACCAACTGAGCCACACTAGCCAGGGCTACAGGATGATTATAGATTATAGATAAGAATATGGGGAAAAAAGTAAAAATAAAAATCATACATAGGAATCATACCTATGGTTTTGGAAATGAGCCTTCTTCAGAATAATAACTTACACAGTTTTACTAAAGAATGTAATATTGAACTGGCTTTGGCCAGTGGCTGTGATAAACTGATTGTAAGAGCTAATCAGAGAAAATCTGGAAAGGTCTGAGTTTGTGCGATGTGCTTTTAGAATAAAAGAATATGGAATAGTATATTCCTCCACTTAAAATATGAGCTGGTAAAAAACAGCTTTAAGAATGTGTCTGTCAGGTAAAGCTGAAACGTATCTATCCGTATGATATTGAGAGATTATTAATGGGAAAAGGCTTAATTTTATTGAAATTTGATTCTGTCACTTTTTAAGGATGTTATACAACTACTGTTACAAATAGCTATATTTAATTAGATTGTATATGAGGTTTAGAAATGTGCTTATGGAATCGATACCCTAATTTTTTAAGATTTTATCTTCTTATGTATAAAATGGAGATAACAGGAAGTAGCTGATAGGAATGACATTATTATTAAGAAACTTTATGTGGCCCTGGCCAGGTAGCTCAGTTTGTTACAGTGTCATTCTGATACTCGAAGGTAGCAGGTTGGATCTCTGGTCAGGGCACATCCCAGAATCAATCAATGAGTGTGTAAGTAAGAGGAACAACAGAGCCGTGTTTCTCACCCCCTCTCTCTCCCTTTCCCTGTCTCCCTTCCTCCCTCCCTCTCTCCCTTGTCTCTCCATGCCCATCCCTTCCTCTCTTTGAAATGAATAAATAAAAATTAAAAAAAGAAAATATATATGAATAAACCTTTTAATATTGAAAGTGATATGTACTATCGTAGAATGTTATTATTATTGTCTAAAAAGTAAATCTTAAGTCATTAGGATACGTTGAATTAGCACTCTTTAGGAAAAAGAGAGATAACTTAAAAGATTACCTACTTATTTATTTAGAGAGAGGAGAAGGGAGGGAGAAAGAGAGAAACATCATCAGTTGCCTCTTCGAATGTGCCCCAATAGGGTACCAAACCTGCGACCCAGGCGGGCGCCCTGACAAACCGGCGACCTTTGTTCGCTTTGCAGAACAATGTCCAACCAACTGAGTCACACCAGCCTGGACAAGAGAGAACTTTTTAAAGTTGAAAATTATTTTATAATGTAAATATTGCCATTTTCTTAGTGATAATTTTGAATGTTATAGGGTGGGGAAAAACATGAAAAGGAAAATGAAGAATCCACAGGGCAACTACAAGTGGCCGGAGAGGTTGAAACACTCATTGGAGAGGTGGAAATCTGGGAGACAGAAACCAAATCTGTTCTGGATCTTCTGGGACATCAAGATGACGTGGACACTTCCATGGCAGAATCTTTGCGGGTATGACTGTGCAAGTATGACAAGGACAGCTTTCATCGTTGTAGTCTGATATACTGAGATAAATGAAAAGTTTTAGAGTGAAGAGTAAGATGACTACTGTTGAATATTCTTTGTTGGGAGGTTTTTTTTTTATAGTATGGATTCTCATTCCCGAATCACTTGCTATGATTTTGCTTGAAGAAAGACGATAAATTGAAAGAACATTAATAATACCTTATGAGTCTAACTTCTTGAATTAATTTTTTCAGCTACATAGTGAAGATTAAAATATTTTCTTGTATAAGGTGCAATGAGGAGATAAGTGCATTCAGTCTCATATAGCTCAGTGCACTGTGAATATAAGAGATTATACCATCTGTGCTTTGAGAGCTCATCCACTGATTAAGCCACCATCCCTTCTTTATTTGATGTGGGGAGGGTGACTGATATTAGAACTTCCTCTATCTTTATTCTTGGTCAGTCAACTCATTGAAAAGTAATGAGGCAAGATTATGTTTTAACATCAGTCTCCTAAGAATGAAGTTACAATTGTGGTTTTTACTGAGTTTCAAGCTCAGTTATAAAAAAATCTATGAAGCATGTCATAGATTTTTTTAGGAAAATCCAAGAAGGAAAGTTCCTGGAAAAAAGGAACACATAATTGTTTTAAACCTACATTTCTGAAATGGTGTATATATAGCATTTTGTATTTTCATTGTTTATAAGACTGATACATTTTATTGCTTCAAAAATATTATATAAACTTACCTGTGCCATCTGCCAGTGCTTTTTCAGTTTTATTTTTATATTTATTTATTTGCTATATCTGGAATTTATTTTAGTAAAAGAGATTAGTGAGAAATGAGAAATTCAATATTTAAAAAAAATTTCCAAAAATAACAGTGAAAATATAAACATGCTAGAATATAATTCTGTCAAGAAGGAATTAAGTAGATCTTTACTGGGTTAAGACATATTAATAGTAAGAAATGCAAGTTCCTGAATAGTGCAAGGGATGTGATCCTTCTAGTACTTTTTAAAACGGTTGATTTTTATACTTCATTCTTTGGCATCCATAGAAAAATGTATGTAAGGGTATACAAATAACCAACTCTATCTTTCTTGATTCTGCAGTTTTTCTTGTAGTTTCATATTTTATATATAACTTTCTGATACAGCTGAAATTTGTTTTTGGTATGTTGTATAAAGCATGGTTCTAAAAAGATTATTTCCGAATAGTCATTTTCTCCAGTAACATTTATTGGCTTCCCTTGCAATTGATTTGACTTAGAGCAACTTAATTTTAATTATTCTTCTTCTCTCAACTTATTTTCTCTCTCGGCATTGTATTACTTCTAGTCTTTATTTTATTGACGTGCTTAGTAAAGAGTCTGTAAAAGACTATGTTGCCCAGAATATGACTGTATAAATATAAAATTTCAGAGTGCAAATTTAAAATAAGTTGCTAACTTTATAATATGCTAACTAATATGCTAACTTTATAGCATATAAATTTGCCTCATTTTTGATTAATAGTTAACCTTTTATGGTTTCTGATAAGATTGTTAAGGTTAATGTTTAACATGTAATCTGAATTTTTTATCGTGAGCTCACTTTAATTTGTTTTAATAGCATCTGATTGCCAAGGGCTCTATGTATGAAGAACTCGTGTCCAGAGTGGAAGAAACCGCACAAATGGATGTGCACAGTATTTCAGGCCGGGAGTCCCTCGAACATGTTCTCACAGCTGGGCTTCAGGCAAAGATCCAAGAAGCTAAAGAGAAAGTCCAGGTTTCTTTTTAATATTTCCTGTTCAGTGAATTTAGTCTGTAAAACCAAGAGGTCAGTGGGAGGATAAGGAAGGGGAGGATGGCCCTGTGGTTTGGAAATGTTTTGTGAAATATTACTTTGGCATTATATTTTATTTCTATATAATTTAAAGCATATTAGAAAATAACACTATAATAAAGAAAATACTCTGTGTCTAGGGTGAAAATCTGAGTGGCTACACCAAGAAAATATTTATTAACTTACACATTTTCTAAGAAATTGAGCCCAGTGTTGAGAATTTTCTGTCTTCACAGATCAACATGGTAAAGTTAGTTGCTGCGTTGAAGAATTCAGCTGATGTCTCACCAGGCCTGGATGTCAGGCTGAAGGTGGAAGAATCTCTGAAAGAACTTGAATCATACATTACAGCAGCCGAGCGGTTACTTGGCCAAAGAGAGAGCCGGGGTGAACTAATGTCAAAATACAAGGTGGGACTCTTTCAAATGAAGGATATTTATTATTAGCCAACTATCTGATTTGAAGTCAAGATGTTTCCATCACTGTGATTATCCACAAAGTTATTGTACCTTTAAAAATATTCCCAGTGTTATACATTATTCCCCAGAGACTCTTAAAAGTAAACATTAAAATGAAGAATTTTTACAATTTAGTATACTGTGTAGACCTGAATAGACTCAGTGACATAGTGTAAAGAGCACAGTCTACTCTATGACAATGAGCAAGAATTTAATTTCCCTGGCTTTTTTAATCAATAATGATGCATAATGATTCTCGCCCTATCTGGATGACAGGTTCATTGTTGAGGCTTTCAGTGAAAAATAAAGCCTATGAAGACACTTTTGGTAGTTAAAAATCTTCAATTGGAAAATAACATTCTGTTTATTAAAATGATACAAGTTATTTATGCACATATGTTTATTGATAAAGACCCAATAATGTTTTGTATGGAGACGGTTTTAGGTTGACTTTTCATAGTTGGATAGGCAGCTTAAGATGTGTCCAAATCAGAGACTCATTATGCTTAACACAGTGGGAGGTCCTGGGGGGATGGGAACTAAAGGCCAAACAAGATCTCTACATTGGACTGTTGGAGCTAATACATGTTAGTTCCAGAGTAATACATGTTCTTTCCTTCGTTTATTCAGCAGTTAACACACTTTTTAAAAAAAGATTTTATTTATTTTTAGAGAGAGGGGAAGTGTGGGAGAAAGAGAGGGAGTGAAACATGCATCGGTTGCCTCTCATAGGCCCCCAACTGGTGACCTGGCCAGCAACCCAGGCACGTGCCCTGGCCAGAATCGAACTGATGACCTTTTGGATGGTGGGATGACACCCAGGCCACTGAGCTACACCAGTCAGGGCCAGTTAACACTTCTTGAACATTTAAAATGAACAAGGCATTTTGTGGGAGATAAAGATGAAGTAAAGCAATATTTCTCCTAGTGCTGCTTCTCCCAGTTTTTTTTTTTTTAATTATTTTTTAGAGAGAGGGAAAGGGAGGGAGAAGAAGAGGTAGAGAAACATCGATGTGAGAGAGAAACATCAATCAGTTGCATCTTGTTTGTGCCCCAACTGGGAACTGAACCCACAACCCAGGCATGTATCCTGACCAGCAATCAAACCCTCGACTTTTTGCTTTGCAGGACGATGTCCAACCAACTGAGCCTCACCAGTCAGGACACTCCCAGTTTTTAAGGAAAAGGAGCTCCTACCCTGGCTGGTGTGTCTCAGTGAATTGAGTGCTGGCCTGCAAACCAAAGGGACACCAGTGTGATTCCCAGTCAGGACATGTACCTGGGTTACAGGCCAGGTCCCCAGTAGGGGGCGCATAAGAGGCAAGCACACAGTGATGTTTCTCTCCCTCTCTTTCTCCCTCCCTTCCCCTTTCTCTAAAAATAAAATAAATAAAATCTTAAAGGAAAAAAAAGGAAAAGAAGCTTGCATAGGAACCTCCCTCTATACCCACTGTAGCCTCTTTTTCTATTTTTTTCTGGGCCTCAACTCTATTTTGGCTTTCTGGATTGATAACCATACTGGAAACTACTATTAGCCATTTCTTTCTTTCTTATCCTCATCCAAGGACATGCTTATTGATTTTAGAGAGAGGAAGGGAGGAGGAGAGGGAGAGAAACATCGTTCCATTGCCTCTGGTATGCGCCCCGACAAGGAACCAAATCTGCAACCTAAACATGTGCCCTGACTAGGAATTGAACCCATGACCTTTAGGTTTATGGTACAATGTTCCATAAACCAACTGAGCTATATAGGACAGGGCGTATTTGAGCATCACTTTTCCCACAGCCATTTTATGCTGTTTGTACTTGGCTAGCCACAAACTTGGACCACTTCCGTTTTCCCCACTTTTACTCCCAGCTTGCTGAGAGTACTGAACTGACCTTAGGAATCACTGGTTCTTTCAAGTAATCACCAGGCTGGATATTAAGCAGCCAGATGTGGTCTGCTCAGGAAAGAGATAAGGAAAAGAAAAAGTAGAAGCTCTGAAAGCATTTTCTAACAGAAAAAAAAGAGTTAGAGGTGTTAGTTCTCACACCATTTTCCTCTCTCTCCCTACCTTCCTTCTGGAATCTGAGACCATGAATATTTCCCTTTTTTCTCTGGCATTTAGTGAAGTGGATCTGTCTTCACAGCAGATGCAAGGTCCTTGTCTGTTTCACACTTCCCTGAGGCCCTGGGACTCCCAGGTACACTCTCAGGTAGTAGGATCCCTCACTAGTATCTAGGGTCTGAATATCTCCCTGGGTCAAACCTCTGGCAATCCTCACAGAGGCCTTAGAGAAGGTCTAAGCATCATGCTTTTTCTGCAGGAGACCTGTAATAAATAGGTAACGAGTATAAGGATGAATTCCTACCTTGCTTAATTGCTTTCTCTCCAAGTATTACTTTGGTCTTCTTGTCTCCTTATAGTTTTCTTCCTCTTTCGCAGGCCCCAAACTATTTTTTCTTCTATCATTCACTAGCTCTTATAAAGTATTGCCAGTAATATTGAATAGGAGCCAGTATTTGTGGGGTAAGGAGCAGACCCATTCCTGACAAGGTGTCTCCCTTCCCTGTCTGCTGCCACTTCTTCCCTGGGATGGGCCTGCCAGTGGTTGGCCCTGGGCAAGACTTACACGTCTGTGGTAAGGTGATGTTGTCTTCTTGCAGCAAAGAATCCTTATGTGTTATACAGTGTTAAATGTTCGCCATACTAACCCTACTATAAATTGTGTCTTATTATAACACTAATCTCTAATATGTGCTGGTATACTCTTCATATTTATATTGCTTAAGAAGGGTGGTTGTCTGCTCAATACTTTAAAGAACTTTAGGGGGAACCTTGTGAGAACCTCATTACCCTGCAGAATAAATGTTTTAATTATCAAAGTGGTAACAAATTATTTTGAATATTATAAATATGAAGTATTTATCTGGGTCTCAGATGTGTAACTATATTTAAATAAGAATATTTTGCAATTTTTTTCAAAAGAATTCAAGAGATGCAAATGGGCTATCAACCTCACTTTACAAAGAGAAGTCTCCCCTAAATCTTTAAATAGTCTTCTTAGGTCTCTTTTCCTAGTTCTACCTGTGGAAGATCTACCAAAATTAGCTTTGAGGACTTGGCAGTAGAATGAGGCTTTCATGTTCTTGTTGGCATCTTTTTTTTTTAGGAAGCAGTATCAATTTTTAATACAAAAAGTCTGGCCAAGTATTTGAAAGCTGTTGATGAACTGAAAAATAATGTAGCTGAAGATGAAAAGCTGTCTTTGGAAGAAAAGAGTAGAGACGTTTGTGCCCAGTGGGAGGTAAGAACATGCGTTCGTATCCGGGTGTACGCTTGTACATCTGACTATGGACCTGTGTGCCATCAGAGTCATTCCTGGTTGTCCTCCTGTCTACTGCGCATCACTCAGGGCTGATCCCTGCAGGCTGCGGTTCCCAGGTGCTATAGCGCTGGCTCCTGTGTTCGGCCGGTGACAACACTGGAGATTAGAAGGGAATCGGAGGAGGGGAAACCTGAAAGTCCAAAGGCTTTCTGACCCTCTCTTTCTTGGACAGTGTCTCTGGCAGCTGTGTCCCTGCCTGCGGCAGGTTCCTCAGTTCCAGCCTCTGGTTGGTGACCCTTCTGCCTGCACTCCACTGAAGCTCCCAGCCTAGTGGCGGGTAGCAGCTCTCTGCTGATGCTAATCTCTGGATTGCCTCACTGTCCCCTCTTTGGTTTTCACCTCTTGTGTAATCAGTCCTCAGCGTTTAATGCCCTCCGAGGTAAACATTTAGTGTCTTGTGGTTCCCTGGTTGGATCCCGCCTGAGATGACATATTGACACACATACCCAGAATTCCGTAGCAAAGTAGGTCTGGCTTTGGTGGCACATAGGCTTGGGTCCAGCAGCTGTGACCCTGGGGAAGTCGCTTAACTGCCAGAAACTTCACTGATGAAATGGGAATAACCCCACCGACTTAACAGGATTGTTGCAAAGATTTATGTAAAGGACCTGTCACAGAGATTGTTTGCAATAAATGGTAGTTAGTATTGAATATAGTTTTTTTGTGTTTATATGCATGCAGGTATGTATGAACATGTGAAGAGAGAGAGAATGAAGTAATGTCATTGAATATCTACTGTTCAAGTCCCTCTTAAAACATATGTTAAAGTAAACCTTATTTTAGACCTGTTTTATACTTACAGAATTAGTACAGATAGTACAGAGTTCCAGTATATTCCATGCCCAGTAGTCCCTACTGTTCACATCTTATATTTATATAGTACCTTTGTTACAAATGATGGGTTAATACTGACTCCAAGTTTATACTTTATTACTATTTAGTTTTTCCTAATGTGCTTTTTAATTTTTTGATCTTCACCTGAGTGTATGTTTATTGATATTAGAGTGAGGAGAAGGGGGGAAGAGAGAGAGAGAGAGAGAGAGAGAGAGAGAGAGAGAGAGAGAGAGAGAGAGATGGAGGAGAGAGGAGAAAGAGAAACATCACTGTGAGAGAGAAACATCAATTGGTTCCTTCCTGTATGCACCCTGACTGGGAATTGAACCCGCAACCTTTTGGTGTAGGGGATGATGCTCCAAGCAGCTGAGCCACCCAGCCAGGGCCCTAATGTGCTTTTTAATCTGTTCCAGAATACTATGCAAAATATATATTATAATATTTGGTTATTTCTGCATAGGCTCAGATGTGTGTTTTATATATATTTTCTCTCAGTCTGAAGCTCATCTCTTTAATTCTCTTAACAGTGCCTTTCCTAACTAAAACACATTTTTAGTAGTTAGAAAGAAAAAAATGTGTTTGTGGGTCTGATACATTTTTTAAAATTTTCCCCAAAGACACAAGGATGAATCAGAATTTCATAAGCTCTATTTCTATCCTTTGTTACTACAAGTATTTTTATTGTGTTTTTAATGGAAAACTTTTCAATATATTTTGTTCCCATGGTTAATATGTGTCTTTGTTTGTTTACAGTCTCTTCATCATGAAATGTCTTTGTATATTCAACAACTAAAAATAGATATTGAAAAAGGAAAAATTAGTGACAATATTTTAAGACTGGAAAAGCAAATAAATAGAGAAAAGAAACTAATTCGCAGAGGAAAGACCAAGGGTCTTATCAAGGAACATGAGGTAAACTACGCATTTTCCATTTGCACTTTGTCATCATTTTGAGATTTTTCTTAAAAGGAGTTGTGTATGACCTTGGCCTAGGATTGCATCTGCCCTGAAAATGACTTCAGCTGTCTCATCCTCTGTGGATTATTCTTATACACTTCAAGTTCAAACTAGAGCCTGTGATTCTTACATTTTAGAAGTGAGAAAAATTTAGCATTGAGTTAATAGTTTGTGACTTCCCTTGATATGTTTCAGTGACCACTGTCCTTTAGGGTCTGGTTACCAACCTGTCACCTGTTACTGAGGTACCCAAAGTTACTTTTGTGAGGACACAGTGTCCTCACAAGTACAGCTTTTGTGATAGATATCAAACCAGGATAGAAGCCAACTAGGCAAATCTAATGTCTCCTTTTGGTCCCCATCCTGTTTGATTGCTTCTATGTATTGGGTTGGCTAAAAAGTCTGTTACGTTTTTTTTCTCCCATACAATGGCTCTAGTAGCTCTTAGTTGTCTTTAACTTCATTCAAGACAATTGTGTTAGGTTGTATTGTGACAACTGTCATATCAGTGTGCATAAAAAAACTTATCAAAATTGATGAATTTCTATGCAGCCACTTTAATATTGAAGATGGAAGAAAATGCACAACATTTTTTGCATATTATGTTTTGTTATTTCAAGAAGGATAAAAACAACTGAAATGCAAAACAAGATTTGTGCAGTAATGGAGAGGGTTCTGTGACTGATCGAGTGTGTCAAAAGTGGTTTGCGAAGTTTCTTGGTACCATTGCCATTTTGGCCAAATATTTCTTAGCTGTGGGGCTTTCTTATGCACTGGAAGATGTTTAGCAGCACTCATATCCTGAGATAGCTGACATACTCAAAATATCCAAATTAATAAAGTTATTGATGAAAATGAAAAATATATATTTTATTTTACAGAATAAAACATAATGGACTTTTTAGCTAACCCAATATTTGATAATACTGACCTCTGTTTTCATTTCTTTTAATTTTTTTTCCTGCTGTGGCTCTCCTAATGTCAATCTCTTGCTTTCTCTTATTTTCTTATTTTTTTGTGTGCAGTTTTTTTAAATGTACTTCACAAATGTCACCTTCTTATTGTTTTATCTCAATGTTTTAGTTTTGAGAGTTTCCGTTTTGGGCTAATTTTGGCTCTAGGCAATTTTATGCATGCTGGGGTTTTAGCTGCCTTCTCTCCTATGGTGGTGCCTAAATCTTTATGAGCAGCTGAGTCCTTCGCTCTGAGCTCCAGGTTCTGTTTCCAACGGAGACACCACAGTGTCCTTCAGAGACCTCACATTCAGCACGTCCAAACATGAACCAATGGCATCTTCTCTCAAACATTTCTTCCTCCTACAGACCCTGTTTATGACAGGCATTGCTGTCTCAGCATCTCCTTCCTTTCCTTCCCACTCGGCCTGAATGGAGTCTGTTGCCAAGTTCCATCTGTTACTCTTCAGAACAGCTGCTTCTTTTCCTTCCTTGCCATCGGTGTTGCCACTTCCCTTAGCCTGGGTTATTTTCTCAGCGTGGTGAAGGTGGCATCATCATTACCCCTTCAAAGTGACCCCTTTGAATGACAGATCTGTGTCCCTGGCTCACCAATACTCCCAGGACATTTCCAAACTCCTGAGGAGGCCATTCAAGTTCTTCAGAACATCTGGGGCTTTTCCTCTTTAGGCTGCTCCCTCTGTTAGGAATGCTCTCTCTGCCCCTTTACCTGGAGCTCCTCATTCTCTCCACATGAAGCTCGTGTTCCCTCATGTGAACTAGGCTTTCTCTGACTCCCTAAGGCAAGTTAGTGGCTCTGTTCTATCACTTTTCACACTCTGCTCATTATTTGTGTGTGTACTGTAGGAGAGGAAAAAGTTTTCCTTGCCTTCTTAGCGTCCCTATCTGGGTCTGAAAATGAAACTGACAAAGATTAACAAGAGATAAACATACACATCTTACTGAATTTTCACATGCACCTGGGAGCTTTCAAAGAGATTGAAGACCTAAAGAAGTGACCGGAGCAGGAACCTTTTGTACCTTTTAGACAAAGAATACATTTGTGAAGAATTGGCAAGACAACAGGGTTTGAGCTGGTGGTGGTAAATGGTGAAGAAGTGAGTGGAGGGATAAATGTTAGTTTAATAGGATTTGTTTGCAGATTCCTCTGGTGCTATCTCTGGGCTGGGAAGTGTTTATTTCCAGTAAAAGGAAACTTTGTTTCCCATATTTAGGCAGAAAAGGGAGAGCTTTTTCTGCATTTTCTGCTGCTTAATTGCCTTCAGCTCAAAATAATTTTCAGGTCACAGAGGCATATTTTGGCTCTGGCTGGGTGGCTCAGTTGGTTGACTGTCCTCCCCTACCCCCGGAGGTTGTGGGTTCGATTCCCGGTCAGTGCATATACCTAGATTGTGAGTTAAGTTCCCAGCTGGGTACATATAGGAGGTAACTGATCAACTTTTCTGCCTCACATTGACCGATGTTCTCTGTCTGTTGCCCTTCCTCTCTCTCTCAAATCAATAAAAACATTTCCTCGGGTGAGGATTAAAAAAAAAGGCTTATTTGGGGGTGACACATTCTGGTTTTCTTACTCCAGAATGGGACTGTGGCACATCCCTTCAGGGCTGACTGCCCATCTTTGCTTCTCCGTGCCCGTCCCACGCCCGGCACACAGCACACACAGCGGACAGGCGTCCAGCAGACTCTGCTGCAAGAGGCACGCACATCTGTTGTGTCTAATCCTCGTGGACTGATTATGTAAACTCATTTGGAACACATTTCCTGCTTTGTTTCCTCAATTAGGCCTGCTTTTCTCAGGAAGGCGGTCTGTACCAGCTTGATCGCCACATGGACGTCCTGCGGGAGCTGTGTGAAGAGCTGACTTCACAGAAGAGGCAACAGGAAGTGCGGAGAGTGCTCAAAGATTATGAACAAAAAATTGAAAGGCTTCGGAAAAGTGCTTCTGAGATTCACACGACACTGCAGCACACAGTGGGAGGCACATCGAAAAACAAGTTAGTGCTTCATCAGAATAGCGATGTGTCAGGGAAAACACAGATAAAGCCTCCTGCGAGAGCAAATGATATTGAGTATTATTATGCATTCCCTTTCGGGCTTCATGTTCTCCCTCTATTTCAGTATGCAATTTTGATTCCTTCCTAGGGGGGCCGTGGACGCGTCTGAGAACGGAGGAAGGAATACCCACAGTGAGGTGCCCTCTGCAAACTCAAATAATCAGCCATCAACTGAAAAGGTGATAAATGTGGATAATGTGTTTGAGAAGTAAACTCAGTGAAAAGGCCAAGTGTACAGTAATCCCCTTCTCGTTGATTAAGTGATGGTTTTAATTATCCGATAGCTTTCATCATCTGAGAATTCCCACTTAAAGCATGCAAGAAGGGTTGCTCTTCAAAGAATTAGAATGAAGCAAAGCTGTAGCAAGCATAACTTAATTTTCCGCTGAGGGTACAGACAGTTTTTTTAAAAAGAGACCATTTTGAGTCATTATGAATACATGTCAACAGAGCACATTACTGTTGAGGGTATAAAAGGTTAAGTTTAATCAGTACAGATGCCTTAGTGTCATTGAGATGAGGTAGTTCATTTATCATTTGTCTTTTGCTCATTATAATATCTTTTACTTTCTTTGGGATTTGAATTTTCATTTGGAATCTTAGGGAAGTGGGCACTTGCTGTATATCACAACCCAGATGGCCAATCAGAAGGTGTGGGGAAGGAACAAGGTATATTTGTTTTGAGAGGTCTACTCCTGCATGCTAGGCTTCTGTCTGCTTTTGACTGTTGCTATGTGGTCGCAGTCAGCAAGAGCATTTAGGGGTCGGGGGAACTCCTTCACTGTGCTGACCTCCCAAGTAGAAGGTGAGACTCCGTGTATTAAGTCTTCCCTGTCCCATGGGAAGACCTTTCTCTGAGCTGAGAAACCTCAAGTAAATTGTATTATGTCCTGGGGTATAAAGAATCAATAATATGCCTTTGTATCAAAAAGTGTTTATCTGTTTTACACAACTTATTTTGAAGGTACTGTGTTTGCTATTTTGTGTATTTGTTTAGGCAGTAGAATCGATTAAGAATCTGAACCTGGAATCAGAGTTGAAGCCTCACCAGGAAGAAAACATGGAGAAGTATGAAAAGGATCGCAATACATCTATGAATAGTTTACTGGAGAGGTAAACTCTTTCAAATGACTGGAAAGTCTACCAAAAATCTTTCAGCAACGCAGACATGTTATACTTTCATGAGTTCTCACTGATTTATGCATGTGGTCCAGCAACTTAAACAGAGATTCCTTGGGGTTTTCTTAGGTGTAATTGACAGTAATTGAAGAACTTTTTGTCTTATTCTTTAAATTAAGTAATGTCACATTTATTTTTTCCCAGGTTTGATGCACACAGAGAAACACTTGAACTACACCTGCAAAACAACAAATTTAGGATTACTTCTGATTTCCCTAGTGATAGGGAAAGGAGTAGTGCTTGTCTGCAGGATAAATTGAAAGATCTACAGGTAATTATTGAAAATATTATTAGAGTTCATCTTTTATTGGAAAAATAATACCACCATGAGGAGAGAGATCACCACTTTTGTTGAGGTCCCTTATGCAAGATGTTTCCAAAGAACTTTGTTGGATTGCATTTCTAATGTCACCTGATTCTAGGAAGTGATTTGCACCCAAGTATCAAACCCAGGAAAGGCTTTGGTTCAGGGTCCTAATTTATTGCTCATGCTCTAATTTGATACTCTAGACACTGTGACTTGCAAAATTTTGGATAGTGCTTAGGAGGGAAATGAGGGCTTCAGATGAATTGGTCAGAACAGTGTGGTTGAAAGGCAATTTTAACCAACCTTTCTTGCTTCTAGGTTGCTCTAAAATTAACAATACATGAAAAACCAGTGACTCTAAATATTTTTCAGTTTATCATCTTAACCAGGTTGTCACAGTGTCTCTGTGATGTTGGACAATAAGAAAGGGCCATGCAGTTGAGGGGGTTTTCACTCTAGGTGTTGGCTGATCTTCCTGGAGAGCCATCAGAGGATGTATTGCATTTGATTCAAGAGCTAAAGAAGAAAACAGTCTAGCTGGTGGTAGGCACGTCAGTTGTAAGCTGTTTTTTATTTCGAAGATGATCTGTGCATTGTAGTGCAACACGTGTGTACTTGGAAGTGCAGTAGAGTGAATCCTCACAGAACACACATCCAGTAGAGAAAAGGCCATGGGTGGTTCCTACGGTGCCCTCCCACATTTTCTAGTTTCCTTTTTTTTTTTGATGCCTTTTTCTGAGTCACACTTTACGGACTGGCTCCTCTCTGTTTTGCATATGAATAAGCAAAATTCCTGTGTTAAAATCTCTGTTGTTCAAATGATGGAGTTAGCATGTTTTCAAAGCAATTAAGAAACTGTCTTGAGACCTTACTCTAGGGACTGAATAATAAATTGGTTAGAAAAGCTATACTAATCCTTGGGGAAAATGAAGAATAAATTATACTTGTGGGCACGCAGTAAAATTCCCTCAAAAAAAAAAAAAGAACCAAGATAAGGTGCTAAAATGGTACAGAATTTTTAGGCATTTAATTATAAAGCATAAATTAATTTTATTCACTTCTCATTTGTTAGAAATAGTTTTGGCTCACTCCAATTTTCCTTTAGTTTAGGGAGAATTAAAGATTTATTATCTAGGGGAAATAGAATGTCTGTTCTTACAACTGTTGTGTCTTTTTTTTTTTAATTTTATTTTAATCATTGTTCAAGTACAGTTTTCTCCCTTGTACTTCCAATCCAGCCCTCCTCCCAACCCTTCCCACTTCCCTCCCATTACTACCCTCCCCCTAGCTTTTGTCCATGTATCCTTTAAATTTGTTCCTGTGAACCCTTCCCATTGTCCCCTGAAATTCCCTCTTCTCTCCCCTGTGGTCACTGTCAGCCTGTCCTCTATTTCAGTGTCTTTGGTTATATTTTGCTTGTTTGTTTGTTTTGTTGTTTAGGTTCCTGTTAAAGGTGAGATCATATGGTATTTGTCTTTCGCTGCCTGGCTTGTTTCGCTTAGCATAACAACTGTTGTGTCTTTCTGGATTGCATTCTGCGCACCTAACTTAAGGGAGTTTGGAATTGGATGGAAGCCACATTGTCGACCCCCTTGACTTCAGTAAAAGGGTCCTCCGACAGCACAGTTAGTGTCATTGTTCCCTGGTAGATACTTGTGGGTGATTGGAAGATAATGTTTTTTAAATGTATTTTTATGTGAAACTTTGTGTCTCCAGTTGGTGGCTATCTCATTTTGTAAGAACAGAATAATTGTGCCTATTAACATACAAGTTGATAAATAAATTTATGTATTTCCATCCAGGTCTTAAAAAATGAAACTGATGCTTTCTGGAAAGAGTTTGAGATGATATCATTGCAGCTAGAAGAGCTTGAGAGTGACGGAAAGAAGCCTTTTATAATTAAAGCAAGAGACGGATTAAAGGACAAAGAAAGAGAGTTTCAGATGATTCTTAAGACCAGGTATAATTCTGAGACCTATTGATAATGAATATTCAACTTTTAAATGCCATTTTAAGCTGGTCTAGTGCTGTACTAGTCCGTTACTTTATTTACTCATCACAACAACCACAGGAGAGGCTGCCATTTTACTGGCGAGCAAACTGATGGGGAGGTTAAGTAACCTAACCGATCCACACTGCTGGCCAGAGACTTACGTGGAATTGAAAGTCTGTTGAGTTCCCAAAATCATCCTCTTCCCAATGTCCCCTTGGGCTTGAATTTGGTCCTATTGCATGACTTCTCTGGGCCTTTCCTAATTTTTAATTTCCTAATTTCTAAAATGAGTGTGCTATAATCACCCCTATACATAGGATATGCATCCCCGGTACATGTCCCTGTTTTACTTTGGAGGAAACTGAGGCTCCAAGTCTGTATGTTGTCTATCCAGGGCCACACATTTCAATTCATTATTAGTAGAGCCTATTCTTGGCTCTGTTATATTTCTACTAAAAAAGCAATTAGTATTTATAATGAGGCCTCTTTGTCATCAAGGCAGTGTTAAATCGTATGCAGTAATTTGTATTTTTCAATTTTCCATTCAGTGTGGTATGTTAAACTATTAAGAATACTTATATAGGAAACAACTCATTCTTTGCCATTTTGGATCGCTGGGTTTGGGTTTTAATGTGATGCTCTATACATATTGTGTGTATTTGTATTAGACAATTATTTGCTGTTCTTGGTTAAGTAGTGGCACTACTGTGTTTTATAGGGTATCTTTCTGCTCAGTTTCCCCCTACATCTTGTTTGTTTGTCCCCTAGAATGGAGTCTTTGGAGATGGCGCTGCAGGTCGTATTACCTGTGGAGGAGGAGTCGCTCCTTCTCTGTGGCTCAGACCTCCTTCTTCACGAAGTGGCTGTTCGAGAACTTCACCTCACTGATGCTGATGGCCTGTATCAAAACCTGAGAGTAAGTATAAGTTCTCACCGTATAGTTATAGAATCATCAATTCCTTCGAGATTTATACATGTTTATGCATTTTCAATTACACACCAATAGTATGTATTTAGAATATAAGCCATGACAGAAAATCTTCAGACTTGTTATTTATTTCTTAACTCTTTAATTCCTTTCAAATTTGGAAGTAGGTACTGTGAAGTCAATGGTGAGATATTTTCTTTGAATTCAACATGAAGGGTTCCTTATGAATGTCTTTTCCAGTGACTGAAATCTTAAATATCTGCTAGACTCATATGCTTATATTGTCATATTCCACAGATTTCTTATTCCAAATCCCACCATAAGTAAAAAATATTTGTTTTATTTTTCAGATTATAAACAGATGTCTCAATAGTTAATTCCAATTATTTTCATTGAAGCAATAGATTTATATTCTTGCTTTCTTTTGGGGATTGGAACATCAGGAAGGGTATCAGATAAAGAAGCAGCTGGGCCGTCTGATCATTTGTAATGAAAATGTTGACACTGTCAGCCTTGGTTAAACTGAGAAGCACTTTTCTAGATTAAACCTAGTTACAGACTTTGAGGGTAGTTTCTTACATGCAGTCTTACTTTTTTCTACCTTAGTCTTTTCAGCTTTCCTTACCTTTATTTTAGGATATTCAAGATTCTATAGCGAAACAGATAGAAATATGTAACAGTTTGGAGCAGTCAAGCAACTTCGAATTAAAGGAATTACACCCACTTGATCTACATGCAACACAGGCTATTATAGTAAAACACAGATCGCAACTTGAAGAAATGAACCACAGGATCCAGACAAGCAAAGATGCCCTCAGGGCTCTGGAAGATTTTCTGGCTTCTCTGAGAACAGCTGAACTCCCCGTTGGCCTTGTTACAGACCTTTCAGCCTCAGCTACACAGGTGGTACCAGAAAATACTTTGACAGTAAAAAATAAAGAAGGAGAAATTTATCTGATGAAGGATAAGGCCAGACATTTGGATAAACGTTTGAAGACACTTGATATAAGCTTTAAAGATGCAGAACGGGGTGAAGAGGCTTCCTGTGAAAAACTCCTTGACGCCCTGTCCAAACACTTATTTGAGACACGTGGTTGTGGCGGACAGGAGAAACTCACTGAAGAAGACAAACTACTACAAACTTGTACTCTGAAAAATAACGAGCTCCTGAAAAACGTTCTAGATGTGCACAGTCAGCTCAGTAAAATTGGTCTCAAGGATCCGACTGTTCCAGCTGTAAAACAACGGTAAGTATTGTTTCCGTCAGTTTCCATCCAAGGTGACGTTTTTCTGTCTTTTCAAATATCCATTAGATGAAACAGATACTTCCTGTCTTTCTGTTTCTGTTCCACCCTACTCCATTCAACCTTCAGCATTCTTTTTTGTAGACTTTTCAGACAAACTTCCTTTTTGTCAATAGTGTGCTTTTATAAGATGTTATATAATTCTTTTTCTTTGAAGTTTTCATTCTCATGAACTAAGATATGGATAGAGTACATGAGTTGTGCTGTGTATTTATTAGGGTGTTCTCCTGATGGGGGAAGACCTGGCAAACTCTACATGTTTGACAATGAAGAAATAAGTGGTAGGAGATGCACATGCCACACCTCATCCCTACTTCTTCCTTTATTATTCAGGTTCATCCTTCCTTCCATCAGGACTAGGGTGGGATTGAGTAGGAGGGTGCGGGATTGGGATCCCACGCTAAGGGTAGTGTGAATTCTGTGGGCTGAGCAGAATTGGGGTAAACTGATGCTGACAGCCCTCAATATGAGTGCTGCTATTTTCGTTCTGCCAGTCAGAGCCGGCCTCTCAGTCCTGACAGTGACAATGTTAGGAAGAATCCCTTTTGTGGAGCTCCTGTCCCCTTAGTAAGTCCCTCCCACTTTCTGTCTCCATGCGCATCTGTAGTCCTTCAGGTCCAGTGGTCTCTTGAGGCTCTTTAACTGACCAAGCTCTTCCCTCTGAAATTTCCCTCTGACTTCAGTCTCAATGAGACTTCCATTCCTACAGTACCCCAGTTCTTAATGAGGTGTTGAATGAGATACTAATTTACTATTAATTCATTAATAGATTTTATTATAGATTCAGAAAGAATAAGTACATAAATTAAATAGTTTATTCATAAAACCATACATTTATAACTAATAAATTGCTTTCATTCTTAATTTAGTTATTAACACAGCAGATAAGTGGTCTGTGCTAGGCATTGTTTTAGGTACTAGGGGTATAGCAGTTAATAGAATAGACAAAAATTCTTGCCCTTCGTAGAACTTATTACGAAGAGGGAGGAGTCAGATATTCAGTGTGTTTGATGATAATAAAAGCTATAGAAAAAAATTAAGCAAAGAAGGACAAGGGGTTGCAATTCAAAGGGAGACATTAGGGACAGATGTACTAAGAAGGTGACCTTGAAGTAAGTTAGAAGGGATGAGAGCTTGCCAAGTGACCACCAACCTGGAGGAAGGGCCTTCCAGGCTAAGGGAGCAGTGGGTGCAAAGGCCAGGTGTGAGCCTGGGCCTGGCATGTCTGAGGAGAAGCTAGGAAGTGAGGAGGGCAGCAGTGAAGGGGAGAGGTATGAAGGGAGTCAGAGGTGCTGGATAGGGTGGGGCTTAGCTCATGAAAGGACTTCTGGGCCATGTGATTTCTTTGGGTTTTACTTTGAGTGGCATTGGGAAGTCACTAGAGGATTCTGAGCAGAAGGAAGTGATTGAGTTTTCATTGTACCAGCTTCTCTGTGATTCATGTGTTGACTGTGGACTGACTGTAGGAGTCAAGGGGAGACGTAGGAAGTCTAGTTTGACCTATTTCAGTAATCCAGATGAAGTATGATGGTGGTGTGGACCAGTGGTGAAATGGTGAAAAAAAAAAAAAAGGGTTTCGATTCTGTATACATTTTGAAGGGAAAGTCTACAGGATTTGTTGACACATTGGACATAGGATGTTACAGAAATATTGGAATTAACATTAACTGAGGTGAGAAAGCCTATAGTTTACAAGGTAATGAATAAAAGATCAGGTGTGCTCAGTTTTAGAAATGATAGGTACAAAATAATTCTTTGGCTTTCATGTATGGATATCAATAAGACTCTTAAAAATAGGTGGTATTAGGGGTCAGGAGAGAGGTCTGGGTTAGAGGTATGATTTGAGAGTTATTAGCATTTTGGAATGCTGTTCAGAGCCATGGGCAGCGGAGTGCATTTAGATAGACAAGAAGAGGTCAGTGTTGTACACTAGGATGGGGGACAGATGAGGAGGAACAAGCCAAAGATGCTGAGAAGGTCAGTGTACTAGGAGGAAAATCGAGAGTCCTGGGAGCCGAGTGAGAAGGCCTTTCAGCGGAGGAGGTAAGCAGCTGGGTCAAAGGCTGCTGACTAGTGAAGGAAGGTGAAGTTTGAGAATGGAACCTGGATTTAGCGCCTCAGCGGTTACTGGAGGTCTTGTCGAGTGAGCGGGTTTCGGGGGATTCATAGGGAATAAAAGCCTAATGGGAGTAGAGTCAAGAGAAATTGGAAAAGAGAAGTAGAGACAGTGGATATCTGATAAAAGCAGTTGAGACTTAGGTGAATGGAGTTAATCCGTCCAGGATTAGTTTGCACATTAATACCCTTAGCTCTTTCTTGATATGGGAGAGCTTTTTACATACCAGATAGAAATATAAGTTTTCCCTCTTCCTTGGACCCCCATTCTTTCTCAGGAGTGTGTAGTGCTCTTCCATGTACCTTGGGTCTTCTCTACACACCATGCTCTCTTTCCCACCCATTTACACACCCATACTCTTTCTTCTTACGTGCATATGCACACCCTTTCCAAATGTGCTCATCACAGAAAAATGTTACTGTTTTTGGTTTTGTATATTTATTGTAATGAAACACCAGATTAGTATTCTGGAAATGCAAAGAGCCTCCTAAACTCTGTAATAGCAATGTGTAATTTTCATCTTCATAAATCTCATGAGAACAAGTTCAAGTTGATGTGCTTCCCAAATTGCCCATATTTATATCATGTCAAATTGGCCAATAATGGCTATCAATCTTTTCTCTTTCATATTCAAGGAAAAAATTATTAATCAAACTGGATAAGGACCTAGATGACTATAAAGAAGAGAAGAAACACTTGCAAGACATGGTTAACTCTCTTCCACAATTCGAAGACGGCAGAGAAAAAGCTCTGAACCAACAGTGCCAAAATACAGCACTCTTGTGGGAGAATGCAAAAGCTTCCATCGCTGAATGGTAAGGAAAACAATTGCTCTAAAATCTGAAAAATGGTCTGTCGCATAACTGACTTTTTGAAATGTGTGTGTTTAAAACACCTTCCCATGGACCTAACGGAAGGACAAACAGGAGTTTCACACTGGAAGCTCGCTGGGTCAATGTCCGAGCAGATCTGGAACCACAGATTGGGACTTGAATGAACCTAAGGAGTTATCTAGGAAGGATAACAAACACAGTATATTAATCACCCCACCTACATTAGTGTTCTATTACTGCTGTAACCAATTACCACAATTTAGTGGCATAAAAACATCACAAACTTATATTACAGTCTGGAGGTTGGAAATCCCCAAGTCAAGCTTTGTTTCTTTCTGGAGACTCCAGGAACAAATCCCCATCTTTGCCTTTTTTGTCCTTTGGAGGCTTCCTACTACATTCCTTGGCTTGTGGCCCCTTCTTCCATCTTTTTTTTTAAAATTGATTTTAAAAGAGAGGAAGTGAGAGAAAACAGAGACATCAACCTGCTGCTCCACCCACCGATGTGTTCATTGTTTGATTTTTTTTTAAGATTTTATTTATTTTTTAGTCAGAGTGGAAGGGAGAGAGAAAGAGAGGGAAAGAAACATCAATGTGTGGTTGCCTCTCACATGCCCCCTACTGGGGGCCTGGCCTGCAACCCAGGCATGTGCCCTGACTGGGAATCAAACTGGTGGCCCTTTGGTTTGCGGGCTGGCACTCAGTCCACTGAGCTACACCAGCCAGGGCCGTTGGTTGGTTCTTGTATGTTATGTGCCCTGATTGTAGATCAAACCCCTTGACATATGGGGACAATGCTCTAACTAACGGAGCTACCCAGCCAGGGCCCCTTTCTTCCCTCTTTAAAGCCAGTATCTCAGCATCTTCTAATCTCAACCTCAGTCTCTCTCTCGCTCTCACTTCTCCTCCTCATCACATTATCTTCTTTGACTCTGACCTTCCTGTCTCCCTCCTGTAAGGACCCTTCTGATTGTATTTCACCCACTTGGATAATTCAGGATAATGTCCCATTTTAAGACCCTTAACTTAATCACAACTGCAAAGTCCCTTTGGCCATGGAAGGCAACATGTTCACAGGATCCAGGTATTAGGACATGGACATTGTTGGTGGTTGGGGGCATTATTCTTCCACACTGCCCTACTCAAATGGCAGATGTAGCCTGTCACTTTCTGTTGCCACCATCTTTCCTACAGAGCCTAGGCATGGCTCAAAGGTTTTCTTAACTGTGTAACAGCCATTACCTTTGAGTCCCAGGTGGTGAATATGCTGAATCTACTCCAGTCTTGCCTTCTCCCCCTTACTCTCTGCCTGCGGGTAGGAGTGGTCTGGAGAACTGATCCCTATCCCTGTACCACCAGGCCAAGGGATCTAGTTGGGCTAAGAGATAGAAAGTACTAGTAGGAGATTAGAGGGCAAGAAGAGAGTTCAAGGTGGTCTTAACCATCCCCCTCCCTTTTTAGCATGTGTTTTGGCAACTCCTCCTGGATCCTCCTCTTTGACCCTGACCCGGGGCACTCTCCCTTTCCCCTCGAGGCCAAGTGGCGGGTCAGTAGAGAGCTATTGCTGCAGTTAGTGCAGGGGTGCCTCAGCTCCCCGGTGATTTCCCTTAACTCTGCTCTCCGTGGTCCTTTCTCACAGAGCTGCACTGAGCACTCTTTCCCTCCGGAACCTGCGTGTGCAGTAGTAAGATGAAGCCTGTCTGTAGTATTTGATCTAGCCTGCCCTTCGATTTTACAGAGGAAGGAATTAAGGTTCTGAGACCTAAAGTTGCTTTTCTAAGGTCACATGACTAATTGGTGCCTAGCCGTAACTAGGTGTCCTAACTGCCACATTATTATCGGTACTATACTTTTTTAAAAGGGCTAAATCTAGAATGAGTTAAGTAGACTTACACAACTTATGACTTGCTGAATTATTTTAAAAATAATCTCCAAGAATAATGGTAGAGACAGTTTTCCAAGGTGTCTTTTGGTTAAGGATGACATTGAGGTGTTGATTTCTTAAGGTTATGAATCGTATGTACTTTCTAGAGTGTACTTGTGGTGATTCTTAAATATTGATCAGGTGAAAATACTAAATCAGTGATCATTTACCAACCACTTGTCAGATAAATACATGAGCCACCACTCTTAGGTTAAATTGGTAAAACTGTTATAAGCCATGTCAAGAAGAAAAATCCTTCTATCATGTATTAATCTTTATTGTAGGATAATTAAAAAGAGAAAGAATGGTTTTGTTATTTTCAGACATTTTGCTGTTTTACGTTTTTTTCTTTTTTATAGCCTTGACCAATGTGAAAGAGTTTTGGAGCTCTTAAAACAATATCACAATTTTAAAAACGTCTTGACAACTTTGATTCAAAAAGAAGAGAATGTCATCTCCCTGCAGGCTTCGTACATGGGGAAGGAGAACCTGAAGAAAAGGATAGCGGAGGTGAGTCCGGCTCCAAAGGAAGCGCCACATGCGTCCTTGCTCATGAGCCTGCCAATAAAGGGGATATTACAAACGGAGCCGTTTTCAGAACTTGGTTGAAAAGAACTTACTAGTGACTCTATTTTACCAAATGCTTAAAAATGTATTCAATATATCAACAGAGCTTAAAAGAGATCACCCCCCAAGTTGATGTTTGTTTGTTTTTAATGCTAATCCAAGGATATGTTTATTGATTTGGGGGCAGGAGAGAGAGAGAAAGAGGGAGAGAGGGAGGCAGGGAGAGAGAAACATCCATTAGTTGCCTCCTATTTGCACCCCAGCTGGGGATCCAACCCCTAACCTAGGTACATGCCCCGACTGAGGATGGAACCCACGGCATTTGGTGTATGGGGCGACGCTCCAACCAACTGAGCCACCTGGCCAGGGCTGTTGGGGTTGTGATACTGGCACTGTGGTTCTGTTGGAGTCGGGGGTCACCCCTGCTGCTACCTCTGTGAGGTGGTACCAGTCGGTGTGTGTGCTACCTAAAAGGAACCTTCTATCTGAAAGGAACCTGAGACTCCATTACAGTCTCAAGAGAATGAAGACAGGAGGAAAATCCCCTCTGTTAGTGGACAAAGGAAAAAGTCTGTTTTTATTTAGTTGCTTTCTGCAAAGGTGTGTGAACCGATCTCAAGGTTGTTTTGTGTTTGTAGCCTCACCGATCACAGCTTTGTATTCTAAGAAGAATAATATTTTTGGACACTAGGTGTCATTATTTTCTATGATTTTACATGGTTATCAGTCAGAGTGGCATAAAATGAGATAGTTAGAAAAGAATACGCTTTACTATATTACTATTCACCAAAACGTTGCTTTTCCTGTAGGTTTTATGAGCACTATGCTAAAGTGCTGTCCAAGTGTCGAAAGCATGTGTGAACTTAGTGTACTAGATTCAGCTGGTTGTTAGAAAGCCATTTTATTGAACTTCCCAGTTGCTGAAAGCAACATTGGTAGAAGCTTCAATAGACTAGGTTCTTACAGGTAATTTGTTCTCTATCTAGAACGCTTGACCCTGAAGCTGAAATGACACTTAGGATTCAGACACATGGCCAGTGCCACAGATGAGGAATAGCCCCTGTCAGGGACCCACTGTCTCAGACTCAGTGTCTTGAAACTGACCAATCAGAAAGAGCCTTATAACTGGATTCCTATTAAGAGACTTAATTGAGGGAGGCAACCAAGACCATGCGCAGACAGTCAGCTGGAGTTGCTTAGATACAGCCCCTCTGGTTCCCTCCAGTGGAAGCAGCTTTGGGTCTGATGGTCTCGGGGTCAAGGAGGACTCTGGCCTCATTCTAGTGGATTTAAGGAGCTACGATTCCCTTGGTTCTCAGAGAATCCAATGTGACCAGCTGTGCAAGATCCCCTCAACCTTGTGTCCCAGTTCACGTAGCTGCTCCCCCACTGTGCCCCTGATGCCAGTTCCCCACCTGGTGCTTTCATTTCAGAATCAAGGTCTCTCCCTTAATCCCAGGTCCTAAGCCCCTGCCTTGTGTACTCACCAGACATATCTAGCTCCTCTTGCTTGCAGCTGTTCTTGGAATGTGCTGATCCTCCTTAGACCTCGAGTCCTACCTTTGTCCTGTCCAGTGGGATCCTATTACCAGCAAAACCCTATTTCTGTCCTATTCGGTGAGGTAGCATAGGAAAAGTGCCTAGCAGAGCACCTGGGATTTACCTCATAGCCAGTGTCAGCCGTGATACCCCGCTGTGTGTGGCTGCAGGGGAGGAAAATACTTGCCTCTGTGCTTATGGTTTTTTTGGCTGGTCTGACAGTCAAACAGACATGAGACAGAGTAGCAAGAGAAAGTAATTCAAATTTAATACATCTGTTTGGGAACCCTGCATACATGAGAGAGTCAGCAACCCCACATGAACTAAAGAACATCAGGGACGAAAAGGGAGAATGGGAACATAGGACGTTCCTAGCAAGGGGTGGGGCAGGGTACCTTGGGCACGTCAAATGGTTTTTGCAGAATGACAAGCAGAGCAGACATGCAGTGAGTAGAAGTGTACCCTGCTCTATAGCGAGGTCAAAAGAGGTTATCTCTGATCATCTCTTTTTATAGGCAAGGACCCTAATTCAAGTTCATCTAGGTAGTTAAGGGAGGTGCAGAAGTTTTTCCTGAGTCCCTGGGCTCAAATTGACTTTAGCTCAGAACAACCCACAGGCCACAGAGGCACATCTTGGGGTGACTCGTTCTAACCCCCGCCCCCCATCTGGCCTATCTGCAATTCTAAATGTTCCCTCTTCTCACTTGCTTGAACGCCCTTCCCACCACCCATAACTGCATAATCAGCCCCGTAACTGTAAACTGCATGCTTGCTGACCAGTAGAACTTCCATTGCCTCCAGGCATGTGGCCCTCTCCTGGGTGCGTCTCCCTAGTGGAAATCGGAGTCCTGGTCTTGACCCTTCTGCCAGCACTAGTGCCTCAATGGCTATCATCTTAGTTTGTTTGGGTTGCTGTAACAAAAATACCATAGACTGGGTGGCTCTTAAACAACAGAAGTTTATTCTTCACAGTTCTGGAGACAGTTCTCATAGTTTACAACATTCTGCTATTGAATCCACCTCCAAATCTGTGTTCTTCCCACGTGCAAAGTATATGCATTCCATCCCAACAGCCCCCAGAGTCTTAATTTGCTCCAGCATCAACTCTAAAACCTAAGTCCAGAGTCTCATCTACATACTGTCTAAATCAGGTATGGCTGAGCATCAAGGTGCATTTCGTTTGGGGGGAAATTTCTCTCTAGCTGTGAACCCAAGAAATCAAAGAAATTATTTATTTTCAAAATACTGTGGTGAGAACAGGGATAGGGTAGAGATCCACCCATTCCAAACGTGAGAAATAGGAAAGAAGAAAAACATAGTTGGTCCCAAGTAAGAACAAAACCTAACAAGGCAAATAACTGTAAACCTTAAGGCTTGAAAATAATCCTCTTTGGCCTGATGATCTGCCTCTAGGCCCACCGGGATGACTGGATGATACCCCCTCCCCCACCCCAGATCCCAGCAGGGGCTCCTGCAGCTCTCCTGGGCTAGGGCCCTGCACCCTCAGCATTCCTCCCCCGAGGTCACTCACTTGCAGCTCTCCCCTCCCTGAGTCCTCACCTGGTGGAAAGGTCAACACAGCTCTCGGGAGTCTCTTTACTAACACAAGGCCACCAGTCCTATTGGTGGCAGCTCCACCGCCATGACCTAACCACTTCCCAAAGATCCACCTCCTAATACCATCACATCGGGTGTTAGGATAAGAGCTTCTTAGAGTTTCTCATTAAATAACAAAAACTTATCACCTATGGCTAATTACTGAATGGTACTTAAATTATTATTTAAGCCCAGGTCTATCTGAGTGCAAAGCATGTTTCAGTCATCCTAATCGTGCCTTCCCTGAACACCTTTGAAGTATGTGTATGCAGAAGTGAAAATTGGGTAACTGCTTCATCTGCACCCCTTTCTCAATTGTAATAGTTAGCTCACAAAAAGTGCTTTTAAAATAAATAAAATAACTCTAATTACCTTTAGGAAAGATAGAAAAGCCTAGGCATTATTTTCTTACTATGTTGAGAATCCTCCATCTAGCACAGTGCCTAGCGTATAGGTACTTTATGTATTTGCTGAAATAATATATTATTTTGTATGGAAGATACAGAAGTTCTAATGTATTGGTGTTTAATTTTTTCCTCAGACACTTTTTTAACTGTCTAGAAAAAAGTGAATTGTAGTACTGTTGATTGTTAATACAACTTTCAGTTAATTTTGAGATGAGCTAGGTACTGTCTTCAGAAACAGTTTTTGTGGTACGTATTATCACGATGCTTTGCACCGGTGGCTTAAATATGATACCACTGAGAACTTTTGTCCTTCAAAACCACAGAAACCTGGATGTTTATCTAAGGTATGGTGCCAAATTTCCCCTCTCTTTAATGAAAGACAGTGCAAATGAAAGAGGTAAAGGCCGAACTGTCAGGGGACCACTAAAGTTCGGGAGATGTCAGAGGGGACCAGGTTTCCCTGCTGTCCCCCCTCCCTTCCGTGTATGACGAAAGCTGCAGTTCCTGTCAGTGCTGAAGCACCCTCTCCTGCTCTTTCTCTTCTCCTCACCTGCTGGTAGCTTGTGCCAGTGGAACAACAAAGTCCTTTGAATGTAATCAAAGTTAGAATGGATATATATGTACAATTTTTCACTTAATGGAACAAACATTTATTATGCTCCAGTGCAAACTAGGAGGAAAAACAGCTGGGTTTGCATTTCAGCCTTGCCTATGTATTAGGCAGTTTCAAGTCCGGAAAGAGAAACCTCCCAGTAATTTTTTTCATCAAAAATTTTTAATATTTCTAATTCAATTTTGATTTTTTAGATAATTATAGAGAAGTCAGATGCAGTTAAAAGAAATAATACAGAGAAAGCCCTGGCTGGTGTAACTCAGTGGATTGAGCACTGTCCTGAAATGCAAAGGGTTGCCGGTTCGATTCCCAGTCAGGGCACATGCCTGGGTTTCAGGCCAGGTCCCCATAGGGGGTGCATGAGAGGCAACTACACACTGATGCTTCTCTCCCTCTCTTTCTCCTTTCCTTCCCCTCTCTTTAAAAATAAATAAATAAAATTCAAAAAATAATAATACAGAGAGAACCTGTGTTCCTTTGACTGTGTTTTCTTAATGGAAAGCTCTTATAATTTTGCTGTTTCAAAAATCTAATATAAATGAAATCATACAAATTGTAATCTTTTGGGATTGGCTATTTTACTTAGCATAATGATCTGGAGATTCATTTAGATTCTTGAATGTAATATGATAAGTTGTGTTTTTTTCTTGCTGAGTAATATTCCAAGAAATGCATGTGCCACAGTTTATGTAAGTACTCACACTTTGAAGCACATCTGGGTTGTTTCTGGTTTTTGGCTATTATGAGTAAAGTTTCTATACACATTCACGTAGGTGGTTTTGTGTGAACTTAAGTTTTTTGTCTCCAGGAAAAATACCCTGGAGTACAGTTGCTAGGTTGTATGTTAATTGTATATTTAGTTTTTAAAGAAAATGCCAAACTGTTTTCCAGAGTGACTGGACCAGTTTACATTCCCACCAGTAATGTATGAGTGATCTAGTTTCTCTGAATCCTTCCCAGTGTTAGATATTGTCTATGTTTTACTTCAGTCATTCTGACAAGTATGTAGTGGTATCACATTATGATTTTAATTTGTATTTCCCTAATTGCTAATGATATTGATCTTCTTTTCTTTTGCCTGCATGACATTTGTATGGTATCTTTGGTGAAGTATCTCTTTATATCTTTTGCTCATTTTCTAATGAAAGGGGTTGATTGCTTTACTGTTGAGTTTTGAGAGTTCTTTTCATATTCTGGATATTAGTCATTTGTCAGATGTGGTTTGCAAATATTTTCTCCCAAACTATAGCTTGTTTTTTTTTTTTTCATTCTCTTAACAGGGTCTTTTGAAGACAGAGCAAAAGTTTATTTATTTATTTATTTATTTATTTATCTATTTATTTATTTATTTTAGAGAGGGAAGGGAGGGAGAGAGAGAGAGAGAGAGAGAGAGAGAGAGAGAGAGAGAGAGAGAGAGAGAAACATCAATGTGCGGTTGCTGGGGGTTATGGCCTGCAACCCAGGAATGTACCCTGGCTGGGAATCAAACCTGGGACACTTTGGTTCACAGCCTGCGCTCAATCCACTGAGCTATGCCAGCCAGGGCTAAAGCAAAAGTTTTTAAGTTTGGTTAAAGTACAATTTATCAATTTTTCCTTTCTTAAGTTGTGCTTCTGGTGTCAAAATCTAAGAATTCTTTGACTGTCTCGAGATCCTGAAGATTTACTCCTTTTTTCCCCCCATAAGTTTTATAGTGTCTGGTTGACATTTGAATCCATCATCCACTTAGAGTTAATTTTTTGTATGATGTGTGAGATTTAAGTTAAAGTTTGTGTTTTTGTCTATAGATGTCCAGTTGCTCCATCACCATATGTTAAAGGCTCCATTTCCTTTGTTGAATCTCTTTTGCACCTTTGTGAAAAATCAGTCGGGCATATTTGTGTGAATCCATTTGTGGGTTCACTCCTCTTTTCCATTGATCTGTGTGTCTATCTCTCTGCCAGTACCGCATAATGTTTATTACTGTACATGATAGATTTTAAAATCAGTTAGACTCCCCCCACTTTATTTTTTCAAATGTTTTAGCTATTCAAGTTCTTTTACTATTCCATATAAATTTTATAATAATCTTATCTATATCTACAAAATAGTATTACTGGAATTTGATCATTACATTAAACCTATACATGAGGTTTTTGGGGAGGGCAGAATTGATGTCTTTACTATATTGAGTCCTCCAATCTATGAAGTTGCTTTTCCCTGCGTTTATTTAGACCTTCTTTGACTTCTTTCCCTAGAATTTTGTAGATTATAGCAAATAAGTCCTATGCATGTTTTGTTAGATTTACACCTAGGTATTTGGTTTTTTGAGTAATTAGAAATGGTATTATATTTTAAAATTCAGTGTTCATGTATTCATTGCTGGTATATGGAAGTAAAGTTGATTTTTATATATTTATTTTGTATTCTAAAACCTTTCTGAAACTATTTAGCTCTTGGAGTATTTTTGTAGATTCCTTGGTATCGCCTATGTAGATAATCATGTCACCTGCAAACAAGATAATTTCTTGACACTGGAGATACAGGTCATCCTGTTATTGCTAGTTGGAGGTATGAGTTCTGACTCCCCATTAGGCCTCCACTGATATCCCCCGGCTGCTCCTTGCAACTCCCTATGTGGCCCATCATAGGGGCAAGTGCCTTGTTGCTGCCAGCAGGAATTAAAGGCCTGGCTCTCTACTTGGCCTTTGCTCACATTACCCTGGTTGGGTGAAGGTGGGGCTTCTGTTACAGCCTGGTGATGGTGGGAGTCTAGGCTGTGCACTTGACCTTTGCTGGTATGGTGGGGGTTGAGCCATAGTTTTAAAAAAATTCTTGTCTGTAGTGAGCAATTATGTTCTAAAAGTTTTCTGCCTTGCAAGATTGTCCTATTCCTGGTACGCTGGATGAAGAGAACAGGCTTTTGTTGGGGCTTTTTTGTCTGTTACGTTACCTGGTGCTGGCTGCCTCAGCCTACAGCCAGGGATGTTTGAGGGGAGAAGAAATTGCAGGGAGCTCACCAGCAGGTTGTTCCTCAGGAGCCGATGCCTGCAGCCATTGTTCCTTCTTAAACTCTCCTCTTTGCAGCCTTCTGAAATTAGTGTTGTATATGACGTGCGGGGTTTTTACTATTACTTAGTGCGGTGAATGGGGAAAAGGATGTCTACTCCACATTACTGGAAACGGGAGTCCTTCTAGGGCGCATAATTTTCAGATTTTTGGCTATGGGAAATCTATTCAAATTTTATGTAGTCATTAAAAATGTTTGTGTAAGATTAGTAAAGTAAGTGAATCACTAAGATTACATTAGTCAACAAATTTAATTTTATAGTTTAAGATCATTGGCCTTTTCATAAAATAGTTTATCAACTTCTATGTTAGAAATGATGCTGGAGTTGGAATCATGGAGGATTAAACTAGAAGGCGCATTCAAGATGTTGTAGAGTTCTGTGTGTTTTATTCAGATGAGAGCTTTTTTCTTCCCTGTTACAGGTGACTCCTGTGGGAGGAGTCTAGGAACTATCACTTTTTATACCATTGAATGGAAACACTTTTTGGGGGGTAGAATATCATTTCCCAAGGACAAAAAAACATGGTTTTAGATCATATTTTGTCATGCATAGTGGGAAGAAAGTTGGGTGTGGAATTATTGTTAAATCAGATGGTTAGGACTATAAACACTTTTCATTGAGAAAGCAGGACAATAAAAGCCAATAATAGAATCATCTTTCTTACAGCTTGTCTGTGTCAGTAGATCAAAGCATGTTTTATTACCTTTTTAACAGATTGAAGTTGTCAAAGAAGAATTTAATGAACATTTAGAAGTTGTAGACAAGATTAACCAGATCTGCAAAAATCTACAATTCCATCTAAATAAAATGAGAACCTTTGAAGAGCCTCCTTTTGAGAAGGAGGCTAATATCATTGTGGACAGATGGCTTGATGTAAGTGATAATTTAATTGATGAGAAATTCTGTTGTATAGCAATTAAATTGATCTTTTCTATTGCATCTTTAGTATTTTTAATGTCATTACAAAATTCAAAAGAGCTCATGGTAAAAATGTTCAAATAATATAAAGATTTGAGTTAGAAATTAACCTTCATACCCAGAGTTTTAGGCAGTACTAACAAATGGGTCTATAATTTTCTGCATACAAAAGAGCAAGCTCAATTTATTTAAAATAAACGAGTTAATGTGTTCCTCGTTTGTGGAGGTGTTACTGTTCAACTATATATTTATTTAATGCATTTTTAGTTGAGAACTAATGATATTTTTTAAGTGAATTACAAGTTAAGAATTTGTGTTGTGTTTTCATCTGGGTTTTTAAAGGTGCTTTTTATTTATTGTGGTTTAGAACTTAGGAAGACCACTGCTTTCACTGTATGTAACCTGCAGCTCATCAGCTAAGATTTTTTTTTTGTAGAATAAGAAAGTATAGGATATGTTAAAGCAAGTTTTTTATTGACTAATAAAGCAAAGTAGCCAGTAAAGTTAAACTTAAACTAAAATTGTATTTAAGAATAGTGTTTGACTGAAACAATGGCTTAGAAAAAGTATATTTTTTACTACTAAATGTGTTATTTCTCTTGTTAATTGTGGTAGATAAATGAGAAGGCAGAAGAGTGCTATGAAAATCTTGGTCGAGCTCTAGCTTTATGGGACAAGCTTTTTAACTTAAAAGATATCATTGATGATTGGACTGAAAAGGTCCTTCAGAAAATCGAATCACATCAACTCACTGAAGAGGAAAGAGAAAAGCTGAAGGTAATTTAACAGAGATAAAATATATGCTCTTTTGTTTTACACAGTTGACATTTTAATAATGAGTTGGCTTTCTTAAAGCAGGGTAGAGAAATCACCCGGAAATCTTCTATTTCTTTTATTACCCCTTGAGTGGGACCTGCACTGTGTTGTTTCCTGTATGATATCGGAGGAGTTGTTAGCAGATGTTCGCAGACAGCCATGGGATTCACAAATGAAATGACCTTCCACGAGAGAAAGTGCATCTTTATTTTCATGAATGTCTAACAACAAACATAGTAGGATGAACTTACATGTGACATTGTTATTAACCAAATCACAGATGTTTTAAAATCAGTACCTGGTTATTGCCACTATCACCCTTATCACTACTTTGAAAATGTGGTGTTTAGCAGGCCCACTGTTAGATGATGTTATTTAAGGTATTAATAGAGAAGCGTATATATTACTGTAGTATAAATATGTTATTTTTAACATTTTGATAAGTAACTCAATGTAATTTTTTTCTTTATAGTTTTACATAATTTATTTTATGTTTTATTTAAAAGGTGTTATTATAGAAAGGGTCCATAGGATTCACCAACTTTCTAGTGGGGTTTATGGTGTATAAAAGCTTAAGAACTCCTAGCAGAAGAAGCCTCAACAAAATGTATAAGCGTTTCCAGGTGGTTTTTAGGCCTCTGGATTAGGTAAACTTTTTCCTAAAGGGCCAAATCGTAAATATTTTATGCTTGTAGATCATTTGATCAGTGTCACAAATGGTGGCCCCTGCTGTTGTAACATGAAAGAAGTCCATCATGGATAAGACATGAGTGCTTGAAAGTGGCTGGTCCCAGTGAAACTGTTCATAAACACAGACTGCCAGCCCTTAGGCTGCTAGCCCCTGACGTAGAGCAGGGTTATGGATGACCTTCACACTTTGAATTAAGCAGTCCCTCAAAAATACAGACAAAACATAGGCTGTGTGTGAACATTTTTGTAGAGCTTCAGAAAAGGTTAGTTTTTAACATAGTAACCTCAGGTTTTGCCATTTGAAAAGAATTAAAGTTGTATTTTTTTTTTAACTCCAGAAAGAATTTTTTCTAACTGTTTTGTTGGTTTACGTATTATTTATTGGTTTGTACCATAAAAAAAACACTATCTTGGTAGGTCAAAAACAGTGAAACAGTTGCAATTTTATCTGCTTCAATGTAATATAAAAATATGTATGTATTGTGACCAAAGACTGCAAAATTTGTTATTTTATTCACCTTTAAATTTAGTTATCCATTTTTATGCATTTGGAAAAGACTTGCAGTATGTGTGGAGATTTATGAGTTTTCTGGGTGTGATAATAGTCATGAAGTAAAACTATGATTTTTCTAAGTATGACTGAATGATCACTATGAGTCCCTTATATTTGTCTTAAACTACAGTTGTTTTAGATTATGAAGTTAAAGATTATAAACTGCCAGTTTATGGGCCAAATTCTACCAGCAAGTGGGAGGGGTTGTGATTGTGGGGGGAGGTTGACACAATTTACATGTACAGCTCTATGCAATGCAGTAGCTTTAGGTGGTCCCGCACGCTGGTGTATTACAACCCTAGTCCCTCTCTACTGTCTTACAGCTTGGACCCCTCTCTCTGTTGTTATGTTTGTCCGTATTCATGAAGGCACTTGGGTTTCTAACTCCCAGGACTCTGTCAAAGCAACAAGTGATTAGGGGCAATTCAAAAGGGCTCTCAATTTCTGTGTATTAGCAATAGCAATCATGGATTCCAGAAAATAAGGTGTATAATAAAAATATTTTTTTATTAAAATTTTGTGTTGTAGGCAGAGTTACAAATCCATGAACAAAAATCCTCAGACTTTTCTAAAAGAGTGGCTAAAATACAGTCTGTGCTTCAAAGCAGTGAAATACCTCTTGAATTGCAGGTAAGAGAATTTTTATTTAAAAGTTGCAATGAAGGTACTCAAAAGTAACGTTCATAAACCAGAATTTGAATCTTAAACCTAAAATAAAATTAGGATCATTATTTAATTCACCTTTGTTTAGTTCCTACGTTAAGTCTAACGAAATTTTTAATAGTCAGCATAGCATATTATCTTTGTTCCACTTTTAGGATGAATAGTATTTTTTGCATTCTTTTTTTCTTATGCTATTTATTTCACAGGCCTCTTGTGTGGAGGGAGGGAGAGCACTGTGCGTCCATGTTAGGGGACAAGGGGAGTCCTCAGGAGCTGACGTGGGTGTGGGAAGGAAAATATTGCTCCAGTGACTCTAGGTTTATTAATTGCTAGATGGAGAACCGGGAAGATTGCCTCAAGTGTGAATTTCTGTTGTGTGAAGAGGTTTGGTACAATTTTATGTAAATCAGAGTGCATAATGGCTGAAAAGGAATATTCACATGGCTGAATATGAGTCAGACTTTCTGGGTGAGGCCCTGGTGCTACCACCCATTAGTCCTCTGATCTTGGGCAAGCTACTTAACCTTCTTAAGCCTGTATTTTTGTACATTAAGTGCTTACCATGATGCCGTGCATGTAATAAACACTCAACAAATGCTGGCTTTGTAATTTTTTCTGTAGGTTTTTATATGTTTTCAAATGAGTGTTATGAAATAACACCTCAATTGGTATGCTAGCTAAAACTGGTTTTGAGGAAGTGTTTCAAATTAGTCTCTTTTAAAAAAAGTCAGAAGTTCAAGCCCTGGCTGGCATAGCTCAGTGGATTGAGCACGGGCTGTGAACCAAAGTGTCGCAGGTTCGATTCCCATGCCTGGGTTGCAGGCCATGACCCCCAGCAACCGCACATTGATGTTTTTCTCTCTCTCTCTCTTTCTCCCTCCATTCCCTCTCTAAAAATAAATAAATAAAATCTTTAAAAAAAAAAGTCAGAAGTTCCATTTTAGTTTTTCATGTTACTCTTTTTCTTTAAAGGCAACATTTGAATTGTCATATCAGTGATGTAAAGCAGTGAAGAATTTTAAGTAGAGAAGAATTTATTTCACATTAAAATGAAGTAGTTGCAACTCATTCCCTAGCAATGTGGTTTGTCTTAAAATCTAGTTGAATAAAACTTGTAACTGTACTTCATGTGTTTCTTGATTTCAGGTCATGGAGTCCTCTATTTTGGAAAAGATGGAACGTGTAAAAATGCTTTTAACAGGGGAATCCAACGGCTCTGCACTCAGCGGAAACGCAGCTGAGCTGCGGGAGGACCTGGACCAGGCCAAGACTCAGATTGGGATGACTGAGTCCCTCTTAAAAGCCTTGTCTCCTTCGGACAGCTTGGAGATCTTCACGAAACTGGAGGTGCTTCCCCGCGGCTTCTCTTCTGTGGTTCAGATTTATTTTCACATTTATTTCTGATGGTCTCTTGAAGTTAAAAAATAAAAGCCGGGGGAAAGATCTCAGACAAACAATTTGTGTATATTTAGCAGTCACCTTTGACTTGGACAGTAATTATTTGATATTTAATTGCATTGCCTCTGTGTATTTCCTGGCTAAGAGAAAGCAGTTCCACCCAAAAGAAAAATCATCTATGTTTTTACAAAAACAATGGAGACCTGATATGCATTGTGCACATCGAGCCCATTTTAAGACTTAACGGCTGTTTGTTTGCATTTTTAGGAGATACAACAGCAAATTCTACAGCAAAAGCACAGCATGACATTGCTTGAGAATCAAATAGGTTGCCTGACTCCTGAGCTCTCTGAATTAAAAAAGCAATATGAAAGTGTCAGTGATTTATTTAACACCAAAAAAAGTGTTCTGCAAGATCACTTTTCTAAGCTATTGAATGGTGAGTGCAATGTTTCTTCTGTGTTTCTGAGAATCTTCAAGTATGAATAAGTACTCTGAACACAAAAGCTAATCTAAGCTCCACTTAGGGATGGTTGCACAGATTATATTTAAAGAAAAGGACCGAGTGATTGAGGAAGGATTTATTCAGAAAAATCTTTTGGGGGGAAGCTCTCACTAATCTATGCATGTTATAAATAGCATCTATTTCTTTCAAGTGCCAAATCTTTATTTTACTAAAGAAAGTCAACACTGTCCTCATGTTTGACCCACCACTGTGGTGAGTGAGTCCAGGGACATGTCTGCTGGTGTCTTTGGGTGTCCTTGGAAAGGAGTTTTAGTGTAGAGAATACACCACAATTACTTTCTAGATTCTATTGGCCCTCAGAATTGGGTTTCGACTTATTATCAGTTCACACAGTGATTTGTAGCCATGTCATGGGAAGCAAGTTTCAAGATCTCTCACTTTAACTAGATATATACAGTCTACCTCGAATGAATACAGCTTTATTTATTTATTTTCCCCTGCAGATCAGTGCGAGAACTTCAATGACTGGTTCGGCAACATTAAAATAGACCTTGAAGAGTGTTTTGAATTATCAGAAACAAAAAAGAGCATGGAACAAAAGCTACAAAAACTTTCTGTAAGTCAGTAAGAATTCATTAAAACTAAAGTGCTAGAGACATAGAACTGTATTTAAATAGGTAGGATGATAATTACTTTGACTTATTTATTTACCTGCATAGAGATAATATTTTAAATAACCTGGCTTTTCCCAAAGATTTTGAAACTGTGCTTATTGGGTAATGTTGCAGGTGTTTTAAACAAGTTGTGTTTATACATCTAAGATGCTATTTATCTAAGTGTCTGCTAATGAATTCAATTGTGTTAAAATCATATTTGATAAAAAATTAAAAATTTATCTAATGTATTCTTTGACATTCCTTTAGTTTCCTGAAAGAGGTTTCTTGACTTTTTAAGTCTTTCCAGGCATATTTCTTTTAAAAATTGCAGTTGAACTTGAATATACTGCTAGTCAAAGTGTAGTGGAAGGCGGCCTAGCAAACAGCAGAGTGCCTGCCTGTGTAAAATGCACATGGTACCCTTAACTCTCGATCACTTCAGGGTAGACTATCTAGTACTTTAATTTTGATAATAAGTCACCCTCTCAAGCTTATTGATAGCACTTAATGTTCTCTGATTCACTGCTTTGATATCATTCTTCATTGATATAACTGCCTTTCTTCTGTTTTTTTTATAGCTCTGATTTTTTTTATCCATTAATGTCATTCAATTAATGGGCCCCAGCAACTGATGCTCAAACACTTTAACACAAACATTGAAATAAAATTGTGATTTGGACAAAGTTTTATAGAAAATAGTCTGTTTAGTTTTACATTTTGATTACCGTAAAGGAACAAGTATTCAGGAGAAGTTAAGTACGGCCAGGAAAGAAGAATACAGCTTTTCCCGGGGTAACTTCTACTGACCTCCATGGTGGCACTGCACTGTTTTGCCTGGGTCATTTCCAGAAAGGCAGAGGCACGCACACGCTGTAGAACTAACATAAATCAGCTTTTGGTCATTTGTCATCGAAGTCCGTCCTATCACCATAGGTCTTCTTTTGTGCAGGAGGTCAGGAAGATGGCATGTCCATGTACTGGCTTGGACAGTGTCATGGGGATGGCAGAGAACATACACTTGCCAGTAGGAAATAATTGACTTTTTGTCTTTTTTAAGGATTTCTTGGCTCTTGAAGGTAGAGGCAAGCAGATACAGCAGGTGGGAACGGTACTGAATCACGTGAAGAAGCACCTGCCCAAAGCACATGTTAAGGAGCTTACCAGTTGGATTGAAAGTCAAGAAATTGAATTAGAAAAAATGGAGTCTGTATGCCAAGTGCGAGCAAAGGAGCTTGATGACTGTTTGCATCAGCTGCTGAGGTAGGAAATGAAGTTGACCTCTGAATAGCATGTTTTCTAGTGATATCTTTCTATGTTCTTTGCCTCAGTACAGCTAGCACTGGGATACACAATACACATAAACTTAATGAATACACATACTTCCAAACCTGAGTTTGGCTCTAGGAAGATGGAGGTTTATAGAATTCTTCAAGTTATTTAACATGGCAAAGGTTTAGGGAAGACAAAAATGTTCTCAATTTGTTTCCTATTTTTTTATGATACATTTGTGTGACTCCTGATTTATAGAATACCACTGTAATACAGGCCATTATTATTCATATTTAATGTTACAAATTAAATTTTCTCCAAAGAATAACGAAAACATACAGTAAAAAAAATCTGGTTGGCTCGGAAGGTTCATGTCAGTCTTCTCTTCAGAGAAACACTTTTTACTTATCTTATGTTCTAATGTATAGTGTAATGTTCTTTTAGACTCCAGGATGACCACAGAAACCTGAGTAAGTGGCTGACTAATCAAGAAGAGAAATGGAAAGAAATGGAAGAATCAGGAGAGAAAACTGAGTTATTTTGCCAAGCCCTGGCTAGAAAGAGGTATGGCTGATCTTGTCTACAATGTATTTGCTGGGAATGTGGGTTTTTTTTTTACATGATGTTGTGGCTCCTATAAACGTTCAGTGATATTTGGAATTTACAGAGAACAGTTTGAATCCATGGCCCAGTTGAACAGCTCTTTGAAGGAATGTGGGCTTGCTGAAGAAGAAATAATAATGGAATCAACACGTTTGATTGATAGATACCAGGCATTATTGAGACAAGTATGTGAAACCGAGGAAGAGGATAAGTTACCTCCTGCTGAGGACCAGAGCTTTAATGATCTTGCACAAGATGTAATTCACTGGATAACAGGGATCAAAGAATCCCTTATGGTTTTGAATTCATCTGAAGGCCAAATGCCACTTGAGGAAACAATCCAAAAAATAAAGGTATAACTGTGGAAATAAAATTTCAGAGGTCAGAGCGAACTCTAATTTTGAAATGATTTAGAGGAAAATGGCAAAGATTTGTTTCTTAATGGAAAGTAGAATCACTGTAGAATGGTTAAAGACATTCAGATGATTGACCTCACGAAAGAGAAGGGCTGTGAGGGATCTAAAAATTATTTTAATGCAGTTGGAAGAGAGAAAGTAAATCCTCTCCTTGTGAGGGCAATGCCCAGTTACTGTCCATCTTCCCTGAGTGCAGTGGAATTGAAATAAAGGCAGGAAGTCAGGGCTGTGGCTGGTGGGAGTTTGCAAGGATAGAAAAAGGCACCAGCAGTGTCCAGGGTGGGGAACTCTTCTTGAGTGTATGTATAGGGTTCATCAAGGTTATTGGGTACTGAGTGGGTTGTGGAGGGCAAGGGCATCTCAGCCTCCTTTCAGCCCACTTTCTATCTAAGGGAGATTCAGTAAATATTGCTAGTTTAAAATGCAGGAGACAGAAGCACATGTACTTAGAAGAAACTCAGGAGAATTGAAATCATGTTGATCGAAGTATTGTTAGAAGAAATGGTTAAGAGTAGTGAGCTGGAAGTGTTGGTGAGACTTCATGAAGTAATCAGAATTCTCGGGATTATTTTCATAAAGGTTTTCCAGAGCAGGTGAATCTGGAGTAGTTGCTAAGAAGGGAAGAACTTGTTAGTTGAGAGCACAGGAGGGAAAAATAAGACTGGGGAATGGGAATTACTTGTGCTGTGGTGCAGAGATAAGAGTTGCAGGAGAGATGCTGCTGCATTTTCCCGTGGGGAGCTGTGAGTCTCATCTTGAGTGTATAAAAATGTGCCATTCAGGTTGTTAGCCCAAGTCTTCATCTGGAGATAATGGAGTAGATAGGAGGGTGGACTTGCCAGGGCTTGCTTTTTTTTGTTTGTTTGTTTTTGCTTTTTGGCATATTCTTTATTTGAAGGCAGTTGAAAACAAAGAGGAAATCTGGAATGTAATCACCTCAATCTGACAGATGTTTCTCGAGAACCAGTCTTCTATAATGCAGGGGAGATGTTTTTGTCTTTTGGGCACATATGAAAATGAAAGGGTGATTTTGAAATCTAACCTGCAGGCAGAATCTTAATATAATTTTTATAAATAAAAAGATAGCATATGTACTATTCTCAGTACTATGGATAGGATTATAAGATCTTTTTGCTTCAATTCAGGAAATCATTTTACTGAAGCCTGAGGGGGATGCTAAAATACAGAAGATCATGAGTCGGGCTGTGACCAGCAAGGCTCCGATGGCGTCAGAGACCGTTGCGGACATCGAGAACCAGTGGGTCAGCACGCTCCATTTAGCCAACACGTACCTAAGGTAAAGGACACGCCTTCACCACTCTCATGGTTTTCCATTGCACAGTGAAGTTTTGACAAGTGTGTTTTGTCTGCTTCCTGGATTCAGATACAGTGCCTATTGGAGAGGAAGTCAGTAGGTCAGGGACACCCAAAATGTCAGAGACTGAGCGAAGAGGAATGGTTCTCTGGGTCAGATATAAAACAGTGCTGTTGTAGCTCTACGGCAGTGTTCACTTTGGCTGGTACATCACCCCGTGGGGTTTTGGGTAACAAATTAACATCGCCTGTCATTCTGCCTTCAGTAATCCACTTCTGCACTGAAACTACCTTCCCCCAGACAACCTCAGTACCCACGTGGCATTCCTGTAGAATAATTAATGCCTTTAAATACGTATCCTAGGGTTCTTACATGTGCAAACATCAGTAAATGTCTGAAGTTAAGGACATAATTCTAGTAAAAACTTGATTAAGATCACATCTTAAATGATACACTTAATGTTTGATAGAAATGTGAATTTTACATTTTTCAACAAGACAATCAGATCAAAGCTAAATTTAAGATATAAAAAGAATAAACTAGTTAGTTGGCCAATACACTGAATGCTTATTTGTTTTACTTATATAAAAAGGAAAACATAGGGTAATGTAACTATATTTAAACATAATAAGAACAAATAGTTTGAAATATAAATTATTATTTTTTCTCAGGTCAAATTATGTAACAAAAACAGTAATATTTCAGCAGTACTACAAATAATTATTGTCTTAATTTCTGAACTAAACTCAGTGCTGTTTACAATTTTATAATGCCAAAAAAGTCTGTAGGAATAATGTATATTAGTATTATTTTAATACTTTTTTGTTTGTTACATTATAATGTGCAAAATGCCATTCCATTTGCTAATTGTCATTTCCTTTGTAAAACTGTTTTGTTAAATTTAGCCATCAAGAAAAGCTTCTCCTAGAAGGAGAGAAGTATTTGCAGAGCAAGGAGGACCTGAGGTTAATGCTCACAGAACTGAAAAAGAAACAAGAAGTGGGCTTTGCTCTGCAACATGGATTGCAGGAGAAGAACGCTCAGTTGAAAATTTATAAGAAATTCCTCCAGAAAGCACAAGATTTGACATCCTTGCTAGAGGAGCTAAAATCTCAGGGAAATTACCTCTTAGAATGCACTAAAAATCCCAAGTTCAGTGAAGAGCCTTGGCTGGAAATAAAGCATCTACATGAAAGTCTTCTTCAACAACTGCAGGTGAAGTGGTCAAAATAAAATTTTAAATGATTGTCATAATTATGTAAGATGTATATAGAGAAATTTTTTGTTTTTAATTTAATGTATCACTTTTAGATAAAAATATTAAATCCTCAAGGATAAAGGAATCAAGCTAGTCAGTTTTGCTACAAGAATCCATTATGTATTATTTGATGAGGATGTTATTTTCTTTCATTGACATTCCCCTCTTCAGGAATAGAAAGACTTAAGATTTTTTTAGGCATCTCTGTGAAGGTGATTGTTTCAGTTATTCATGCTCATCCATGCATCCATCCCTCTGTCCATTGATGTATCTAATGCAAACATCTACCCATCCATCCATCTATCAACTGTTACAATAGTTTGTATTCATTATTCCGTATAAATGTATGTGTGTCTCTCTCTCATGTCTTTCTACGTGATCTGCAGTAAAAGGGTTAAGAAGTGAAATGTCAGCTTGTCATAAGGGAGTGTGTTTTCTTAAGAGAATTGCTTATAATTCTGTGCACATTGAAAGCCAGTTTCAATTTGGAATTACCTGGGTAAGAAACCCTGCTTATACAGATACAAGGAGTTGTGCAGGGGTGAAGATGTATCCTCTCGGTGTTAAGTTGTTTCGTTTAATAGTTGCTACTTTTCTGATTAGGCGTGGTTGCTTTATTTTCTTACTCCAGGAAGAGAACCTGAAGGTGATTTCACTCTTGAGTTAGGATTACTTTTTCCTGAGACACAACTTTGGAGTTTGAATCTTATGAAAGGAATCAGGGGTTAGGTTGATCTCAGATAGTCTCATTTTCAAGTGTGGGTACTTAGTTTTAGTAAGAAGGATAATTAAGGGACATGCTTCATTATGGATGTTTGTGATGATGACATAATTTGTAGGCATTTCATTTTGTAAGCCTCTTGACAAATAAATTGTCTTTAGGAAAGAAGTGAAAGCAAAGAAATATGGGGGAAAGAAATGTGGTTTCAGTAAGGGTCACTTTCGGGGGAGGAGGGAGGTTTTATAGTGAAGTATCTCAAACACTAAACTCTAAAAGAACTCTGGACAATTTATGACCATATTCCTGTTTCAAGATGAAACCTCATAAAACAAGTACTTATGAACAACTTAATTATTATCGGAGTGAGAAAATTCAGAAAGAAATAATTCATACATTGTCAATGGTTTCATTTTTAGGATTCTGTGCAAAAGTTGGAAGGTCATGTTCAAGAACACCACGCATACCAGGTTTGCATCACAGACCTAAATAATGAATTGGACAGCATCTCCAAGGAATTTGTTAGTTTTTCTGACAGGCCTGTGGATCAAATGGAAGTTGAGGGCAAACTCCAGGAACTGCAGGTATTAAACAATGTCCACACATGATAGATATTTAAAAAACTCAATTTTAATGACAACTTTACTAATGAATGTCTTTGGTTTGAAAGTCAAGTGCTCTTCAGATGACTACTAGATAAAGTGCTGACTAGTCATAAAAAAAATGGAATGCTCTTCTTTAGTGACCAAATCCATTTATCGTTTCTGTTGTAAGTGGTCCCTGCACTCGGGAGTCTCAGGGATGATTCTTCCCACGACCCATCTGTAGCTTTTGGAGATCTTTGTTTCAGAGACCACACAGTGATTCCAGGAGAGACTGGGCGGTCCACGGATGCATCTCATATAAGACCCAGGGGGAGCTCTTTCCCTTTTGCATTCTCCATTGTGGGTGGTTAGGAGTTGTGTAATTTTTATTAATTTGTGGGCTTGTGGACTACATCAGAGCTCTCTCTCAGAGGTAGGGCTTTCAAAATTCTCACACTGTGAGGATTGCAGCCATTTACCCTCATCCTCAAAACACTTTCCTCGGATTTTTGCTGTTGGCACAGCCAGCATAAACAGGCCCAAGCAGCGTCTTCTAGAAGAAAACAAAGTAAAGCTTTTCTCAGCTCCGCCTTTCACAGTTCCTTGACTGGAGATTCTGTGGGGTGAGTCACAGGGCAGCGCTGCTGACATCAGCTTGGGAATGTCTCATCGCTTCCCTTTGGGGACCCGGGAAGCATGCCAGACTTCTCCAGAATGGACAAGTCTGCCTCCCCCTTTAGTAGTGATAATGTGACAAACGTCAAGGTTTCATCGTGTCTGAGGCACTGTTTGAATGCACGGGTACTGAAAAAAGTAAAACTTGAGCCTCATTGTGAGAAGCTCAGGATCCTGTTGAAAAATTAAAATGCAGGCTTTTGCTATACATAGAAGGAACTACAGAGGCCATCAAGTTCAGAACCCTTCATTTCTACCCAATAAACTGAGTTGTGGCAAGGTGAGGGATGTACAAGGTCACCCAGGTTGGTTGGCAGAGGGTGGTCACAACTTAAGTCTTCCAATCCTAGTCTGGTGTGTGCTTTTTCTAACTCTTCACTGAATATCTCTACTTGGTTATCTCACAGTTAGTTGCAGTTAAGTGCATCCAAAAATTAACACATCTTTTCCTTCCCTTTCTCCGTCTCTGGGGGGCTCTCTGCCAATGAACCTGCTTTATCTACTAGGTTATTTGACTCCATGAATATCTCCACCATCTCTCCAGGCTTTTAGTCAGAAACTGGATGTCCTTTCCTGGATTCCCAATCTAGTCGGACATCAAGTGTTGTCTCTTTCATCTCTGGAATATCTTTACAATTAGTACCCCCCCCCCCACAATTTCCCCATGATTGCTGCTTTAGGATAGGCCCCCATCTCACAGATCTCTGCATTAGACTTCTGAACGGGCTCCCTGCCTGCACGTGTCTGCTCCAGCGCACCTTCCGGATCTGTCTAAAATGCAGATCTGGAACTCACTTCTTTCAGTTTAAAACATTTCAGTGACCCATTTGTTAGCACAGGCCTTTTTACATTCAATTGCAATTGTCTGTTTACTTCTGTGTCCCTGTGGACTGTAGGAGCTTGAAGGGAATGGATTTTACTCACCCATGTAACTTCAGAACCTATCATAATACTAACTGTTAGTTGAGTGAGTGAATGAATGAATGAATGAATGAATTTTTTGTGTGTGGTCCATTAAGATAGTAACTAATAAACCCTACATTGTTCACTTAGTGACTTTAAGGCTTATTCGAATTCAGTGGTAACATCAGTACCTGCTGTAGAACGCAATTTACTTTTGAGTCTAGAATTCTCAGATTAGCTCCCTTTCTTCATGCATACATTTAGCAGATGTTGATTGACTTCCCACTATATTGAAGACGTTGCACTAGATAGATTGATTTAAGCTTTGTTCTGAATTTTAAACATAAACATTAGATTCGTGTGGGTACATTCTAAGTGATTTTTAACATACTCTTTCAATGTTTTGCAAATAGTAGGCACTTATTATTTGGTGTTTTGATTATGTCAAAGGCTGTAACTTGAACTAAATACATACTAAACAAATATGTATTGACTGTCTCCAATGTTTCAGGAACTGTGTTGTGAAAATTTGTTACTTCTAATTTTTTAGTTACATAGAAAATCTGCTTGGGAATTTGATCTGGGATGCCACCTTGCTTTAAATTTTACCCAAAGTTTCTTCTTGGTGATATGAGTTGATAAGTTTCTTGTACTTCCCACTAGTGAAGCGGAATACGTTGCGATTTCCAAAAGTCAATTAACTCTTGTGACAATTGAACAGAGTTAGTTCTTGTGACAATCTTTTCTCCACTCACAGGAACTAGAGAATAGACTCCATTTACAAGATGGCACGTTAGAGAAGATTGTAGGTTTAGCAAAATCCATCAAGCAAAATACATCTTCAGTGGGACAGAAGATTATTAAAGATGATATAAAATCACTTAAGTGTAAACAAAAAGATTTGGAAAACAGACTTGAATTTGCTAAGCAGGAGATGGAAAATTATCTCAACAGCATTCTCAAACCAAAATGCTCAACAGAAAAGAAAGAAAAGTTTACTCCGCCAGGCAGAGAGAAGCAGGTCACTTCTGATGTGCAGGAGTCCACTCAGGGCTCAGCTGCAGTGGGGAAGCTGGAGGAAGACTCAGAAGTAAACAAGGTAAGTGCTTGTGATTGCATCTCTGAGACATCGAGTCTGAGAATGAAGAGGTGCTGGGATTTGAAAAGAGGGTCGTGAATCAAGCCTTCTGATTTCATAATTAAACCTTCAGTGTGCTGGCTATTTATGTGGCCCACTTGTAAAGAGAGCCCTTAGAAAACTGTCCAAGATTTCAGTGGTGAAATATTATACAGTTCAGTGTGTTAAAATGTCAGTCATCAATTTAGGTTTATTATTCTCTCTGATATGTAATCAGATATAATTTCTTGGGTCAAAAGCACAAAGGCAAATGAAAAGAAAATGTGCTTTACCCATTTTCTTAGGAAAAAATCCAAGGGCCTTGGGTTTTTTTTTTGGTTGATTTTATAATGAAATCAGAGATTGTTGGAAAGGCTAGATTCCTTCTTTTTCTTCTTATGTTAACCCTATACTGCAAATATAGTTTTAAATGTTGTCTGATCATTTGGTTTGAGAATATCAACATTTAGCCTTCTAATTTTCCCTGGGGAGAAGAATGAAGAATGTTATTTTGTTTTCACTCTGAACAACTAAATGGGTATGTTTTCCTGGGGCTCTTAAAGTGCTTTCTTATAGGTTAGAGATTAAAATAGAAAAGCACAAAGAGCCAGCTAGTAAACTATATTTGAAAGGGTCTCCCTGTTAAGCAGCATCTTAGGCAGCACCTGTCAATCAGGATTCAGTTGGACAGTAGCAAAGGTTCATCTATACAGGTGTGAATTCTCGTCAGCTTTTTATGGAATATGTAATCAACAGGAATGAAGAGAATATGCACTTCTCTTGTCTTCCTAGAACAGAAATGCATGGAGCATCACAGGACCTAGACAGGGTTTCCTAGAAGTTAAATGCCAATGGAACCTCTCTTTGGCCATGAGAAAAGACTTTTAAATCCCAGTGCTAGATATTGCTAGGGGAATACTATGTGTTAAGGATTAAGGGCCCTGTGAGTGAGATTCTTGATGTTGTATCTGTCAAAGAAACTCTTAACAGAATTTAAACAGCAGCAGTTAAATAAAAAAGGAAATACACTTGAGTGCTTCCTGTCTTAGTACATGAATTTCTAAAGGGACTTGTTTAATAACCTTAAAATTAGCTTCTTGGACCCATTTTGGCTGTGAACCCTCATAATTTAATATAATATATTGAAACCTAATTAAAGATCATAATCCAGTAATAATTTTAAAAAATTTTATTAAGCTTTTACTTAATTTTACATGACAAGTTAAGGATAATGTATGATGCTGCATCAGAATGATTTTTCTCCCAGAGGAGATGGAGTGACTTACCTTGCCTCACCCACTTTCCCTCTTGTAATTACCATGCTATTGCCTGTGTCTATGAGTTTTTTTTTCTTTTGCTTAATCCTTTCACCTTTTTACCCAGCTTCCCGCAACCATTCTCCCCTCTGAAAGTTGTCAGTCTGTTCTCTATCTGTGAGTCTGTTTCTGTTTTGTTTGTTAGTTTGATCTCACTTGTCTTTCTCTGACTGACTTACTTCACTTAGCATAATGCTCTCCAGGTTCACCCATGCTGTCACAAAGGGTAAGATTTCCTTCTTTTTTACAACTGAGTAGCGTTCCATTGTGTAAATGTAGCATATAGCTGTTTGATCAACTCATCTACTGGTGGACACTTGGGTTATTTCCAAATCTTGGCTATTGTAGATAATACTGCATTAACTATAAGGGTGCATATATTCTTTCAAATTAGTGTTTCGGGATTCTTCAGTTTTATTCCCAGAAGTGGAATCACTGGGTCATAAGGCAGTTTCATTTTAATTTTTTTTAGGTAATTCCATACTGCTTTCTACAGTGGCTGCATCAATCTGCGTAACAATGCACAAGGATTCCCTTTTCTCTACAACCCCTGCCAACACTTGCTGTTTGTAGCTTTATTGATGATAGCAATTCTGACAGGTGTGAAGTGATATCTCATTGTGGTTTCAATTTGCATTTCTCTGATGATTAGTGACATTGAGCATCTTTTCATATGTGTATTGGCCATTCTCTGTCCTCTTTGGAGAAGTGTCTTCAGGTCCTTTGCTCATTTTTTAATTGAATTGTTTGTTTTTTGGTATTGAGTTTTATGAATTCCTTGTAAGTTTTGGATATTAACTCCTTATCAGGTGTATCATTTAGCAAATACATTTTCTTATTCAGTGGGTTTTTTGTCGATAGGGTTTCCTTTGCTGTGCAAAAACTTTTTAGTTTGATGTAGTCCCATTTGTTTATTTTTTCTTTTGTTGCTCTTTCCTGGAGCAATATATCAGAAAAAAACATTGCTACAAGAAATGTCCAAGATTTTGCTGCCTGTTTTTTTTTCCTGGGGTTTTTATGGTTTTATGTTTAACAGTTAAGTCTTTAATCCATTTATTCTTGTGTATGGTATAAGAAGTTGGTCCAGTTTAATTTTTTTGCTCATATTTGTCCAGTTTTCCCAATATCATTTATTTAAATAGACTATCTTTACCCCATTATGTTTTTTCCTCCTTTGTCAAATATTAATTGACCATAAAAGTATAGGTTTATTTCTGAGCTCTCTATTCTGTTCCATTGATATATGTCTGTTTTTTTTTTTTTTATGGCAGTATCATGTTGCTTTGATTACTATGGCCTTGTAGTATAGTTTGATATCAGGTAGTGTAATTCCTCCAGTTCTGTTGTTCTTTCTCAAGATTTCTGTGGCTATTCATAATCTTTTGTGGTTCCATATAAATTATTGGAAAAGTCTTCAAATAATTTTCACAGGTCTGAATTATAGGAAGGTAGTTTTAATTCTCTAGAAACATTTTACTTTATTTTATTTTTTACTGTTTTATAACATGAATCTTTTTCTGAATCTGTGCTTCTTATTTTCTCTGCTCTAAGTACTGGCTGTATTTAATTTTATATAACATTAGATTTTGTAAGATCAAGAATAGTTTTAACATTGAACCACAACTAGTTAAAGAAATCAAAATAGGCCTGACCAAATGTAATACAAGTATAATGTGATAGATGTAACACAATTTAAATTACTTAAGCAGGAGTTTATATATAATATATATCATATATATATATATATGTTTTCTATAATATATAGAAAACATAAAAGCACAATTTATTGAAATATAAATCTAATCAAAACATTGTGATTGAGAAAATAAGCACTTAATTCATTAAAAATGTTTATTGAGACCTCTTTGTGCTAATCATTCTGCTAGAATATGAGAATACAATTGTAACATTTTAAAATCTAACATTAATTAAATATCTAGTTAATGTTTGTTTCATATGCCTTTTTGGAATCTAGAGGGGCTTTTATGAGATTATTTAAAATCATCTCAAGAAGAATTTTTAGTAAGTTTTAATGTTCTTTAATAAAGTTTATTTGATCTTAGAGTTTTGTTGAAAGTGTGATTGCACTTTTCAAAATCACCATTGTAAGATGTGTATATTTAAATCTATTGCCACGACTTTCCCTTTAGATGAAATGTAGGGGGTATTTTAGATCTAGACCTTTGGCTGACTTTTTCTTTACTATCAAAAATATCAAGACAGAGGCAGACTTGGAAGTACAAAATACAGTCTGAAGAGTGTGGGTGCTTGTGAACCAGTGTTATGCTGGATATTTTTTATAAGTATTGGTTTGTAAGACTTTACAATTATGGAAAGGCAGAGCTGTCTTCCATCTTTCCCTTCCTGTGTAGTTATTGATAATTTATGATACTTCATATGATTTAAAAATTTATTATTATTCAAAAAATTTTATATAGATTAGATGAAGAAAAAAATTGTATGTTAAAAAGTAAGGACTGATTCATCTCTTAAGATTTTTAGGTGTCCATTAAGTACAATGATAAAAGATGAAAAAAAAACCCAGGAAAATCAATTGATTCTTAATTTATCATTTTGCAAAAAACACATAAAGCAACATCACATCTTAACAGGCATTGAATGGACTCTCTTGCCCTATCTTTCCCAAATGTTAACCTACATGACTTCACTGTGCTTAAAAAACTCTTTTGTCTGTATTTACGTCTTTAATTTCCTTGTCACTAGGTATAAATGTTAGTATGTCTGAATCCTTTTTTGTTCTTTACAAAAATTTCTAAGTATTTATAATTGCATTGTTTGAGAAGGCCCCCATAGAGAATCCTGGAAGGCAGATGATCACAGATACAGGCAGACATGCAAGGCATCCTGTGGGCAATCAGAAACATAATGGAGTTAGTACTAGATTGAGAAAGAAAACCCCTTGTTGGAGGAAGGAGTATTCAGTCATGGGGTAAGTGATATCTATTTTTGGTGTCATTTATCCTTTCTGGTATCGTTAACACAGCAAAAAAAAATTTGCCATAGAACACATAGTTGGGCAATGTGTCAACTGTCTTTGAAGTGTATGTACTGCTTTGCTCTTTCTGGGCAGCATGCAAGTCTTTCTTCTTACTCTGAGGTGTTTTTCACCATCCAAGATATATTCCTATACAAGACAAGTGATTTAAACCTTGTACATGGTATTGTCATTTGTGAGTAGCATGCATTTGCAAACATTCTCCCAAATCCTGAAATCTCAGGCTGAGATACCTTAGAAAACTTCTAGTCTAATCCTTGTGTTTCGTGTGAGGGAGCAGAGTCAGAGACATTGACTGGCCAAGTTCTCATTATTGCAGAACTAGAACTAGAACCCAGGCGTCCTCTTCTAGTCTGATACAAGGTGGTTTACCCACCATTTAATCGATTGTGTTATGTGGCTTGTTTATTGTGCTTTAATATGCTAGTATGCTATCTGACCTCCGTGGACCCTTTACCATTTATTGATTCTTTTTGTGGGTGTTTGAAACCTCTCTATGCTCATCAAACCCAACCAAACCCTGTTCCTAGTATTCCCAGCCAATGTCTGGTCAACAACAGATAGACTGACAGATCCTCAATGACTTTTTACTCTTCTTTATAGCCCAGATGTTATTAATCTTGACAGTTGAAAACTAAATGAAGGTGTCTTATTTTTTCATTAATATGAATTCATCTATATATCCAATAAGTAAAAATTTATGGCACAATCAGTGAGAGTTCCATGGTGACTGATAATAGACATGGCCTCTATTCTCATAGAGCTTCTAGTCTAGAGGAGGAGACACATTATAATCAACTAATTAACTGATGAGAGACTAATTGCAGGAGCTAAAGGAAGGAGCACATTTCCATGATTGTCTGTAATAAAGGAGACTGACCTGAACTGTAATCAGAGAGAGCTTCTCTAAGGAAACAACATTTGAATTGCGACCAGAGTTAACAGAGCTCAGGGCTGGGTGTTGGGGCATTCTTGACAGAAAAAGTAGAATTTTTCCTTGTGGTAGAAGAGAGCGTGAGCAGTCAGACACTGAAATAAGACCACTGCATGGAGGGTGGAGGGCTGCATGAGGCCTGAGAAGTAGGCGAGGCTGGCCGAGTCATGAGCATCTTACAGGGCACATCAACATTTTAAACGTTATACTAAGACAAAGAGGCAGCCTTGGTTTTGTCTCAAATAGCAATAATGTATGCTTATACCTGCAATTGTTTTTCACTGCTTCACATTGAAAGGCTTTAGAGGAGGAAGAAATGGATCCTGTAGAACAGGATGACACTGTATGACACTGTCCCACTGTTGGTTGGCAGGTTGCAGGTGATAGATTTGGGCTTACCACTGACATGGAATTATTATAGCCAAGGGGCCATTGCCCTGAATGAAAAGGGACAGTGAAGCTGTTACTCACTTACCTCTTTTGGCTGTGCTGATACGTTTGCTAAGCCAGAGATAATGCTCAGTTGTTTAAAACTCAGTGTATTGATGGTATTCATATAGATGGTATTCATTCAACTCCTGGCCAAGATGGAGGCATAGGTAGATACACTTTGCATCCTTACATAGTCAAAAGAAGGATAACAACAAATTTAAAAACAAAAACAACCACAAATGCCAGAAATTGTACTGTATGGAGATCTGACAACCAAGGAGTTAAAGAAGAAACATTCATTCAGACTGGTAGGAGGGGTGGAGAAGGCAGCCAGAGTGGAGAGGACTTGCAGCAAGGCAGTGGCTGGAAGACCAGGCAGTCCCACATTCGCTTACGGATAAATCGGGAGGAACGACTTGGGTGTGAGACAGACCGCGCAACCCAGGGTTCCAGTGTGGGGAAATACAGCCTCAAAACCTCTGGCTATAACAACCTGTAGGAATTGCAGTGGCAGGAGAAACTCTCAGCCTTACAGGAGAGTTTGTTGGAGAGACCCATTGGGTCCTAAAATGTATACAAACCCACACCCCCCGGGAGTCAGCACCAGAAGGGCCCAATTTGCTTGTGAGAAGTGGGGGAAGTGACTGAAAGCCAGTGGAGAGCTGAGCAAGTGGCATTGTTCCCTCTTGGACCTCTCTCCCACAGATAGCACCACAATGCAGCAAAGAGAGTTGCCTCCTCTTGGTGAATACATAAGGCTCTGCCCATTACTGCATTGTAACAGGCATTCAGAGACAAAAAAATATGGCCCAAATGAAAGAACAGATCAAAGCTCCAGAAAAAATACAACTAAGTAATGAAGAGATAGCCAACATATCAGATGCAGAGTTCAAAACACTAGTAATCAGAATGCTCACAGAAATGGCTGAGTATGGTAGCAAAATAGAGGAAGAAGTGAAGGCTCTGCAAAGTGAAATAAAAATATGCAGTGAACCAACAGCGACAGGAAAGAAACCAGTATTCAAATCAATGATTTGGAGCAGAAGGAAGAAATAAACATTCAACCAGAACAGAATGAAGAAACAAGAATTCAAAAAAATGAGGAGAGGCTTAGGAACCTCTGGGACAACTTTAAAAGTTCCAACATCCAAGTCATAGGGGTGCCAGAAGGAGAAGAGGAAGAGCAAGAGATCGAAAACTTATTTAAACAAATAATGAAGGAAAACTCCCCCAATCTAGTGAAGAAAATAGACTTCCAGGAAGTCCAGGAAGCCCAGAGAGTCCCAAAGAAATCGGACTCAAAGAGGAACATACCAAGGCACATCACCATTAAATTACTCAAGATTAAAGATAAAGAGAGACTCTTAAAAGCAGCCAGAGAAAAGGAGACAGTTACCTACAAAGGAGTTCCCATTAGATTATCAGCTGATTTCTCAAAAGAAATCTTACAGGCAAGAAGGGGCTGGAAGGAGGTATGTGAAGTCATGAAAGGCAAGGACCTACATCCAAGAATACTATATCCAGTGAAGCTATCATTTAGAATGGAAGGGCAGATAAAGCGTTTCCCCTATAAGGTCAAGTTAAAGGAGTTCATCACCAAGTCCTTATTATATAAAACGTTAAAGGGACTTATTTAAGAAAAATAAGATAAAAATATTAACAGTAAAATGACCACAAACTCATAACTATCAACAACTAAACCTAAAAAAACAAAAACAAAAACAAACTAAGCAAACATCTAGAACAGGAACAGAATCACAGAAATGGAGATCACATGGAGGGTTATCAGTGGGGAGGTGGAGCGGGAAAATGGGGGAAAGGGTACAGGGAATAAATAAGAAGCATAAATTGTAGGTACAAAATAGACAGGGGGAAATTAAGAATAGTATGGGAAATATATGACCTGTGGACATGAACTAAGGGAGGGGAATGCTGGTTGGTGGGAGGTTGTTGCAGAGTGTAGGGGAATAAAGGGGAGAAAAAAATGGGACAAAATGGGACAGCATATTCAATAAAATATGTCTAAAAATGTTTAATGTTAAAACATTTCCTTTGTAAATTAAGGGACATAAAGATGAAGATACCATGGTCCTGCCCTCAAGGGGAGTTGATGATATTCTTCTTTCTCTCACCTCCTATTCTTTTCCAGACAGACCAAACTCTAAGGAGAGAGATGTAGTTGAAAAATTTAACATTGTTTTTTAAAAAGTAAACATAGTTTGCAATATAACTCAATCAGGCCTTTGATAGAATGGTAGTTTTCCACTTTACATTTATTATTAACTTTGAAAATTCCATTTATGCTGAGAATCAACATGTACACTTATTATGCTGTGTAAAAGTTATGTTTTGTCTTAAGTTTATGCTAATCAGTTTTTTTAAAGAGAAATTCCAAGATCATTGGGAAAGGAAGGAATCAGGTGGCTCAGGACTTAGAGGACACAAGGGCTGGTGAGAGCATTGCATTGGGATGGATCCTCCAGTGGACACCTTGAAAACCTTTTACCCTGGGAGCAAGGTGGACCAGAAAGTCTCTAACCAGAGAAAGAACTAAGAGTAGCTTGTTCTGACTGCAAGTAGGAAGAAAAGGTCTCCCATGAGAAATCTAAGCCAAATTTATCTCTCAAATAGGTTTAGAGTCCAAATCTGTACTACTTGCATTGTGGAGCATGAAAATCGGTCTGTCTATGTTTGTTTGTTTGTATGTATGTATGCATGTATGTATGTATGTATCTACCTACCTACCTATCTCCTTCCCTCCATTTGTCTTTGGAGTACTTGGAAGAAGCAAGCACAAATCCATACAGAGATGTCACTTTTGCCAGTCAGACCAAAGGAATTCCTGCAGTGGAGTTAAAAAAAAACAAACCCTGATAACTATGCATTAGTATAAATCAATCCATTCATAACACAAATGGGAACACTCAACTACAGAGAAGAATCCTTATCATTACAAATGAGAGGAATTAATACATTAAGAAAGTGAAATAATGCAGCAGCCTGGAAGACATTGTACAGTAATATGTTTTAAAAGGTTAGTGATATAAAAGAAGGGTTTGGAATCATGAGGAAATAATGAAATACTTTGAGAATAAAGGGAAAATTTGAAAAAGAACCACATGAAATTTTCATAAATGAAAAAATAGTCATTAGAATTCACATTACTGTAGCCAGGTGAAGCAGTAAACTTGACACAGCTTGAAGCTAGAATATGAGACAGAGGAGATTATCCATAATCTGATATGAAGCTTAAAGAGATGGGGAGTAGGAAAGAGATTTTAAGTGACCCAGAGGCTGTACTGAGATGGTCCGACGCAGTTCTGACAGGAGGTCTAGGCAGTGTTTTTAAGACAACCAGTTAGGTGTTTGGGGATGTAGACACAGTTTATTCATAGACTTGATACCTCAAGGATTTTGCTGACATGAAAGTATTGTAGCAGAATTAAATGCTAATTCACTTATAAAGTAACCTGAAAATAAAAACCAATAACTTAGCAAAATTATGGAAATCTTTCAAAATTACTGTCATGTAGTACCTCGTATGTGCAAGTGCTCAACAAATACCTGTCAAAAGAATGAATAAATGAAGGCAGGTGCAGCCTCTGTCTTATTGAGAATTTCAAGTTCTTAATAGCTTTCAGAAAAGGTCAAATAACTTCATATATAAACTATTCTGCCTTATTCATGTTTAAATTCTTACAGCTAATTGATATAAAGCATTATTAATTCATTCTTCCTGAAACCTTGGTATTTCCTCTATTTATTCACATTATTTTAAACGACCAGTAGGTAACATTGAATGCCTGTTATTTTCCCTGCCCTCTGCATCATTTTGAATACTGAGTCTAAACACTGGAACTTTTCCTTTTTCTATACCTATTTTCTTTGACTATATAGGTTATGCCTCTTATATGACTGAACATTGCTAGAATCTATAGTCTTTTGTCAAAAAAGTTTAATTTTGGGGGGATATCAATACCAGCATTAAATATTACATGGAAAAATTATCTTTAGTAGTGCTCAAATATATATCTTTTAAAAAGTCTTTAAATAAACAGAAGAAAATGCATTGCTTTCATCAAGAAAGATAAAAATTACTTATTTGAGAGTTAGGCTATTCAGCAATTAATTCTTTTATGTTTTCAGAATTCAGCTGTGGAAATGCTTTTGTCAAAACAACTTCCTCTTGATGTTCAAGAAAGCATGAAAAACACTGAAGATGAGCAGAAAGTTAATGAGCTGCAAAATCAACCTTTAGAATTAGATGTTATGTTAAGAAATGAACAATTAAAAGAGATAGAGGTAAGGAAACAGGAAAAACACTGACAACATGATTGTGTTACTTATCCAGTGCAATACAATATATTTTAATTACCAAAAACTTGCTTGCACTGAGTGAAAAGTCTTATTTAACCTTTGCCAGATGATCAATTTGGTAACTATATAATTATGTACTAATCAGCAAGTTGTATAAATCTTTCCATTTAGAAAGTGGGAGAGTTTAATGAACATTAGTGTTCTTTCTGTTTCATAAAGTTCCTAAAAACTTACTTAGTAACAAAATTTAGACATTCTTGCTTGTCATTCCTATTTTCTTAGTCGTATCTCTCATCTGGTTCTGACAAATTCCTTTTATTTTTCTAATTATCAATATCATTGGGTACTGTTTCTTTGTTTTTACAGCTCTGTTTACACAGCTGTGTTTATGTATTTATAGCTATGTAAACTAATCTAATAGTGCAATTATGGCCCCTACAATTTTAACTAAGTTTGTATAATAGGATATAATGTATATAAGTAAGAAAAATAAAATAAACCTTCAACATGGCAGAACATTTTAACACAATAAGGTGATCTAATTGCTATTAAATGCTAGACCAATGGTGAAGTTCAGTTTACATTTTATTATAATTCAAGTGAAAAAATCTTTTAAATGTCAGGACTTAACGGTCCTCTGTGTGCAAATGAAATCTCTACATCTTGGGATAGAGTACATTATTGGAAGGAAAGAGGATGGGAACAAAATGAATGAATGAATTAAAGAGAGTGAGTGAGTGTACACTTACTGATCTCCTCAACTTGTTTTTAGGAACTATATGCCCAATTGGAAGCAAAGAAAGCAGCCATTGAACCACTGGAACAAACTGAGTATCTCAACAAAACAGAAACAAGTACTTTGGCTATCCACAATGCAGGGAATTCAGTGCAGCACTTGGACAGTCTGCTGCAGGCACTTATTACTTTGAAGAACAATAAAGAAAGCCAGTATCGTCTCCTTGAAGATTTTCAGGAACACCTCGCTGCAGTTGAATCCTCGCTGAAAGCCTTGTTGACAGAAACGGAAAGTCTAAAAGTGTAAGTGCAGGAATTTAGGACTTGCATTCATTTTATTCAAGCACAGGCCCTTGCACAGGCCCTTGAACAGTCCCAGGGGTTTATGAGTTTTACTATAAAGGATATTTCTACAGTATGGAAATTAATTCTATATGGAAGCCATTGAAGAAAGCTGTATTGGTTTTGTACAAAAAATTTATTTATATTAATTTTATAATTAAATTATATTAATTTTGCAAACTAATTTGTTAAATATCTAATTCATGCTATAAATGCTTTCAAAATATGTTAAAGTTCTGTGGAATTTAGTGTTCTTTTTGTCAAGAATTTATTCTAAACTATTGGGTGAAAACATTTATGTCGTTGTTTAGTATCAGCATAATTGGTTTAAATTGTTAGGAAGATATTTAATATATATGTACTGTACTGGTTTCTTTTAAAATAGATGCACTCCTGCTCTGACCGGTGTGGCTCTCATGTGGGCATTGTCCCACAAATCGAAAGTTCAGTCCCTGGTCAGGACATGCACCTGGGTTGTGGGTTTCGTACAGGAGGCAGCTGATCCATGTTTCTCACTCACATCTCTCCTTCTGGCTCCCCACTTCACTTCCCTCTAAAAATAAATACAAATCTTACAGAAAACAAAATAGATGCATTCCTTTTGGCTTTGGAAATGATGGTACTTTACAGGTTACAGAATACTTTTACACACATTGTTCCCTTCCCTCTTCATTCTTTTTCTGTGATTCTGAATTTTATAATACTTACTTTGTAAGTGAGCCCTCTACATCGTCACAAACTAATTGGAAGCTATGGTAAACAAGATTCTGAATTTTATTTTAAGGACAGAGTGCTCCTATAGACAGTCTAATCTTCTGTGAATTCAAAAAAGAATTTCTTTTGATAACATCTAGCCTTGGGTTGATATATAATAAATATTAACAAACTTCTTTTTTTTTTTCTAGGGGACCACTAGACAGTGCGGCCTATCTGGCAAAAATTCAAAAATTGCTGGCGTCGGTAGAAAAAGAGAAAGATTCTTTAAGCACAATGAAAATTGAGTGGGAAGGTTTATCAAACTATCTGGCTGACATGGATAAGAAGTTGTTGGAAAGCCAGGTCAAGCAACTTGAACGTGCATGGAAACAAGTAGAACAACTGGTTCAAAAGAAATATTCTCAGCACATGGTGGAGCATGAGGAATTGACATTTCTCCTGAGTGAGATCCATGACCTGGCCCTTTCTCTGCAGCAGCAGCAGCAGCATCTCCAGTTAAAGCTGAGCTCTCCGGAAGAACAGGAGGGGAACCAAAGCATGGTTGCATTGGCCACTGAACTCCAGGCTATCAAGCATAGATTTTCCATTTTAAAGGGGCGAGCTGAACCTCAGATGAAGAGGATTTGGGGAGAAAGAGAAAAGAAGGTTTTGGAAAATGCAGTCAGTACTTTCCAGAAGCAGTTGGAAGCATCGGAGTCATTAAACACAGAGGCGGAAAGTGAGATCAAGAAGTGTGAAATAAGGAACAAGGTGAAAGAGACTGTCTTATGGGTGAAGAATCTGTTGAGTGAACCCGTTCCTACGATTTCCCTTCTACCAGATGATATCCTTTCACAGATCAGAAAATGCAAAGTGACACATGATGGCATTCTGGATAAACAGCGGGCTGTGGAGTCATTGATTGAAGAGGTCCAAGAGAATATTCCCACCCTGACAACACATGAGAGTGATGAATTAAATAACCTCCTCCAGGACTTACAAGACCAATGCCAAATTCTCATTTTAAGATCAACGCAAAGATCACAGCTGTTAGAATTTAAATTGGAAGAAAGAAGCAAATTTGCTGCATTAATAGAGAAGGTTCAGCTTTCACTTCAAGGAAATGAAACGCTGATAATTCCTAAGGTGGAAACAATCTCCACAGAAGCTGAACTAGAACATCAGCATGTCAAGTTGACGACTTCTCAGAAGGAACTGCAAGAAATTGAGAGTACAATCTCAACACATCTTCAGGAGCTAACAAATATCTCTAAGGATCTAAGTGTGTTTGAAAGATTATTTCTGGATAATCAATTGAAAAATCTTAAGGCTAGAGCCAAGAGAACACAAAGATTCATTCAGAATAAATGCAATGAAGTAGAACACAAGATAAATTTTTCCAGAGAGTTCCATGAACAAACATCTGTGCTTCAGAAGGAGCTTGATAACATACAACACAGTGAACTGCTACTAAGTCAAGAAATAAATCAGGATGTCAAGGAGGAGTTCTGTCATCTTCAAGACCGACTCACTGGAGTCCAGTCTAGCATCCAACAAGTGTTGAAACTCAAAGAAGTGCTGGACTGTATTGGACTCAACTGGGATTGTTCCCAAATTGATATATTACAATCCCAAGTGTTTGAAAAAGAAAAGGAACTTGAAGAAAAAATTAAGCAGTTGGACTCATTTATGGCTGACTATGGCAAACATCAGGCATCACTAAGTAAACTGAGGGCAATGGAGTTGAAAATTAAGAAAAGGGCTGAAGCAGTCCTGAAAACCACCAGTGCTTCACCAGAAAGCCATCTGCTCGATGCTCAAATTTTGAGTCAGAGAATTGAGAAAGCCATGTGCTTATATCATGACACAATAAAGAAATTAAGTGAGAATAAGGCCTTTGATAACGCCTTCAAAGAGGAAGAAATACAGCAAATAAAGCTGTATGCAGAAGAAAATGATAAATTACAGAAAGTTCTCCAAAATATGATACTAGATTCCCAACAGAAAGAAATGGATGAAAAGAGTTTTCAGGACAAACTGGAAAATTCCTTACATGTTTTGAACCAGATAAAATCTCAGTTACAGCAGCCTTTACTTATAAATTTGAAAATTGAACATATTCAACAGGAAATGGATAATTGCGAAGTATTTCAAGAACAAGTTCAGGCAGAAATGTGTAGCATTAAAGCTGTAACTGTTACTGAGAAGCAAAAAGAGGAAAACTCTTCTGAAGCTAGTGATGTGAACACAAAACTACATGACTTTGAAGATCTTACCAGTCAGCTTCATGCAAACATTGATTTGCGGACAGTAAGTTTTGTTTTTTTTAATAAAATGGTTAATGTGTCTATTTTTATTTCATGATTTTATGTTTTGCTCTAGTTAATACCTACACTTCTCAAAAAGCTACAGATTTTACAGGAAAATTCTCCACAGGAGAATAGCCATTTAGATGAATTGCTAAGAGCCAGTTTATAATCCTGACTCACTCCACATCTAACTAGAATGCCTTATGATTTGGAAAAAACAAGTTTGACACCTTTATTTCTATATCCCTAATAACCGCTGTTGCTCAGATCAAAGTTTTTTGTTTGTGTTCTAGAACTAATAGGACATAGTGGGAGAAAAAGAACACAAAATAATGATATTTACTTAGAAATTACAATGAAGTAAACATTGTGCCTTGAACCATCACAGCAACTCTGTGAAGTGGGAGCTATTATTAGTCCCATTTTAAAATCAGGAAATTGAAGTTCAGAAACATCAACAGTTTTCTCAGGCCTTGCATCTGTAACAGAACCAGGATTCAACTTGAGGTCTGATTGTAGAACAGGGGTCATCAAATTGAAGCCATTGCACCTGATTTTGTAAGTCAGATTTTATAGGAACACAGCCCTGCTCCATTATTTTAGGGATGGTCTATGGCTGCTTCTGTGCTCTTTCAATTGGTACTTAATGAATGTTGAGCAAATTGAGTACTATTCTATTTCATTTTTTTATTGATGTATAATTGACATATGTGTTAATGTGTTTTGTGTGTACAACATAATGATTCTGTATTTGTACATATTATGAAGTGATGACCACAGTAAGTCTAGTTAACATCGGTCGCCATACAAAGTTATAAAATATTTTTTCTTGTGATGAGAATTTGTAATGTCATCTGGTAGAAGGGAAATCGTAGGAACGGGTTCAACCAACAGATTCTTCACCCATAGACAGTCTCTTTCACTTGTTCCTTATTTCGCACTTCTTGATCTCGCTTTCCACCTCTGTGCTTAATGGCTCCAATGCTTCCAACTGCTTTTGGAAAATACTGACTGCATCTTCCAAAACCTTCTTTTCTCTTTCTCCCTAAATCCTCTTCATTTGAAAATACTTAATACTGAATTTTTAAGATCTGCTCTCTTAGCAACTTTCAAATATGCAATACAGTGTTAACTGTAGTTGCCATGTTATGCTTTACATCCCAAGGCATATTTATAAGTGGAGGCTTGTGGCTTTTGACCCCTGTTTCACTCATTTCAGCCCCCCACCCCTGCCTCTGACAACAAAAATCTGTTCTCTGTATCCTCTACTCGATTTTAATGCAGTTTCCAGAAGCAATGTACATAAATCCCCAAAATCAGATGATTAGAGCTCGACTGGAAGGAACCTTTAAAGTTAATTATTTCAGCTATTTGTTATTTCAATAACAAGACAGTAAGTGGTGTGCTGAAAACTAAAGTTAGTAGCATAGCCAATAATTAAAAAACACTAGAAGCCTGAGGTTTTTAACTTTCTTTTCATCTTTTTTTCCCCAAGTGTTGATTAGAACCTTTTCTATACATTAAATATATTCCATTGTTTAAGTCATGTCTAATACAAGAGTTCTAGAGTAGGAACATAATATCATTAGACGTGATTCACAGGATTTACCTTTGAATTTAGATTAGATTTCCTTAGCAAATCTGGGGACAATTTTTCTTTGCATAAACATTTTTAAATACTAGGCAAAATAAAAGTATGAGATGCTAACTCTTCTAAGACCTAGAAGTATATTATGAATATACCACACAAATTCAAGAATGACAAAAATTCCACAAGTCTGAAAATTTTGTCACAGCATTTAATCTCCTTTTCCCCAGAATGTCTTGAATGATGCTTATGAAAATATGACACACTACAATGAGGCAGTCACCAGGGCAGTGGGGATCATCAGCGACCTTGAAGCCATCGTGGCATCCCATAGAATAGACCTTGAAAACCCAGAAGAATCACTGGAGATGCCTCGCTGGAAACAAGAGGAGTTGGAATCCACTGTGGCAGACATCCATGACCTCACCGAGAAATTGGGGACCCTATCCAGCCCTGAAGCCAAACTACAACTTCAGTGTACTTTACAGGAATTAGTTTCTAAGAACTCAGCCCTGAGTGAGGCAGTCAAAGTAAAGGAAGCTAGAACAGAAAGGTAGGTACTTCTTTCTGAAGGTGATAATGTATTAAAAACATAATACAAATTTCTTTACAATTGTACACGGAAATAATTTGGAAAATATGGAAAAGTTCAAAAAAACACTCTAAGGAAAACTACAACAAATATTTTATTGTATTTAATGTATTTTTTCTCATTCAATATTGAGTACATACAACAGAATTTCTGAGTCTACATATGGTATAAAGAATAATGATAAAACATTGTACCCAAAGGTTCAAAGATAAACACCATGACTTTTGAATTCTCTTTTATGCTCCTTCCCTCTCATTTTAGAATAATAGAACTAATCCTTATCCTTTATAACATTTATCATTTCCTTGCTTTTCAAATGTTTTTACTATGTGTTTGTATTCTGTTTCCATGTATGTGTATTCTTCTATAACTTCATTTATTTCAAATTCATTATGATGCTGAAGTTTACTGTGTTTTGCTGTGCATAATGTATACTTTTTTTCCCAAATTCTTGAGGGAAAAATAAGGATGTGCATTATACATGGGTATAATGATTATATACCATGGGTATAATAATCCTGTGTATACTGTACACAAAAACGTGTGTGTGCATTATACACAGCAAAATATAGGTATTCATGTTGTCTAGTAAAATTCAGTCACTCAGCTATTGATAGACATTTGGGTTGTTTCTAGTTTTTGCATTCACAAATACTTCTACCAGAACATTTTTACATGCAACAGCTTCCCTTAGGTACATACCTAGAATTGTGGTTGCCAGGTCCCACACCTTAAAATTTTAATTCCAAATGATTTTATTTATTTCATTTAGTCAAACCAGTAGCATGTTAGTGTTACAATTGCCCCATATCCTTGCCAACATTTGATGTTGTGGGATTTAATTTTTGCCACTCTGATAAGTCAGAAGTGATATTTTATTGTGGTTTTAGTTAGCATCTCTATTATTATTAATGATTTTGAGCCTCTTTAAAAAAATTTTTTTTGTGGTTACTTATATTTCCTCTTTGAAGAAATACCCTTTCAAGCCTTTACCCAATTTTTATCAGGTTGTCCATCTTTTTCTCATTATTTTGAAGGGATTTATTCCATACAAAGGGGTCTCCTCTTACACACCCATCATGGTGAGAGGGCCGGGCTTTATCCCGTCACCAGCTTTCCAGGAGAAGGTCAGTGAAACTGAACTGCAGCAAATGCCCTCACAGTGGAAACGGCCCCAGACCTTAGCTTACATCTCTGCATTTTCACGTTCACTGAGTGTGGGGTCTCTAAATATTTCTTCACTCCTTGCCAGTTTATCACTGAGTTTTAAGAATTAAAAAATACTTGATACTGAATTTTTCATTGTTTTCAGTGAGGGAGTTAGGCTGTATCTATTTTGTACACATAATTTTATTTATAGTAGTTTTTCAATAGGTCATAACATTATGCTGTATAAAGATATGCTGCCTTTTATTTTACTTATAATTTAAGCTTTTTTTCTTATTGTAGCAAGAGCTCCATAAAAGTAATTAGAATTTCTGTGTAATATTTTATAAAATGAATTGTTGTAATTCACCCAGCTGTATCTTTTGATTAATAGTCTAATAAGTAAAAAGATTTTACAATACAAATATTTTATCAGTTTTAGGTTAAAATTCCTTACATCGTATTCAGATTAATTCATTAAGCTAAATTGCAAAAATCAAATTAATGGGTCAAAAGATATGAACATTTTAAAGACTAAATGGTTCTCTACAAGAATTGTATGTGTTTACACCTCATTAGCAGTACTAAAGAATGCAGTTTTCAAAGGTAGGTGTTTTGAGAATAGTCCTACTTACCTGTTCAAGTTTTTATTAAAAGCCTTGTGCAGATCCCTGTGAGCAGAAGGTAGCCAATGAAAATTTATTGAAATACATTGAATAACAAAATTAAAATTACATGCTGGGTGATTTTTTTTTTAATTTAATGTTCAAATTTATCCTGGGAAGTTGAGAATTTATTGCACTAAATAAAGTTTAATATCTTTTTTTTTTCTCACTCACTAGGTGTCTCGAGACTTACAAATGCTATAGAGAACTTAAAGAGAAAATTGGCAGTGACCTCAGCCACATGGGAGCAGTGCTTGGGCAGTCCATGTCCCTGCTGCCTGTGTCTTACAAAGAAGTGTTAGAACGTTTGGAGCAGAGCAAGGTAATAATAATATCTGCGAATCTCCAGTAAGACTGGGTGTGAAAAAAAAAAAAAAGGCAGAAAGCTGGCGAAGGCAGCAGGGAATGTGGCTGTTATGACACACAGACATCTTCAACCTGACTTGTACACTCAAGAAAATTATTTCAACCAAAAGCGGGTAAATGAAGCAGTGGTTCTGAGAGAATTAATAGTTGGGTTCATGGGACAGCCTTCTGCCTTGTGGCTTGCCATCCTAATCGGTCACTTTCTCTAAAGCTTTATCTTTTACATTATTTTGTTAGATGTTGCTGGACCGGTGACATAGGATTTCATGCAGCTATCTGAAGTGCGAAATTCTAGTTACTTCTTATACTCTATTACCAAGCAATTTTAGTTTTTGCTTATTTTCTTCTGTTAGAGCCCATGGTATTATGTTACTAGGATTTGGATGAGAGGATTCTGAATCATCTGTGCATAATACATCACCCTAAAACAAAACACAAAAACCAAAACCGAAATAAAGCCTTGGCCATTGATACAGCAAGTATTGTGCCAATTAATTACCTAATATACAATGAGATTTACAATATAATAAGAAAATGAACTTCTAGGATATTTACCTTTGAAAACACATTCTTGCTTGGAAAAATTGGTTTATGGGTCATTATTTGTTCCCACAGTCTCAAATTCACGTGCAACACAATAGGTAATTCTCATTTGTCTCAGATTGGCCTTCAAAGGCACTAAAAATAGGTCATGAAATATTTATGGGTGCTTTAAATAATTTATTATTCAACATTTTTTAAAGTTTATAACTTTCAGGAAAATTAATAGACTTTATATTCCTCCTGTTCTTTTCCTTGCTTAAGGCCTTGGTGTCAAATCTTACATCAACTAAAGAAGAGTTAATGAAACTACGACGGGTCCTCAGACCCCTGAGCCGTGCAGTCACAGATAACGATGGCCGAGGTCTGCTCAGAACCACCACGGCTCTGTGGGAGAAATGGCTGAGTATGCTGGAGGCTGCTGCAGAGTGGGAGATGTGGTGTGAAGAGCTGAAGCAGGACTGGAAGTTTGTCAGCGAAGGAGTAAGTGGTTCATTTCCAACAGTCGAGCCGTACCGTTTTCTTAAAAAGCGCCATTTAAATTGTTTTGTTACTTTTATATTGTCTTTATTTACAACGAGTCTTCAACCTCTATCATTTGTTTGCATTACATATGTGTTACACATAAATGTTTATAGAGGTCAGGCCCTATAAACATCAGCTCCAAGAAATGATACAATGTTTTTTATCATACTGGAATATTTTTTGGTATCAGATAATGCTTAGAAATAAGTGACTACTTGTTCATTCAAACTTTAAAATCTTTTTTGTGCAGATACATTAAATCCTTTTAAAAATAACTGCCTCTGCCTGGCACTAGCTTGTCACTAAAGGTTAGAATTAGGAAGTATTCATAATAACCAACTACTTTGGAAATTAACTACAATTGTTAAGTAAGGAGATTAACTATAGCTGCAAAGTATGGGTCTAAAAAGGTCTGATTTTTTTTCTGAAAACTGCCTCAAAGAAACTTCTGTGATACATAAATTAATCACACATGTTAATTTAACTATGTTTCAGGACTTACATATCACATATATGTAGAAAAGAAAGTTTAAAATAGTATAGAGGCTTCCTCTCTGCACATTTTTTGTGTTCAGGCTGTGTGGCTGTTCTTCTGGCGAGGTTGGTTGAATTCACAGGTGTGGAAGCTGTGAGTCTGGAAGGCTGACTAGGACATGTAGAGAGAGAGGGTTGAAAGGAGGAGTAGGAGGTACTGATGGACAAGGAGGTACATTCTGGTACACCTTTCATGGAGATCCTCATGCCACATTTGCAGCATTTTTCAGAGGTTCCAGCCTCTTGAAATTTTCTTTGGAAGACAGATGGGGAGTGGTAGAAATTCTGAAGAAATGGAAGTAAATGGAGATCCTTTCAGTTCATTTGGATTCAGTATGAATGGATATCCAAGAGACAGGAATTCTGTGGGGCCATCCCATCTCATACAAGACCCTGCAGTTATTCATGAACTTAGAATATCACTTAAAGAAATATATAGTGTTTGTAGTAAACGGATGAAGATTTCTCGAAAAAGGTTAAACCCTGATGGAAAGAGTTATAGATCTGATGACAAAATTCTCACTATTGAAATTTAAAAAGGGTAGAAAGAAGGCACCAAAATTATTTTTCCAAGGGAAGAAGGTGAAACACTAGCTAGTATTCTAGCAGACATTGTTTTTTATTATTACAGATAAAGATAACCCAAAATTTAGAAGGGATGGATCAAATATAACTTATACTGCTAAAATTAGCTTACGAGAGGCAACATGTGGCTGGCTGTTCGGTGAAAGTGCCAACAATGGATGAAGAACCATTGCTATGTCAAGAAATGACATTGTGAAACCTGGAATGAGAAGCATTACTGGATATGGGCTGCCATTTGCAGAAAACCCTGACCAATATGGTGGCCTTCTTCTTTTCTTAAAAAAAAAAAAAAGATTTTATGTATTTATTTTAAGAGAGGAGAAGGAAAGGGGAAAGAGAGGGAGAGAAACATCAATGTGTGGTTGCCCCTTGCACACCCCCTACTGCAGACCTGGCCTGCAAACTAGGCATGTGCCCTGACTGGGAATCAAACCAACGACCCTTTGGTTTGCAATCTGGCACTCAATCCACTGAGCCACACTAGTGAGGGCCATGGTGACCTCCTAATGGAATTTGAAGTGTCCTTCCCCAATTCTGTATCTTCATCATCCAAAGAAGTACTTAGGAAACATCTTCCTGCCTCATAGAATGAAAACTTTGTTTTCCATATTTTGATAAGGCACTGAAAATATAAAAGGACTGGCAGTTTACTGATGCAGATGTGAATTCTATATAAAGACATATAAATTATTTTGAGGGTTCATTGAATTGCATGAATAGACACAGGTCAAATAAATAGACAAAAGGGACTTTTACAGTTAGAAATGAGGAGAAACCATTCACTCTATTTTGTTTCACTTCTCCAAAGCCAGAAATTTTTAGTATTTTGCTTACTTGTAAAATTTGATTTTGTGGAGTTTGCAGATGTATTTCTAATAAATAGCCTATCCAAGTACTTTATTTCTTATATCTTTACATTATTAGTTTGGTAGGTTCTCATTTACAGTGGAAATTGAAATTCTTTAACTATGCATGTGATATGTGCTTCTAGAAAATAAAAACCCAGGTCATTTGGAAATGTGATCAACTAGATTTAAATCACCATCTGAAGTGCTGCTCTAGGACTGGTACCCACAAAAGAATATCCTCGTGCATATGGTTCACCATTTTGATTTTTAAAATATGCTGGAGCATTTGTTAATAACATAGTTGTAATGTTCTCAAGGTGGACCTTTTCTCCATAAAAACAAAATTAATGGCAATTTATCTCTTGTGGAAATCCTGATTGCCTAAGCTACTGATATTTTAGAAATGGACTGTTTTTAAAATGACATATATGATTCTTTGCAAGTTGACTATATATCTTGGACTTAATAAATTATAGGCACATTTTATTATCCACTACTTTAAACTAGTTTGTTTACTAATAAACATATTTTTAGAGGAAATGTTACTTGGAATTAATTTTCCAATTACACAGTCTTTTGTAACTTATTCATAATATACTACATGTACCTTACGCAATTTCCCAAAAAAGAACAACCTACCACTAGGTATTAAAGCCAAATATGGGGAAAATAAACACTAACTGCTGCTTGTGGTGATGTTGCTGCTACTTGTTATGCATATAAATATTTTACTTTTTCATATGTATAGGTTGCATTTCTTAGGTGTTTTAATTTTTAAATATATTTACATCTGGAAAATTTTTTAAAATACAATTGTATAGAATTACCTTAGGGTTCTCTTTAATTCTTTCATCTTTCCAAAGGGCCAGGTATAAATGAGGTAGAAATCAGAACATTAAATGAAAATTCTCCTCTCTTACTCATGTCAAAATTCCTGCTGAATTTACTTAAAAGAAAAATATACTGATCAGTACTTCATTAGATGTAGGACACATGTTTCGGTTTTTAAATGTTTAGTGCTATCATATTTTCTTGCTTAAAATTTGTCATTCTTGAAAATGAATATCATTTTGGTGGTGCTGGTGAAGTTTCATTAGTAAATAGTCTCTTGAATGTTAAAACTCTAAGAAGCACTGTGTAGTATACCTTTAGCAGGACTGCTAGCCTCCAATTCTTTCCTGTTCAGAATGGCACTGTTTATTGAGTTTCTACAGTAGGTTCTGTGCCTTGCTGAGACCGCATTTCACACATGATACCACTACATCCTTGCATCGCCCTCAGGAGTTATTCCCATTTTATTGATGGGGAAACTGAGGCACTAAGCAATTTAAGTTGGCATAAGACCTCCCAGCCAGTGATTGACTTACAAGCTTCTGTGGGCTGGGACCACATCTCTTTCATGCACAGCTGTGACTTTAGAATCGTCCAGGGCTTTGTGCCTAGTAGGCACTTAGTAAATATTTCTTGAGTGACTTGAGGTCTTATTCAAACCCAGGTCTAAGGCTAATCCTAAGCTTTAGTTCTTTTTATCTTACATTGTTTCTCTACTGCTATGTAACTATTTGCAATTATATTTTATTTATTAATTCAGACCACATTCATTTAGATCTTTGTAATTATTCATAAAGTATTTGACAGTATCTGCCTAACAGAATGTGTTTTTCAAAGAGTAGCAAAAACAAAATCTGTCCTCATGTAGTAACAAAAACTACTAACACTTAATAGGCACGTATTGAACATATGACATGCACAGCTCTAAGCTCTTTATGTGTATTATCATTTATCCTCTCAAAAATCCTGTGAGGTAGATATTTTATAGTCCTCATTTTATAGATGAGAAAAGTACGATTTAGTTGTTCAGATTCACAAGTGAGTGCCAGAAGTGGCTTAAAACTGACACTCTGGGGTTTAACTGCTAATCTATCAACTTGAATGATATTTATACACACCAGATTGATGTGAGGTTTTAAAATAGCTTTATCCACTCAATAAAAACTATATCATCTAAAGACCTGTACATGCAAGGTCATGTTAATATGGTTGGTGAATTTGTATGTGACAAAATGAATTTATATATGACAAAATGAATAAAGGTTTTACATAAGTGGATTTTAAAAGCAAATTTAAACATTTACAAATGTTTAAATTTACAAATTTACATTTGCAAATTAAAGCTCTATTTACATTTACAAATTAAAAATCAATTTAAATTTTTATTAACCCTCCCCCAAGTCTTACCTCTCTGTTTTCTTAAACAGAATTTGCTTCATTTAATTATTCATTTCTGATTATTCACAGTCATCAGTTTATGCTTCAGTGATTTTAATGTGCTAGAATAAATCTGTGTCTTCAAAGATAATAGGAGATGGAAAGCTGGCTTCTTCCCCTTGGACCAAAAGTCCAAAAGCCTTTCTATATTAGTTCCTATTTCTTTTGTCACAGGGTTTTGAGTCTCCCTCACTGTAATTGCTTATGGTTTCTTCTCCCTATCTAGACTCTACTTTAAATCGACTGTGAACCCAAAAGTTTTATAACCAATTTTTTTTTTAGAAAAAAAAATTGTCCAAGGAAATCATCCAGGGGCTGCAGAGCCTCTTGTAGGTATACCATTGGTACATAATCTTTGTGGCATCTATTTTCCTGATTTGAGGGCTGTATTTACCCTTTTTGGTGTAAAGTTTGTTGAATTTTGACAAGTGCATACAGTCATATGACCACCAACAAAATCAAGATTTAGAACATTTTCTTCACCCCAAAAAGTTCCTTTATGCCTTTTTGTGGGCATCTCCTTTCATCATCTCTAGCCCGTGACAACCATTAATCTGTTCTTACATTTCTGGAATGTCGTATAAATGGACTGAGATAGTTTATGGTCTTTTGAGTCTGACCTCTTTTCACTAAGGGTGATGCATGTGAGATTCATTCATGTTGCTGCTCATATCAGCAGTTCATCTCTTTTTATTCCTGGGTAATATTCTACTGCATACATGTACAGCAGTTTGTTTATTCATTCATGAGTTAGAGAATTGCCAGGGTTTTGAGTAAAATTATTGTCCTAATCAAAATTATTCTTCCCCCTTGTGTTCCCCTCCTTAATCACTTAGGAGCTCACAGCAGACAGCAGAGCCTAAGGTAGAGGCTTGCAGGCAGGTGGTTTATTTTGGAAAGTGATCCTAGGGAACACGAGTGGGTGACAAGGAGCACTGAAACTGGAGGTCAGAGCCTTGAATTGCTTCACTTTTATTGGTGCTGGTTGCCACAGTTGCCCACTTAGGGTTATCACCAGGCACAGCAGCACCAAGAGATGCTCCATTAAGTCCTGGTTTATAGACATAGTTCTTTCAACCCAGAGGCATATTGGAAACCCTAGGTGTACAATGAACTCTGTCAGTAGAGCAATTTATCTCTTTCCGTGCTGGGTCTTTGGCAGGGGGGCTGCGAAATGACCCTGTGGAAACTTTATCTCAATCCCGGGTGGAAATACAGCTATCTGGACTTCGAATACAACTGAATTTAGGTTTGAGGGGATGGAAAGCACAAATGCCATATCTGGGTCTCTTGAAGCGGGGCCAGTCTGCACCTGCACGCATGTGTTCTAGTGACTGGGACTCATAGCTGGGTTGTACGGTCCAAGTGGCAGGGAAGCTGACACCTCGTGAAGTGCCTCCTTTTCTCCAGACCCCCCTCTGCACTGGCAGCATTCTGATAAAAGGACCTCAGCCACATTTCCAAGTGTAGCATACACTGCCTCCAGAATCCCAGACTCCTCTGGGGTGGTGCCTCTGAACAATTTGATCTTTACCTCATAGAGATTCTGGCATGCCCTAGGCCACTGGGCCCCTGGGAACTTAACTGATGCTGGAGTTCCTAAATTTTCATAGGTTTTCATTCCTACCCCCGGCATCCAGGTCCTCCTTCATCATTTGAGTTAGCATGGTACCGTTAATGTAGTTGACCAGTGTGATGCTCAGGAATGTCAAGATTGCAAGATTCCTGTCTCAGCTGGCACGTAGAGGAGACTTTGCAGCATGAGGGCAGATGTGATGAAAGGCTGGTGCAGCCGAGGTGTGAGCCAGAGGGTTTGAGGAGATGCAGGAGAGGGATCTGGTTTTCTGGAATTCAGAATCTTTATTCTAAATTCGGGGCCGATAGAAGTCCACCTTCCATATATGTGATGGGTCAGGTAATGCATTTCTGGGTTCTGCACATAGGTGTTGGTAAACATCTGATTATTAGTTCAGTCCTTCAGGCTGCTTTCCCTTTGCTGTAAGTGTCAGGGCAATGAGGACATAGTGGCCTTACTTTGTTTTGAGCATAAGTGATCAGATGTGAAAGGAAAGAAAACTGTAGAAAAAGTATCCAGTGGTTGCCCAGGCTTGTACTGAGTGGATGCAGTTTGGTGGAGCTCATTTTAACTATCCTGTGGTTATCTCCAGAGAAACGATCCCCAGTGCAGCTGCCATCTAAAGGAAAAGTTATTTTTTTAAAGATTTTATTTATTTATTTTTAGAGAGGGAAGGGAGGGAGAGGGAGAGGGAGAGAGGGAGAGGGAGAAACATCAGTGTGTGGTTGCTGAGGGCCATGGCCTGCAACCCAGGCGTGTGCCCTGACTGGGAATTGAACCTGCGATGCTTTGGTTCGTAGCCCGCGCTCAATCCACTGAGCTATGCCAGCCAGGGTTAGGAAAAGTTATTTATGAAATCACTCAACAGTGTCTCCTTCAGTTCATAACCGCGATATTTCATTTTAATCACATGTCTACGTGATCAATAGGTGGGAGCTACGGGATTCTGATAGTGGAGGCATAATATTACCAGCTGTAAAAAGTAAATATTACCTTGCAGTAGGTTATGGCATTCAGAGCCCTTTAAAAACCAGTATACAAACGTTATGGTTGAAAACCAGTATACAAACATTAAGGTATGTTTTTCAGCCCTGAGATAGTAAGACTATATTTTACTTATTTTAGGTCTCTCTTTTCATTTCTTGAATTAGGTTGAACGAGAAGCAATTATTTTAGATAATCTTCAGGAAGAACTCCCTGAAATTTCCAAGACAAAAGAGGCAGCCACCACGGCAGAACTCTCTGAGCTAGCAGACTGTTTAAGCCAATATGAAGAGAACGCAGAGAAGCAGCAGCTGTCGCTGGCCCTGCTCCTTCAGCGCATCAAAAGTATCCAGAGCGCTGCGGACAGCGCAGGCGCAGTGCAGACTGTGCCGGCGTTGCAGGAGATTACATCTATGCAAGAACGATGCGATAAGTAAGATTTCACAAAAAAACTATTAAGGAAACATGTTTGACAGTTTGGGGTTTAAAATTAAGAAAATACTGAATTTCAAGAATATAAAATATTTCAGGATAATGACAAATGATATGACAGAATTGAGTTGAATCAACACAGCAATCGAAAGGGATAGAAAAGATTGATAACGATAATTTAAACAAGCACCTGTTTTTCATCTTGGTATTACTGAGGATGAATACACTTCATTCTGATTGCTGTTTTTTTAATTTAGTAATACATATTTATTATATGAAGTTTAGAGACTGTGGGACATTATAAAGATTAATATGAAATCCACTTTTAATTTTACAACTCAGCAACAACCACTGCCAATCACTTTTTTCTCATCTTTTTTAACTATAATTATACTTCTAAACAAATTGTGAGCCTAGCACTATACTGTTTTGTATTCTGCTGAATCATTTATCAGCATATCATGTTTGTTTGTCTCTGCCATGAATGCTTTCTGAAACATAGCTGTATAGTTTTTCATCATGTGGATATGCAGTAACTTATTCACCAAGCCCCCAATACACAACCTTTAAATAATATATATTGTTTTTACTTTTATAAAGCACTGCAGTGAATGTTTTCGTGCCACGTTCTCTGTCTGCATCTGTAATTAATTCATTAAAAAATGCTGAGAAGCAGAGGCATTGAGCTAAAGTGTCTAGTAAATTACAGGTAGAGATACTTACCTAATTAATAGCTCGCAGGAAGGATTTAGTCACTTCAACTCCTCTGCGGATACGGTGCAAACCTGCACAGCACACGGGGTCAGCCGAGATAAAAAGGCTGGCGCGGGTGTCCATCCCCAAGAACCAGCCCATGCCTCCATTCACACCTCAACGTCGTGTTCCTTTGAACGCAAGGATTACACAGAAAAGAGGATAGAGATGGCAAGTGTTATAGAAAGTGTGAAAAGAGGGTATTTTGAGATTAAAGTTTTGGAGAGGTTTTTGATTGAGTGATAGAATTTGATATATGCTTTATATGTCCAGTATATAAATCATTGAAACTGGTACTTTTCTCTCAGAAAAAAAAAATTTTGTGAGCTATGTGAACATCTTGTTGTTGAAATAAACCTATTTCACAGATGAGCAGGCTAGAGGAACAATTTTTTTTGATGCTGTATTTTAGGCTTTTTCAGAAAGCTCAAGAAAATAAGGAATTGCTGCTGAATGAAATCCAAGAGCGACATTCTTTCACAAAAGAAATAATTGCTTTGAAGAGTTTATTTCAACAGATCACAACTTCTTTCCAAAATATGGAACTACAGGATGGCCTAGAGAAAGCAGAGCAGTTCGAGGTAAGTCAGAAATGAACTTGTGAAGGCGGCTGGTATAGGTTTGTAGTCTTGAATGCAGGTACTCAGTCGGGACAGAGGTGACTCGGTGACGAGAGTGGAGCAGTCCAGGAGAGAGGAAAGCACGTGCAAAGGCCCTGTGGCCTGGTGCGGGCACAGCCACAGAAGATCAGTGTGGCTGGAGAGCAGAGAGCAGGTTTGAGGCCAGGGCCAGGTTGGGGAGTAGGCCAGTATGGACCAAGCAGCCCTTTTTTGACCACATTTTACATGTGTTTGGTGAACAAAGGCCTTAGACCACTCTTGAATAGCATGTTAGATAATTCACATTAGTGGGGTGTAATGTCTCACTTCTGATAGGGTGGAACTGTTTTTACTTACAACACTTCTGACAGCAAATGTGTGGGTCCCCCTACTCCACCCTGCCTGCAACACACACACCCCACACCAACCTATTCTCCAGCTCCTTGTACTCCAACCGGGTGTCCTGCAGTTCAGTTCAATTCTGACACTAACTTCCAGGAGTTAACACAGACCTCACAGCTTAAGGGCTGAGTCCCACAAGACTTCCCTCACTTCACACACCAAAGGGCAAGCCCCAGGCCTCTGGTACTTTTGACTGACAAGTCTATGTAAGGACTTCTTATGACCCCCTCCTCAGCTTCAATAATTTGTTAGAATGCCTCAAACAGAAGTCAGGAGAGCACTTTGCTTACTGTTATCGTTTTATTATACAGGATACAACTCAAGGACAACCAAAGGGAAGAGATACATAGGGCAAGGTATGGGGGGAGGGGTGTGGAGCCTCTAAGACCTCACTACTGGGTGTGTCACTCTCCCAGCACCCCAACGAGTTTGCCAACTCCAAAGGTCTCCAAACCTTGGCAGTTAGGGCTTTTTATGGAGGTTCCATTACATAGGCATGATTGGTTAAATTACTGTTTATTGGAGATTAACTCAACCTGAGTGGCTCCTCTCTCCTTCCTAGTGCATGGGAAGTAGAGCAGAAATTTCATTCCAACTGGTACCAAACTAAAGGGGTTCAGTTCCCTGCACACACCGAAGTGCAATCAAACGTGACCAGGAGTTTGTAGCAACGAAAGGTTAGTTAAGGAAATGGTGCGAATCACAGGGCAGCATTGCTCTCAGACCTGGCTCCCTGATAGTTTCTAGGGGAGGGTTATACAGGGGAAAATCTTGAATCATGGTGACTGAGGGAGTTAGGGCCCTTTTGGGGGTTGCAGTCTCTCTACTGATTGATCAGCACTAGGGCAGGGGGTAGCTGATCTGTGCATCTGGCCCTGACATCAGCCACGGCATTGCCGTGTCTGGCTTTGCAAACGTGGTTGGTGGAGTCGGTCTGCTTTTCTGGGTCTAGAGCTGAAACACAGCTGTGGCCTGGATGTTACCTCCAGTTCCACTGAAACTCTGTCTCTGTGGGTGAACAGACCTGAGACTTTGTTCCTGAGATTATTTGACGCTGACCAGAGCCTCAGCGCCCTGCAAGCTTAATGGTTAAAGAAGTGCACAGCAGAGGGAAGGGGTGAGTCAGGGCACTCCTGGCCTGCACCAGGCCCGTTTGAACCGAAAGGAAAGGAGAACCTGACTGATGAAGGAAGGGACGTTTCTGTGTGGCTGCAAGTGTCGGTTCTTCTGGCAACCAGCCCCCATTCTAAGCTATCACATCGTTATTGGGGCATCCCAAGAGTCATCTCATTTGTGTAAACTCAGGTTTTGGTTGAAAAATAAATGACAAAAGATGCTGCTCTCACTACATTTAGGAAATGTCAAGCATTTTAGAAGCTGTGCCAGAAACCAGTGATGAAGACCAAGTGTGTATGTTATATCACAGTATCGCAGCATCGTTTGGGAACTCTACCCCCCCACCCCCAGGATGTCTCTTATTCAGGTCCAATGGTAACAGGCAAAAATGATATTTGCAAGTTTATTCAAAAGTCACATGCTGTCATTAATCAGAGTTGGTTGTCAGTGTTGAGAAGGGAAACGCACTGTCCCTCATGGAATCAGTCTTCTAGGGGAAGCCATCTATTTGCAGCTTTGAGTGAAGCTCTGTGTCCCCAGAGCAGGTCTAGATAAACCAGGGTGACACTGTACCTCAAACCCCAGCTTTGTCTGCCTGGCATTGTTCTCTAACTTTCCCTTGTCTAGATTCGCTCTCTGCTGTGGATTGAGAAAAGGAAAACAGTGTCACATCATGAAGTCATTCAAAATTGTAATCATTCTTCAGTACAGTGACTCACTCAATCCATTAACGCAAACAAGGCTGCTGCACGGCTACTCTAAAAACAAACAAGCCCAAAAAGCCAGAGCAAAGTCAAAAAGTATTTTTCCACTTGATCTTTGGGAAACCTTCCCAAACAAATGAGTTTCTCCTTTATAATTAGTGCAGGAGAACCTAGATCAGATTTTGTTTCTAGGCCACAACCAATGGACTATTTGTTCAGGTTTCTTTTATCTGCTGAAACCCACATTCTTTGCCTGGAACTGGAACTCTCCTGTTTGAAAGAAGTTGAGCTCTGCTGGGCTGTCTAATTACATGAAAGCAGACACTTCTGCTTCAAGCGTAAGGGCTTTTAGTGGCCTTGAATCATTGTGATGATAATGTAGGAAGAAACAGAAATGGCAACAAGTTAATAACAAAAAAAAACTTCTTTGAAACTTTTTGCTACTTGCAGCTTTTTAGATCGAGGCTGCCACCGAGATACAGTTAAATCCTAGAGGTACTTTAGAAGCAGGAGATGTTGTAATGTCTTTTCAGGACAATGGTTTGACACTGGGAAGAGATAGCAAGTTTAATTCTTACAAATTAGAAAGCATCATCTGACCAAAAGGAGTATCTCTCAGGCTTAATCAGCTTGTATCAACAGTGAGGTTTTGTCATGCAAAATTTGTGCATTTAAATCATAAGGATGTGCTGGAAAGCCGCTTTTATTTTCAGAGTTAAACTCTTCCCCCATCCTGTGAGTACTGAAACTCTCTTGATGTTTTCAGGAGCTTCAAAGCAGTTTTAAGAAAGGGAAGCTAACTTTTGAGAATATTATGGAAAAACTCCGAATCAAGTATTCTGAAATGTACACCATAGTTCCCGCAGAGATTGAGTCCCAGGTGGAAGAATGCAGGAAAGCTTTAGAAGACGTAGAAGAAAAGGTAATAATGATGTTTGCACTAGTGTTGTTATTTGTGGGGTTGAATGAATGTAACGAAAATATTTAGTATCATATTTTTATTTGCCCTGATTTCAACTATAACGTTTATACAGTTTAGTTAAGTGATAATTTTGTGTATTGAATACTGAGATGCAATTGCTCTGAATAAGCGGAGGAAAACACAGAAATTAGGTAATCTGTTTATTTTTAGTTGTCAAGATGGTTAGTATTTCTTCTCTTGTATTTAGACATAGTTAAGTATTAACTTTCACTTGTTTTTTTTTTTAAACTGGACACCCACTTTAAAGTTATGGACATGGATAATGCTTTGTTTTAAAACATGTTCTCCTTGTATGTTTTGAAATAGCAACCAACAACAATAAGAATAAAAATTTCACATGTCACTTAATGCACAGTGCCTTTCTAATGATGGTGGTAGCACAATTCTCATAAATCATAGCTGGGCAAATCCTTACACTTGGAAGTCCAGTTTAGAAGCATGACTGGGAAATGTTTCGTAGTACAGACTTAGGAGTTTAGCAAGGCAATGTTACTGAATTGTAAAAAGGCAGCCCAAATTCAACAGAACAAAATTGTGTTCTATTTAGCACCCACAGAAAGATTTTTGTATTGCTTTTCAAAGCCTAGGATATCTCTAACTTAGTTAGTAAAATAGATAGTAAATACACACACAGAAATAAGATTTCAAACTTAGTTAACTTCTATGCAGGTTTCTATGCAAACTTAGCTAACCTATGTAAACATCTCATAAACTCCTAATATATATTTATAAGAACTCTTGTTGATTTAACATGCAATAAACTCTGTTATGAGGTACTTTCTCAAGAATCACGTACTATTGATTTTATTTTAAGAGAATCTAAATGTTTTGAGAGAAACTAAATTCGTTCTTGTGAATGCATCATGTGAAAATCCCCAATAAAGTGAATTAATAATCAAAATTTGTCTTTTGAACTTAAGGTTGAAACTTTCAACTGTAGCTTACGTCTTTATAACAAAAAGCAACAGATTTCTCTTGTGGGGTGTGTCTGAAGGTTCCAGGCGGCAGATGCAGTGCCATTCTGTACAGTTCAGGCCGCAGCGTGACTTCCCTAAGTCCTGATCTCTCCTAATGTTCCTAAGTGGTGTCCGTCCCTGCCAGCAGAACAGCTGCCCAAAAGATCAGAAAGCTTTATTTTGTGGAAATTTGTTACATAGGACTAGAAAGTTATATAGCAACAAAAAACCCAGTGCAGGGTTAATTTTTTTTTTCTAGAAGTCTTGCCTGCGGTGTGGTATGGTCTGTGAAATAAAAACAGTTTTTGAAAGTATCAACAGCTTGATGTGAAAAGAGCGTGGACTCCGGGGTCTGGCAGCCTGGGGCTTCTTGGGGCAAGGTCACCTGTGGCCTTGACATGTGACCTTAATTTAAGCAAGTCATCCAGCCTCTGTTTAGTTTCTGCATCTGCTTACTATCTTTATTGGAATGTTCTAGTCTCAGTGGTTATATAGATAGTAGTTTTTAAAAAAGTTAAAGGATGATACGAAAGCAAAAAGTATTATTTAGTTATTCAGTGGCTGCTGGAAGAAAACCTTATCAATGTAGCCAAAAGAAGGAAAAAAAGGAACATGAACTAATTAATCAGGTGTTTGAAAAATGACACACTCAACATTCATGTATCTTTCCTAACCTAAGTAATTTTTTAAAGAAAATCATTTGGATAAAAAGTGACACTGTTCAGCAGCTAGATTTCTGACTGCTGTGAAAACACACTGGAAACTTTCCCACAGAGAAAACTAAGCTTTGAATGTCCTAGAGGTTATTTTACCCTAATGAATATTAAGGCGGGAATTACAATGTTTTAAGTCAGCTTGAGAAGAAATTTGATTTTATTGAAAACAGTTCTTTACAGAGGATTTCCTCGTAAAATGGAGAGACTGTGTAATGAATAGTTTACCTCTCAGGAATTCTTTCATGTCATCTGCTCCACTGGGTGTGTTCCAGGAGACCGCTCGATTGCTGTGCCCCATGTGGCACGCATGTATCTGTAAGTATATGCCGTGGATTACATTCAACAAATTTGTGTTTGTCAGTTTTCTTTCCTTTCTTTAGGTTGGATTTAACAGATTGGGTCAGCACAGCTGCCATCTCCTCACCTGCTAATGTGCTCTCTCATTAACACATTAGCCAGCGTGGTTTGAAAGTTTACAGGGGACCTTTAAACAATTTTTATAACAAAAGCACATAACAGTGGGACTAACCCTTTTATCATTTGAACTCGTGACTAGAGTGCAGGAAACAACTCTAAACCAAAATATGTCTTTGTCCCTTTGTAACAGATTAGCAGTGAAATCTTGAAAAGTTCACCATCATACGCAATGAGCAGAAAAATAGATGAAATCAACAATGGACTTCATAATGTTGAAAAGATGTTGCAGCAGAAAAGCAAAAATATCGAGAAAGCTCAAGAAATTCAAAAGGTAACATCCTCCTTGCACTTCCTTCACCCTTGGTGTTCTGCCTGCTCATCTGTCATCATCACAGGGCGTGTCCCCCGGGGTAACCTGAACTACAGGGATGCTGGCCCAGCTCCACAGGCCACCCTTACCAAGGGCACCACCTACACTAGCTTGGTGGAGAATGTCGCATTTAAGAATTGTTCTCCGTTTTTTCAAGGTGAAAATATACCCAACCCCCTGAGAGCCTATGGTTGTGAACTGGCCTTTTCACAAGTAAAGGAGAGTGAAGGTCTTATATTTATAAGACTATATAAAAATATTATGCACACATATAAATATATATAAAACAAAGGCTAACATGTTGCTGTGTTTGAGCATTTCTTAGAACCTTTGCTTTTCTAAAGTGAAATATATTGGGGATTAAAATATGGAATGTTTATAAAACTCATTGGATTAAAAAATTTCAATAGGATTGTCAACTGTAATTGAAAAATAAGAGTGCAATAACATTAAAAAGTATTTCAATAGAATATGAATAGTATTAGCAGCTTTTCTTTAGACTGCAAGGGGGAATAGGAAAATAGAAATTCCAGTTTTTTCCCCTGGTAAAATGTCTTATGAAATAAAGTCTTAGGTAAAACTGTACATAAACATAATATTTTTTCCTCTTAACTCCCAAGTAAACTCTACATATAGAGAGCGGTTTTTAAAAGATTTTTTTTTTGTTATATTTATTTTTAGAGAGGGGGAAGGGAGGGAGAAAGGGAGGGGGAGAAACATTGATGTGAGAGAGAAACACAGATCAACTGCCTCTTGCACGCACCCAGGCCGGGCGTGGACCGAACCTACAACTCAGGCCTGTGCTCTGACTGGGGATTGAACTGGTGACTCTCCGCTTTGTGAGACGACACCCAGCCGACTGAGCCACACTGGGCAGGACTAGAGAGCATTCTTATTCTAATCTACATTTTAAGGAAATTTGCTAATGTGAATGGAGACTTTAAAAAATAGGTCAGAATATGGTTCACCATTGGACAAAATCTCAGACTCTTAATAAATAGAGGAATCTAATTTAAGCAACAAGATTTTCCCATTTCTAGAAATTATGTTCTTAAGCAAATATTAAGTAAGATTTAAATTTTTTTACCTTTGAAATGTTTGAACCCAGCTTGTCAGTTTGTTGAACCCAAAGCAGTTGCTACTGTTACCTGTGGCTACAACGCGCAGCCGCCACATTAATCCTGAGTGCGAGCAGATACGTTATTTTTATTAGTTTCATTTTTGTACTTGATCAAGATTGCCTTCTTGAAAGTATATGTATGTGCTGATCTAAATAGGTTTAAATATTAGCTGAAGCCCTTTTTAAACATAATGTTAACACTCTTGAAAGATGAGGGTGCGTCACCCTTGTTTGGTGCCTTCATCTCTGCGAATGTCCGGGTCTTTCTGCTCTCCTGCAGCTCATCTGTACCGAAATGAGCACTGTGAGAGTTGAGACACCTCAGAAAGAGTGTTTTCCAGTTTAGGTCGCCAGTGATTCCTGGGCACACGTGAATAGCTGCCTGTGGTGGTGTTTTGGTCGCATTTACTGTGCAAATAGCATGTGAACACCAGGAATTGCCACAATACACCATGACACCTGCGTTTAAATTGACATGTGATTTCCTTGTCCAGAAAATGTGGGACGAGCTGGATCTCTGGCATTCCAAGCTCAATGAGCTGGATTCTGAAGTACATGACATTGTGGAAGGGGATCCAGGACAGGCTCAAGAATGGATGGATAACTTGATGGTTCCTTTCCAGAAGTATCAGCAAGTATCTCAGAGAGCAGAATCGAGAACCTCCCAGTTAAATAAGGTGCGGTGGTAACATGTGATAATGGCACATAGTGTGTAGTGGTGTTGAGATCGGTTTAAAACAAATAAACATATATTCAGAGGGATCCAGTTTCCCTCTGATTGCCAGTTTTAGGATTTGAAGCTAGAGCCACACAGTAGGTTCAGGTGGGCACCCAAGGGTCAGAAGTCACTAAAGGGACAGGCAGAAAGTCTAACTGGGCAGGTAGAGGCAGGTATCTGAGATTCAGCCCCAGCACAGCTCTTCCCGCAAGCAATCTCGGGAGTCCAGGGAGGGGACCAGCAACAAGGAGGAATGTCATTCCGAACAGGACACCTCCTTTTTCCCCTCTAAGCAGAGGTCGTGGATGGGTGGCTGGTGTTGTATATGTGACCGAACAAGGGTGAGGCAGGGTCCTAGTCTCAGAGGAGCTGGGATGGCATAGGACAAGGCCCTGGACAGGAGGACAAAATACAAATCCAGTTTTCAGAATGAAGCATACTGTGGGAACCAGACTACTTGCAAGACTAACTCAAAACCCTTGCCGAGGCCCCTGGCTTTGGGGTGGAACTTTTTAAGTCCTTTTCGTCTGTGGTCTGGATTAGTCTTTAAGATTGGCAGGTTCAGAACTGGAGGGGAGGGGGCAAGTGGCCCCAGCCATGGGGTGTGGAGCCCTGCAGGGCTGACAGACCACTGACTAACAGCCGCAAATTCTTCATTCAAGTCAAGTAGGAAGCATTAGTCAGACTGAGTTTGTTATCGCCTCTCTTTCACAGGCCACAGTCAAGATGGAGGAATATCATGATCTTTTGAAGAGTACTGAGGCTTGGATAGAAAATACCAGTCGTTTGCTGGCTAATCCTGCCGACTATGCCTCTTCAAAGGCACTGAGTCTCCATGCTAGCACCCTTCAGGTAAGTGTTCTTCCCATGCTTCCAGCGTGCCACAGAATCTGCGTCATGATCAGTGGCTTAGCTAACCATCACGGTGCTTCCTTTACCTTTTTTTTTCCCCCTGAAAAACCACCATATCTTCAACTGTGCCAAATGGCAGAAGGATGCTTGGAAGGGTGGCAGGCTGTAAACAGGGATTTTGGAGACCAGGATCTTGTTCTTTCTGTCCTGGTATCTACTGCGTCAGCAGTAGTACATACCAACCTTTTTGGCACCAGGGACTGGTTTCTTGGAAAACAGTTTTTCCACAGACCAGGGAGGGGATTGGCAGGGGATGGCTTTATAGCCTGTGACCAGATGCAGCTTAATCATCACTTGCCACTCACCGATAGGGTTTTGTTACGAGTTTGCAAGCAGTTGAATTACTATGGCCTCTGTGCAGTCAAACCTCTCTGCAAATGGTAATCTGTACTTGCAGCCGCTCCCCAGCGCTAGCATCACCATCTCAATCCTACTTCAGATCATCAGCGTTAGGTTCTCATGAAGAGCATGCAGCCAAGATCCCTCACACGCACAGTTCACAGTAGGTGCGCGCTCCTATGAGAATCTAATGCCACAGCTGACCTGGCAGGAGGCGGAGCTCAGGCCTTAATGTGAGCCACAGGGAGCAGCTGTAAATACAGATGAGGCTTTGCTCGCTCTCCCACTGCTCACCTCCTACTGAGTGGCCTGGCTCCTAACAGGTTGGGGACCCCTATATTACCTGACTCTTGGGGTAATTTACTGTATCCTCTATGGACCTCGGTTTCCCCCATCAGTGAAATAAGAACATTGCACTGAGTGGTGATGGTTTTGGTTGGCAAAATTCTAAAATGGATCCCAATGTTTTTGTCCCCTGATGTACATGACCTGTATAATCCCCCTCCCCTTGAGTATGGGTGAGAATATGAGTATGTGATGAACTAGCCTCTCCATTGATTAGGTTTCATCACTGTACTGCTAAGGGAATGGGGTGATCATTCCCGTGAATACAGGATCAGTCATGGTTGTATAATTGTAAGATTTTCTGCAAGCAGACTGGAGAGAGATTCTCCCGCTGGCTTGAAGAAGTACGCTGCCATGTGATGAGAGGGCCGTGGGGCTAGGATCCCAGGGCGGCCTCTAGAAGCTGAGAGTGACCCCCTGTCCATAGTCAGCAGGAAAGCTGGCATCTCAGCCCTGCAGCTGAGTTCTGCCAGCATCCTGCATGAACTTGGGAGAGAAACCCATGCTCCAGATGGCACTTGATTGCAGCCATGTAGCATCCTGAGCAGAAGACTCACCTAATCTGTTCCTGGACTCTTGAGCCATGGGACCTATGAGAATAATACCTTTGTGTTTATTTTAAGATGCTAAGTGTGGTAATTAGTTACACAGCATTAAAAAAAATTAATCCGTGGTTCCTTCCCATTCTACCATGCCATAATCCCAAATTTCCTGTACTCCCAGGCACTCTGCAGGTGCCCCGTGCCCCCATGCTAGCTTGCCAAGACAAATGAAAGCATTTTCTTACTCTGGGCCATGACTGCTAGAGATCTTCCAGGTGCCAACTGTTGGCTTAAGTTTTATTATGAAGGCGTATTTCGCTTCTCTCATATTATTTAGCCACCAGTAAGAATCTCTTAGGAAAAGGTTTATTCTGTAGCAATTTTTAGGGTAATCAGACCTCAAAGTTGATCCAGCTCCTTTTTATGTCCTTAGAATAGCACAGTGTGTTCCTAAGTGAACAACTGACTTCATACCTCCCTGGTTTTGAAGATGTGCGGGCAGGGCATAAAGGTGTTACATTTTTACCCATTTGTTTCTTTTCTTCCCCTGTCCTGTGATTTCTGCCCCTGCCTCTTGGGTTGGCTTTCCACATCCCCCTTTATTTTAAATAAATTGCCTGTATTTTTCATCATTTTAAGGAGTTTACAAAGACAGAAGAGAAAAATAATGCCTTTCCCCTCAAAGGCTTATTATAAGATTTTTTTAAAAAACACTGTGTAAGAGTGAACTCAGGCAAAAGCAATTGGACTTTGCTACCTACTGACAGAAATGTAAAAGTGTGAAAGTATCTCTCACGTGCTGGCCTTTCTGAGCTGGAGCTGAGTAGAACTCTAGTTTGTGAGCTAGAAGTAGGGACACGGGGAGGTACAGGATGATTTCCCACAGACTGTATCCTAATACATCCCCCAAATGGAAAGTAAGTCTCAAATAACTGTTCATATGTGAATACCCCATTCTATCTTTATTTTTTAAAACAGTTGTCTTATTTTAGGATACCCTTTTGCATTTTTTTAGTACTACCAGGAGTGGTTTTTAAAATGACTTTTAAAGGTATCAAAACTTTCGACTAAGCTTTAAAAATGTTTTAATTGCATTATAACCTTCTATCTATGGATAGTATTATTTAAAATAGGTTTTTATAACCTAAAGATGCTGTTTATAACCCCAAACTGCTATTGTAGTTAAGAATCATGAAAACATAAATTTCATTGTAAGATAGGAAAACAACTTATTTTTTAATCAGCTTTGTTGCAATATAATTTGCATACCGTACAGCTAGATGAAATTTTTAGGTGAGTTGTGGTGACGGCATACAGCTGTGTAGCTGCCCCCACTGCCGAGATGGAGAACATTTCCATCCCCCCGAGTTTCCCCTGAGTCTCCTCCTGCTCCTTTACAGTCAGCCCCCCTCCCCCATCTTTAGCCCTAGTAAGCACGTGCTCCCTGCTTTCTATTCATACAGTTTTGCCTTTTGTGCAATATTCTATAAGTTGAATCATATAGTATGTAGTCTTTTGTACCTGACTTCTTTTACTTAGCATCATGTTTTTGAGGTTCATCTAGGTTGTTAGGTTTATAGGTAGTTTATTCTTTTGATCGCTGAATAGTATTCCATTAATGTAAATACATAATATGTTTAGCTCCTCACCAGTTAATGGACATTTGGGTTGTTCAAGGATTGACCTACATATTCAATATCTATTGTACTGTAACATGTTACTCTAGAAGTTAGCAGCCTAAAACAACAAACAGTTGTTACCTTACAGTCAGTGTGGGTCTGGAATCCAGGCAGGGCTTAGCAGAGTGCCTCTGGCTCAGGGGCTCTCATGAGAATGCAGTTGAGGTGTCGGCCAAGGCTGTGGTCTGCTCTGAAGGCTCACTTTGGGTGAGGGAGGCGGCAGGACGCACATCCAAGCTCATCCACAGGAGTGTTGGCAGGCCTTGGAAGAGCCACCTGCGTACACAAGGCTGCCTCATGGCGTGCCAGCTGGTTCCTCTCTCCATAAACAATCTTAAAGAGAGTGAGAGAGCTCCTGAGACAGAAACAGACTTGGATAATCTAACCTTGGAAATTACACCACATTGCTTCTGCCATATTTTATTAGAGGTCAATCAGTAAGCCCCAGTCCAAATTCCAGAGGGAAGGACTGCAGGTTAGTTGTTTCTGGACCTGTTAATGATGGCAGAGGAGCAGGATTATGTGGTTCAAAATGGGTGCTGCAAGTCCACCAGAATCAGTAGACACTCTGGCCCTGGCCACTTGGTTGGAGCGTCTTCCCTTATGCCAAAGGGTTGTTGGTTCAATTCCCAGGCAAGGCACATATCTAGGTTTCGGGTTTTGTCCCCAGCCGGGGCACATATGGGAGGCACCTGGTCAGCATTTCTGTCTCACATCCAATGTTCCTCTCTCTTTCTCTCTCAACCCCCACCCACCTCTAAAATGAATAAACACATTCTCAGCTGAAGATGAAAAAAAATTGTTACACACTCTGAAGTCATCCACTACCATCAGCAATAGTGTTCAGGGTTTTATTACATAACTGGAAATAACCAGGAGTTTGATATGTTGAGACAAATGTAAATTTTCTTGGATTTAAATTTTTGTCAGCTTTCAGTATCTTAATGTTTCTTTTCCCCCCCTTGTTTCTCATTATGTAGATGGCTTTGGAAGATTCTGAACAGAAACATAATCGTTTACATTCAGTTTTCACGGCTCTGGCAGACTTGTCGGTGATTTTTGAAACGGATGATTTAGCACAGTCCATACAAGAGCTAAGTCGTCAAGTAGCAGCTTTGCAACAAAACATCATGGAAAGCCTCCCACAGCTTCAGCGTATGGCTGATGTAAGTTGGCACTATAAAGATGTGATTTCTTATTTTTAATTTCTATTTCATTTAGTAAATTAGAGTTATCCTGTTAACTGATTTTATGAAGACACGTTGATCTGATACTTTTTATTTTTTCATTTATGTTCAAAGGAAAGAATCCTGATCAAATGCACTCAGTGTTTTCTCTTTGTCAAAGAGGAGATACTGTGGATTTACAGGCACCGTCAGCAGAGAGGGAATTAAAACAGATAACCTCCCAACTCTTCACCAATAGCAAATACTTTCTGAGGGGCTGGGGGATGCTGGCCCCTGGGTTTTTTAATATTTTACTTCAGCTTGAACCATGTGTGGTATTTAATTAAGGATGGAGTGCCATGTCAAGGGCAGAGAAAGCTAGTCCTATTTACCTTTTCTTCCTCAGTTACATTCCCTGTACCACACTTACATAACTTCGGGGAATAGCAATTGTTACATATTCTTGGTTAGTCATACCTGTTCCAAAGTTTTTACAATTGTAGAAGCTTTACAAAGCTTTACAATGTAGAAGCTTTGAAAGCTTCTACAATTTTTGATGAAAAATGTCCTAAAATACATTTTATATGTTTATATACCTTTCTCAATATAAGGTGCAGAAAATAATTTCAACATGCTTTAACTTTTCCTCATAGTCTGAATACATCACTATAAAGTTACTGACTGTACTTACTGCTTTTCTTGCTGATTGCTCTGTTTGTCCTCTGTTGAATGATCCCAACTGCTGTAATTTGAAACCCTTAGTCTATTTCTATGTAGTTTTTTTCTGTCCGGGTCATTATTAGCTGTGCCTCTATATTGCTACAGTGTGTCTGCCATGAGAGCTACAGTAAAGGCCCGAAGGCCGTCTCACGGTGTGAGTGGACTTCACCCTGGGGGTTTCATAGCACATGTTGCAGCATTTCACTTTAAGGTTCTCGTCCAGGCTCTAGAGGTTGATGTTGTTAAGAGAATAACCACTGCACAAATGATCTATTGTTTAAATTAGTTGAAGTTATAAAGTAACAACTTTTCAAATGGCAACAAGCCATCAGCAGGAATATCTGGTCCATTTTCCAGCTCCTTGTGTGTTCCTTTCTCTCCCAAGGGCAACTTGATCATTTTACTTACAGTGGTGGGAATTTTTAAAATGTGAGACTCACTTGTATTCAAGTGTTTAAACACATTCCAAAGATAAAGCTAAAGAGTTTGTAGATCATTGAGACTTTACCTAAAAACCAATTCAGATATATACTACAGATGGTCCCCAACTTACAATGGTTTCACTTAAGATTTTATTTTATTCATTTATTTTTTAAGATTTTATTTACTTATTTTTAGAGAGGGAAGGGAGGGAGATAGAGAGAGAGAGAGAGAAACATCAATGTGTGGTTGCTAGGGGTTATGGCCTGCAACCCAGGCATGTACCCTGGCTGGGAATCGAACCTGGAACACTTTGGTTCCCAGCCCGTGCTCAATCCACTGAGCTACGCCAGCCAGGGCTTATTTTTTATTTTTTGATGGTGAGAAAGTGAAATGCATTCAGTAGAAACCATATTTCAAGTTTTGAATTTTGATCTTTTCCCAGCTAGCAACATGAGGTAAGTTACTCTCTTGTGATGCTGGACAGAAGCAATGACCACCCCTCCCATCGGCTACGCTGTCCTCAGGGTAAACAGTCAGTACCCGAGATTGTGTATTCATTGTGTTAGATGATTTTGCCCAGCTCTAGGCTCATGCAGGTGTTCTGAGCACATACAAGGCTCAGCTGTGATGTTTAGTAGGTTAGGTGTATTAAATGCATTTTTTACTTAATGATATTTTTAATTTACAATGGGTTTTTCAGGCTGTAACCTCATCATAAGTCAAGAAGCATCTGTACCTTTGTTCTCAGAGTACAAGTAATTGAAAAGTGGCTTTATGAGGATCTTTAACTCAATAGTGTGTAAGCAGTGCTTTGTAGTGTGGTCTGCTAATAATAGAATAGCATTTTTTTATGGAAAACAATCAACAGTATCTGAGTAGCACTTGTTTAGTCTTTAAGAAGTATAGAAATGGCAAACATATTTTGGTTAAATGTTAGAATAGAATGAATGGCAATAAATTGTGTCTTATAGATGTATGCAGCTTATACTGCATGAGTTTTTTTTTTCTCTGAAACTCTAGGATGTGGTTGCTGTTGAAACTGAGGTAAAATCAATGGAGAAAAGAGTTTCAAAAATCAAAGCTATCCTGTTATCTAAAGAAATATTTGATTTTTCACCTGAAGAACAACTTAAGCATGGGGAGGTAAGCCTGGATCATTATTTAAAGTATTTTATCACAATATTTATTATGTTTATTTTTAGATATGTAATAATGTGATATAATAAAAAGTATTTAGTCATGCTACAATAATAGCACAATAAAATCAAAAGAGATATGGCTCAGGCCAGGTGGCTTAGTTGGTCAGAGTGTCATCCCATCCTCCAAAAGGTTGTGGTTTCAGTTCCTGATCAGGGCACGTGCCTAGGTTGTGGGTTTCATCTCCAGTCAGGGCACGTCCTGGAGGCAACGTCTCTCTCTCTCTCTCTCTGTCTCTGTCTGTCTCTCTCCCCCCCCCCTTTCTCTCTCTCTCAAATTCAATAAACATATTCTTGGGTAAGGATTAAAAAAAGTTGAAAGAGATATGAATGTCTATAAATATCATGTTTGAAATCATATAATACTATTTATATAGTTTTTTCATTTAATTTCTTCCAGAAACTTCAAAGTTTGGCAGTTTTGCTTTCAAGTCAAATTTAGTTGTTTAATAGTCCACGAGCTTAAGGCTCTAAGGCTGGAGAACTGAGTTCCAGCCCCAGCTAAACTGCTTATAACATTTCGTATCTGCACACTGGTATTGCAGTGATTATGTTGTACTATTCTAATGCATATAGAGCCCTTAGCACTAAATAGTACGCAGATGTTGATTCTGCCTAGCGGTTAGGACCGTGTGCTTTGGGGTCAGGCAGCCTGGGTTCTAATCACAGCCCTACTTTTCTCACCTCACCTTGGTCTTCCAACTGCTGTGAATCCACTTTCCTTGCCTATGATGTGGAAGTTCTGATACCTCTCTCCCAGGGTAGTTGTAAGGATCAAATGAAATGATACATATGAAGTATTTAGTTATATTCTCTTCTCATTAATTGAATATGTAAATCCAGGTTTCTGTGGATCAGATGTCATTAAAGCAAAGTAATTATACCTCTGGGACTTATAAAACTTGACAGGACAGTTCTGTTCAATTCAATAAGCATTTTCTGAGAAACAGGCCTGTGCTGGGTGCGGTTGCTACAAGAGTGAGATGCAGTACTTGCTGTTACCACAGCTCACTGCCTGGTGATAGCACACAAAGCAAAACAACAGTTTGGGGCGGGGTGGGGGGGTGGGAGGGGAGAAGGAAGGCAAGGGTGGTCCGAGTGCATGCCTAGTGCTGGGAGGCTACTCTTGCCCCAGACGTTCATTCTTCCGTGAGAACTTTAACAACCAGATCACAAGTGATAAAATAATCTTTTTCACTCTGAGCTAAGGAAATGTTTTAAAAATCAAAATAATAGATTAAAGTCTAAATTATACACTTATACTTTTGAATAAGTAGATTTAACAGTATAACAGTGTAACAGTGGCCTTTTTTTCACTTATGAACCATGCATATCTAATATAATTAAGGTCATACTGGAAAATGTACATCCTATGAAGAAAACCATTGCTGAAATACTGTCTTACCAAGTGGAACTGAGTTTACCCCAGACAGGAATGAAACCTCTGCCTGTGTTTCAGCGGACAAATCAGCTTCTACAAGATATAAAACTTTTGGAAAATGTGACTCATGAACAAAATGAGTTGTTAAAGGTGAGTAGTTTCTGATGACAGCCAATTTACTGGACAAAAACATTCAGCGAAGGCTGGTCTTGTTTTCACTTTCGCTGGTCAGATAGATCAGATTCATGACAGTGAGATGCTGCCATGTTGGTTCTTTCTGGCCTCTCCCAGTGCTGCTGCCCAGGAAGTGGCATTTGAGGTAGGGGTGTGCCTTCTTGCTGAAATGGGGCTGAAGTCAGTTTTCTCCATTTTCACCCTTGTTCCAGTTACAGACATTGAAGTGTAGTTACATTCTGTCTCACTCCATTCTCCAGCTGTGGAAGACCTGCGTGGGTCCAGTGTGAGGGGCGAGGTTCAAACTTGAACAGAGTATTTGCGGTCTCATGGGGCCTACAGACTCTGACAGTATTCATTCCCGTGATAATTTCTTTCTGCATCTCAGTCACTTTCCTCTTCATCGTCTCATTTTGTTCTCATGTAGTTGGTACAGGAAAGTAGGCACTTTGCCACCTTATTTTTACCTATAAGGACACTAGTGCCAGAAGGTAGACAACTTGCTAACAGAACACCGAGTTAACTTGTGTTGAGATTCATTTGTGTACCAATGGGACAGGTGTTTGAGTTTTTAGATTCCTGGTGTTCTCCAGATCAGGGTCTCTTTCTTCTAATGTTTGACCTCTTTGAGTCTCTCCCCAGTTTTTTTTTTTCTTTTCATTTTGTTTGATTCCAGTCTCAAGACAGCCATCATCATTAGATAGAAATTGCATTTCACATTTCACTTTAGCCACTCACAAGAACTCACAAGAACAGAAAGTTCCCAAAGAGCCTGAAATTCCACAGACTTTTTTCAGCTCTTGGTAGAATCCCCTTCTGCCTGTGTTTCCTGATTAGATGGGTCAGGGTAGGAGGAAAGGTTTATTTTCCCCTTTCCCAACTACCACCTGATTGTAGGAAGAAAATTATTTCTCCCTCTTAAATTTTATTCACATCTTGGTGACCACTGTGTTCTCCTAAGACTTGAGGACACTGTAGTCTCTGGTTTGAGTCTTAACCTGTAGCCTCCCTGGCCTGGCTACTTACTGATCTGCTGATGTCATTTCCTGGCACCCACAGGAAGAAAAAAGATCTGGAACTCAACGTACTATTTTTGAATAAAGAGAAGAAAAGAGAAAGATATAAAATTTGATCTATTATTTTTAATCTTTTTGCGCTTCTTGGTCTCCTGTCAGGAAAAGACCAGTCCTAACTATGCTCGAAAGTGACTTCTTCACGAGATGAATAGGAGGGGGAAATAGAAGACAAAATTTATTTTGTGCCAAATTAGGTATCAAACTGTGCTGCTGAAATTTTCCACCTTACTATGTTGGTGGAAATCAGATGCCATCTCATATAATTCAAAGCTAAGTAAGCCGGTGGTAATGAAAAGCATTAGAATACGGTACATTTATTTTCATTCCTACTTTAGATATTAGAAGTGCCCTCATTGCGGAAAACAAGACAAATTACTTTGGGGGCAAGTCATGGGATGTTGCTCTTTAGAGAGGCTGGGGAACAGGTGTGTGCAGCGAACAGAGTTATTCATTTCCAGCCTGCAGCTAAAAGTATGGTTAAATATTAAACAAAATACATGGAAGAATTCTGTGTTGGCCAGGAGCTTTGTAGTTTAAAAGACATTTTGCTTCATTGTGAACCATAGCAAGGAAATAGCTAGACTTGCTTTTGAAATTCATTTCTTTATTTCATCATACTTGGATCATGTCATTTAGTCCACACATAGCTTCGAGCTCTAATGCTCACTTAACGCGAGGCTCCAGGTCTTGTTCTGGTTAGTTCTGCTTTATTCTGCCAACTCAGACTGCTCTTGAACCCTGAACCTTTTCCCCATAAAATACACATTACTGATCCAGTGGATACCAGGTGAGGATGTGGCTGGAACAGGAAAAGTTGTCATATCTCAAATTACATGCTTCTTCCACTCTGATTCAGCAATGCCAACTTTCTATGTGGAAAGCCACACATGGAAAATGTATTTAAATGGCATATGTGCCCTGACCAACATGGCTCAGTTGGTAAGAGTGTTGTCCTATAACTGAAGGGTTGTGGGTTCGATTCCTGGTCAGAATACACAATAGGTTGTAGGTCTAATCTCAGGTCCGAGTGCGTACAGGAGGCAACCAATTGATGTTTCTCTCTCACATCGATGTTTCTCTCTCTCTTCATTCCTCTCTCTAAAAGCAATGAAAAAAAATGTTCTCAGATGACATATATAACATATCAATAATTTTATAACACTTAGCAACTTTACATTAACCTGTTATTAAATGCTTCCCAGAATAAGCCCACTGGACTGAAAACACGTAAGAGCTAGCATGTGTCTATATAGACCTCCACTTCAAGCACTGCCCAGGTGCCTGGGCATCTAGTAGGGCAAGCAGGTCAGGTGTAGCTTTGCGGATGTTGTCCTCGACATTAGGCTAGCATTTCCTGCTGAAATCTGTATGGGTGCATATTTGCTGTCATTGACTGGAGCTAGTGATGGGGGTAGACACTGGAAGTAGCCCATTGATCTGTTCCTTGGATATGACAAAAATTCTTCTTTTGGGGGTTATTTTTTAGATAGTCATAAAACAGACTAATGAATGCGACGTGGAAATAGAAAATTTGAAGCAGATCTTAAGTAACTATTCAGCTGAGCTCTCCCGTGAAGATATGTCACCACAACAAGCTGCCCATATGCCACAAGTGCAGGTATGTTTCTTCATTCATTCTGCAACCCAGCAGTTCGCTCAACAATCATGTACTAAGCTGTTGGTGTCTAGCAGCCTTTGTGATAGAATAGTCTGTTTCCTATGCTTCTCTTCCAATTGAAAGTATTTTATGTGTGTATTCACTTTCCATTCCTATTTCACAAAAGAGGTGAAAATAATTATAGTGGAAGGCTCTTCAATGTCCTTATCCTCAGACTGTTGCATATTGGTGAGAATTTTCTCTGGTACCAAAAAAGCTGATGTAACACAGAATATTTGGACAACATGACTTTCTGGCTAGCTTTCTGGGAGAGGGGTCACGCAGTGGGGGCTGGCCTTCAGAGGTAAAGGCCATGGACACCGCTGTAATGAAGTTCCATGTACTAAAAGTTCTATATACCAAGTAGTATTTCCATATGAAACATAATTAACAGTGTCAGGTGGACCCAGTTACACAGGTTTGCATGTTAACCCTCTACTGCTAGGGTTTCATTCAGTGTTTGTTTTTGAATCAGAAATTCTATAAAAATTAGGAAAAAAAAACACCTTGATTGTATGGCAAGGATTGTAGAGAGCTGTGTTTTTCCTGCCATCATGTTCATGCAGGCAGGTGATTGCTATTGTATTCCAAGCCAGGCTATACTACCTGCTCACTGTGAACCTAGGGCAAGTCACTTAACCTCAAGGGTGAAGTACAGAGGGATTCAAGGTGACACAGCTGTTAAGTAATGGGCTCAATAGGCAGACTCAATAATAAAGATTTGGCATTGTAAAAATGTCAAATTTCCCTTTACATTCAAAGTTTGAGGACCCCCCCAATAAAGAGTTTTAATTTATGAGTTATATCTACCAATGTAGAAACTAAAACTCAGAAATATAAAACTATTTGTTTAGTTATTTAAAATAACAATCATAAACCCATTACATGTGAATAGAAATAACATCGTTTTATGGAAGAAATTATATTTTCCCAAAAGAATGTGTAGTGAGAAGAGTGACATTGTTTTACATTTTTGCAAATCTCTGTATAATGTTCAGCTTGCCAGGATGACAGCTAGATTCTCGTCTGTTTCTGCGTTTGATCTGCTGAGCTGTGTAGTTTTGTTTCAGATATGTTAAACACCCCAACCTCTCAAGACATGTACACAGAAAAGGGAATATTTAAATGACCCTTCTGAGTGATTGTAGATATTCTTTGAAACTACACTACACTCCAGTAGGTGGAAGTTACTCACAAGTTTGGAATCCGAGGCCATGTCAGGGAACTTTTCATATCTTGCATTAAAACCCACTGGTCTGTCCTATATAGGGTGGGGCAAAAATAGGTTTGCAGTTGTGAGTACACGAAACCCAGAGTTTACTCTTGTGTTATTGTTTACTAACTGTTTTATTATTTTCCATGCAAACAACTGTGAACATACTTTTGCCCGACCTTGTACTTTGAATGGATATTTTCACCCCACGTGATTTTATGACATCATGCTTGATCCTTTGGAAAATAATTGTTTCACTGGTTACACAGCCTGTCCAAATGTTGACACATTTCAGTAATTGATATTAAAACTTTTACATTTGTTGACATCTATCTCTTTAGGATAATCTTGTTTTATTTACATATGTAAGTATAGTTGACCAACTTTTTTTTTTCAAGTAAAAATATGTTCTATTAAAAAAAACTGGCAGTTCAAGTAGAAATTCAAATAATTACACAAGTGCTTTTCCTTAACCCTTATACTTCGGTATGTGGCAGAAGTGCTTTAAGGATGCTTTCCACTTTGTCATATAGAATACTAAAAATACATGTTATCAAGGATATTCTTAAGTGAAACTGGCCTTTTCTACTGGGTTGGTGAAAAAGTTTGTTTTTTTTTCCTTAAGATGGTTCTAGTAGCACTTAGTTGTCTTTAATTTCATTCAAAAGAATTTTGTTAGACTGAATCATGACAGCTGTCATATCAGCATGCATTTAAAAAAAATCAAAATCAGTGAATATTTGTGTAGCCATATTAATATTGAAGATGGAAGAAAATATGCAACATTTTTGGCATATTATGCTTTATTATTTCAAGAAAGGTAAAAAGCACAACTGAAACTCAAAGATTTGTGCAGTGTGTGGAGAAGGTGCAGTGACTGATCGAACATGTCAAAAGTAGTTTGCGAAGTTTTGTGCTAGAGATTTCTCGCCAGATGATGTTCAACGGTCGGGCAGACCAGTTGAAATTGATAGTGACCAAACCAAGACATTAATTGAGAACAATCAACACTATACCATGCAGGAAATAGCTGGCATACTCAAAATACCCAAATCAATAAAGTCACTAGTGAAAATGAAAAAAAAATGTATTTTAGTTTATGGAAAATAACCTAAATGGACTTATTGGCCATCATACAGTGTCTGGCAGAATTAAGGCCTGCTTATGTGTGGTTAGTAAGGTAATAATGTGGGTGTAATAATTTATAGTTTTAATTTGAACATTTCACCTAAAATGTCATACGGTGTACTTGAGCGTGATGGAGCCATGTTACAGAATTACATGCTTATGATTTCATAATAAAAGATTTTATAATTAAAAGGGTGTTATTTGTGCTGGGCCCTGTATAGTGAAGAATCTAATAACCACTAAAATAGCCGTTGTTCCTGCCTGATTCATGTAAGATGCCAGTAGTTTTATCCACCATTGCTTTTGCAATGAAAAATAACACAGTGAAGAATGTCAACACAGTGAAAAACATCAAACAACATGTTAGTATTATTATAAAAATTACCTCAACCCCACAGAGTGTAGCCCGTGGGGGTCGGTGGATGCCATGTTGAGAGTGGCCGCTCAGGGCCCCACTGGGGTGGGGTGGCTCTGCAGACTGCTCTGTGTCTCTGAGGGTCATTCTAATGGCTGTAGTGTTAACGTTCGTTGGTAGACACTACTGCTGTGAAGTTTAGTGTTTTCTCAGTTTAATTCAATGATCATTTCAGACAGGGGTCACCAGAAGTTGCACCTCAGGCAGAACGGGGGGACTGGCATTGGAAGGTGTGCAGCCGCTGAAGAGCTGTGGGACTGGGGGTCAGGCAGCCTGGTCTGCGCTCTGTCTCTACCTAGCTGCGGCTCTGGGCAAAGTCACCTTCTTTTTCTGGACTTCAGAACTCTCACGTATAGGTGCAGACATGCTAAGCTTCTGTGTCTATAAAACAATGAATGATTCCATGAGTATCTGCAGGATGGATGGATGGATCAGAAGAATAAAGGAAGGCATGAACAAGTAGGGGTTTACAGAATACATAAGGAATGGAATTCGCATACACGGAGGTTTGCTATGAAGGAGCATGTTGTCTTCTGATGCGGCACTTAATGCAGAGTCAAGGCAGAGGTGGAAGGATGCCTTTCGGGGTGCTAGAGAGGAGGGTGTCAGACTAGATGACACCTGCTACTTCCAAATGTATAAATCTATGATCCTCATAGGCTGACAGTGGGCATCTACATTTCTACCATATATAGGAAAAATATTCTCACACATCCAGCATACAAAGTTTTAAAGTAACATTATGAAGCTTGGACTCATCTGTCTATCATTTCCATAGTAAGTTATGCTTCACGGTACCTTTGTTTTTTTATTCCCATTTGGTAGGAAGCTTTGGCTGTGAAAAAAAAGTAAATGAATTCATTAATAATGAAAAAGGTTTCAAAAGCAATAACAAAAATGTATGATTTCTAACTTTGTTTTCTCTCAGTGGTTTCCAAATGTTAGTCTGCTCATGAATCCCTTGGGGCACTTGGTAACGTGCAGATTCCTGGGCCTGTGGGTTCTGGCCAGTCAGTCCTGTGGCCACTAGTCAGTGGCTCCCAACCTTGGGCACACATTACAGTCACCTGTGGAGCTTGTTACAAATTTCTGAACCTCAGCTTGACACTCCCAGAGATTGACCAACAAGATCTAAAATGAGGCTAAGGCATTCCAATAGGGAGCTTGTAGACTCTCCCCAGGACTGGGAAATGCAGCCGGGATGCAGAACTACACTGTACCAGAGAGTAGCTCCTGGCTGTGTGCACCAACAGCTCATGAAACTCTTCATCCCTTGTACCCATGGAAGCAGGCCCCGCGGGCGTGCCGAGGTCTCAGACATCCTAAAACAATGCAAACGCTCTTTCTGCACAGGGAGAAATGGAAGATATTGAAAAACAGATTATAAGTTTGAACCAGAAAAAGGAAGACCTGTTGGTGAACTTAAAGGCTGCCGTGCTAAACCTTCACCAGCATTTAGAGCAAGAACAGCAAGAATTAGACAAAGAAAAGGAAATACTGTCAGCAGAAGCATCAGAAGAGGATGGAGTGGCCGAGAGGGATGTTTCTGAGCGGAGGGTGAGTGTGGTTTTCATGAATGCTGGTCCCACATCCCGTGAGCTTTAAATGGGTAGTGTTTTTTCACCAGTGGCATTTGTGTCTATGGCCCATAGTAAAGGAACTTTAAAAAGTGGAAATATTCTACCTGAGGTTGTTCACTAGTGAGTATAAATCTGCAGGGTATGTCTGTTCTGGACTCAACAGAATTCTTATGTGTGAGTTACTTAAGGAGGTGCTTATGAAATTCCACAGGCAGGTAGGTGAGTGGGAGCTACCCTCTCAAAAATCTCCTGACTAAAACAGCCCTTTGCAGACTCCAGGGTGAGCCCAGCCCCTCTCTAAGCTCACTCTGAGTCCACATCAGTGAATCTCATTTTTAATTGTTTAATAAGGAGCCAGAGGACAGGACAAATGAAAAGGATATAAGATTTGACTGAGTCTTGATTATTTGTCTGATGAGCTGAAGTTGCCAGACCCAGAGGGCTACTTGTGTAGGTGGATATCTTGGATAAAGTGAATAAAAAAACTAGCTACATGAAAATGCAGCCCGACCGGGACCCCGGTGATGTTGAATGGCAGCTTGGCTGCAGGCGTCTTTGTGCTGTGCCTTCCAGGTGAGCAGACGAGGCTCCATGTCGTTCCTGCCAGCAGTTGCGGAAGAGGCGGAAGAGAGCTCCCTGAAGAGTGAAGTAAGGAAAATGAGTTTCTCAGTAAATTGTGTTAGAATCGAAATCTCCTGAAAGAAGAGTAATGAATGGGAAGATCTTAAAATGAATGGAAGCATAAAGATTTTTAAAACTAATGCCTGTATTTTATAAGAAGGATTGAAGTAGTTCTTATGTTATTAACGTTGTTTAAGTGCATCTAGACCTACTTCCCGCCGGCGTGGGGTAAATGGAATTCAGACACTCTAGTTGGCACAAGGGAGAAGAGGAAGTTCTTTGCTGTATCCTGACTTCTGAGTACTTTCTCTGAAGTTTTGAGAATATGTTTTTTGGCATGCCTGCTATGCTTTTTAGAACTTTATTTTTTCATATTTAAATTACTTTTTTAGCCCAAAACAGCATTGCCAAGGGCATGAAGCGGTGTGTTAGCAACTAATACTAATCCTTACAATTTCACTAGAGCTGGTTAAATGAGACATGTACAGTTGTCTTTCCTGACACCAATTTCCATTTCGTAGTTTAAAAACTGAAGTTATAATGGGTCTTGTGCCAAAAGGAAGAAAATTACAGCAATTCATAGTTTTTGTCTCATGTGTAACCAACAGACTTTTTTTTTTCTGCTCATTTTATAGCTGGTTAAATAGCTCCATTGTCACACAGAATGACCTGTTGTCCTATTGTGTATCACTAGGACATGGTGCCACTGAGTACAGACAGCTTCGTAATCTAGTTATACCCCTGCTCTGCAGAGAGAACTGTGAGACTGGAGCGGGGGGGCAGGGGCCAAGAAAAGCGTGCACATCAGTATGATTCTAATTTGAGACCTGTATTTGCCTCTGAGCTGATATGTTTATAACATTCACTATTTGTGTTTGACAACAGCAGCCAAAATACATGTTCAGGAAGCTGTTGTGTTAATATTAGCATTTAAGATTACATTTACCAAAGCAGATTAAATTCCTTAAGCAATTTTAAAGATCCTCTTTGTGTGATGTGAGCTGACTCCCAACTTTTAAGAACAAGGTTTAGGTGTCAGGAAGAGCAGCCCCATTTGGAGACATATGATTTAGTTTGCCAGAGAAAGAGATGAAAAACAGGGGCAGAGGTGGGATTAGGGCCACAGTTCTACCGCCTGGTAAGCTCTTTTGTGTAGAAGGGAGGAATAGGGTGCTGGTTATGATGGCAGGAAATCACTTCCCTCTGCTGATCACTCAATTACTGTGTTAGAACGGAGATAAGAAAGCAAAGCCATCTTCTGGGTCTTGGTCTTTCCTCTGGACACAGGACAGGGACATGGAGGAAGATGGAGCGTCCTTGTCCTCTGGAACGATCATTCAGGTAATACTGGGCACAATGCATCCCTGGGGGTGGGTCGGGATGCTGAGGGTTAGTAAATTAAAGAAAGGGATATCCTGTTTGAAAGAATGCTGGAGCCTTCTCGGCTGGAAACTTTGAAATTTTCTCACCGTTACCTGTGCACAAATGCAAAGACAGCCAAGTGTTTACTTAGCATTTGCATTTCTGTTCTGCACTCACTGATAACTGGAGAGTATTTTTCTGAGGAAAGCTCAATATGTGACAATTCAAACTGAGAAAACAGAAAACTCAAAGGAGTACCTACAAAGTTCACCGTAGTGTTTCAGAACATTTGACACACCTCTTTTTTGGAAGTAGTTAGGGGAGGGGTCTCCCCATAATTCTTTGTTTGAGCAAAGTAGTATATAAATGATGATAATAAGTAGTGTATAAATTATAAGATAAATGAATGAAATAAGTCTTTTTGCTTCTAATGACCTTGCAGATCCTCTCCCGTCTCTCAGAACTGTGGGTAGATGCCCTCACTTTTATTTTAGAAAATCATAAGCTGATGTGAACATGATGCATTTTCCCTTGCTTCTGAAACATGTCTTTGTCATCATGATCCACGCACCTCCCCACTCCTGCTTCCTGCCCAGAGCTAACCCATCCCCTAGTCCCAGCCAGTCCTTTCATCTCATTGGCTGTGGGCTCTGCTTGTACCTGCACCTCCAGTCTCTGCCTTTTGCCAGGTTCCTTCCCTCTCTAGTTCAGAAGGACTCCGTTTTCTCCTCCCTAACAAGTCCCTTACCTTGTGGCCCCCCTCCCCGCACAAACTGAGTGTCCCAGAGCCCAGACTCTTAGAAACCACTGTGCATTCCCGCAATGCCCTCCTCTCTACCTGTGCCTATAGACTCCCTGCCCATCCACAAAGGCCCATCTCCATGTGCACCTCCAAGACACTTCCTGACTCTCCCTTTGTTTTCCGGTAGCATTCTGAACCTCAATTGTGACTTACCACAGTTTTATGTATGTGCTTGACACAATTTAATGAATGCCAAGAACTGTGCCTTCTACATGTTCATGTCTTGCATGTGCTCAGTATGAAACTTCAGTGCATTGAATTTCTTGATCTTGCTTCCCTTGTCACTTACTGTGCTTCCTCTCATTTATGGTTAGATGCCTTTACCAGGTGCTCCTTGCCCTTGGGCCCTTTTGTAATCAAGTCTTTGCCCCTAGCTATTGGCATTACCCCTAGGCTGGCATTGACTTCTGGAATATCAGTTAATGCCCTTTTATTAGTCCTAAATTTTATCGATCTCTCCAGCACTAGACACTTTCAACTACCTCTTTCTCCTTGAAATACAATGTTCCTCTGACTTTCCTAATTCTGCACTTTCTTGTCCCACCTACCTGCAACCCCTCCCCCATCTCCCCTTGCTCCATCCCTGTGCTGATAGGCATTCCCCTAAAGTTCCATCCTCTTCCTTCTCTGTTTGATAGCAATTTCCTCTCCCCCAACAGGTGTGGTATTCACCTCTGTGCCACTTATTCCCAAACAAAATCTCTAGTTTTGACTTTTCCCTTGAATCTGTTCCGTGTTTCTACCTTCCTGATAGATTTCTCTTTTTTGGATGTATTTTCTTCATTTCAAAACTATTTTCACCAGTTTTCCTTCAGACTTGCTCTTCCCCCTAATTTTTCAATGTTTATTAATGGCACCACTATTTTCTGAGTCTAAGACAAGCTTCAGAGTCATCTTAGATACCTCATTTCTCTTGCCTTTCTTATCCAGTCCGTGGTCGTATAATGTTTACTCAGTCTTTACTGCCTTCTTCTCCCACTACTTTTGCCATTAATGTTTTACAGGCCATTATTACTCCTGTAGACTTTTTGGAGTAACCTTCTCACTGGGTTACAGCCTCTAGTCATTTTCCCTAATGTATCTTATACAATACTGATGGCTATTCATGAAGCCATTAACAATCTACAGTCTTCATGGATTCCAATTATCTGCTGAACAGAATGCAAAGTTCTTAGCCTGGCATTCCAGACTTTTTATGATCCTGACCTACCTTTCCAATTTTATCTTTAGTTAAAAGTTAAACCAACCTAGTTCAATCAAGTTTTACCTTTAGTTCTTGATTTATACCTTTCTAATAGCAGTTACTCTTTTTAGTATAAGGAATTGAAAAGTAACATTTTGTTAGGAACCGCTGGATGCTTTATACTCTGTTATTTTTTAATAATCACGAGCATGAGTAAGGTAGATTATACCCCCACTTTAAAGATGAGGTAAATGAGACTCAGTATCCAGGAGAACTTGTCCAAGATCATACATCTTATAAGTAGAGAAATCAAGGTTGGTTGATGACAATATCCATACTTTTCCCACCACACCCTGGTAATTATTTGCATATATGACATTTTCCCATATTTTTAACCTTGATTAACCTAATTAGTAGAAGTGTTGGATCAAAGTATCCAGCCATGGAAAATGTGGCACTCACTATCAAGCTGCCCTCTGGAAAGACTGTGTCGATTTTATTTCCGCCCAGCGTGCGCGGAAGTGCCGCTTTCCTGTCCCCAGGCCGATACTGTGTGTTTGCAGTGTTAACCAGGCTTGGCCAGTAGTTTAAATTAAATTTATATTCCAGGAGTGTTGAATATCACTTTAGGTGCTTGTTAGCTTTTGTGCTCTTCTTTTGTGACTTGCTCATTCATGCCATTTGACTGGTGTCCTCAGGAGGGGTTGATGCTCTCCTTATGGATGTATAAGAACAACTAATATGTCAAGGATAGTAACATGTTGTACGTTGTTATCCCAATCTGATCTCTTTTAACATAAATTGTGGTGGACATTATTTTTGTTGTTAATACTAACATTTTTTCCCTTTATTGTCATGCCTTAAAAGTCCTTCTGTACTCCTATATTAGAAAAAGATTCACTCATATTTTTTTCAGGAATTTTTGTGGTATAACTTTCTAATTAAATATCAGAATTAGAATTCATTGTTCAGAGTGAAATAAGGATCTAGTTAATATTTTTCATGAAATGCCTGGGTAGTTCATCCCAAATTTAACAAATTCATCTTTTCTTCCATTAGTTCAAGTGTGTCCTTTTTCATATAATCTCACTTAATTTTAATTCTCATAATAATCCACTTAAATACATAATTCCCTGGATTCCTTATGTGTTCCTCATAAGCTAAAGAGCTTTGGAGAATTTAAGATTTCCAAATAGACAAACCTGAAGAAGTTGATTTTTTTTCCCCTAATGAATAAACTTTTTTCTAAATGCACCTGGCTTCTCTGGACATGTTTGCAAGCAGGTGATTTGTGAAGTGAGCAGGTGCAGGAAGAGTGACTTGTGTGGCAGCAGAACAGGGCCTTTTCTGGACCTCTGATGATTTTCTTCGCAGGAGGCAGCCGGGAGAGTAAGCACGTGTGACAGTTCCATGGCCCAGACCCTGGCACCAGTCTCACTGAACACTGAGCAAGGCCCAGCATTTTCCCAGGGCCCCAGTGGAACAGGCGAGGTAAGTCCCTGTGGGTAACTGGCCAACTGCTCAGGTACCTGAGCGCCTGGAGATGGCAAACTTGCTGTGTTCTGCAATACTGTGCATTTCAAGCCAAGAGTTCCTTGTGAACTTTAACATCTCTGTGTGTGTTGTCAGGCTGGAGAACTGGAAGATTTGCCATCAGACGTGAGCACAACACTCACCATTTGTCTGGGTGAACTAGTCTCTCTGCTAGCAACTACTTTCTTCTGTAGATGTTACTTATGGAAGCAATGGAAGTGGAGAACTAATATTGATTAACTGCTCTTTTCATGAGAGACATTTATATTTGCTGTTCAATTCTCAGATTAAATTAAGGTAGAGTTATACCTACCGTAAGTTTACAAATGAGGAAATCAAAATTCAGAGAGTAAAAGTTTGGCTGGTAAGTGGAGGAATAAGAAGTCAAACCCAAAATATTCCAATCGGCCTTCCTAAATCGAATATTTAGTGCTGAGAGATGTGGAATCATGGTAGGTTTGGCCTCACAAAATAAAATGCCACCACCCTGTCCCAGCAGCATGTCTGGCATCTGTGTAAATGCAGTGAGGTATTGCGTGTTAGCCAGGCAGTCTTACATTTTATCAAGGATATGTGGTGGGGAGAAGGGAGAGACATGCATGTGTATGTTAGAACTGACTGTAAAATATTAAGTAGTAAATTTAAAGGGTTGGTATTTTGGCATGAAATATGCATAGCTACAGTCAGAAAATGAGTTTATATTTTAACTGGATCCTGTTACTTAGGTTAGTGATGTGTTGATGCAGAAATCAGGCAGTTATGACATTCTCTGAGAGGCCAACTTGGATACTAGAGGGTAGGCTAAACTGTGTCAAGAATATGGACTTGTAGACTCTAGCAGGAGTGTCCAACCTTTTGACATCTGTGGGCCACACTGGAAGAAGAAGAGATGTCTTGGGCCACACATTGAATACATTGTGACATAATCACCAAAAAAACCCTCATAATGTTACCCTGGCTGGTGTGGCTCAGTGGATTGAGTGCTGGCCTGCAGACAAACCAAAGGGTCATTAGTTCAATCCCCAGTGAGGGCACTTGCCTGGGTTTTGGGCCAGGTCCCCAATAGGAGGTACATGGGAGGCAACCACACATCAATATTTCTCTCTTCTTTCTCCTTCCCTTCCCCTCCCCTCTCTCTAAAAATAAATGAATCTTTTTAAAAAATCTCATAATATTTTAAGTACATTTAAGATCTTGTTTTAGACCATGTTCATAACCATCCTAGGCCGCAGGCAGCCTGGGGGCTGCAGGTTGGACACCCCTGTTAAGGCATAATGAAATCAGGGGTTGAATCCCTGTTCTGCTTACTAGTTGGGTTACCATAGGCAGTTTCTATAACCTCTTTAAGCCTCAGTTTCCTCATCCGTGCATTGGGAATAATAATGGGCTTCTGGTGTGAAATACCAAGGTGGTCTGTGCATCATACTGAGCACAGTCGCCTGACTCATAGTCACCCAATGAAGGATAAGGTGTGATTACTTTACAGTGTGCTATAGAGGTGATGTGATCCTATCACAAGAAATACTTGTGATAATACTTTTTAGCCCCCCAGATTTATAATCATAAAACATTCATTTAAATAACCTCTGCTTTTATTATTATTTTTTTTAATCCTCACCTGAGGATATGTTTTTATTGACTTTTTTATGGGGGGAGAGAGAGACAAACATCGATTGGTCATCTCCCATACACACCCCGACTGGGGGGGTTGAACCCACAAACTAGGTATGTGCCTTGACTGGAAATCAAACCCTTAACCGTTTTTTGTGTGGGACGATGCTCCAAACAACTGAGCCATCCAGCCAGGGCTAAGTAATCTCTGCTTTTAGAATGTGTAGAATGTGTGGCTATCACTTAGCAGAGGTGCTGTTGAATCTGAGCAGGAGTGCTATTGTGGGAAAAACTGTGGACTCGAGGCTTGAAACTTGCAGAGCTGTGTGACCTTGGGCATGTACCTCATGACTGGGCCTAAGCTCCTCAGAAGCAGTGTGGCGAAATAGGAGGTGTGTGAACTGACTAAACGTTAAATGCACTTGGGTTTCTTTGACTATAAATAGGGGTGGATGAACTGATTACTCACCGGCAGGTTCCCCAGGGCTCATTCAGCTGCTAAGTTCTATGGTTGCAAATACGTATTCCTTTTTTCTTCCGTTTACCTTTGTAATTTTTTTCAGGTTCAAATAACTAGCAACTAAAGCCCGGATTAGTTATCAAGCTTCCTGGTTCCTCATTAATTCAGTGAATTAGTAGGAAAGCAAAGAAACTAAATATTGTCATTTTAAAAATGTGTGTGGCATAAAATGGGTATTCAAATAATATGTTTTAGTAAATAAGGACGGTGGATGATTAACTTATTATACAGGTGCACTAATTAACATTAACAGATTGTTAGGTGACAAAGAGAGGGTCCCCAAATCTATGCCACTAAGACAAAACAGTCAACTGAACTCTAGAAACCAATCAGATGACTAGAAATCAGTGACTGGCAGTAAAATCACAGAGCCGTTGCTTTTTTTTAAATGAGGATTAACAAAGGAAATTTGAAACAGGCCAAGCCCTGTACAGAGCTGACTCTGTGAACTGCAGAGGGAACCAGGGAACACTTCTTTCAGAAGTGATTGTTCAGGGCCGGGGAGAAGTAGCTTGAGGCAGGAAAGAGGGAACCTCTGTGATGTGAACAGCGGGCCACCGGGAACAAGGGCCGCCCAGAGCGGCTGTTGTCAAAGCAGCTTCCGTGACACCCCTCAGTGTGTGAGAACGTGAAAGGTGTTGTCGTACCCTGCAAGTTTTTGTTACCACTTGCCAATTTTGTTTCCTTCAGTTGTACCAAAAGTTCTCTGTTTAAACCCAGTGCCTCAAACATTGGAAAAGGTGCATTTGAGTCGACTTAGGATATACGTTTGTCAGCAGCTCCCAGGAGAAGTTTGTCACTTGTCTAAAACTATGCCTTATTAGATGCTAACCTGTAGTTAGCAAAGTCTTACATAGAAAACATTGTATTTCATCCTGAACATAATAAGATATGTATTGATCAGTAATTTTGTAAGCAAAACACAAATGCTTATTCCTAAAGGAATTTTTCTAGAAGGGTTAATATACTCTTTCAATATTCTGGAAGAGGGTGTGGGAAACAAATATAAATCAGCTTTTACCTCCAAATTTAAAATATCTATTATATAATTACTAGAATATTTTCATCTGTTATTAGGGGAAATTTTTCTACCAGATCAATAAGCAACCTTGTTGTTTCAGTACAAAAAAGAATACATTGTACTTTTTTATACTCTACGATAAGCATCTGGTCCTTAATGCGATAATATTTAAGTATGTAGAAGGTGAAAATTGGTTTTAGGGATTCTTGCTAAAGAGTAAGGTAAAAGTTTCCAGATTACCTCACTGAAGCTCATTACTTAATTCAATTAGTTTTAATAGAGAGAAATTTAGATGAGTTATGGCATGTATGTTAGGGCTAAAAAAAGCTAAAATACTTTATAATGTAACTAACTCCTTGAGAAGATGTTAACTTAAAAGCATGTGGTATATTTCCTTGTTTCCCAGCCGGCGTGTAAAGACCTCTTTTTCTGTTTGAATAGAGCACACAGCAATGTAAGCATTGCTTAATCATGTGTCGTGCAACTTTAAAAACTGGCCGGTCCACTAAAGTGTTTTCAGACACTCACACCCACATGCACACCCTCTCACGACACTACCTGTCTCCCGGGGCCTGCTGTTTAATGAACTGGGAGCCAGTTTGCGTCCTCTGAGCCCGGGAACGCTGTACCTGTGTACCTGCAGATCGGCTGCTTGGAAACCTGGGACGTCAGGTCACATGATTGTTGCTATGAGTGTGGAGGTGCAGTTTTCTTTTCTTTCTTACTTCTGCATATGTGTATATATATATATATATTTTTTTTTTCCTTTCTTTCTTTCTCTTGACTGGGGAAATGCTGCAAGTTAATAGGTGTTTGCAAGTCCAAATCTGAAAACTTTGGATTCCTGGTTTTTGATTGTTGGATTATCTTTGGATTTATCTTAGGGTGCCACACCTCCTATCAGGGCTGCCGCTGTGGGCTCTTCTATCAGGCAAGAAGCTTTTCAGACCACAGCAGTGAAGCCTAGACCAGAGCCTGCTGAAGTCCTGCATCTGTGCAAGACCCAGGTGGCCGAGCTGGAGCTGTGGCTGCACCAAGCCAACGTGGCATTTGAGCCGGAAACATTAAACGCAGCCATGCAGCAGGTGGTGGAACAGCAGCTGGCAGGGTGCCAGGTAAGGCTGATGGGTCAGAGTTCAGGGCTTTGCCTCTTCACCAGTCTCCAGATCTCTTTGCCAGTTTCTCTCATAGCAACAGTGCGTTTCTTTCTGTTACTCTGGCCACTGCATGGCTCTCGGCCTCTGGCCTTGACTTTCTGTTCTCAGGGTAATTATTTGAAATGATTCATGTAAAGAGTATTTGGGGACACAGTAGTAATGGATTAGAGCTCAGAATCTAGAGTCTACATCCAGGTCCGTCACATTAACCGAATTTGAGAAAGTGAACTTGTCACCTCATTTTCTGCATAAGCAGGTTATCTCTTAGGACTTTGCCAGGATTAAGTGAGATGAGGTGCGTAAACCAGCATCTGCTGTATAGAGGGCATAAATAGCGTTTAATAAATGCTGTTATTTCGATTCAGAATAATAAGTTCCTTGAAAGCTTATTCATCAGAAATGAAACTGAATGTCCTAGTTTGCAAGATTTTGCAGACGCAGCACAAAAGGCCTTCACTCCATTGTACTATGACTGCTCCTGCTGTTCCTTGCGAGGCACAGGAATAGAAACTGCCTCGCCTGCAGCCACTTTGAGTAACATCTGCAGGCTCAGCCTAAAAGTAGGGAATCCCTGTATCTGTATCCCTCCAGGGACGGGCTAGAGTGAGGATTTTATAGACGCATAATTGAGTGTCATAACAGCTGAAGCCCTTCCCCAGTGGTGCTTAGACCAGCCCTGGACTGGTGTCTCTGCTTGATTGGCTCATTTGTCTGCTGAAGTGGTCCCCGGGGGTGAGGACAACTTCTCAGAGTACCCCGTCTCACTGGCCCAGTCACAGGGAGCTTTTCTATAGCCTGCGCTAGGGTGACGGGTAGTCGACCCCAGGTCCAAGACGGACACGGCTCTCCTTTTCGCTTTCAGATTCAGTGCCTGCCTAGTGGGGGACCCAAGCAGGCAAGCTGACCTCCTTCCTTGGACAGCCAAGCACCTCTGACCCTAAAAGTCAGCTCTGAGGGGTGGGCTCACTCAAATACTGTCACAGCCGCATGGCCTGATAGATGAGGCATGGGAGTCTGGAGAAGACCGTTGTACAACACAGAACAGCACTGTGCTAAACTGAACCTATAGCATTTCAAAAGTGGAGTAGGAGCCACTTGACTCCGTCCAGGATCAATCTGCCAATTGATTGTCCTGTTGACTAGGTAGACCTTCATACCAATTCCTCAATCATCACCAAATTCCCTGCTTGGACTGCTTGTGAGTTCAATGACTTGGGGGGCTGCTGAAGGAAAAGACACCACCAAAAGGTGGCAGTAGCACACAAGGAGCTTCATTTGGGCAGAAGTTTGGTGGACTGGGAAGGAGACTTTAGAGGCAAGGGATGGGGGTGGGGCCACCACTCGGAAGGGGAAGAGGACAAGGAATCTCCCGGTGGCTCCAGAATCCAGAGGAGCCTTATGCATCTAGGTAGTGTCCCAGAGCTCTGATGGACAGCGGAGGCCGGGGTCTTTCAGAGCCCTTGAGTTCATCTTAACCATGCTGGCAGGCATGGGTCCAGTCTTGAGTTTGGCACCAGTGGGATTTGAGCTAATGGCCTTGGCCTGCTGTGAATAATTAAACATTATAGAGACCAATATATAGGGCTATCTTTGGCTCATTTACATAAGACAATGGCACATATAGTTTCATATTAAACAAAAGCCTTTTAGTGGTCTGTAAAAATGCCAGGTTCTCCATGGGAAAATGTACAAAGGGCAGGTTCAGACAGATTAGTCAAAAATTATTTTCGGTAATTTGAGAAAAAATGTTCAGCCTTGATTATTTAAAACATATAAATCACTACAGCTGTTGTCTTGTTCTGACATTACATTGGCAAAAATTATATCATACTGGAAAACTGGAGAAAAAGCCCTACTAATGTCTTATAGTTCTGCCCAGTCATTCAGTGTTCTGGGAGGTCAGCTGTCAGCTGTAAAATGTTCATCTCCTTTGACCTAATTCTTTGGCCATTACTTTATTTGCCTTCTGAAAATAACCCAAAAAGGAAGAAAATGTTCACGGCAGTATCAATTACAATGGTGAAGAACTGGAAACAGCTTAAAAGCGTAACAATATTCCTATTGTTAAGTGCATCATGGAATGTCAACTTGTAACTATTAACATTGGAAAGATGAAGCATATGCATGTAGGCACGTGAAAAAGTGTATATAACCTAGCGAAGGGGAAAAAATGAGCACAAAATTATAGTCCACTTTGCTTACAGCCACTCTAAAATCCATGAGTCCGTATTATTTAAGCTTAAAAGAATCTATACATGATACAAATAGTTTGTGTGGATGGAGGAGTTAATAAGGTGTACGATTTGAAAATTTGTTGTAAGGCTAGAGTTTTTCCTTAAGTTTCTCTCAAAGAACTGAGCTCATTCTTAGTGGCGCACCGAGTTTTGAGCACAGATGACCCCAGTGCTGGAGTGTGAGTCTGCACGTGCCCGTGTGCTTGCGTGCCCAGCCAGCCGGCACCCCAGGCAGGGCAGACCTGGTCTGTGGAGGACGAGGAATACAGTGACAGTGACTTACTGGGAAACTTCCTCCAGCTGATTTATTTTTAGACCCACATGTAAGTGGCCAGATTTATCAATGACTTACTGTTTTAGGTTCCAAATTATTTCCTCTGTGGTCTTCTGATATTTTGGAAGCTTATTTGGCTTGAGAAAGAAAAGGAGAAAGAGCAAGGAAAGAATTTTCCAAGAGCAGTGGGGCCACCCGCCTCCCCAGTACAGGCTGTAGAAAATCTCCCTGTGACAGGGCCAGTGAGATGGGGTACTCCGAGTGAAATTCTTCCTTTAAATTACTCCTCAATACTTGCAACAGAAGAAGGTTAGGATGGTGGAAGAAAATAATAGTTGGCACAGAATATATATCAGCCACTGGCCAAAGTACATAGATTTAACTCTAACTTATCAAAGTGAGCCTAGGAAGCAAGTTTTGTTATTATCCCCATTTTGCACATGATTAGAGGCAGACTCTAGTCATGCAAAGTGGGTTGCCTGAGTTTACCCAGCTACCTACCAAGTAGCCAGGCTGGGATCCAAACCCAGGAAATCTAGTTCCAGTGTCTGTATTCTTAACCACTGTGCTATGCTGGATACATTCAGGTACAGTTTCTAAAGTGACTGTAGAATCACTTATCTTTGAGAATGACAGATGCAATTTGGAGCTGGTTTGGTTGCACCCTTGTTGATAAGCATAGGAATTATGTGAAAGTTTTTTTGCCCCCCAAGGTCTCTTCCAACCTCTGTTTCTAGGACTTCTTATAATGTTTAGGTAGAGAAAGTGACTCTAACTTGCATTGGGATATAACACTCTTTCGAGACCAAAACCATGAATAATTAAATGATTTTATTTTCTAGGCTATGCTAACAGAGATTGAGCACAAGGTTGCCTCTCTGTTAGAGAACTGCAAAGATCAGGGTTTGGGAGATAGCGGAGCCATTCAGCAGGAGGCTGAAGCACTTGCCTTGAAACTAAAAACTGTGAAGTGCAATTTGGAAAAGGTCCAGCTGATGCTTCAGGAGAAATACAATGAAGACCAGGTAAAATATGGCTATGTAGAGACACGTATGTGTGTATATGTTTAAGGTAGACCCATTGGGAAGGAGCGTGGGCGGAGGTGATGAGACAGCTACAGATGAGTTGCACTGCATAAGAAAGCCCTGTGCCTCTTCCAGCTGTGAGGGGTAGCTGCCCTGCCGTTTGTTATTGGTTTCTTTTTGCTGCATAATTTTCCTGTTTAGGTTGTTATTACTGATGGTGTTGGCTTCATTTGGGTTGGGTTGATTGGATTGGGTTGATCTTGCTGGCAATGAGGTCTGGTGTAAGCTTTCTTTGTAAAAGAAGGATGCATTTTAAAGGGGTTTTGTGAACTAACAGACTGGAAAACAAAGCCTTTGTAGATAAGATTAAAATTTGACATCAGAAACACAAAACCTGTTTCCAGTGTACTTTTGTTTTTCATTTACAAATATTTACATGCACTAATCATAGTACTGTGTAGTTAAAATGTTCTTGTGACTCAAAAGCATTCTGTGTTTAAAAATGCAAATGTATATCTTATGAGTAGGCTCTTACTATACATAGGAAATAAATATGTATATGTTTGTATATATCTCCATACTTATGAGATGGTTGTTCTTACTTGGGGGGGCTTATATTCACAGAAATAAGCTTAGCTGAGATACACAAGCCATATGGTTCCCCTTTCCTATTAATATATTCCTTTTTTAAGCAAATTCTATGTATATTGTAGACATAAGGGATATTTTAATTTATAAGCATAATACTATTTCTCTTTGATTTTTTTTTTACTCTGTTCTTATGGGAAAAAATAGACTTCCTGGCTTTTAGTGATTGATTGGGTAAGTAAGTTGAGGAAATGATAAGGAGACCTCTTCATCAAATATAGTGGTTTTTGAAGTTTTTATGAAATCAGTACACTAAATTGTAGTGTATAATTAGAGTAAATAACAAAATATAGTTGTTTACTTTATATAAAATATTTCCATTATGTAGTCTCATTATTAGAATTGAAATAAGTGGGTCATCTTTTGAAATAAGTAGCCTACCATAAAATTTTTTGCAGCAGTCTGCCATTCTGAAGCAACCTGCGGAGCATCAGAAAGTTTTCCAACCAGATAACCTTTCTGAATTTGAATCTATTATAATGGAAAGGCCGCCATTCAGCAGACAGAAAGATTCACAGCAGCAGCAGGTAATGTGAGCCTCTAACAGTCGTAAGGATAAAAAATAATCCACGGAATTTCCCTTGAACTGAATCCTGGAATGGAGTATTTTTTTCTGCCGCTGAACGGGCAGTGTGGTGTGCAGCAGCTCTGCGTCTGAGTGCCCACCGCAGCATCTGCCTTGCTCTCGTGGCCACAGCTGGGGACACTCTAACCTCGCTACTTTATTAACTTGCATCTTGTATCAAACTAAATGTGTTATCTTCAGGTGAACTTACTTGTGTCACTGCAATACCTCTTTCCCTACTTCAAAATGTGTTAGTACACTTTTGGTGATTTGCCACATGTGATACACACATACACAAAGGTCTGTCCGGAAAAAAAAAATCCAGCCATTGTTAATATAAGAACAGTTTGTGCGACACGGATGTAACCTGGCAGCCAAGGAGAGTGGACTGGAATGCACATGCAATAACACAACAATAACAACTTCACTGTATTATTCAGTGGGAGCAGTAGATGCCATTGAATGTGCATGTGTACTGTGTGGTTGTTGCATTCAAACTGAGTGAGCAAGTAGAGCAATGAATCTGCATCATATTTTTGTCTGTGTTAAGTTTGAACATTCTTCCATGGAAACTATTTTAATGGCTTTCAGCGATGATGCAATGAATGCAGTGAAAATAAAAGTGTGGCACAAATACTTCAAAGATGGTCAAAAATCTGTTGAAAATGATCCACATTCTGGAAGGCCTGCAACAAGCACAGCACTTGAGAATGTTGAATGTGTATGGCTGCAATCAACAAACATCGGCAACTGACAGTGAGAAAACTAGAAGCTGATTTGGGAATTTCGAAACTACTGTGTCTGAGATTTTGATATAGGATCTTGGCATGAAAAATGTCATGGCAAGGCCCTGGCTGGCAAAGCTCAGTGGATTGAGTGCGGGCTGCGAACCAAAGCATCACAGGTTTGATTCCATGTCAGGGCACATGCCTGAGTTGCAGGCCATGGCCCCCAGCAACCACACATTGATGTTTCTCTCTCCCTTCCCTCTCTAAAAATAAATAAATAAAATCTTAAAAAAAAAGAAGAAAAAAGAAAAATGTCATGGCAGAATTCTTTGCATGGCTTTTCCTACAAGAATGGAAAGAACATCATGTTGCAGTTGCTAATGACTTGATTCAAACCACTACCAATGAACCAGATTTCCTCAACAAGGTCATAACTTTGAAGGGGACTGAGGTGTCATTGTCCTGTGTATAATGTTACCTGTATCTTCTATCTTCTTCGATAAATGTCTCTATTTTTCATATTACATGGCTGGATACCTTCTGGACAGACCTTGTATGTAAACAACACTTGTGTGAAATATTTTAAATAGGTTTTTGAAAAATATGAATTAGAACAAGCAAGCAAAAAAGAGAAATAGTAAATATGATTTAGGAAGTGGTTCAAAATCAGATGATTTCAACAGAAGAAACCCTTGGGTGGTCAGTGAAAACCTTGATTGATTGGACCATTTCAATCTTATTCAATCATAGATACTGGAGTTGAAACCAGTGGAACAGAAAGATTTAATCAAATTCATAGAATTTAATGCTAAGAAAATGTGGCCCGAGGATTGCCAACATGATAAAGATGCAACTGAGAAATCATCTATGAGGTAAAATGTTTTTAAAGAGTTGGGCATGCAGTAGTTTGTTGGTTGAGAGAATTAAGAGTGTTTCTTACAAAACATTGTTTGAAGGTAAGAAAATTTTTGTATGTTGATTATTCTTTGTACCTTCTGTTTTTCCTTGAAAGCAGTGAGGCATCTAGCCCTGAAAATGATGCTCCAGACTCGGGCTTGTCAAGCTCAGGCCGAAATGGGGATAAGTGGCGATATTTACATCATGAACTCTCGTCAAAAGCAAGGCTACCTCTCCCTCAGCTTGTGGAGCCTCAGGTCAGTGAGTTACCTCTGAAAGTCCAACAGGCATTCCTTAAATACACATGCATGTTCTGCATTATGAAGCAATTTATTTTCAAAAAGCAAAGTTGCCAAGTGGGTTTTCCAGTTGGCTGACCTTTCCCCACCCTCCTGGAGACAGGCCTTCCTTACGTGCCCCACCCCTTGGTGCTTCTCCAGCATCCTGGGGTTCCCTGAGCACAGCTTCTACTACACCGACGCCTGTTTATTGTCTGTATTGCCCATCATATGGTATGAGAAGAAAGATTGTGTCCCCCTGGTTCATATGTGAATGCCTGGCACAGCAGTTAGAACATTATACAATCTCAGTTACTGTATATTGAATGAATAAAGTGTGGACGAGAAAGAGGTCACATACTAAACCTGACAAGCTCAGAGGAGGCCACCATGACAGGCCCTGCAAACTCAGAGACTGAAAGTAACTAGATAAGATGGTCTGAACATAAAAATTCCTAAGTAAAAGTGGATCATGGCAGGGGGTAGGGTCCTCGGCCTATAGCTTCCTTGACAAAGGTCAATCTTTACCTTAAGTGAGCTTTTCTATCATTTTTTTGCATCTAAGATAACATACCTTTGGAATGTCAGTCTCCTTTTCCAGATACCCACATACCAGAGCGCGAGACCACAGAGCCCCTCATTGTTATCCTGTTCCCCGCATACCATTTCTATGTGCTGTAAACGTTAATTGTTAACTGTCCTGTATCCTTCAGTGTAAAAAGAAGTATGTGACCCTCTGTTTTACTGTTTTTTCAATCTCAAAGGCTCCCCACTTTGCTTTCTCCCTTCTCCCTAATCTACCAGCGATGAATTTCATTAACCATAGCCCCCTTATAGCTCCTCCTTTGGCTCTAATGTATAAGGTAAGCTGTAAAGCTGCCATTCTCCAGAACATTTTCTCAGTCTGGTGAGATTTTGCTTTCTGGCAATTGTCCGTTTGGCTCAAATAATCTCACAGAAATTCTCTACAGGTTTGGATGTTTCTTACATGTACAAAATGAGTGCATAATATATGTACAAAACACTTTGAAAAATGATACAGTGCTATATGAGTGTTATTCATCAAGAGAGTATTTGGAATCTGCAGCATGCTAGCCGCTGTGCCCATGGTACCTGTCAGTCGCTATTCCCACCAGCCTACCTTAGTGTTGCTGTTACTGGCCTTACTCATCCTGTGCCAACTACTGCTGGATTTCTCTTTAACTGGGAGCTCGTGAGCAGGATAACGTTGTTGCTCGTAGCAGTGAAGCTTTTGCCTTCAACATTGCATTCAAACTCCCCAGGCAGAGGTTAACAAACATTCCCCAATTCCCCAGTCTCGTAGGAACTTTTTGGCTATCTTCTATTCTGCAGAGGACCTTATTTGACCAGTTACACTTGAATCAAACTCCTTCGTAGGGATTTAGTCTTGACTTCTCCCGTTGTCCTCTCTCCATTGTGTTTATCGTCTCTTTCCAAGAGTAGATACCATTCGTAGTTCTTTCACCAAACAGAGCCACCTGTCACCCCACCCTGTGACTTTTTATGTCAGTTCCAAGAAAGAAATAACTCGGAATCATTCTCTCTTCTGAAGTCATGGCTCATTTTCAAAACTTATTTGGCTTTCCAGTAACAAAGTCAAGATGCAGATCTGTTCCTGGAGTGACTGTATTTTATCTTAAGCGTTGTCTAGTTTGTCAAGCATTGTCAAGCGTTGTCAAGCGTTGTCAGGAATTTACTAGTAAGTGGGAGAGAAACAGCTAATCTGGTGATGTGGATAGCATTGCTACTAAATTGGAAGATTAGTGATTTTACTCTGTTTTTCAAATTATGTTTTTCCCCTTGTTTTGCCATCTGAATGGATCTTCAAATGTTTTAAGTAAAGGCTGTCATGACTTTTCCAAAATATTTAAAATTTAATTACTTTTTCTTATAAACCAAGAGGTTAACTTGGAAGGCAGCATGCTAATGCTTTATTTAGGCTCTTTTGCTGTTTTGCATTAATACCAGCAAAATATCAAATAACCTCTAATAGCATTTTCTCTTTTAAAAATAGGTCGCCACAGATATGAGTAATCTACTTCGTGTGAGTGTGCATAACTTTAGATACCCAACAACTGAAGAACTGAAAACTTATACCAGCCAACTTGAAGACCTGCGTCAGGAAGCAAATAACCTTCACACACAGGTAGCAGCTGTGCATTATGCATTTTCCTCACTGCAACAACAAAAAGGGGGAAGTCATATTGTAAATTGGTCATAATTTTCTTTACAGACAAATAATAGAACACATGATGGAATGGGTTTTAGAATTGCAAAAAGAATTTCTCTCTCTTGCCAACTGGGATAAATTTAGTAGTGGTTGTCTAGAACACCAAGTGCAAAGGCTTCTGAACCTGAGTCCAGGGTTAACAGGGAAGAGGGCCACAATTGATTGGTCCTGTCCGCAGTGGTGCTCTGGGATTGGAAGGGTGAAGAGGGTGAGGAGGAGGATCAGGAAGGTTTCCGACCTTGAGTAGGTTTAACGCTGAGACGTGTGCCAGGTAATGTTAGGTATCCATCAGAGTAGCCTGTAGGAATCAGAGCCCCAATTGGGGTGATTACTAGCTTTAGCATGTTCTAAAATCACTTGTAATTGGTCAAGAATTCAAGATGATTGTGGGCAAAGAAAAAGAGGTGGTTCCAACAGCATGTGCTAAAACGGACCTGTGGCTCTTAAATTCTCCAGGACATAGTGGCACTCCCTTAGGGAACCCCATGGAGTTCTGCATCCAGGGGTGGCTTTAATTGTTACAATCAGCCCATAAATGACACTCCTAACTCCCCCTTGCTTCACAGCCTGTCCCTGTCTTTTTAAAATTGTAGATGTAATCAACATATAACATTGCATTAGTTTCAGGTGTTTGACACGATGATTCAATATTTGTATATACTGGGAAGTGCTGACTACAATAAGACTAATCAACGTCCATTGTCAAACATAGTTATATATTGTTTTCCTTGTGATGAGAACTTTCTAGATGTACTTTCTTACCAACTTTCAAATATGTGACACAGTATTATATATTATAGTCATCATGCTATACCGTCCTTATCTTTAAAATATTTTACCTCTCTGGAATCAACCCCTTCAACCTCCTTGCCTTCTTTCCCTTCTCCAGGCATGCTTGATTTCTTTAACCCACTTCCTGCTACACTGAAATGTGGGAGGTGGGAGCAGGGGGCAGAGGAGTAGTATGATTTTGCTGGGACCACACTTCCACCTATGGCTCCACTAACCAACTCCTTCATGTTGTGATTTACCTTTGAGTACACCATTCAGTTGTCAACTCCCTACCTGACAATGAGTTGCTTAAACTCAATGTGTTTGAAAATGACTGATTGTAAAAAAAGGTATAACATTATAAACTCTAACAGAAACCAGGGAAAATGTGGGCAGAGGAAGGCAAGGCACCCTAACGATTTTTTTTTTCTCTTGACTCAGGAAAACACAACAGAAGAAGCATACATACATTTGGATAAAAAGTTATTTGAACTATTCCTGACCCTCAGTCGGTGCCTTGGCAGGGTAGAGGAGGTGCTGCAGACCCCGGGGCTCTCCAGAGGGGATGTGTGTGCCCAGCAGGCGTACTACGAGGTAGGGACTAACAGCAAGGCCGTGTGCTGGCCATTCCCGCAGTCAGGCCCCTGTTTAAGCCAGAGCTGCAGCCTCTGAAGCTCAGAGCTCCTTCACTATCTTCCTGTCTCTCCACTTTGCAGACACTGGCTCTTGAACTGAAAAAACTTTACTTAGCTATGAGTGACAAGAAGAATGATCTTTTGAAAGCCATGACTAGGCCTGGTGGGACCACCAGCTTGTTCCCTGAGTGTTTTGATAGCCTCCAAATTTACCTGGAGCACACGCAGGCTGCTGCCGCATCCAGAAGCAAGTCCCTGAAAGCTGGCCTCGACTATAACCGCAGTTACCAGGTACGGGTCTTGGTGCTCCGCCTAGGTTGGCAATGTTTCAGGTTCCTTTGTGGACCCCTAATTTCTGTAGGTTTCTCTTCCTGGTGGCATTTGTGAATAGGAATTGCTAAGGAAAGCAATGAGGCTTTCTTTCTGTGAAGGTCTTTTGGTTCTACTGCTTATAGTTGGAGACCATTCCAAAGCCGGAACCTTTCTAAAATCTTGGGTATGCACATGTTATGTTGAGCTAAAGGAGTGTTTCTTTCCTGTATTGCATTCAGCCACTCGTGAATGTCTTATGGGAGGATTCCTAGGTAAGAGGGAACCATGAAAGTTTTGAGCAAAGAAATGCCAGTTTGTGTACGTTTCAGGGAGGCTCACCTCGTAATCGTCTAAGGTGGCCTGGAGGAGAGACTTGAGGCAGCTAGACTAGTTAGGAAGCTACTAAAATTATCCAATGAAAAAAAAATGAAATACAACAGGACTTATGAAGGAGTCTTACTCATAAGATCAAACCTGAGCCTGATACATAGTGAAATGTATTCTGATGATGTCCTGTGATATCTGGGATTCGCTCCACCATTTATCGGAGGGAAGGGAGGTCACGTGCAGCCGAGAAAGCTCTAGAGAGCGCAGCCGTGAGATGAGCAGGCACAAGTCAGCAATTGTTGGAGCTGGACCATGGCAGTGCAGGGGTTTCTCTGTTTTGGTGCATGTTTGAAATTTCTGATGGCACAAAAATTAGACAACTAAATTTTTTCTTAAAAAAGGTATTGAAACCCTAAATGAAATTCTCACTGTTTCTGGCACTATCTTTTTATACAGAATGAAATAAAGCGGTTATATGATCAACTTATTAAGAATAAAACATCTTTACAACAGTCTTTGAATGAAATTAGTGGCCAGAGTATTGATGAACAACTTCAGGTAATCACGTCAAAATCATTCAAACTGACCTAACCTTGGAATCTCGTGTTTAAGCTGTGCTTCTGAACCGCTTCCCTTTGTGAGCAAAGCGAGGTGTAAGCAAATAAATAAAAATGAAAATGTTTGTGTTGAGCTTCAGAAACATCTCTTAAGTAGTACGCTGTGAAGTGTAAATCCAAACAAGGAAAGACCTTTGTCACCTGTCACCTGAAGAAAATTTTAAGTTTGTGCAGTGTTGGGAAATGCACCCTCACCCTCTTAGTGGGAGTGCTGCTTGGGGACCATTTGGTTAGACTGTATCCAAATTTTCAGCATAGATGCTCTTGCATTCCAAAGCAGTTTCATTTCATTTGTTTATTCAGCAAGTATTAATCAAGGACCTGCTCTGTTCAGACGCTGCTGTCGGTGCTGGAATGCATTTATTTGAAGGAAATAAGTGTACCGAGATAAGTGTGTATATAAATATTCAAGGATGGACCTGGCAGCACTGCTTGAATTAAAAACTAAATGGCCCACAAGTCCATTAAGAGTAGACTCTTACAAACAGTGAGCAGCCCAACAGTGGCAAACCATGCATCTGTGAAAACGCCTTAGGGAAAAGCTGCCAACTAGGGGTCTTTGGGGAGAGCTGGAAGTGAGGGGGGAAAGTAGGACTTTCATTTTCCCTTGCTGTTTAACTTTTAAAAGAACACTACACTTCTCCAACTTATTTAAAGTGTTTTATTTTTGTGCATTGTCTCTTCAGAAGGCAGATGCCTGTACAGTGGACCTGCAGAACTCTGAGAACCGAGTAGCAAAACTTGGAGCCGAAGGGCAGAGGCTTCATTTACCTTACCCTGTACTCCAAGAGGTTTACAAATTAGAGGTATGTCTGAGCAGAAAACATGCAAGGAGTGAATAATTATGATTTATTACAAGGAGTAAGACTTTTTCCTCCCACCGTGGAGTTTAGATTTGCTCTTCATTTGGATTATCTTCATGTCTGGATGAAACTGTTCGGCACCCCTGCTCTGTCCTTTCAGGATGTGCTTGACAGCATGTGGGGCATCCTGAGAGCCAGGTACTCGGAGCTCAGCAGCCCTGGCATCACCGAGAGCCAGCAGGATGCTTTGTCGCAAGGCTTGGAGGAACTGGTGAATATCGGAAAGGAAAGGCTTGCCCACGACTACTTACAGCAAACCAAAAGTAAAGTTGCCTTACAGGCCCGAATACAGAATCACAAGGTAAGGCCCATGGGCCGGATCACGGTTTCGTAGGTGAAGTTTCCCTGAGTGTGAGCCCGGAGCATCCAGTTTCTTCCTTGGTTAACTCTACATCATTTATTCATTCTATTAACAAGCATCTATTAGAATGCTTATTGTGTACCAGGAACCCTTCCAAACTCTAAGAATATGATGGTGAATGAAAGCAGACATAGTTCCTTACATTTGTGGAGCTTTCCATTGATTGGGAAGACATTTCTCAAGGAATCATCCAGACAGACTTAAAGCTTTGAGAGCATTTAATGAGGAATCTTAGTTCAGGAGGTTAGAAAAGGCTTCTTGAGAACTGAGATCAAAGGAAACATTTATTTAAATATATAAAAGCATGTCTAGTGTAATGTCACAATAAACCCTTTAGTTTTCCGTTAATTTCATTAAACAAAACCTCATGATTACCATAAAAAGATATGCAGTGATTTAAGTGCCGATAATAAAAACCAGGTGAGACATAGTTCCTACCTTCAGCAAGCTTAAATCAAGGCCTTTGTAAAGTAGGCCTTCATCTAAGAAACTTGAAGGTAAATATGTATACAGAGTGGAGGGGAAGAGGTGAAAATAATAGCAATTGGTGGGCCCTAGACTAGCTGCCCTATAAATCTTCCATGTGTCCTTTACAAGGAATCAGAGAAGGGACTCACGTTGAGGTTCCTCCAAACAAGTAGAGAGGACAGCTGGTGTAAATGGAGAAGACCATGTGAAGGGAAGCTCTCCCCTTTAAAGGCTTTTGAAGTGCATTCTGGGAGCTTGTATGTACCAGACCCCAAAAGATCCCATCAACAGATTCCCTTTAGTTAGCCATTTCACTAAGCAGAAGTTAAGGGTTAGGGTTTAGGAACTCCTGGCTATTGAATGCGTGGGCTTCTTGGGCTAATACATCTATCCATCCAACTTATTGTCTGGACATTAATCAGCTACAGCATTATCTACCTTTTTGTAAAGTTTCTTAAACCTTAGAATGACTGATTTAGGAAAATCTCACTGGAAATAGAAATTAATTAATAATGTTTGCTCTTTAACATGGACTATTTTATAGAAAATGTTAGTTAGGATGTTTTTTCTTTATGATTTGTTAAAATGTCCTTAGTGCTTATAGATTAAGGGTTACATAGTCAATTTTTTGTTTTCTCATGTGTTTGACTCTGTGTGACTGTCCTGGGATTTGGGATTTAAAAAGCAACTATAACTGTAAAAAAGTTAAAGTAACATGGTTTGTAAGGTTTTCACCATGAAGAAATATATATTAAAACCATCTCCACTTTACAGCTTTTCTTCCAGAAGCTTGTTGCTGACATGCTGTTAATCCAAACATACTCCAACAAAATGCTTCCGTCTTTATTGCAAAAGAAAGAGACATTTTGGGCAGAACAAGTAAAAGAGGTTAAATTACTAGAAGAAAGGTCACACCAACATGGAATAAAGCTTCAGAGTTTGTTGCAGGTATTTGAGTTACATCAACTTCGTGCTTAAGCTGAGAATTTCAGATTCTCAACCACCACCGCCAGGTGTCGAAAACAAATGCCGAGGTGCCATTAAGCAGCGATCAAGTGGGAGGTAACCACGAGGGTCCTGCTCTCTGAGTGAAACACTAGCTGAGGTTTCCTATGTGTCAGTTCGGGGTGGCACAGCATCTTTTCCCCTTCTAGGTGTGTGTAGTGCCAATAAGCAAAATTGAAAGCACGTTGAGATCTTGAATGGATCATCTGGATGGAATAGCGTCCCGTTCAGAAACTGCCCTTCCTGAAAGGGCAGGCCCAGATGCTCTTCATGACACTGACGTGGATTCATGACCATCTTGTCCCATTTCCAAGAACAAAATGAAGCTTACCTAAAGCTTTTTCTCCATTTAAAGATTTTCCCCTTTAACTTTTTAAACACAGTGGATGTTAGCCAGTGAAGAAAATAGCCAAAAAGTGAGGAATTATTCAACTTTGTAATGTGATATGATATGGTGTTATTTTATGCTACTAAAGTTCTCCAGTTAGTGTGTCAAACGGATATTTATAGTAATATTTCATGGTATCGACAATAAGACTTCATGATCCCAGTGAGTGCCACTAATAGCCTGGGGACCCACTATTTCATTAGATATGAGAATTAGGAAGGTGGTTATTTTTCCAGTGGATAATATCTAGTGTCCATAAGTCCTCTCTCTAGAGTGCTGAGACCCTAGAGGTGGGCATCTGTAGAAACGGAGAGAGCAGGACAAGGCAAGACTGAGGCTAAGGCAGTGTAAGCCCAGCCCTTCAGACAGTGAAGTTATGCTTTAAGCACCACAGGGTAATGTTCTATGGACTGGGGGTTGGGGCAGGGAGGGAGGACGAAGCCTCGTGGAAACTTCTGTGGACAAAGGCTTTAAGTTAGCCCTTTGCCTTTCCAACTAAGAGAGAGGCTCTCTTACAGCTCTAAAGCCTCCACTGAGGTGGAGGATATGCTGAGGATATCACTTGAACTTAATCATTTTCGCCCCTACTCAACTTGTTGAGACAAACATAAAACACTAATGCCAGCTGGATTTTAAAAAACCTTCCCCACCAAGGCGGTAGAGTGACTCTCCCTTAGACACTGAGGTCTTACTAGAGTGGGTTATATCTCTCAGAAACCCCTAGAATGTGTGCTTCAATTTTGTGTACCATCTTAGAGTTTGTTTTTGTTTTTATGATTAGTTTTTGTCATTGTCTGGAATTAATTAAGAGGACTTCTATTGATTTTATGCTCTTGATTCTCTAGAAATGGGAAGAATTTGATGAAAACTATGTCTCTCTTGAGAAGGACCTGGACATTCTTGTATCCACATTGCCCTCTGTGAGTTTGGTGGAAGAGACAGAGGAAAGATTACTGGAAAGGATTTCATTTTACCAGGTATTTTGCTTCCATTGAAACTGTCAAAGACATGGTCAGTAGCACTTTGTGTGTGTGCATGCACCACGCGCTTACTAAATTGTTTGAATTTGAAAGTGAATGATTTGAATTCAGATGAAATATCATTCATCACATAAATCACTGCCAGACATATTCAGGGACACTATAGATTTGAATGTGAGCTCAGCATAGCCACACACGGCCTGGGGTCGAGGACCGCGGTCTGTGTCCCAGCTCTCACTTATCCGTAGACCGTAGATGACCTTGCTGCTCCTGCCTGTCTAAAGAGGTGGATGTCAGTGGTTGTGGAAATGAGCTAACGTATGGAAAGAACTTTGGAAACCATGAGCTTCTAAACATATATTTAGTTTTATTGCCACAGCAACCTCTGATTGGACATAACCTATGGTCCAGACCATAATCCATCACCTGCCACAAGTGTCATAAAAAGACTTCACACTTTCAAACTTTTCATGTGTAACTTTTAGTATCATTCTCAGAGTCTCTGTGTCTCAGATTTCGATGTCACAGAAAAGATAAAACCTTGAAATGATTTTTGAGTGGCACTGAGAATATGACCAAGATAAAAATGAGTTTTAAGTCTTCTCAGGTTTTAACTTGAGAATGTAAGTAATATGAATCTGAATTGTTTGGCTAGAGGTAGCAATCAAATACCAACTTTAAAACGTCAGAAGCAGGTTTGTTGCCTGAAGAGACTGGTTGGAAAATGAAAGCCTGAAGTACTTGGCAGGGCCCTGTTCAGAGGCATCTAAGCTCCTATTAGCAACATTTTCCCAAGGCTGGAACGCTGTAGTTATGTTCTCCAAATACCTAGAAAGCTACAGGTGATGTCTCTGCCATCTTATTTTATTGAGGCTGACTCTAAGGTATATCTCAATCCACTGGGAAGCTGCTATTTTAATGCATTGTTGGCCTCCGGATACAGAAGGTGTCACCTGAACAGCTGAGAGAAGGCTGTTGAAAACATAGACCATTTTAAACCTCATTGTATTAAGAAATAGTCAATACTAGCAAAACTAATATAAACCTGATTATTTTCCCAAAAGTGACTATATCCCTTAAGGTGTAACCTGAGAGTCTGTGGAAATGAAATCACTGTTGTAAGACATTGAAATAAATTTACCAGACTATGAAAAGTCAGGTGTCTTGTAAAGCCCTTTCACTTGCTGACTTCTTAAGGTCGTCCTCGTTCTTGTGCCTCAGGCTGGGGTTTGCATCTTGGTCAGTGGGCATCTGTGGGATGTGGAACGTAGGTGTCAGATGCACGGCCTTTGGAGTCCAAACAAACCTGTGTTCAAATGCTTGCTCAGAACCTCATGGGCTGAGTGACCAGTGCAGTCTGAGTCCATTTATAAAATGGGGAACTTAAAGCTCCTCAGAGATGCTCTGAAGATTGAGTGTCTCATATTGAAGGCTCAGAAAATTAGAGCCAATTTTCTTTTAACCAATGTTGGACATTTTATTCTAGCCTGCAGGATGGGGCAGCGGGCAGTGGGGGGGGGGGGTCACCAGTAGGAGTGATGAGAAGGACATTGGAAGTAGAATTTTTGGTAAGTTTTAAAAAGGCTTAAGTTAATTGGAAAATGGCAAAAGTTCCGTTTTGATTGTAATTTATTTTGAAATTAAATATATTTTTAATTATATTTTATTGTTATGCTATTACAGTTCTCCTGATTTTACCCCCTTTGCCCCCACTTCTACCCAGCACCCCCCACTCCTCAGGCAATACCCACCACCATTATTCAGGTCCATGAGTCACGCTTAGAAGTTCTTTTTCCTGTACTGTACTTTACATCCCCATGGCTGTTCTGTAACTGCCTATTTGTACTTCTTAATCCCCTTACCTCTTCACCCATTCCCCCAAATTCCCCTCTCATCTGGCAACCATCGAACATATCCATGTGCTCTACATATCCATGATTTTGTCTCTGTTCTTGTTTGCTTAGTTGGTTTTTTAGATTCAGTTGTTGATATATAAGTATTTTTGCCATTTTATTGTTCATAGTTCTGATCTTTTTCTTAAATGAGTCCCTTTAACATTTCATATAATAATGGTTTGGTGATGATGAACTCCTTTATTTTTTCTTGTCTGGGAAGCTCTTTATCTGCCCTTCCATTCTAAATGATAGCTTTGCTGGGCAGAGCATCTTGGCTATAGGTCCCTGCTTTTCATGACTTTGAATATTTCTTGCCAATCCCTTCTAGCCTGCAAAGTTTCTTTTGAGAAATCAGCAGACAGTCTTATGGGAACTCCTTTGTAGGTAACTAACTATCTCCTTTCCTCTTGCTATTTTTAAGATTCTCTCTTTATCTTTAACCTTTGGCATTTTAATGATGATGTGTCTTGGAGTGGGACTCTCTGTGCTCCCTGAACTTGCATGTCTTTTTCCTTCACCAAAATAGGGAAATATTCTTTCACTGTTTTTTCAAATAGATTACCAATTTCCTGCTTTTTCTCTTACCCTTCTGGCACCTCTATGATGCGATTGTTGGATTGCTTGAAGTCGTCCTAGAGTCTACTTATACCATCCTCATTTTTTTTTATTACTTTTTCTTCTTGATCTGATTGGTTGTTTTTTGCTTCCTCGTGTTCCAAATCATTGATTTGATCCTTGGCTTCATCCACTCTACTGTTGTTTCCCTGTAAATTCTTCTTCACTTCAATTAGTGTATCCTTGGTTCCTGACTGGATCTTTTTTATGCTGTTGAGGTCCTCACTAAGTTCCTTGAGTATCCTTAAAATCAATGTTTTGAATTCTGCATCTAAGAGGTTGCTTATCTCCATTTTGTTTAGTTCTTTTTCTGGAGTTTTGATCTGTTCTTTCATTTGGTCCATGTGTCTTTGTCTCCCCATTTTGTCAGCCTCCCTGTGTTTGTTTCTATGTTTTAGGTAGAGCTACTTTGATTCCATGTCTTGGTAGCATGGCCTAATGTAGTAGGTGTCCTACAGGGTCCTATGGCACAGCCTCCCCTATCACTTAAGCTTGGTACTCGAGGTGCACTCTTCCTGTGGGCTCAGTATACCCTCCTCTTGCAGTTGACCTTGGTTGCTGTTGGCAGATCAGTGGGAGGGAGTTACCCAGCCCAGTCAGCTACAAAAATTGGCTGTGACCACTGACCACCAACTTCTGCTCTCTGTGGAGGATCAGATATACAGGGGAAGGATAGTGATGCTCTGATGTGGTATGTAGCTATCCTCTGGGTATGCTGGTTAAGATCAGCCCCCACCTGTGTTTTGCCTGTGCCCACCCCACCTGAGCTATGAAGCAATCTGAGATGGCTGCTACTTGTGCTGCTGGGCTTGGTGATTCCCATGTGAAGGCAAGTTGTAAATGTAGACTGACTGCTGCTAGTGCCAGGCCTGGGGCTCACTGAGGCCAGCTGTTGCTTATTTGAGAAGATTTTGGAAGTTTGAAAGGTTAGCCTAGACCAATTATTCATATGGAAAACCAGCTTGGGTGGGCGGGTAGGTTGGGTGGGGCAGAGTCTCTGGGGATCTCCAAGGCTGGTCAAACAGAGCCAGCCAGGTTGATGGAGTCTAAGGTATAGCACCAGTGTGCTGGCTCTCTGGGGTGAAGTTTTAGAAAAGGGACAATGGCCTCTGCTCACCTTGATTGCAGACACTTTATTTTCTCCCTGTGTGCCATTGATGCCTTTCAAGCTGCTTTACTAGTGCTGGAGCTCAGGAGTGTATCTGAGTAGGTGAGTCTGTGTGGGTTCTCTAAGAGGAACTGCTTGGGGCTCCAGCAATGTCTTCCACCAACTCAATCCCTGCTGACTTTGCAGCCAGAAGTTGTGGGGACTTATCTTCCTGGCACTACAGTCCTGGGTTAGAGGCCCTGGTGTGGGGCTGGGACTCCTCACTTCCAAGGTATCCTTCCCAAATTTTTATCTACCACACGTGGGTGAAGGACCAGCCCTTTCTGCGTCTTCACCTCTCCTACCAGTCTGGAAGGATGTGGTTTCCTTAATTCTCTAGTTGTCAGACTTCCATTCATCTTAATTTCTGACAATTGTGAGTGATGGTTGTTCTACACTTTAGTTGTAATTTTGATGTGGTTGTGCAAAGAGGCAGGCCATGTCTGCCTATGCTGCCATCTTAAAAACTAAATTTAAATAGCTGTCAGGATAAGTGTCATTAGCTGAACCCAACTGTGGAAGATAATTGCCATAAGACAGAGTTCTCTTCAGGGGGTTATTGTATTCTCAGTTTTGAATAATTTTATTTTTCTTTCCATGAAGTTTCATTAGTGATGTGCTGTCTGCTTTAATTTATTCTCCTGAAGTCCTTTTCCTTTCTCCCTACCAAATCTTTACATTTAGGAGACTCTGGAAATGAAATGTTTGTACTATTTGGGTCTAAAGGCTAGTCAAGAAATATTTTCTTCTTGATCCCCTTCATATCTAGGTTACAATATAAAATGCTCAAAGGGGGCAGGCAGGAGGACAGAAATAAGGGGCGTGGGTGGTCTCCAGCTGGAGGGGGGCTGCAGCTGCAGTACCGGGGGCCAGAGCCAGCAGACTCCAGCCGAAGGCTGTTTTTGCTCATTTCAGCCTCTCTTTGCCCCCGGAGAATGCAGACCCAGGTGGCTACAAATTCCAGTTTTTCCAGAGGCTCACAAAAGTTCCTGACTTCTATGTAAAATTTCCTGATATTCAAAGTAATCTTTAGGCCACACACAACCTGCCTGCAAGCTGAAAGCGCCCCATGGATTGCCAGCTCTTTTGTTTTAGGTGGAGGAATTACCTATTAAACCTAAAGCTGCGAATTTTTGTTTTCTGTTCACATGTCTGAAGTCTGTACAGCTGAATCTGTGCAGTAGAAGTGTGTTAGTTGGAAACTCGCATCAATAAACCGTAACTCCTGTTTGTCCAGCCAGCCTGCAATAGTCTTCAGGGTTAGGGAAGTGGTAATGTTTCTTCAGTGGACTCCACCGTAGGTGTTTTATGAAATATTTGTGAGTAGATTGGTTGGTTTCATTTCAAAATAATTCATTCTGTGACTTGACTTGTATTAGCAAATAAAAAGAAACATTGATGAGAAGCACGCCCGGCTTTACCAGACTCTGAATGAAGGCAAGCAGCTGGTGGTGTCAGTGAGCTGTCCTGAATTAGAAGGCCAGATTGCAAAACTAGAGGAGCAGTGGTTGTCCCTAAACAAAAAAATCGACCATGAGCTACACAGACTACAAATGCTTCTCAAGCACCTGCTCAGGTATGTTCCCTTAGAGATTGATTGGTGTCAAATTTTGCTGCGGAAAAAGACCTCAGAGGGATTCTGCCATCCACTGGATTTTACATGTGGTCCCTATTGTACAGTTTTGCTTTGACAGTGAGGCAATGGGGTCCCTTTTCTGGGCTGCAGGGGGACTGGAGTTGTTGATACTGGTTTGTTAGACTCAGAATATATAATCAGTTCTATGGAAGCTAGGAATTGTAAAATTATACACATTACCTTTATACTATGATGGTGCTCTTTCCTGTCCCAAAAGTTTTGAAATTTATAAGAAATTAAATAATTTTAGCTAAGAGTAGTTTTGGGTTTTTCCTTTTCATTGAACTTATTGGGGTGACACTGGTGAACAAAATTATACAGGTTGCAGGTGCACAGTTCCACAACACATCATCTGTACACTGTACTGTGTGTTCACCACCCTAAGTCAAGTCTCCTTCCATCACCATTTATCTCCCTTACCCTCCTCCCCCTCCCCCCACCTCCCCTAACATAATCATTTGAATGAATCTTTGTAGTTCTTCAGAGACTTTGTTTGCTTAGTTGGTATAACTTGAACCCCTTGAGGAAAGTAAAGAACATAATGGTTAAACCTCATTCTCATTCCTGCCTGTTATTGGGGCTGTCTTAACCTAAAGAAGTTTAAAAGTTACAAGAGTGGTAGAGTTTAGCTTGTGTATTTTAATCACATCCGCTAAATGTGTTGGCATCTAGCCAACTGCATGTTTCTGTTTGTTACATAATTTGTACAAATGCCGGTTATATTTTTGCTACACACAAATCTATAGAGGACATTTGATGAATGTCCTCTATAGGAATAAAATAATATTCCTATAGGACAGGAAAAAAATAATCCCTGTCCTCACCTATTGGTCTGCTTTGGTGTTGCTGTAATCAGAAATTTAAAAAAGAATGTTTAGCCTTCAAAATGTTTCTTTCTTCTTGAGTAGTCATAATGGAGAGAGTAGTAAAAACTCCAGGAGCATCAGATTTGGGGCATAGGATAATGCAGGGCATAATCCTCATAGTCATCATCGTTGTATGAATAAGAGGGCTGCTGAACACAGAAAAACGTAAAGTAAAATAAGAAGAAAATATGCTGGTGATGCGCATTCCTAATTTCCTTTCTCTCTTTGCTCTTACTAGTTATAACAGAGATTCGGACCAGTTAACCAAGTGGTTGGAAGCTTCTCAGCAAACTCTGAACTACTGGAAGGAGCAGTCCCTCAATGTGTCTCAGGACTTGGATACAATCAGAAGCAACATAGACAGTTTCTTTGTAAGTTGGATTAGAAGATGCGCAGATAATTATCCATCAGAAATAAATATCAGGGGAAAATGTTCAGGGTTGATATGATAGTCTCCATGACCATTTGATAAGGAATAAAACTTGGACTAATAACAACTGTGTTCTCTAAACAAAACTATTTGCTTATCTTAACACCTTTTATGCATTTATAATAATGATGGAGTATGTTTTTAATGGACCCTATGAAGTATACACAAGTTTAAAACCTGCTCTGACACAGGGCATGTTTTACAAATACGGAAAATAACTGCTGCCTCCCCCACCCACCGCCTGCCCAAAACACCAGGATTATTGAGTCGTAAATGTTAAAGTTTATAAATACATGGTTTTAGCCCTGGCTGGCATAGCTCAGTGCATTGAGCTTGGGCTGCGAACCAAAGTGTCGCAGGTTCGATTCCCAGTCAGGGCACCTGCCCGGGTTGCAGGCCATGGCCCCCAGCAACTGCACATTGATGTTTCTCTCTCTCTCTCTTTCTCCCTCCCTACCCTCTCTAAAAATAAATAAAATCTTTAAAAAAAACAGTATTTTAAATACATGGTTTTAAACTACAGAAAACTGGTGTGTCTTCTCAATGTTATTTCTTCTAAAATGTTTCTTTCAAATATTTTTTCTAAAATGTTGTTGTTTTGAGATTTTTTCTTTTAAGTATTACTTTTGCATTATAAATTTCATGTTAGAAACATCTGGCCTTTTCTCCTTCTATTTTTCTTATTTTGTAGCTCTGATTGCTTGTTTTGGTATTAATATGTAGATATTTTTAAATATACTTTTAAAAAAACCTAAGTGTACAGGAAAGATTTCAAATATTTTAGTTAAAACTTTGTTATATTTAGTTCATTTAGTATGAACTGTGTGTTGTGTACTATACTTTTTTAAAGTTGAAACAATAATTTGTCTATTTTTAAAAATATTAATCATTAGAGTATAAGCCACTCAAGGGGCAGGCATTCCATCTTTTCTGTTCCCCTCCATACATCTAATGCCTGGAGCAGTGTCTGACCCTTAGCAGGAGAAGTACGAGTGTTCGTGCACGCGTGTGCATGCACACAGGCACGTACACACAGGCACATGCATGTACATTTGTGCTATTTGAATCAAATTCATTTATTTTGTTTTGAACTCTACCCAGTTATTCTGACTCTTAGCTACTCTGTTCTATATTTAAATTTTTTTAATTTCTAAGTTTTAAAACTGTCTCCTACAGGAGTTTTCAAAGGAACTTGATGAAAAGTCCTCCTTGAAGACTGCAGTGATAAGTACCGGGAACCAACTTCTTCACCTGAAAGAGGCTGATACGGCCACACTGAGAGCTTCTTTAGCCCAGTTTGAACAAAAATGGACAATGGTCATAACTCAACTTCCAGATATTCAAGAAAAACTTCACCAGGTAAGTATTTAAAGACCCAGCATTTAAATTAGCATTCACTTGTTAGCTCACAAATATTTTAAAATTATTTCTTCGACTCAATAATTTTCATTGACACTATCTATTTTTCTCTGGTGCCACTGAATGTAGGTCTTAATTACTGGACTCTTCTCCAATGGGATCTTACCTGAGAGAGAAATCAGACTTAATTACTTTATTTTCCAGTTATCTGCACCACTGTGTTAGTTTATGTGAAGGTCATTGTCATTGTTTTGGGGTCATTCATTCTAAGCTTGAATTCTGGGTTTGTTTTTGTGAGTAACATACATAATCATGTAACAAGACCTTTTATCAAACCAGATTATCATCTTTAGTGATGTCCTGATTCATTTTGTTAACTGCAGGTAATTAAATGGAAATCATTTTGTCTTTGCAGCTTCAGATGGAGAAATTGCCATCTCGTAAAGCAATCACAGAGATGATTAGCTGGATGAACAATGTGGAGCATCAAACCGCAGGTGAAGACTCTGAGCATTCGCTGAGTTCTGCATCTCAAGTTAAAAATCTTCTTCAGAAGTACAAGGTAATTATACAAAAAGAGCCAGAGGCCTTTGCATTAAATAACAAGGCAAGACAATTGAAGAAGAAATGCTGAACACAGAGAAATGTACAATATAACTTAGAAAAACTAATTCTGGGTGTCGGGGACAGGGTGGTGGGTGATTCTCGAGAGAGTAGTATGCTTGTTCTTACTCAGCTTAAACCCCTCCTCAGCACAGGACTGTGTCTGAGCTTTTAACTGGCTCTGGCCCCTTGTCACCTTTCCAGCCTCATCTTTTCATTCCCCCATGCAAACCCTGGCCTCTGCCTGAACCAAACGATTTGTGGTCCCTTGACTGCTTCTGGTGCCCTCCCTCCTCGTGCTTTTGTTCATGCTGCACCTTCACCAGGAGTCCCCCTTCCCTGCATTTAGCTGTAGAAATCTTCTTGATTGTCCTTCAAGAATTGGCTCGAGTATCTTCTCGTTTGGAAATCTAATGCTGACTCTCCCAACCAGATTAGTTCACTTTCTGGGATTAGATGTCTCCATGGTGCCATGAGTAGTTCCTACCACATATTATAATTATTTGCTTGGTTGCCTGTCTTTCCACCTTGACTTAGCTTTGGAGAGCAGAGGCTATCCTCCACCTCCCCGAGCCCCATACCTGGCAGCCAACAGGTGTTAAGTAAATGTCATTTGAATAAGAGAATGCATAAGGACAAGTTGATATACTTGATATCCTACAAATAGATGTGAGTGTGGCTTTCTCTGTATCTGATTTCAAGTAGATTTAAGTGATATTGAACAAGCCACGTGCAAACATTTATTGTGTGCCAGGCACTGTGTTTGCCCGTAGGCATACTGATGAATGAAGACCCTGGCCATTGCTTTCCGAGACCTTGGAGGCTGATGGATTGAACCTCCGGTAGGCAGAAGATGAATGGCTTAATCACAAAGCATGATGCTAGCAAGGATTTTATTTTTATATTCTACCACATGCTAACTTCAGTGAGTTGTGGAACTTTAGGGTCTCACAGGCTCCACTAACCTACCGAGTGCCACATGGTTTTTCCCTTTGGGTGTCTCCAAAGGAGGTGCTAGAACTTGCCAGAATAAACCCGACAAGTTGTAGGCTTGACAGAAACGTGGTTGGGATTGCTATATCATTTAAAGTCGTCTAAACTGGGTGGCCTAGTCTGTAGAGCAAGAAAGAAAGAAAGAAGTTGCCTAAACCAGTAAAATTCCTTGAAGGTGTCCTGGGTGTGTTCACTCTAGACTGCTCATCCTGTCATTTCCACGGGCCCGTGGGACGGCTCAGAATTCCAGTGTGACTCTCAGGTTGCCTCTCACAGGATCCCTTGGTCAGTCCCTGGTCCTGATTTTGGTTCAGATGATGTAGCCACCACTCTTGGTGCTGCCTATGGCTTTTCAGTCTGTTTCAAAGCGGTGAGTCAGTCTGTTCCCAGGAATGTGGAATTTCCAAAACAACTCTCCACTCAAGGAAAGCAGGAGGCTGGGGGCATTGGAGGTGGTATACGGTAACTCCCGACAGGTGCACCAGTGGAGAACTCTGGTTCATCTAACCTATTAATACTTCATTTCAGGCTTTGGTTGTTTACTTTTATTTTGTTATAGGAGTTCAGAATGGAAATGGACTACAAACAGTGGATAGTTGACTTTGTTAACCAGTCACTACTTCAGTTAAGCACCTGTGATGTAGAAAGTAAGCGCTATGAAAGAACGGAGTTCGCAGAGCACCTGGGCGAGATGAACCGCCAGTGGCACCAAGTCCACGGGCTGCTGAACAGAAAGGTGTGCTCCTGTGTCACAACCTGATGTCCGATCTGCCCTTCGCAAAATACCCCTTTCTGAAAATTTTAAAAAGTCATTCAGATGCTTAATTTATAGTGAAGCCTAGTAATCCGCTCAGTTACAGCCCTTACTAACCCTGTGTTTTAGCATTCTCCTTAAGAGAGCATGAAAACCATTCTTACATTCCTTTTGAGCTTTCTTAGTGGGAAATTGAGTTGGGCACATGAAGAGGAGAAATTTTATTTAAGAAGCTGTCAAGTATAATGTGAGGCTACTAAATAGTCAGAGGTTTTGACATTTTCTGTTTAAGTAGATGTTGAGAAGTGTCAAAGTATTTCAGCTTGGAAAAGATTAAAAAAAGAAAAATGTATGTGGCCTTTTGGTAGATTTTTATTCCATGGCTCTGAAAAGATTAAGAGAACTTATTCCTGGAAAAATACTTAATCTTTGTATATATTGATAGGGACAATCTGCTGATTACTGTGTAGAGAATGCATGGAAATGGATTGATACAATTAATGTTCAAGTGTGTGAACAAAGAGTGTGAACAAACAATTCACAAAAGAAAACTATAATTAGCAAATAAACATGGAAATATTACTTCAATTATCAGATGTTCAAAATATACATTAATATAGTATTATACACTTATTACATTAGAAAAATTTAATAAGACAAAGATAAAAGCCCAAAGCTATCACACTCATACATTGCAGATAATGGCTTAAATACCCTTTTGGAAAACATTCAGAGAATTTCAAGAGCCATAATAATCATCTTATTTATCTTACCTCCTAGCCCAGCAGTCCACCTCTTACACATTTGTCTTAAGTAAACAGTTCTTCAAAAAGGAAAAGATAGGCACACAAAGTATTAAATTCACAATTATTTGTACAGGTAGAAGTAGAATGCCTTCATTTCCCAACTACAGAGGACTAATTAATCAAATTACACTCAGTCTACTTGATGAAATATCAAGCAACCTTTTAAATTAATAAAGGCATGTCATGACAAATGCCCGTGAAATATTGGAAAACGAACACAAACATATATGTGTATGCATGTGTAAATATATAACATTGTATATGTATAACATACAATATTGCATGTTAGCAGCATGATTTTATTTTGTTCAGATATCATGGAACTCCAAAACAGCCTGCTTTTTTAGCAGGTTAGGTTTCATTTCAAATGTTAGATTTTTTTAAACAGGATTTTAAATTCTATTTCCTGATTTATGAACTATTTTTATTCTAAAAGCTATTGGGAAATCTTATACAAACTAGAGATCTGAGAAGAAAAAATATCCTACTTAAAACATCATATCTTGACATTTACATTTGAAAGCATGTGGTTTAAAATAAGAAACTGTCTTATTCATAACTTGTAGATGCAACATTTAGAACAACTTTTGGAAAGTATCACCGAGAATGAAAACAAAATACAGATTTTGAACAACTGGATGGAGGCGCAAGAAGAGAGACTGAAAATTTTACAGAAACCTGAAAGTGTGATCTCAGTGCAGAAGGTGCTTCTAGATTGTCAGGTGAGCCGCCGCCGCACTGCCCAGCGAGGGGGCGCCCTGGGCCAGCTTCTCAGGGCTCTCCTCCAAACCCTCACGTACTTCCTGTGTTATGTCAAGCAGATAATGATCCAAGGGTTTTTTTAATGGTAAACAACAAAGTGTTTCACAGTTACTGTTGTTCTTAAGAGATTTGACTATTTTTCCTGAGGAAAAGATGTTCAAAGGGAATTTTGATGTAGTTTTTCAGTTGTTCTATCTTTTTAAAAATGTACCAAATATTCACAGAATTTCTCCAAAGTTTCGCTGATTTTGAGTATTTCATTCTGTTTCTTTAGAGGAAAATGGCTTCCCTTTGCCTTGAGTGTAGCATGCTCCAAAAGGATCGCTTGTCCCCCCGAACCGCTGCCTAAATCACGTTTGGGCTTCAGATGCTGGTCGTGCCCCTTTTCCTTCAGTTGTTGTTTACCAGGTTGCTTGGTCTTAGTCGTTCCCTCTCCCAAGTGTAGGTTAATCCTCACGCCCTGCCCTGCAGCTGCAGATGGCACAGGGCCTGCGGCTCCTGCACCTGCGACATTCCGTACAAGTGCGCACTGCTGGGCAGACCTGAGGTCCCCTTCGGAGGTTGCAGAAGAACACCAGACATGATGTGTGAGCAGCAACACTCCCATAAGAGAGCTTCTCCCATGGTTGTGTCCTGTTTCTCACTACCTACTAGCCCGTTCCACACTGGAATTTTTGCAGTCACCTCAGATTCAACACATCCCCTGACTGTCAGCCTAGCAGCTCAGTGCTTTCCAGCCCCCAACAGGCCACCCTGTTTCACTTGGGTTCCAAGCTCTGCATGACATGGGGTATGGTCACCATTTTCTACACGAGAAAATGCTGACTTGGGGTTTGATGACTGATGTGCCTCGTCGAACAGCCAGGATAGGGCAGAGCTGGATGGGGACAGGTCTGCTGGCCTCTTGCTACCAAGTCATGGTGATAAGGACTCGTTTCCTAGACTCTTCTAAAATTCAGATCCTTGGAGTAATTGAAATTATTGTAAAAATTCATGTTAGTCATGTAAATTTATATTTTCATAATTCATTGTAAAAACTGAAGTAAGAGTGTTGAGATTACAATGTCTTTGGTGTAATGCTATTACATACTCTAATGTCACTTTTACTTGAAAAGAGCAAACTCCTATCTCAAGTACCTTATTGTTTTGTGATACTGTACCTATGAAGACTATTTTCTTTTACCCTTCTAGGATATAGAAAATCAACTTGCAATTAAATCCAAAGCACTGAATGAGTTGAGACAAAGTTATCTGACTTTGGAGAGTGGGACAATGCCGTTGTTAGAAGATACAGCTTCCAGAATTGAGGGGTTATTTCAAAAGAGGAGCAGTGTTATCAAGCAGGTACTAGATTTGTGTGAAGTGTGCTGTTTCTCTTCACATACCCATCTTTCACCTTATTTGTTGTTGTTTAATCACGAACACCTGCCACATACCAAAAGCTGAAAACTTGCTGAGAAAATTAACTGAAGTGAGGTAGAGAAAAGCATGTCAAATCTCTCCCACTCTTTTTTTGCACTAGATAATTATAGGCAAGTCCACCAATTCAATTCCAACATCGCTGGCGGTCTAGAAATCACTTGGTTATCTTTGTGTTGTCTAATGTCCAAGACAAAAATGTCTTCATCTTCCAAACCAGACAGAGAGCATCTGGCACTGTTTCCTGGCCAGATCTGCAGGAGCAGCTGTGAAGAAGCAGCTCAGACTCCCCACAGACAGGGAGACGCGTCAGGGAGGGACCTCTATTAATCTAGAAGCATCATCGACATAGGGAGAACTCCAGAGGTGGGGAGAAACATTGCATGAGGTGAGGAGGAAGAATAGAGAAAAATTGGAAGACATTGGGTCAAAGTGTACCCCGATCCCTTCCAGAAGGAAAGCACCAAAAGAGAAAGGCCAGGCATCTCTGTACACTGCAACCTTAACGTTTCTCTACAAATGGAGGGAGATAAGTGTAAATACTAACCATTGATAGGTGTGTCCGTGTTTCCCAAAGAGGCCTTATTGTGGTTGTTACTATAGTCTGCTTTTAACCATTTGTCCCAAGAGGGAATTAGGAATAAGCTGTATGAATGAAATCCACAGGTGACCCTCAGCCTCATTCTGTGACCCCCCCAGAACTCAGGCAGGAAAATGGGGGTAGAGCTTAACATACTTTGTGTGAGAGTCATTTGTTAAACATGCCTTTTGTAAGGCACGGGGCTCACTGCCCAGGGTTCAGAGATCAATAAGAAAATAAGTGGATTCTGCCTTTGAGCTCACAGGCTATTGGAGGAAACACTTGAACAGATAATTACAACACAATAAATTACAATATAATAAAATATAGAGGGGGAAAGATTAAATGAGATAAAACATGTAAAAAACATGCAGATAGTACTAGCATAAAGATAAAAATACAGATAAATGGAATAGAATTGAGAGCTCAGAAATAAACCCTCGTATTTATGTTCAATTGATTCTGATAAGGATCAGACAATTTTAGTGGGGAAAAATATTCTTTCCAAAAAATGGAACTAGGAAAACTGGGTAACTATATACAGAAGAATTAAGTAAAATCCCTACATTCATATCATGTACAAAAATTAACTCAAAATGGATCAAAGATATAAATGTAAGAGCTACACTATAAAACCTAGAAGAGCTCTGGCCTGACCCATGTGGCTCAGTTGGTTGGAGTGTCATCCCATAAACCAAAAAGTCCTAGGTTCAATTCCCAGTCTGGTCACATGCCTGGGTTGTGGGCTCAGTCCCCATTTGGGTTGCATACCAGAGGCAAGTGATCGATGTGTCTTTCTCACATTGATGCTTCTCTCCCTCTCTCCTTCTCTTTCATCAATGAACATGTCCTTGGGTGAGGGGAAAAAACCAAAAAAGCAAAGAAAACTTAGAGGAAAACATAGGTGTAAATCTTCATGACTTTGGATTAGGAATGGTTTCCTAGATAGGATATCAAAAGTACAGACAACAACAACAGCAAAATCAAAACAAAACAAAACAACAACAAAAAAACAGATTAATTGGACTTCTTCAAAATTAAATACTCGTGTTTCAAAAAACACCATCAAAAATGTAAAAAGACAAACCACAGAATGAGAGAGAAATATTTGCAAGTTAAATGTCTGATGAAAGACTTGTAATAATTCCTTATATATTCTAGATACAGCTCAATAATGAATGGACACATACCCAAATGAAAAAGGATGAGCAAATGATCTAAATAGACATTTCTCTAAATAAGATATAGAAATGGCCAATAAGCACATGAAAAGATGCTCAATATCATTGACCATCAAGGAAATTCAAATCAAACCCACAATGAAATGTCACTTCATACCTACTGCGATAGCTACAATAAAAAGCAAGATGATAACAAGTGTTAGTAAGGGTATGGAGAAATTGACACCGTCATGCACTGATGGTGAAAATGAAATTGTGCAGCTGCTGTGGAAAACAGTCCGGCCACTCCTCAAAGGGTTATGCATAGAGTTACCATACAACTGAGCGTTTCCACCTCTGGTGTCTACCCAAGAGAAATAAAAATTCATGTCTGCACCAAAACTTGGACACAAATGTTCATAGCAGCATGATTCACAATAGCCAAGATGTCCATCAACTGATAAAAGGATGTAAAATGTGGTATATTCCTGCAATGGAATATTATTCAGCCGTAAGAAAGAATGAAGTACTGATATATGATAGAGCAGTGATGGCCTTGAAAACATGATGCTAAGTGACAGAGCCAGTCACAGAAGACCACATGGTGTATGATTCCACCTACATGAACTCTCCAGAAGAGGGAGGTCACAGAGACAGAGCACAGATCACTGATAGAGGAGGGCAGGGATGAAGAATAAGAAGTAGGGAGGAAACATTCTAGAACCAATTATGGAGATAGGTGTGTGAATTATACCTCAGTAAAGCTATTGTTTTAAAGAAAGACAGAGGACATAACACCTGGATCATCCCTCTGTAAGCTCTCCAGAGTTAGTAGAGCCTAGTCTTTAAGAGCAAGGACTTTGCATTCTCCGCTTAAATAAGGATCTTGGCAGCACCTTCATCTGTGTCCTCAAGTCTAGGGCAGGTACTTGACCTCTCTAAGCCTCAATTTTTCAGTCTGTGAAATGGGGATGATGATACCTACTGTTTATTGCTACCTTTGTAGTGATGCCTATTCAGCACTCAGTGAATGCTGCCCTACTGGCTGATTGCACTTTGAACACTTTGAAAATATTCCTTCTTGTTTCTAGTGTAATGAATTTTGCTTCATGGTTTTCTTATCCTCTCCCTCAACCCATGTGTGTCATTTCTTCTCTGTGAAGCTACAATATTCTAAGCAAATGATACAAATATTCTAAGGGGTTACGCTTAAGAGCACCAGAATTCCACAACATTGTATGTGGAAGCCACGTACACTCACAGACTCAGATTCCTTGCCCAGTGTTCTTTCCCTGGGCTGGCCCCCTAAACTGAGCTCTGTCCACGCTGATCCTCTGGCCTCGGGGCTCTTTTCCATTCACCTGCTCTAAAACTTAGCCGTTTTTATTCACTAATCTTACCCTTTCCACCTTCAGTTAATCACCAAAGCTCCTCCAATACCTTCAAATTGAAATGCCTAAATGGTAGATGGGGTCCTTGGAAAGAGAAAATAATGATGAGAGAGCGTTCTCTCAATGATTTTCTAAATCTGCTTCCATTTTTCATATAGGTCAGTAAGCTCAGGACCGCCATGCAGTCTGTTTTACAGGAGTGGAAGATTTATGACAAACTCTATGATGACATGAACATGATGGCAATTCGATTCAGGTACTGCATGGAGCACAGCCAGCCTGTGGTCATGTCCCTGGAGGCGCTGAGATGCCAGGTGCAGAACCTTCAGGTAAGTGAACCAGATCTCGTGCACACACTGTGGGCAGATAACCTCCAGTGAAGGCAGGCACAGCAGTGGGTACAGTTGTGCTTGTGCCCTGGACAGAGATGCACAAAACCGCGTTTTGAACAGCAGCCTCAGAAGTGTAACTTGAGATTCTAAAATGAATCGCATGGGCCAAGTGAGTGAAAAAGTTTTAGTGTTTACATTGAATTTTTCTTTATGTTGAACATCTATATTGTTTCATGATATAAAGGTTTTGGACTTTGGTGGGTTTTTCTTCGTATACCTTCTAAAGTTTTTGTCTCAGGTGAAAAGATGTTGTCTCAGGTGTTTTCTTCTTCACATTTCTAATAATTTATCCCAGTCCTATCAAGGTTTGAGTGTTGTCATTGTGATACACAGCAGGTGTTGAAAAGCTGCTGCCTCCTTTGGAATCAGCCTGGCCATTCTGAAACGAACGTTCCTGCTCTCTGTTCTCAGGCTCTTCAAGACGAGGCCGAGAGCAGTGAAGGAAGTTGGCAGAAACTCCAGGAAGTTATTGGAAAACTCAAAGATTACTGCCCCTCAGTGGCTGAAATAATCGAAGAGAAGTGCCAACATACTCACACGAGGTATGCATTAGGATGCAATTTGAATAATAGATCGGATCTTAACGACGTGGCAAATGAAGTGACATGGGTGTTCTTACTCCTTAATCATCTGAAGTCACTGATTTCATACTATTCTGGCCTCTGCTGTCTTGAAGGATCTAATTCATGTAAAATTGGATGTTGTGAAGGCTATTACCTACCCTGTAGAAGCGTTTGGTATAATCAATCTGGAAATAGCATAATTACAGCCCCAGAGTAGCCATTTTCAGAAGGCTACTATATTAGGACTAAAGGCTCAGGGATACCAAAATCCCAGGCAGAAACAGACAAAGGGGTAGGCAGATGGGCAGTCTGTTCCACTGGAAACATCATAAGATGGAAGAAAGGGGATGTTGGAATACCCTGGGGGAAGTGATTCGTGGGATTGGAAGGGATTTTGGTGAAGCACATATGATAGAAATCTCCATTAGAAGTAAGGCCCTAGTTAATTGCAGAGCTTTTATTGTATTGAATGGGGTGTGAAAGCTGGCCTACAGCTGACTTAGTGGTGGGGGAGAAAGGCAAGATACTGCAGTCTGCACGTGGAATGAAAACTATTTTTGCACTTTATTTGCACTTTATATTAGGAATGTATGTGGCTTTTCTAATTGGAGAATAAATTGGACATAAACACAATTTAAGTAGGCCTATTTAAAGACCTCCTCTATAAAATAGGAGCCAGGTGGAGAGGTTTTATCAGGCATTCAGTTCAGTACTTTCTCCATGTTTGTCTGAGAGGCAGTCATACTACAATAGATATTTTTGTTGAGAACTTTAAAGTCAGTTAAATATTCAGATTTGAACTTCTGTTTATGTAGTGATGGTACAATTCATTTTAAAGACAGGCAGTAACAGTGTTGTCTAAACAATCCATCTGCTATTAACTTACTGGTAGAGTGCATTGAGCTTTTGCTGCAAGGAAAAGGTTGGGACCAGAGACCTGTTCATGTGCCCTGACAGGTGGACCCAGGTAAACCAAGACATTGCAGACCAGTTGCAGAAGGCCCAGAGTCTGCTCCAGCTCTGGAAGGCCGCTGCCAGCGCTCACACTGAGGCTGTAACAAGGCTGGAAGAGCAGGAGGCCAAGTACCACCAACTTGCAAACATCAACATGTCTGGAAACAACCTGGCAGAGATCCTGACCACAGCCCTACGGGACATAAAGGTGGGTGCACAGCCCATTTGGGAAAACAAGGATGGAGACCTAGGGACTAGACAGAGCACAAGGACAGAGAAGTGGGTCAGAACAGGTGCAAAGTAGGCTGCGTAGGTCACGGGCAAGACTGGGGGGTGTGGAGGCTCAGAGGCCCGGTCCAAGCAGCATGTAGCTGGGTCAGGAGCACGTAGCTGACGCCTGACCTTGCTGCAAGTCTCCCCTTTTCCTCTAGCATGTAAATCTCTAAACCAAAAGCCTCATTCAGAGTCTCAAATAAAAGCAAAACTGTCTCACCCTGGCTGGTGTGGCTCAGTGGGCTGAGTGCCAGCCTGTGAACTGAAAGGTTGCTGGTTCAATTCCCAGTCAGGGCACATGCCTGGGTTTTGGGCCAGGTCCCTGGTTGGTGGTGTGCAAGAGACAACCAATTAGTGGCAACTGATCATTGTTTCTCTTACACATCGATGTTTCTTTTCCCTCTTTTTTTCTCCCTTCCCCTTTCTCTAAAAAATAAATTTTTTAAAAAAGCACAAGTATCTCAACTGAATGTAATTATCTATAAATAACAGATGTGGAATCTCTTGCTTCAGAAATACCATGAAAAAAGATAATCATGGCCTCACTTCCATGTTAATATGGCTTTTCTGTGGGTATAGTGATATTTAGACTATATTTAAGAGCTGTATGAGAGGACCCAAGAAAAAACAGAATTATCTTCAGGCAAGTGGGCCCCTTGTAATCCAGGCTTCCCCCACTAGGCGGGTGTTCTAGGAACCCGCCTGTATCGGTGTATCAGCTGGTGTTGCTGTGAGAGGCTGTGTTCAACTTCAGTGAATTTTGTTGAAAACTCTTTCAATGCATTTGCCCATTTCATGTAGGGTGATTTACAGGTGCACCTGCCCAAACCACACTGAGAGTTCAGCAGTTTTGACCCAAAATGGCATGACCCCGTGCCCCACCCTCCCTATTCACCTAACCTGGTTCCAAGTTTTTTCGTTTCCCCGATGAAAAAAGTTCTCAGAGGGGAACGTCTTGCCCTATGGAAGAGGTAAAACAAAAAACAGCATGAGCACCAAAAGGCATCAAAATCAACGAGTTCAGAAACTGTCTTGAGCAGTGGAAAAAAGTGTCACTAGGTGTATTGCATCAAATGGAGAGTACTTGGAAGGTGACTGAAGTTTAAACATGTAAGAATAAACACACAATTTTTTATAAATAAATTCCGGGGCTTTTGGGGGGACCTCCCCTCATATGATTTCCTCTGTGGTTTTATCCTATTATATTAGTGAAAGCCCAGAAAGTGACTACTTTCAAATTTTAAACTGGGTAACCACCTGCCTTTTATATCTTCTGATACTATAGGGCAAATTAAGAAATATTAACCAATTTAATAAGAAAGACAAGAATCCAACAGACATGATCTGTATTTCTGGTCTATTATTGAAAAAAGAAAACCAAAAGAGAAATTCACACACACAGTATTTCCAGAGTTGCCTTTAAGTCTGCTTGGTTAATGAGATTCTCCAGTCTCTGCAGATAAATCCATTTATGTCACAAAGTCTCAGACAGAGGATGAGGCTGCACTGATCCTTAAATGTCAGTAAAGCAGATTTCTAGTGTTCCAAGATTAAACATGTAAGGTACAGGCTCAACCAGGTGATTTCCAGTCCCTAAAACCTAGAAGCCCCAACTCTGTCCGTCAGTGGTCAGTTTTGTCTCTGATCTGGCAGATTTCAGAACGGCACCAGTGACCTGCATCTGTAACCAGCATCTGTAACCTGCATCTGTAAACAGTGACCTGCTTAGCTTTCTCAGCTCTTTAAGATAAACAATAACAAAAAGCCATGTGCACAATTTCAGGGCAGAAATTCTGCTAGATGTCGATGGAGTCAGAGCGGGGGGGGGGGATTCTTGTTGTGAAAGGAGGAAGAAATGTTTTGGGATCACTGTTTCTTCTCCAGGAGCTGCAGCACGATGTGCAGAAGACAAAAGAAGCCTTTCTCCAAAATTCCACTCTCCTGGACCGACTGCCACAGCCCGCCGAGTCTGACCCCCACGTGCTTCTCTCTGGCCACCAGCACTCCCTCCAGAGGGCTTCCTACTTGGAAAAGATGCTGCTTGTGAAAGCAGATGAATTTGAGGTTCGTCTTATTTTGTCCTTCAAGCTGTAGTCTTGGGCATTTGCCCATTATCCTCAATTTCTTCTATCTTATGAAGTAACCTGTACTTTGTGGGCTGCTCCTGGCGGCAACTGCAGAATAAAGCTGCCCTGGAAATAGCTACCATTTCACATGATTCTTCCAGTATGTGGTTTTTCCATCACACAGGGAATGGGCAGATCTTGAGCAACCATATCTTCATTATTGAACATGTTACTTTAAGGAGTCAGATATTTCATACACTGTTCAATCTTAACAGTTATTTGGATCTCCCACTGGGGTGATTGAGCTTGAGTCATAAGCCATTTGTCGCATTCCGCATTCACTTTTTGAAAAGCCTTTTATGCGAGCACTGTCAAAAGGCTGCATAGAAGGCCTTTGTACTCCAATATGACATCTCAACAGCAGCAGAAAAAAAAAATATTTATCTAACAGGACTGAGGGAGCAGAGTTTGGACTGACCCTTCTCTGCATGGCCCCCCCAGGCAGGTGAGCCGTTCATCCCTGAAGGCTCCATGCTCTGCCAAAGGCTCAGAGTGAAGGTCAGGACTCTTCTGAAGACTCAGAATACCAATGTGCTGCCAGGGGTGTTGGAAACAACTTGAACTTTCTTCGGCTCCCAAGACTGTGCTTAATTCTGTTCTATATGCACACAAACATTGTTTCTAATGAAAATTTCTGTTGTTCTAGTTTGTTCTATCACAGTTTAAAGATTTTGAGGACCAGCTGGAATCTTTGAAAGGTCTTATTATGCATGAAGAAGAGAATTTGGATAACCTCTGCCGACAGGAAAAAGAAAAAAATCCTGATTCATTCCTGGTATTGCCAATATTTATCATTTCTTTTTTTTTTAAGATTTTATTCATTTATTTTTACAGAGGGGAGGGAGGGAGAAAGAGAGAGAAAGAGAAACATCAATGTGTGGTTGCTGGGGGCCGTGGCCTGCAACCCAGGCATGTGCCCTGACTGGGAATCGAACCTGCGACACTTTGGTTCGCAGCCCGCGCTCAATCCACTGAGCTACGCCAGCCAGGGCTTCTGTATCATTTCTAAAGGCTCATCATAGGATAAAAAATAAGCTAGTTAGTGTCACATTAGAGAATCTGTTTGTATCATAACTCTTAAGCATAGTAATTTATATGTCATTCATTCTTGCCTTATTTTCCCTAAGCTCTACAAAAATGTGACAATATAGGGCTCTATTTTAGTAATATGCCATAGTAATTTTAGTGGATTTTTCATTTTTGATGTCTTTACGAGTTAGCTTCAGTCAATGGGAATAATCTAGGAAATGGCTGTGGTGATTAATTAAGTTTTTCTGGTTGAAGAAAAATGCCCTATAAATTAATTGTATATTTTTTAATTTATTAGCTAAGTAAGTTTAGTGTAATTACATAAATAAATGGGAGATTTAAAGAGTACTGGACCCTGCACACTCCTAAGTACCAGTCTTCATAACCAAGACCGGGAGTCAGGAGCCCATGGCACATGCTCATCCCTTCCTTTTACGTGTTGACCACTGGAGTTTTCATGCTGCAGGGGCAGAATTGAGTAGTTGCAACAGCGGTCATATGACTCATAAAAGGCTAAATGACTTCTGTCATAGTCACTTACAGAAAAAGTTTGCCGACCCTGACCTAGACTGTTCTGCAGTGACACTGTGGATATTGTAAAGGATGTTTGCTTAACATACTGTTGACCTTGAGGCTGTCCCTGGAATATCATTTTAAAAATAAAATTTTGAAGTTTTCATTCTTCTGTGGTTTTAGATTCTACCAAAATACAGATGTTAAAGTACCGTTCTTTACTAGGGTTGTTGTAAGGATTAAATTTTCGTTTGATTTGTAGGTCAGCTGCGTGATCTATTGAAGGTCAAGTCATTGGCAAACCAAATGGGATTTGAAGGTCTAGAATGGGTCCTTCAAAAACAAAACAAAACTCGTTTTTGTCTTCCTGGAAGACAGAGTCGGAGATGACTTTCTATTTCCTGGGCTGTTTAGGTCATGTGTGCAGCTCGTTGTGGAAAAGCCACAGGATGAGAGGCCTGGTCAGGGCTGGTTCTAACGAGCAGCTTGGCTGTGGGCAGATCACTGGTGCACGTAGGCCCCCGTTTTCCTCCTGTCTGACATGAGGGTGATCTGCAGGGTCTCCGCCACTCTTTTATCATGTAGAAATGTTATTGTCCAAAAATCTGGAATTTGGTGTTGTTGTTTCTTTAATAGAATTGTGTGCTAGCACTGACAGCCCACTCACCGGATGTTGAACACCTGAATGAAGTAAGCCTCAAGCTCCCTGTTAGTGACATGGCTGTGAAGACATTGCAGAACGTGACCCGGCAGTGCAATCGGGCCATGGCTACCGCGCTGGACCGCTGCAGGTCAGCATAGCCCACCTCTCCCTTCCACTCCAAGTAAAGTGAAATTCACAGCAGGAGCTCATTGTCATATGGCTCTGTTTTATTTGTTTTTAAACCTTTATAGTGAGCTTCAGGGAATCGGATTAAATGAACAGTTTCTTCATTACTGTGAAAAGTGGGTGCGACTCTTGCAGAAGATAGAAGAGACGCTGAAGATGAATATTGCCAATAGCCTTCCGGCTCTCCTGGAGCAGCAGAAAACCTATGAGGTAGGCAGACTGTGTCCTGGGACCCCTCACCCTGGGGTGGACGTCAGGGACAGATGGATTTAAATAAAATACAAGTTCTGTTGTCTGTTGATCATGTGTCAGATTCTCACACATTGCATGGTTTTCAGTGTGTTATTACTCTTGTTTCATTAATGACAGAACTAAACTTTCTGCAGTAAGTGGAATCTACTAGCACAACTTTGCTTCTGCAGAATGCAAACATTATACCACTTTTCCAAGAGCATGTTAAAGTACTTCAACTCATCTTTTCATTTTCACTGAATGATTCTCTAAAATATGGGAGAACCTAAAAAAATACATATGGAAGAATATGATATAATTATAATTGCCTCATTAGTAATTTCATAGAGGAATTTCCCCACACTTGTGTTCATATATATTTGGAAATATGCTTGCTTATACACGGATCCTGCCTTTCAAAGTGGGTGTGATTAGTTCACTATAATTTTTCAATGTAATTAATTTAATTCTGCATTGTAACATTGTCACCCAATGAATATGAAATCCTTCCAGCCAAAGAGCTGAATGACCTTGAATAAACTACTGAACTTCTTTACACCTTAGCTTCTTCCTCTTCAAATGGATTTTATAATGGCACTTAAGTCCAGTGTTTGAGGAATAAGTGAGACAATGCATGTCTTACTTCACCTAGCAAATAGCAAATGCCCAGTAAACAGGCATTAATCACAGTTATTGTTGGATCTTTTTCTTTCTAAGATTATATTTATAGATGCTATTGAGTGATGGTTGAGCATTTTTTGCAGGTAGGCTCAAATAGTTTGAAAAATAATCATCTTAGATATTGTCTGTGTGCTTAGATTTTAATAAGAAATATAAGATCCAGATTCATAAACTGAATTCTATGAGCTGATATTTTATATTTTAATTCACATGCAGATGTTGGAAGCTGAAGTTTCTATGAACCAGGCAATTGCTGATTGCTATGTCACCCGGTCCTTACAACTCTTGGACACGACAGAAATAGAGAACAGGTAAGCTGTCTCGGGTATGTGCGTGCATGCGTGTGTCTGCGTGTGATGGGGGTGAGGCAGTCGTGGAAGGCTTCCAACACGTGAATCTGGACCATGCCAGTGCCTGGTGGCCATGTCAGTTGGTCGACCACCATGGGGTCAGGGTTTTTTTCCTGAACTAGGATGGGGTCTTGCTATGTGGCCATGGAAACCATAGGGGCACTCTCTGCTATGATAGGTGAGTGGGGTTAGTGGACCAACCCACTCACCAAGTACAGTTAACTAATGTTTTACCCTAAAGCACTCTTCAGTAGAGTGTTTTCCTCTGTACCTTCAGCCTCATGCTGTTTTGCTATTTAAGAAATAATTCTGAAAGTGCTGCTGTCCCCAGCAAGTAGCTCTGTCATCGTTGTGAAAGAAAGCATTTCTCCCCATGCTGTGTACCTGGGGTCGGGGGTCACTGGGCAGTGCCAGTCAGGCTGAGCAGAGCCCCTCAGTCCATCCTGGTGACAGTAACTGAACCTGCTCACACAACAGGTACACATGGCAGACAGAGCCCAGAAGTGCCTGGCCTGTTGAATCCTTCTCCAAATGTCCTGGTAGGGATGGTTTTTCCTCACCATCACCACCCATGTACCTCTGCATCTTTCAGCATAACTAAGAAATATAAAGCACATCTCCTTCTAGTTCTGAAATAATAAATTTAAGCCAGTTTCAGGGTGATCAACTGGTTTTGATTTGATCAGTTCAGCAAAGCATGACTTTCCCTGTAATAAATAAAAGGCCTTATTTTTCATGTGGCAGGTGTCACTTATCTGGTAAAGAACTAATTGAGAAGTTGCAGAAAGCATGTTTTTTATTGCTGAAATTACATAAAGTATAACCTTCAAGTAATAGATAACATTACCAGGTACCCGCCTGTTCACCTCTTTCCCGCCGATCCCATGTGCAGTTTCCCATTCAGCATTTGGCATAATGGGCATTAAAACAGCTTCCATTGGTTTAAGCCGTGCATGCTGACAAAGTACCCAGCTCATGTGCATATATCTTCTGCTAAAAATTCTTTGCCAACCACATGCTGTCCCTGCTCCAGCTCCAAGTTCCCCATCGTGTTTAAGTTGAATGGTGCTAAGATTTTAAGAAGTTTGTTTTTCATGTAAATTGTGCATGTCCATAGCAAATCTGAGTTTCTGTGATAGTTATTTTTTCTACATGTTCATGTCTGGATTCTCTAACCATCTGTTTTTCCCAAGACCGGAATTTATTTCGAAGTTCACGAAGCTGAAGGCCCAGTGGCAGAGCGCCGTCCAGGGCGTTCGGCAGAGGAAGGGCGAGGTCGCTGGGCTGGTGAGGCAGTGGCAGTGTTTCTCCACCTCCGAGGATTTGCTCCGCTTCCTCACCGCCACCAGCCGCCTGCTGTCTGCAGTCAAGAGCCAGGACTGCTACAGTCTCTACCAAGTCAGAAGCCTGATCCACGAGCTGAAGGTAGTGCCTGCACAGGAGCAGTGGAAGAACCGTGGGGTGGCCATTATGTGGAAGAGGTTCATTCACTGCAGGTTTTAGGTTTTCTGTGATGTCACGGTTCAGGTGTGCTCACTGCAATGGGAGACCAGCTGGCGAGGGTCCCTAGCCTCTCAGGGGCAGAGACCCCATCTCATTCATCCATCCAGAAGTAGTGAAGTTCTCTTTGGCTGTGGGAGTAGGGATACAGTGGACATGAGTAGGTCAAGGGAGATGTTTGGAATGACAGGCTCCTCCCACCTAAGTTTTTAAGTAATATATTAATTGGCCACCAATGTGGTAGTTTATAGTGGGACTCTTGCTTACTTGTGAAGGGCAAATTCTATTAGGCAACAAAGTTTTCAATCAGAAAGTTGCTTGACCAGCACAGGGCTAGAGTAATTGATTGGCAATTCCCAGGGCAGCTTCCATTGTGCTACAGAACCACTCTCTAGCAGTATAGTGAAATGAAACATCCCCCTTCTGAAATCCTGTGCTTTCCTCATTCATTTATTCAGTCATCAAATATCGAGCACCTGCCCTGTGCCCATCACTGTTCTGAGTGCTGGAAGTGTGGTGTGCACTAGGAGAAGCCTCCCACTCTCATGGGGGTACTCAGACAAACTGATGTATAAACAAGAAAATGCTGGTTTGTCTGACTGCTGGGGGCAATCAGACAAATTCAAGAATAAGAAACAGAGCCAGTAATGGAAGGGCTGGGTGGCTGCTGTAGATGGGCATGTGATACTTAAACTGGAACCTGAATGATAAGAAGGAGCCAGCCAGGCAAAGATCTGGGGAAAGAGCCTTTCAGACAGATGGAACAGCCTCCCCAATTCCCCACCGTGGAAACAAGCTCATCCGAGCACAGGAACAGAAAGAGGACCAGTATGACGGGAGGACAGCCAGTGGGGCCGCAGCAATAGGAAATGAACTTGAGAAGCAGGCGGGGAGGAGTGTTCGTAGGCAAGTTGTGGAAGCGGGGTTACAGTCTTGACGTAACAGGAGGCCGTTGAAGAGTTTCAGTTGGAAGAGGGAGCAGCATGATTCTGTTTCTATTTTTTAAAGCCCTTTTGGTTGTTCTGAGCGGGATGGATTGTGGAGGAGCCAAAGGAGAAGCAGGCACCCCAGTATATTTCCTATCTAATGCTGCGTAACGGCCACCAGTGATTATTGCCTCTCACAGTTCCGGGGCTTGGCAGGGCTCAGCTAGCAGGTTCTTGCTTAGAGTCTCGGGCCGTGTCAGTCAGACGACGGCTCGGGCTGGACTCATCTGAGGGTGCACTCACTCTCATATGTAGCACTTCAGATGGAAAGACTTAAGATAGCTAGGAACTGGAGCGGTTGGGGCTCCAGGGCATCATTCCCTGTGGTCCCTCCACGCAGAAGCTCCTGGTAGCCAGACTTTTGACATGGACGCTCACGGCTTCAAAGGCACATGCCCCAAGAAAGCGAGATCCAGGGAGAAGCTCTACTGCCTCCCTTAGACCTAGCCTTGGAAGTCACATGTGTCACTTCTACCATTTTCTATTAATCACATGCCCACAAAGGGTCAAGAGGAGGGGACAGAGGCACTACCACCTGAGAGCCAGTGGCAATTCTGGAAGAACGTGGGGCAGGGAATACTACTGTGACCTTTTTGTGAAAAATAGTCTGCCAAATCCAGTTAGGCCATTTAAATAGTCTTGGAGAGTTGTTATGAAGGATGAGGTAAGGGTAAGCCCTGCTCATTGTGGCTCACTTGGTTGGAGTGTTGTCCCTAAATTGAAAGGTTGCAAGTTCAATTCCCGGTCAGGGCTTATGTGGAAGGCAACCCCAATCAGTGTTTCTCTCACATCAGTGTTTCTCTCTCCCTTTCTTCCCACCCCCCGTCTTTTTCTTTCACATCTCTTGAATCAAAAAAAAAAAAATGGATTGATCAGTGAAGACAAAAAGGGATATATATTTGTAGGTAGCATTTACAAGATTTGCTAATGGTTTGGATGTGGCATGTAAATGAAAATCTAAATCGAGGTGGTGGGGGGATGGGGAGATCGAGGAACAAATAAAAAGAACTGGTGGACAAGGCCAGCAGTGCGTGGTTGTGGGGATTAGAGGGTGGGTAAAGGTGGAAGAGGGTATATGGGGGATAAATGGTAATGGAAAATATACAATAAAAATGAAATAAAAATTAATGAGTTAAAAAGATGACTAGGTTTCCGGCTTGAGCATTGTGAGGAATGGTGTGCTGTTGAGCAGGTCAGGGAAGGCTGCAAGAGGAGCAGGTCTTTTGATAGGTTAAGTTTGACATGGCTTAAGCAAGTCACTTTTTTCCTTTTCTTTTTAGAATAAAGAAATTCATTTCGAGAGACAGCAAACCACCTACGCACTCACCTTGGAAGCTGGGGAACAATTACTGAAGACAGCTGACCTGGAAAGTGCAGAGTCCATAGAGAGGGGACTCGGGCAACTTCGGGACAGCTGGACGGACACCCGGCGCCACGTCGGGGAGACCGTCAGGCACTTCCGGAGCATTGTGGAGGTACACCCACCGTGCGCTGGCCCACTCCCGATACGCAAGCGCGGCACATACGTAGATTTTTTGTTTGCTCTGTGACAAGGGGAATGACTTGGGGATGATATTTTGAGTTTTCCAAAGGACCTTGAGGCCTGCTACCCCATGAATCGTGTCAGTCAGTTACTTAATGTAGAATGGTACTAATAGCATTGCAAAAGCTCAGTATTAAGTACATAAATAGTGGAACTTCTATTTTATATTTACTTTCATGGAACAGGAAACTAGCTAATGTCCAATCGAAGTTCAGCACACCGAGTTAATGTCCCACACGTGGTCTGTCCTTGGGTATAGCATATGAAAATAAACAAAGTGAAACTTCCTCTTTCTGTTACCATCAGAAAATGCAGTTTTCTGTGTAAGTGAATTTCACAGATTATTTATGATTATAGCTTTAAGAATTAAAAGGTTCTTTTGAGTCATTATTAGGGAAATCATTATGATTTTGTGATGCTAAAATACCAAGTTTTTCTCAAGGACTCTGAGCTGCTTTGCACCCAGACCCTAACTACTGCGCTCTTTGAGGTCTTACGTGGTTTTTATGGTTTTCCTCTCCGCACAGTTAATGTGAAGCTGTCTGCTCCTTTTGTTTCTCTGAGCATACCTGCTCCTTGTAGCTCACTCTCCTCCCTAAAGTATCCGATGTGTATATGTGTGTCAAAACCAAATAACCACACTTGTCAGAGATGTTTTTCTGAATAAAGAAAAACTATGTCTCGAGTTAGGGCCTGGGCATCTCCCCCATGCACAAAGTACCCGAATTTTCTGCAGTATACAGACTGCAAATTTCATTCACTAGCAGACATGTGCTGAGCACCCGCCATGTCTGTACAGTGTGATAGTAAACGCAGTTGAGGGTTTGGTGAGGGAGATGAGGACTCACAGTTCTGTTTCCCTCTCTGCTTTCTTGGTCGTGTTCCAGAGATTTGACCTTGCTGTACGCCTGGCCTCCCCTTACAAGAGGTGTCACCGTAGAATTGGGCCAACCCAGTATGTTTAGGTGTCCTTTGTACTGAGGGTTGAAGTACTGCTCGATTTTATGTTCGTCTGCTTTTAGTGACCTCAGGAGTAGAAACTTAACCCTAAGGAATCCATTGTAAACACCCTGAACTTGAAACTGCAGGCCCCTATTTGCTCGGTAATGCAAGGTCCAAGGAAAAAGAGATGCCACAGAAGAATAGCACCAGGGGTAGCGGTGGGGGGCCTGCAGCCTTGGGTCGCCTCTGGACCAAGCTCCCGTCATGGGCCCGTCAGCTTCCTCTCAGCCTCAGTTTTCACATTTTAAGTGTGAAGGTAATAATATTTGCCTTGTCTCCTAAGGTTATATTACCTTTACCATAAGACAGTGAAGGTGAAAATACTTTAGAAACCTGCGAGTGCTTTAAGCAGAAGGTGGCTGTCAGCACTGCCAAGAGGTGGAGAGTGAGTGAAGCTGGACCGTGAAAGGACCGCCAAAGCCAGGAAGCCATTGTTTCTAGAAAGGGGGTGAGGGGGTGGAGGGCAGCATCAGAAAAGAAGACGAGAAAGTGGTCAGGGGCTTTTGGTTTAATGGTGCTGCTGTAGCACGTGCCCCAGACTAAACGCTGATAATGAGTTGTTTTTTTTTTTAAGATTTTACTTATTTATTTTTAGAGAGAGGGAGAGAAACACCAATGTGCCAGAGAGACATCCATCAGTTGCCTCTTGCACGCTCCCAGCCAGGGACCCAGCCCACAACCCAGGCATGTGCCCAGATTGGGAATTGAAACAGTGACCTGTCACAGGACAGTACTCAATCCACTGAGCCACACCAGCCAGGGCTGAAGATGAATTCTTATAGTTCTTAAATGTGAACTTCTCCAAAAATTAAAATAGAAATGAGATTGTATAGATCAGGGTTATGGGGAGGGAGGAAGAAATACAGTTGACTCTTGCACAACACGGGTTGCAACTGTGCGGGTCCTCTCATTTTTTCAGTAAATGTGGACGGCCCTCCGCGTCCCTGGGATTTTACGTCTGTGGATCTGGCCAACTGCAGATGAAAAACTATTTTCACTCTGTGGTTGGGAACCTGTGGATATGGAGGGTTAGCTTAATGGGGACTTTCAACTCTACTCGGCTGGTGCCCCTAACCACCACCCCACGTCATTCAAGGGTCAACTGTATTTTAAAACGAAAGCCAACCAACCCAGTGGTTGGAATGAGCCACACGTGAAGCTGCGAAGAGGTGTCAAACCAGACTGGTGTCCCATCTGTTCTTTTAGACCACGGTTCATTCCAGAAAGGAACTAGGTCTCTGATTTGCAAAAACATTTAGCAAAGCAGTTACTGTATGTTGTCCTGTATAATGCATACTTTTTTGCCCAAATGTTAGGGAAAAGTTAAGGTGTGCATTATACATGGGTGGTACCTGCAATACCTTATATCTGTTCTTGTATTTTGTAATTATTTGTTACATAAAATTTCTTGTACCATAACATGTTAAAAAATAAATGCTAAAATTCCTTTATAATACAAAAAACCAAGCATCTAAATATAAATAAGTAAGTAATTGAATTAAAAAATTAAAACGAAAGATTTTTTCCCCTGAAAGTTTGGGCCGAAAACATGGGTATGCATTATACATGGCAAAATACAGTACATAGATTAGATAAGTTATTCCAGTTCTATAACTCATTCTTAAATAGCAAAAGTACTTACCAATTTTAATATTGTTTTCAAATAGACCTGGGACCAGTGTGAAAAGAAAATCAAAGAGCTGAAAAGCAGGCTGCACGTTTTAAAGGCACAAAGTAAAGAACCTCTTCCAGAAACTCATGAGGATCTCCAAAAAGAGAAAGAGCTGATTAAGGTACTATAGTGTTCGAGAGAATCACGTAGCTGTCTTCTGAGAAGTTGAAGTGTGTGTTTGTTTTCAGTTTCCATGTTGAAACCAGGTGTTCATGTACAGTTGGCAAACATTTTCCCTATGTTTTATCTAACAAAGCATCCTGGTCTCTAAAGGAATCAGAATCCATACGTTTTGAGATCTATGTATGGAAATGAAAGACTTTTGCAGAAATTCACTTCTTAGTGTCTTTGGGGTTTTCTCTTGGGGTCCTGCTTCTATCTGGTTCTCCCCTGTAGTATAAGATGTGGCCTCTGAGATGACATTGAAAGCTGTCCCCTTATCAAACGACCTTGTCTTTGAAATGAGAGTAAAGTATGACTAAAGAATTCATTTTTTAAAAGCCAATAGGTTGAGTTTTTTGCTCAATTACAACATTTTATTTTATTTTATTTTAATCATTGTTCAAATACAGTTTTCTCCTTTTACTCCCAGTCTCAATTATAACATTTTTATAAAACCTTCCAAACTGTATTCAGCCTCATTAATATCACACTAGGCAGAATTCCGCACCTTTTAGGTCTTTGCAGACAGGACAAACTTATGGATAGGAACTTGCGTTGGTAAGATTCCCAGGTCAGGAACTTCCTGCGTCTCCTCCCTATTTGCAGGTTGATGTTCAAAAGATATCAGGAGCCAATGGGAAACACACTTTGTTTTTGTTTGGTTGGTTGGTTTTCTTCTGTTTCTTTGGTGACTTCAGCAATGGAATTGAAAAAATTAGGAAGATGTGAGTAGTCTCACACTTGAAGCTGTGTGGGAAATTAGTGTCCTCCTCCCCGCATCTTTTTTTCTCATTGTCAGTGTTTCTAACATGCAGAATATTTTTAACTTAACCATGATATGACAGACTGCCACAAAACCATCACTCGTCTGAAAAGTAAAGCATTGCAAATGCAGGTTTAGTGTCCTGTATGATTTCCAATGCACTTTCCCTCCCCAGCCCACTGCTTTATCATTTTACTGTGTGTCTGTAGTTCTCAGCGACATATAGGAGTATTACCTTTGAAATTTTTTTAGTATATATGCTGCCAAAGCAAGCACTGAAATTTTTTTAGATTTTATTTATTTATTTTTACATCTTATTTATTTATTTTTAGAGAGAGAGAGAGAGAGAGAGATCAATGCATAGCTGCCTCTCATGTTCCTCCTACTGGGCACCTGGCCTACAACCCAGGCATGTGCCCTGACTGGGAATCAAACCGGCAACCCTTTGGTTCATAGGCCAGTGCTCAGTCCACTGAGCCACACCAACCAGGGCAGTAATATTACTTTCACTTTTAAACTTTACATGAACAGTACATGTTATATATATAACATATGCAACCTTTTTCTCTCATGATTTTGAGTCATCAGTGTTGATAGCTGTTACTCATTCATTCTCATGTTGTGTTGTATGCATTACAACAATATAAAACAATTTATTCCTTCTCCAGTCACTTTGTGTTGTGAAAAAAATTTTTTTAACACTTTTGATCATCTGATGGGTATGGGTAGTATATCTTTGTAGTTTAATTACTAGTAAGTTGAACATTTTTTTCAGGTTTATTGCCCCTTCAGATTTGCTTTCTATGAATTGCCAGTTTACATTCTTTACTCATGTTTCTGTTGGGCTGTTTTCCTTTTTCTTATTGATTTGAAATAGCCACTCATTTATTTTAGATAATTCTTCTCTGTTGAGCGTAGACATTACAAATGTCTTCTCCCATCCAAGAGCTTCTTTTTGTATTTTTTCTTGGTGTCACTGCTGGGAAAAAAAAAGGATTGTTTTGTTATTTTGTTATAGATGAATTTATCATTATCTTCATTTATGATTTGTTTTCTTTTGTGAAATCTCCATACTAAAGTGATAAAGTGTAGAGTCTTACATTTTCTTCTGACAGTTCCAAGTTTTGCTCTGTAATCTACATCTCTGTTCATTGAAGAATTAAGTTTTGCAAACCTTTGGAGTTGAAGATCCAATTTTTTTTATTCATATGGATAATCAGTTGTCCCGATGCCTGTTTATTGAATGGCCCAGGGTCAAATGTCATGTTTCCACATACACATGGTCTCTTTCTTGGTTCTCTGCTCCATTGGTCTGCCTATCTCAGCTTTTCTATCAGGGCTTCATTCCAGGTGTGACATGCGCCCCTTCCTTGTTCACCCACCTTGGCAGGGACGTCCTTGGGTCTTTGATCTTCCACAGCTTTTAGAAGCAGTTTGTCAAACTAGGAAAAGTCCTGGTAAGACTTGCAGTGGAATAGTATTGAATTTGTAGATTAATTCAGGAAAAGTAACATCTTTTTGACATTGAGTACTCCTGTTCCTGGATATGGCATGTTGCTCCTTCTGGTTGTGTTCAATAATGTTTATTAAATAGTATTGTGAATCTTTGTGTTAGATTTATTCCTTCATGTGTTGTTTTGAAGCTACTGAAAATACTGAAAATTTTGCCTTTTCCTTATTATATTGTCTGTTTATCACTGGTGCCTAGAAATGTGACTTTTATATATTGATATTATATTCAACCACCTTGCTAAACCCTTTTGTTAGTTTCAATATTTTTTTATATATTCCTTCAGATATCTCTGTCAACAATCACCATTTGTGGAAAATGACCCTTTTTTTGTTTCTTCCTTTTAATTATATGTATTTCTTCTGTCCTTTCTACACTGGTCAGTACTTCCAGAACAGTGCTGAGCAGAGGCAGTGGTGGCTGGCTCCTTTGTGTTAATCCTGATTTAAAAAAGAATTATTCTGAAATTTCACTCTTAAGTATATTTGCTGGTGATGTCTTTATTAGATTAAGAAAGTTCCTACCTCCCTCTGATTTCTGATAAAGATATCATTTCTAATCTCCACACAACCTTTAAAGGAAATTCTCCACACCATCTTATTAAACTTCTTGATGGCAAGTTGTGAAATCATATTAAATGAAGCTTTCAGAACTCTGAAAATCAATCAAAATGAACACATTTTCATTGTTGTCTACTCTAGGGCTTATTTCTGATATAAATAAGTAGTGTTTCCTTCAGATACATATTGGTAGGTATAGTGGAGACCCTTCAAGTATGAAGAACTGTTTAAGTGCAATATAAACGACCCCTGAGTGCTCTGTCTGTTTCCTTTTACCTGCCTTGTTGTGAAAGTAACTTTCTTGATTAAGTCCTAGAATTCAAAAAGTTCAAATTTGACAGATAATGCACTTTAAAAAATTAAGTTCCCAGGGTCAGAGGAAATTTTCTGCTAACCAATCTCGGCTATCAGAGAACAATTTACTTTTTCTTTCATTATATTTAACTTTCTCTTCTAAAGTTAACCAAAATAATTCCCTTGGAACAGAAACTGTTGTTCCGTGATTACCACAGTATCAACAGTACACTTCCTAGATGTTTGTTTTTTTTAAATGGGGAATCACACTTTATATATTTCTATAACATAGTTTCAGAATTAAGAGTCTGTATGTGTGATTGTTGTTTTCTTCTAAATAAACGTAAAGACTTACATGACTTTAAAGTAGAATTCATTATGTAAAAATTTGAACTACCCGAGGAAATGAAAACAGAGGTAGAAAAGTTTCCTTTGAGAGAAAGGTGGTGGATACCCGGCCAAGCCCAGCTGCAGACGCGCGCCCGCGCCCGGGGCTGTTTCTCTTTCCACTGGTCCCGCCCCCTTCCGGGCCTCCCCTCCCCCAGAGTCCAATCAAAGGATTAGCCTACAGGTTTGGAAACAACAGCAGTTTGAGTTGAAGGTTTGTTTTTTTTGTTTTTGTTTTTTTCTCCCTTTTCTTGTGTTTAAATGCAGGAACTAGAGAAGTCTTTGGCTAACTGGACTCAGAACTTGAAAGAACTTCACACAATGAAAACCGACTTAACCCAGCACATTCTTGTGGAGGACGTGATGATTTTGAAGGAGCAGATAGAGCATTTGCACAGACAATGGGAGGACCTCTGCTTAAGAGTAAGTCAGTTAACTGCAGGGCCCGGCTGTTCTGGAGTTTATTGAAATGTCTCTGAAGGCCAGACAAAGTAGAACAGAGCTTAATTTCACTGAACCCGAGGCCCTTTCAGTCGGAGCCCCGGCGGGCCGCTGTTCCTTCAGTAGGCGCAACACTGTTTAGCCGATTTGACCCTTTGTTTCTCTAGCACTCGGTGCTGAGACTTGGCACATTTTTAATGAGTCTTTTAAAGAAATAATGTTTAAATGTTGGGGGGTATTGCAACTATGATCAGCTATGTGGGCTGTGCTCTGTCTTGTGCAAATGACAAGCACTAATCTGTACATTGGAATCAGGACTCAGCAGAGGGATCGCTACTGGACTTAGAGTAGAATCTCTGCAGCATCTCTTCTGGATCAAGTCACACTTAATGCCCCATCAGCTGCCTTTTATCTGAGAACTGTGCATTCACATGCAGTCGATGTTGATTCTAGCAGCTGGTTTTCAGAACTCTCTGAAAGAGATGATCTGCTACACTTGGTATCTCGGTGGCTCACTTCTGATTAAGAATTGGATTGTGGTTAGGGTATTCTCCAGTGTGTGTGTGTGTGTGTGTGTGTGTGTGTGAGAGAGAGAGAGAGAGAGAGAGAGAGAGAGAGGTGGGGGGATCAGGGTGGAATTAAAGGGTTCAAATAGATCTTTGTTTAAGAACATGTAATTCTAAGAAAAATAAATTCCTGCCTCATTTTTTTGAATTACGAGAAATATTTTTAAGAGTTGACTTCAGACACTTTTGAATGCATTTTAATAAAGTAAAAACATTTGCCCTTTCTGATTTTAGTATTTAATATTCACAATGTACCCTATTCAATGTCCTTTTAGAATTTTTATTCAAATTTTATATAAAAGAAAATGTTTAGAAAATGTGAAAAGTATCCTGAAAGGTAAGCAGCCAAGACTGGGGTCCAGATGTTCCTAATTGTTACCATCAGGAAGCCTACCACAATGAGGCTGTGCCATATGCCGGGGTTTTTTAAAGCTAAGATAAATAGATGCCCGGAGGAACAGAAACACCAAACTGATTTTGGGGAGCTAGCTCTTTCACCTTTCTAGCACACTTGGTCGGTGGGTGTACAAGCATTAGGTGCTTTTTGCCTCACTCTGCAAGGAGCAGAGGTGTTTTTGTACAGAGTAGGAAAATCTCTAGCAGTTCAACCTAAGTTACCCCATTTGTAAAGTGGGGTGTTAAAACTACCAAAAGAACTCTTCAGCTACCCCTTCTAACCCTAATGTTCAAAAGATTTTTAACATTGGCGAAGACTTTTCTTTACATTTAGAAAGGCTGATTTTATTCTTTACTTTTATATTTAGTGAAGTAGTAAATGTGAACGAACCCTGTGAGGAGGAAAACCTTTCACTAATACCAGCTTAGGGCTTGCTTGAGCCTCAGGGAGCACTGGGTGTTTGGGGTCAGCCTGCTTGCTGCAGATCGGTGATGGGCCGCATTTCCATGGTCTCGATCCAAAGCAGCAGTACTATGGAAAGGTGAATTAAATGAGTGACGTGCACTGTTTTTTTTTTTTTAACCTTATGTTGCTTTGTTTTTGTTTTGAAATACAATACTAGAATATTTAAATGACTTTCATTTTCATGGTCCATTTGCATTATGAATGTTAGGTTTATAATTTGATCTGTATTATAGTTTTTTTAATTAAGTAGGCAGGACATTGTCCTTAAGTAAGCTATAAGACTCATTTTTTAAAAGGGGAAGGGTTTGGGTCATAAAGTTATAAATTAGCTTTAGCAAGCCTTCAGTAAAGGTACATTGAAAGAACAGGAACAGAAGAAATTTAAGTGATGCTCAATGTATTCATCTAACCTCTGTTTCTAATTTTTACTATAACCCGATACTGTTGGATAAAACTGAGTCCTTTTGGTCAGTTACAGTTCAGGTACATTCTTTATATTGTTGCTGTTTATGACATTTATCAAAGGAGTAAAAAAATTACGTTGTTAAACTCGAGGAGTTAATGAGGCAAAAACATAGTAGCTTAAGCCTCTAGGGCTACTGATTAAAATGAATGACTTTCATATTCCTTTTGATGGGGGAGGGTACGGAACCGCTTTCCTCTCTGCCCAGACTCAGCTGCCAAGTGCATTTTCATTTCCAGGTGGCTATACGCAAACAGGAAATTGAAGACAGACTCAATTCGTGGATTGTGTTCAATGAAAGAAATAAAGAGTTGTGTGCGTGGCTGGTGCAGATGGAAAACAAAGTTCTACAGACGGCAGATATTAGCATCGAGGAAATGATTGAAAAGTTGCAGAAGGTAAGCAGCAGCACCCACGTGAATGCAGTTACGGCTGTCACGGGATCCTCAGCCCTCCTCAAAATGGTGTGTTTCAGGTATGTTTCCAGTAACATTTTAGAAATTTAAAGGGATTTTTTCTTTCTTCTCCTTCTCCGAGAAGAGGTGGTGGGTAAGTAAGGATTCCAGAGAGATGGGAAGTGTGGGGCCCACCTAGGCAGGCACGGTGCTGTGTACTGAGGAGAGCTACCTTCCCTCAGGAAGTCTGTCCAGAGAAGGGCCCGCGTCTTCTTAAGCACCCCAAGTGAGTTACGGCTTTCCTAGGTCTGATTTCCTAGTTCTGAGTGTGGCGGAGCTCCCCTTGCCAAAGGGGAGGGGCCAGCAGTACTGGGGCTCATCATCGCGGATCCGCACAGATGAAGGTAGAAAGGTTCTTGCCACTCAGGAAAACGCTTGCTGATATTAGGCTAATTCAGTTATACTCAGTTGCCCCCAACTCCTAGATAATCAGATTGGAAGAAATCTGTGAGGGGAAGCCGGGGCTGTTCAATTAGGAAAGGGACCGCTGCCCCACGGACCGCAGTGTGCCGAGCCGGCATCGTTCGACTGGTTCGCCACTCACTGAAGAGCTGTGTTAACAAGCGTGAGAAGTTTTTAATTAAAAAAAAAAATGTTTCTTTCAAGAGGCAACTGTGTTTATTGTCCGGCAAAGAAGTGAATTTTTGGCAGTAATTGAGGCTTTTTGTGTCGGTGCCCTTGCCAGGACTGCATGGAAGAAATCAACTTGTTCAGTGAAAACAAGTTACAGTTAAAGCAGATGGGGGACCAGTTGGTGAAGGCCAGCAACCAGACTAGAGCAGCCGAGGTCGATGACAAGCTCAATAAAATCAACGACCGCTGGCAGCACCTTTTTGATGTCATCGGCTCAAGGTAGGAAACAGTCTACAAACAATCCCTACTCGCTTAGGCGCCGCAGTTACCCCACAGACCTGGACACTGAGTCCAGCCTGACGCCGAGGTTGCCCAGCGGTTTTCTCACGTACAGCTGAAGGCACAGTTTGGTCAGCAGTGAGTAGCAATTCTTGTCTCAACAACATAGAAAGATTCTATTTTAGTATATCCCATTTCAGTAGGGTTTTTTTTTCTTTAGCTCAGAATTTCACATGAATTAGATTAGGTTTGAATGAGAGTTAGAAACTTAATTTGGAAAGAAAGGCTTGAGAGGAGGTGTTATTTAGAAATTGTAACTCTGTGTTGGGACTTGCGTGTCCCCCACATGGAGTCACGCCTGCTGGGTCCTGCCTGTGGGTGGCAGGTGCAAGTAGGTCAGGGCGTGGGCCTGATTTCTAGACGCTGGTCTGGAGGTCCCCAACTGACCCCACAGCTGGGGTGTGGAACACCCGAGGTGCAGGTTCTCCTTGTGTGCGAGGCGCGCCAAGTGCCCAGTGGGCACCTGGTCCTAAGCGGGGACTCAGGAGGCATGGCTGTGGCTACAGACCAACGCTGTATTCTCCAGAGCAGCCCTGTCAGAAGTAAGGCTGACAATTTTATGTTTACACAAAATGATGATGATGTGGCTTTTAAATGGTTTCTGTTCTCAAAATCTGCCTCCAAAGACAGGCCCCAACCAAAATGTGTTTTGTTTTATTTTTGTTTCATTGCAACCTGACATACGAAAAAACAGTCCCTCCGCTTGGGGACCATTTGTGCAACTGTGTGGCCACTGGCCGGGTGGGGCTTTTATGTTTTGAACACACACACGATGTGGAAAAAATACACAGGAGAACCTGTAAGGTGACACAAGTATTGGGTGTAGTGAAAATAAGATGCTCCTAATAATTTGGCATTTCCTCTACCTCATTGTTTACTGTAACCATGAGTGAACCTGCTGCAAAGGCACCGGGCTGCTGTGAGAATTACAGACAGGAAGTAAGATGAGTCAGTTATGTAAATGGGAGCCGACATCTGAGCAGCTGTAAAACCGAGGGGTTTGAGGGCTCAGATCTCATCTTCCTGGAGAGGGGGTGGGGATTGGGAAGAGCCTCACAGAAGAGTGGTGATCCCGGATGGCCGGGTATGAGCAGTGAGGGCTCGGGGTCCTGGAGCATCACTGGTGGCAGAGAGAGACAGAAGTGTGCCGGGAGCCACCAGGTACAGGGGCAGAGCCGCGAGGAAGCTGTTCAGGAAATGACAAGAGGCCCCACTGACGCAGGGGATGAAGCTACAAAAATAGGTTGGGGCTAAGTCCTAGAAGACCTTAAATCTCAACTTCTGTCCTGGAGTCTTAAGTAGAACCCAGTCATTTGTGGATTTTTAGCAGCAGAGGGTCTGCCGAAGACGAACATTAGAGTGACTGGGCTGGCAGCATAAGCTGGGCTGAATCCAGCTGCTCTATACGGCCAGTTCAAAGAAACACATCTGTGGAGGCCCAAGGGAGGACTAAGAACTCAGGTTTGGAGCTCACACTGACTTTCTCACTTACTCATCACAGAAACCTTTTGATTTAAGCAAGAGGTTTTAATCTTTCTAAGTGATTTAATCTTTCTAAGCCTCAGTTTCCAAATCTGCACAATGTGCCTGACAGCACGGTTCACATCCGAGACCGCTGTGAGGACGAATGGCGTGCGTCTTACATTTGGCACATGTGGGGTCCAGTGTTTAGTGAGTGGTTGTCATTGTTTCCCCTAAGAAGACACTGAGACGGAGGAGCATTTCTGCTGAAGAGAAGAGGACCCCCTGAGTCGTGTCTGGTAGTGAGAGAGATCTTTCCTCCATGAGACCCGTGTTTTTGACTGTCTTGTTTCCAGCACTTAAAACAGGGCTTCAGGTATATGTTGAAATGAATGAACGTTTCAGTGCACAAGAATAAGGTCGTGTCTGTTGGGTAACTTGTGTGTAGTGTGTTTTTGTTGACACTGTTTTTAGAAGACTTATCCTAAGTCTTCTGGGCACCTGGCACGAATCTAGGGCGATGTTGTGTCTGTTTATGGACTGTGCTTCCTGAACACTAGAGTGACAGTCCATTCTCAATTATTCATGTTTTGGTTTTATCACTACAGAGTTTAATAGGTGACTTGCTTTTCTCTCTCCTTTCTGGCTGCCTGTCTTTAGCCAATTCCTTGGTGAGGAAAAAAAAAACAGTAGGTGAAATTTCAGTGGTCCTTTTGGAAGGAGCAACTGGCAAAATAAGGAGTTGAAATAATGGCAGATATTTTGTCTGCTAGCTGTGGTCTTAGCAATGTGCTTTTATGTATGATTTCACTTAATTTTCATTGTAATTCTGAGAGGTAGATACCATTGTCCCATTTTACAGATGACAAAACGGAGGCACTGAAGTTAAATAGCATGGCCACAGTTAGAGCCAGCATATGAGGCAACCACAGGACTCCGATTCAGGCAGTTGTGTTGCCTCCCTGTTCCCCAGACCCTTCTGGTTTTTTACACTGAAATGAACTGAATCCCTTCAAAACTGAGAAGCTGGGGCCCAGGACAGTATCACTCTGTTAGTTGGAGCATCAACCCATAATCAAAAGATTTTGGGTTCAATCCCCAGTCTGAGTGCATCTGGGAGGCAGCCAGTCAGTGCTTCTCTCTTGCATCGGTGTTTCTGTCTCTCCTTTCCTCTCTAACAGCAATGGAGAGGAGGAAAAAAACAGCAACAACTTAGGAACTAGGGAGAGAATACCAGTAACTTACCTTCCCTAAAGCAAAGGCCAGACTGAGACCAATGGCTGAGAGTCTAGGAGACTCTTCAATGAGTTTACCTCTTCAGGTGAATCTGTAGATTGAGGCAGCAGGCTTGGGCTGCCTTAAATTAGCCTCATGTAGAATCAGCTGTTTGTCTGCTCTCTGCTACTGATCATATTATCATCAGGCAAGTCGGAGGACAGGCTGCAGAACTTAGATTTGCATAGTGCCAACCAGGCACACTAATGGCCTCATTTGCCCCGAGAATTCTGAATACTATTTATTTAACTTTTTCTCTCGTGCTCACGGTTTGCTGCAGCTTCACTCCTGTGACAGGGGACAGCATTTCCTATTAAAAATAATAAGATTTGGAGCAAGGCTGTAAAGTTACGAATGGTATTCAGAAATCCAAGACCTTAATAAATCAGGTTTATTGGGGGGAAAAAAAAGGCCTGTTGTTTCAGGTTCATTGTCAGCATAGTGGAAATGAATAACAGGGTTAATTAAATGCACTTTAAATTCTGACCATTTCAGGCAGTAGGCTCCATTATGGGGTGACTGGGGGAAAATCAGCGCTGTTTATTTTCAAGTGCCAGGCTGTCCATGTGTACATACATATACATGATACAGCCCTGCAAGGGCTGTCGGTACCCTCCTTTTGACGAAGAGGGGCAGTACAGCTCAGAGATCATAAATAACTGACTCGGGCCACAGTCAGTTCTGCACAGAGGGGGCTAGAGCCCAGGTCTGTCTGTCCCACTGTGCCCTGCATCCCAAGGGCACTTCACTTCTTTGAGACCTTGGCTTTTAAAGGCAGTTTATCAGAACTTCTCTAAAACCAAGAACTCAGTGTAGAATTTACCATTTACTATAGAGCTATGGTTCTCAAACGTGCATCAGAATCCCTGGAGGGCTCATGAAAACATGGGTTGCTGACCCCCACCCGCAGACTGCCGATTCTGGAGGTCCAGGTGGGGCCGAGAATGTGCATTTCTAACAAGTGGGGTCTAGGTGTTGCCAGTGGAACTGGTCTGGGGCACACAGAGCGAGCGGCAGGGTGAAGGGATGTGGTGCTGCACCAAGTCAGACGTCCCGGACCTGCCACTTGTTGTGAACAAGTCTTCTGGCCTCTCTGTGCCTCAGTTTCCTTGTTGATCAGCCATTACAAGATCCTGGATGAAAAACTCACCAGAACAACTATGGAGCCATCCATACACATGCAGGCAGCATCTGGCAAGGTTAGTGTGGCTACACAGAGTGGGGCTGAAGTCGGTTTACAGTTGTTCATTTGTAAAAGAATACGATAATTAATAAATGACAATACAAGACTAAAGTCTGCTTCATGTACTCAAAACTGTGGACCTACTTTTGCCTTGTATGTAGGTAAGTTGGGGAAGGGGTTTAGACCCAAACAACTTGCTTGCAAAGGGTTCTTCAGCTTCTATAAAATCTTTAAGACAACCTGAAGGACATGTCTTCTGAAATAACCAAATAACCCAGCGGGGCTTAGGGAGTCTAAGTCAGTCTTGATGCTGATTTCATCACATGAGGTCGCGCAGGCCCCGGTGTGGGCATCGGCGTTCTCAGGCTCTCTCCATCGGAACCGCTGCCGGAGTTCGTAGCCGTCCTTGTGAACCCTCGGGCGGCTTCTTACCTTTGTGACATCTAAACTTTTATAAAACATGCTGTTAGTTCCATCAACAGGAAGGGCACTTTGAAGCACTATGTATTTTTTTGATGAATGGCATGATTACTCCAAAACTGAATCTGGATTGATGACATGAAACATTAATTGTATACTACTATGCCTCTTTGACAGATTAAATAAAGAGGTGAACTTTTAAAAAATTGTACCTATTAGCTGCTCCTCCTTTTCCCCATGTTTTCTTAGATAGCATTTTTGAAAAGCAACCCAGCATGCACATTGCTCTGCGATTTGAAAAAATAGAAAGAGATAAAGAAAGAAACAAAAACAACAACCCAGCAAGACCTAAATGCCGGAGAGACAACTGAATTATAGTTGTTTTTCAGAACTAGCAACACATGCGACCCTCTGTTTTGGAGGAAGCTAGGTTACCTATTAATAAGAACAGTTTAGGCACAGGATGTTGGGTAATGGACAAAAAGATGTCAAGTTGATTCAGCTTACAGAAACCAAAGCTCTGAAAAGTGGGTCCCCAGCCATTGTCCCCAAAAGTGGGACAATGCCAGAGGAAGACTCAGCCAAACACATAATCTCACTT